GGTTTCCCTTATTGGCAAGGATGTGAAGATACAGTTAAAACACCTGAATTAAGCAAAAAATAAGTTGCTCAGTGAAAAGTACTGACACACTGAGAAAAAGTGATCAAAAATTGTCTTGATTTGAGAGTAAAGAGGGTCCATCTTCAGACAGATTTTAAAAACTCATGAGGTTGAGTTACAAATGTAAGAGCAGAATGAAAAACTGAGATTTGAGCGAGAAGGCAGCGGCGTGTCTATAGATTATCTCACCACCATCTAGAACTGAAAGACAGATTGTTTCAGTAACACTTTATCCACAAGTAAGAGGAAGGTTGGATCTCTTTGTATGAGAAAAATCAAAGTTTTTGTCAAAGTTTTCTTATGGAGTTTTCAGTGTTCCTTATTTTTACCCTTTAAGGATGTCTGATCTTCATTGTGTAGAGTCATGTCTGTGCAGGTTTACACTACAATACAAATTCATTTGTTTCTCAGTGCTTACTTTTGCTTTCTACGCCTGTATTAAGAAATTTAAAGGTGGATAGAGTGAGAAACGATGAGAGGAAAATGATACACAAAAACAGGCCGGTGTTTGGGATCTGAACCCAGGGACACGGCTTCAGTGAGTGTGACCTCTACGCTGAGTACAGTTTAACCACAGAGCTAAATCAGCACCCAATGCTTATCTTTTATCAAAGTTTAGTAACTGTTAGTTCAGTCAAGTCATGGTTCAGTAAAAAGCCCACACTGCAGCACTCGAGAGTGGGATGTGGAAATTTAAAGTCTATGAGCACTATGGTTCTCAAATCATCAGGGTTTTGTCTTTATTATTTTTTTTCAAAGAGAGAGGAGAAACAGATGTAGTTGTGAACATTTGTGACAGCGATCTTGGGCTTGTGTGTCACTAAAAAAATAAAATTAAAACATAATAAGCAGGCCCCAAACTTGTCTCAAAGAAATATTTAACCTCAAATTCAAACTGAAAAAACATAAAATTTCAAATTAAACTCAAAATAGGAAAACTAAACCTTATTTAATGACTTCATATTATTTGTTTGTTTGTTTGTTTTTTTCCTCTTCTCAATGAAGCACTACCCAACACTTGCTAAATCTACGCTCTCTTTATTTTATTATTGGTTGTAATTTGACCTTTGACCTCAGGACACAGGAGCACAGTGGCAGAATACTATTGAAGGTATTGTATTGATTTTAATTCTGCTATTATGGTTTCGTCTTTTCTCTCATTTTTACCTCCATATCTTATTCTGTTCTGCCAGATTACACTGAATTGATTGTATTATAATACTGCATTGTGTTGTGTTGTGTCACTGTTGTGTAATAAACACATTTGATCCAAAACAAACTGTTAGTAAAGCCACTTAAAATAGAAAATGAATTAAATGTTTTCTATTCTATTCTATCTAATTTATTTCATTCTATTTTAAACCGCTTTTTTCTATTTAATCCATTTCCATTTTGTTTATTATTTAGTTATTTTTCTACCAATTTACAGTAAAATTTCAACTTTTATATTCTATCCTCTTTGTTTTTCTTTTCTATCTTATTCTATTCAAGATTGTTTCATTCATACCTGCCCTGTTCTCCAGTCTAAGTTTTATCGGCCTTTTTTAAAATGTGATTATTCAATTGTACTGTATTCTATTCCCTTAGTATCTTTATCAAAGAGATTTTCTTCCTTATTATTATTATTTTTCAGTAATATGCTTTGGCGTTGCTCTGCTTAGGTTGCTTTTTGTACAGACTGCAAAAAACCTGCAATCAGACCACTGCCTCCTCCTCCTTCTCCTCCTCCTCCACCTCCTCTGGAAGTGTTACCCTCTCATCCTCTATCTTCCCCTCATCCGCTATTCTCCTCCTCACCTCCTGCCGCACTCCATCCCCTCTGCTGAGCACAGGTATTTGTTTAGGAATCTCTCGGTGGAAATTATACTCCATCTCCGGCGCTCCCTATCAACACACAATTATCATGGGCAATCATGCAGAACAGTGCTGAATTCAGCTGGGACTCTGATGACATTACTGACTGCTGAAGGCCCTGCTGCTGCTGCTGCTGCTGCTGGGAGGTGGCCTACACCTGCAATAAAACCACCTCTCTCTCTCTCTCTCTCTCTCTCTCTCTCTCTCTCTCTCTCTCTCTCTCTCTCTCTCTCTCTCATATGCCCTCTCTCTTTCTGTCTCTCTCAAGTATGGATTGAGAAATTATTCAATCTTTCTTTATCTTATTATGATTTCATTTAAACCGGGAAGTCCACCAGATAAGGAATCTTTTTCCTCGGGGGACACTTGGCTGGAAGGACCACTCTTACTTGAATCAGGACAAATCCTGTGATTTTATCTCACAATTTATCATCAACTCCCGACCTCTGTGGCCTCCTTTTGTGACCTGTGGTGGTGTTGCCGTATTTTAACGCTCCTCATACAGCTGAGTGAAAGTTTTTTGTGGCTACTCGCTCCACAATTTGAAATTTCAGGAATCACGAAGTGTGAATTTTTATCCTCATTCCCGTCTGTAAAGGCAAAGTCAATCTCACAAAGTAATCAATGCCTCACATTGTGTCTCTCACTCCTACATTCTGAGGCATTTCCCTATGTATGATAAGTACATTTTTAAGCTGGAGAGGCAGAGAGTTGATACAGACACATGAGAATCGACACAGGAGTCCATTCAGATCCTGATCAAATGCTCCATTCATGAGTGAAATTACCATCCGTCTGTCAGCCAAGGTGTGAATTCTTTCATCTACAGATCCTGCCTCTGAAGCTGTGATTAAATGCATAACGCCACATACACTCAGCACTGACTCCAGATAAGCAAAATAGGATTTCTGCTGCTTTTCTGTACGTTAATGTGGAGAACAAATGATGCAACAGTGCCCTCTTGTGGTAGCTGAATGTTTTCCCCCAACACCTTTGTGATGAAAATAACTCGTTATCGAAGAATTTCCTGCCTGGTTTTTCACGCCAATGGTCATGACTGATGTGTCTTGATTTGTTAAAGCTATAATCTTTAATATTTTACTCTGATGTTCTTAAGTAACTGATTCTGATTGTTTTTAAAAGCCCCCATGAGAAACTGTCTGTTTGTTCTAATATGTAGGAACTTAATAAATGAAATGGGACTGCAGATTGGCCTTGGTTCGAGAGTCCAAATTATTTCCAGTGATTTGAATCCCCAGAAAAATAAAAATAAATAAGTTTAAAAATTCAATGTAAACATCAGAGCTGTCATCATTTTGTTGTTTTATTGCCAAATAGATGGCAGAAAATACATTTACTCAGTCATACAGGATTCATCTGCATCTGAAACAGTTAAAGCTAGAGTAAGCAATTTTAGTCAAAGGCATTTTTTTCTTTTCTTCTTTTTTTTAAATGTGTATATTTAAAAAAAGAAGAACCTTCAAAAGAAAAGAATCATGAAAACCGTGTAGCTATAGAGTATTTCTTTTTATCTGCTTGACTATGTGCCCATAAGTCAAAGCTTGAAGAAGAATTGCAGATCAAGCTAATTTTTAATCATGTATGTGTTTTTTGTTTTTTTTTTAATTCCCTGTACTAATATAGCTTTATAAAAAAAATTGCCTTAATCCATCTTAAAAGATCTCATGGCACGACTAGACCACGACCAAGAACATGTATGACAACATAATTCAAACAAACACAACATAAGAAGCTGATCAAGCTTCAAACTCATTTATAAATAAAACTGATTGCACTCTTTAAACAGGCTGACTTTGGGATATATACAAAAATAGTGTAATAATACCAGAGACAGAGCATACATTTTAAGCATGATATAATCGGTGATCCATATATATTTAATTTTATTTAAGGGTAAGACTGATGGGATCCTGAACTATTCAAGACAGGGATGTTCATAGTTAGTCCTCTTAATAATTAAATGTTATCGCTCTTTCTAGTTGGCACAAAAAATATTGTCAGTCAAACAGAAAGGCATTATTTCCGTACTTGTAAGTCCAATATCTGGTCATGAGGTTTCATCTTAGCCACTCACTTCTAGTTGGGTTTGTAGCAAAGGTAGTGGCTTCACCATGGCTTTACGGCGCTTTACCACTCAGATACAAACAAGCATAGATGACAGATGGCATCTCATGGCGCAACAAAGTTTAACACTGTTTTTTATTTCTAGAAAATGGAGATAAAGTGATACACACAGATAGGTGTTGGTTATGCTGAAGACAGGTGGTGCTAATGTTAGCCATATATTTGACGTAGTTTACCTACAGACTCTGATCCTGTGAATAGCAGTGTGATAGTTATTATGCTGAATTTGGACTATTTTGTGAGTGTTACCTCTCCACTCATTGGTTGGTTGGTTGGTTGGTTATAATAAGTCACTTCAGAACATCTCTAATCAAATGTCAGCTTCAAATAGACCAATCTGTCATGTCAGTCTTTTGTTGGATTTACTGTGCTCAAAATGAATTCTTAACGTATCACTGAGCCACACTGCTGCAGTGAGTCATTTTTTAATTTATAATGATGAGCTGTTTTTATTGTGTGAACACACAGACACTGACTGCTGCTCTAAATACTCACCAGAGTCCCAAGTATGTATCCCCCGCAGCTAAAAATAGTTCCAAAGAAATACTCTTAGCGAGAAAAGACAGTATTCTCTGGGAAGTTATTCAAGCCCTTAAAAAAGAAATAACTTTGTATTTAAAGTTTCCTTCGTAACGGATGTATGAATGAATTAGCTGAGCGCTGAGTGCCTTAATATACAAGGTAGAGTAGTAGACTAGAAATAGAAAACACCATCAGCCTTAGCCTTTACAGCGAAAGCAGATAAAGCTCATCACCAGGTGTTTTTTCTCAAACACTCATTTCATTACTGTACAGAATATAAAAATAATCATGAAATTATAAAGCTCCTCTCAGGGCACTTTTTTTTAACCTTCTCAGCAACAAAAAGTTTCAACTTACATTATTTCACTCATCACAATTGAATTGCTGGTAATAATTAATAGCAGGAACACACTTTTAAAGCCCTCAAAACCATAAACACACAAGATTCAGACTAAAGTGATAGGCACCACAGGGTTTTATCTTGTAGATTTGCTGAAAATCCCTCATTTCTATATTGACAAAAACAAAACAGTTTGATTCCTGCAACAAAATGTTCATACAAAATCACCACAGCTATGCTTTTAGAGGAAAATATCAACATCACAGTGATCAAACAAAACACAATAGAGATCATCCACGTCCTCCACCCACTGTTCCTCCAACCTAGTTAAAGTTATTGGTAGTGAATTCGGATGGTTCGGCCTATAAGGAGGAAGAGGAGGCCGGCCAGAAGGCAGAAGAAGATGCCAACAGGAGCGAACATGAAGGATAGACCGTAGTGGAGGGACAGCTGGAAGTTTGGACACACTGTCGCACGCTGGTGGTCTATGTAGAGGTCCACAACATCTAAGACCTGCAGCCACAGGACGTACATCACCACCACACAAAGCAGGAACAGAGCTGGAGCAAAAAGAGACAGAGACGAGATACTGATGAGTCAAAGACATTTACATACACTAAGAAGGTCCAAACATGATAGTTTAACATTTTTAAAAGTTTTTCAAAGTAAAAGACTTGCATTAGGAAAATGATAAAAGTATAAAGAACATATTGTGCTTGAAAACAAGTGGAGAAACAGCCTTTATGAGTCAAATTATTACATTACATTACAGCTTTATTTGGGATACTATATTTATTTGATTTATACTTTGAATTATGTTCTTTAATTTTTCAACCAAGGGGGTCTTGAGCACTACTGAACATTTGTCCAAGTAAATCTGATGGTGTGTGTGATGGCCAGAGCCACCCAAGAGTAATGCCACCCAGCCACATTCTCACCTCATTAGTTTTCCCAACACTCTCACTGGTGATTGTTTTAATTTACAGTCAATCACACAGTTAACATGCAGTTTTTAGTTTTAGCTTGGTTTGTGTTTGTGTATTTGTGTATTTCTGTCAAACAAATCCTTGATTTAACCAACTCATAACAAAAAAACCCTTTTTAAGATCAGATGCCAGATGCTCCTTTGAGGAACTTTAAAGTTGCATCAATTTTGGCGCTTCCTGTGGGCAAAGCATCCTTTGTTTATTTTGTTCTCCAAGTGTAAGGGAGCAAAAAGAGTTGAATTACTAAAGTACGGTACCAGACTCCCAAGTTTTTAGTAATGTTAACTCATCAGCACAGGATTAAGGCATATCAAATCCTCACCTGCTATCAGGAAGAGGCCTCCTCCTGCTTTATACAGACGGTGACTGGAGAACGGAGCAGCACAGATGATAAAGAACCCACCAAGAACCACAGCCGCCACACCGATCAGCATGAAGATGCTCCAGAAGCCTCTATAGACTAAAGACGCACATATATTAGCTAACCGGATATACAGACAGCAAACAATAAAAGAATTTTAAAAACTCTGATAAAAAAGACACCTTTTAATAGATTAGAAAAATAGATGCTTACTTATGGCAGAGTCGTACTCTGTTGCATTGTGGGTTTGTTGAGACACAGGGAAGGGGAAGAGGTAGGCGTGCATGCACACTTTCGAGTGGGGCTGATTTGCTGAAGAAAGAAAGAATAAATTAACACAACAAGAGAATCCAAAACATGAAGTTATAAGTAAACTAACGCATTTTGAAATTTGAGAATATGAACAAAAAAGTAGCATGTCAATCTCAGTGCAACACAAAAAAGAAACTTCAGAAACAGCAAAGAAAAGGCACGTCTGTTCTTTATGATTAGTTGATTGTTTTTGGGTTTCTGAGTTTCAAATCTGAATTTGTTAATCTATAATGGATTTTTCTTCTCATTATTTTATGGTTGTGGTTTGCTGCTCTTTTCTCCTCCAGCATGCGGAATTCAACAGACCCTCACAAGGTCCTTTTAGTGCCGGAGGCTGTTTCTGACAATGAACCACCATTCAGAGTCCCCTTCAGAAAATAGATGACACACGATCACCTGACAGACGACCAAAATAACATCACATGGCTCTGCCTCCTAACAGTCACATGTGAGGGTTTCTACCAACATGACGTCATATGAGATTCATTGACAGACGCATGGTGCTGAGTTTATTTTATACAACAATACTTTATCATGTAGATGTCTGTGACTAGAGTTTTAGGTGTTTTCTCATGATTCACTGGCCATACGACAATAGTGCTGTTGCACATCCTGGTAGTTCTGCGATATGTGAGTTTGGCCACCAGTATGTAACTGGGGGACCAGCAGCATGCAATGGTTTTTATTTGCAACTTAAATGCCTCATCGCAAAGGAAACACAGGAATGCACAGTATGGGTTTCTCTTAGGTCAAAAGTTTAGTTTAGCCTCACTAATAACATGAAAGTATTTAGCTTTTGCTAGAGCTGCATTTTCTAGTCAGAGGAATAAGGAGGACCAAACCGCAGCGTGGTGATGCCATTACATTGCTTATCACCTGGTGGCAAACCATTGGCCACTGCAGAACTACTTACAAATGCCACTATATGGCATAGCCATGTTGTTGCATGCAAAGGCCATTTTCTTATTTCGGTGCTGCTATAGTTTATTGCAAAAGGAAGAGTTACTTTTGTTTGTTCATATCATGTTTTCTTGAACACACAAAAATAAAGTTATACACGCCTTAAAATGAAAAGATAAGTTGCACTTCCAGTGATTATTTCAGTAAAAAAGTTAAAGTGATAAAGGTGTGAAGCCAAAATAAAAGCGTCTTTGTGACTTACTGAACCAGAGCTTCCACAGCAGGTCATTATCGTCCTCGCTGCCTCCAAACGAACACTTCCAGAAAAACCCTTCATGGTACAGAACGACGTCACTGGTTTCACTGGCTGCATCCTGCAACACCACATCTCCACGCTGATAGAAGAAAAAGAAAAAAAAACTTCTGATATTATTTCATTCTGGAAGAGTTTCAAAAAGAGAAGGGGAAGCCTGATGGTCATGGAAGCCAGGTGTACTGTGAGTTACACCGGTGACACAGAGCAGCTGCTAATATAGGTCAAGGGTTCAGCTGAGCAAGCACCTCCAACCTCACGTAGGTTCGGTTTGGTGCCGTGTGAACGTGCAGTTTGAGGGTGCTAAACAGTGTAATGTCACTTATATCTGACCATATTGATGAATGGTGTAAGTCATGAAGAGGGTGGACACTTAAATGTAATTATCCAATCAGGCTGTATTTCTCATTTTCATCTTGCTATGGTGCAAGTGCCCATTATGTTCCATTATTGATCATATTATTGCTCAAAAAAGGAACATCAGAAATAGCTTTACTGTAAGTGCTACTACTTTGGTTTTATTATGGTGATATCATGTGTTGATTCCAGTATCTGTGCCCACTATGAAAAGCTAAGTATGTTCTAGTCGGTGATATTCAATATAGCAACATACCTCTGCTGGTATTTGTATTTCTATCATAGAGGCACGTTGTACACACTATGTCTCAACTACTGAATAGCTGAACACACACTAACAGACACACACGCACAACATTAAACAGTGTCTGATTACATGAAGATGTCCTGCTGCAAGGATGCCTCTCCACCCTGCAGTAAATCCACTGAGAGAAACATTGGAGAAGTTTTCAAAATAAAAGAGGAGACTTTGATATTTATTCTACAGACAGGTATTTAAAGTATCTTATATCAGGGAGCTGAGCTCTCATTGACTGTATACTGTTTAATGTTCAAGTACCATACACATCCCAAATACCAGGGTTATTGATCTTTGGTCAAATACTCTTGAGACATAATAGAATTCTTCAGTATATATTTTTAGCTATGATACAAGATGAAACAATTCAGTTATTCAATATTTCTATATAATTTGATGTGATTTGATTTGATACAATGCAGTTTGAGACGAACAATATAGTCAGTTGCAGTCAATATGGAAGGATGCATGTCTATGCAATATGACACAAAGGTTTCAATTAACAGTAATGTAAATAATGCTACAATTGGACAGGCAATAATAAATACTATACCATACAGTCACACTATATAACATGGACCAATACATAAGCATACAATATGATAGAATACGATACGATACAATATGATATGATACAATACGATACAATATGTTATGATACGATATGAAACGATACAATACGATATGAGATGGTTATACCCAATTATGGGTAAAAAATAGCATAATGTGGTGTTGTAAGGTGTGGTATGGTGCTGTGCAGAGTGGGGTGGTGAAGTGAGGTGTGGTGTGATAAAGTATGATATGATATGATACAATGTAATTTGATATGATTCAATACAGTATGATATGCTACATTTAGTGCAATTTGATATATGTGCAGTGCTGTATGTCTTGGTTCAGAACAGTATGAAAGGACAGATGATATACATCTGGTTGTTTTCATTGGGAATTTTTTTACTCGTACTGGAACACCCCATATGTTTAGCTGTCTTTCAGTTATAGTTGAAAAAGGACATTGAGCTTAATTAAAATAAACAACATTCTTCTTTTTTCATAATACCATAAAAATTTAAAGGTCCACCATCTGGCATTTAAGTATTCTTCATGAGGGAATGCAGTGAACATTCATAATTTACCATTTAAAGCTTAAATTCTGTTTATGTCTGTAATGGCCATGTAAGATCAGCTGACCATATCCATATATACATTAAGTAATTTTTAAAACTTAAATCACACTTACACAACACCCAACTAGGAGATAAGACACAAGCTGCCATCACCTCAGCCTGCTACACCCACCTCTATGGTCACTCCGCCTGGACCAACACTTTCTTCAGGGTTTGGGTTGCAGCTCTCTGAAGCCAAGAGCCAATAATCGGTTCCAAAGGAGAGCAGAATGAAGACAGCTGCAAGAGCCCCGAAGAGCCCCGCAAAAAACAACGCCACACTAAGTTTCATTGTCCGGGATTCACCAGCCACTTAGATACTGGGTAACAACACTCTGACTGTTTCCTCCAACTAATGAAAGTGCATGTGACAAAAAGAGGCAGACACAATCCTCCTTAGGCTCGTTAGTAAATCCACATAGTCAGTTTTGATCCAGCTTGTTCTTTGTTTCTAGATCTTGACTCCTCTCCTGTCTCTCTGCGTGTTATGGGAGGACAAGGTTGAACACATGACTCCTCTGGACCTTGCTGGGGTCTTCAGTCTGCCAGCCCACCCTCCCTTCCTCCCTCCTAAACACCCCAGGCTATTTTGGGGGTCTGATTGAAGGCAGTTGCCTCCCTCTCCACTGTGGGTCTGAGTGTGTGGAGCAGTTGGATAGTGTGAAGGGAGAGGATCAGAAATAAACCTGTGGCAACTGGACACCCAGAGTCTGCACGGGAATTTCAGGGCCGGGTGGGACTGAAAGGACAGAAGAGGGGTGAAGAAGTTTCCCACAACACTTGTCCAAAGCTTCAGACCCATCAGGAAATCACTCATGTAAACAGACAACCCTGCAGGGTTTTTCTTGAAAACATTTCTTTTTAAAAACATTTCTGTAAATGCAACCTTAGTAAACAGGGATTCCTTTGAGAGAATTCATAATTGAAGCCTTATGGAGTGCTATATTTGACATTACGTGGACAACAAACTTCAAAATAAGTACTTCTGAGAAAAAAGCGCCACGAGTTTAACAAATACATAAAGTATTTGTTATTTTTTGGTCTAATAACCACAGATGTTTCATCAGCAATAACCTGAAATGAACTGGTTAAATTCTGATACTTTGCTTAACAGCAGTCAGTTAGTTCTGAGGGAAATTTCAGCTTTGTTAGCATCTGGGAGGCATATTTAACAGTACAGCTTCACAAAAACTTCAACAAATTTACACTCAGATGTGATCCAGGTCTTCCTCAGTCAAAAGGCCCCAAACTACACCCACTGCTTTGTGCGTCATCTGAACAGTTTGGTATACTGACCGACTGCTTTAGAAAGACAGTTAATTTTCTCTCATCCGCCGTTTCTCAACTTATTCTCACACTGACTAGATTAAAGATGCAGAAATGAGGTGTGATGATTTGATCCTGCTCATTTGATGTGACATTATTGTACATTTAAGTGTGAAAATAAGAATATTATGTGTGATACAATCAGTTGGCGTGAATAAGAGTGACTATGAGCCAGCCCAGGATTATTCATGTCATGTTGACAAAATTTGAGGCTGTAAATAAATGTGTTTTGAGTGATGAGAATGGCTTATTGAATGGTTTAGCTCATGAAGTGCAATGTTTGTCAGACGAAACCATGTTGTTGAAACAAATTCTTCTCATTGTTGACTGTTTATGGGTCTATGGGCACACTTCTATCTTGTCTTGATTGCTCTTTTTTAACTTAGCCTATAATTTTTAGCATGTGTCATTGGTTGATGGAATATTTCATTTCTATCATATTTTTGTTTAACTTTGTAAATCAGGGATTTACTGAAGGTTACTCTTTCAGTATCAAGGTGCGCCATCACTTTGTTCCATATTGTGTATAACAAAGGAGGCCAACTCACTCATTAAAGATCAGATTCTGAATACTTTGCATATTTTCTCTGGGATATCCAACAAGTTTTAATCTGAACTGTGGTTCAACAAGGTTTCATACATTCAACTTTCACATACCATCTCCCAGCAAATCCTAAAAACACAGATCAGTAGTCCCCTGGTTGTGATTCTCCTACCATTTAAAGACAGCAAAGAAGCACTGCAGGAAACAATGTTGTCCAGCAGGTGGTGTAGAAGTCACTTTATTATGCTGGTCTATTTGTTAAAGTAAAAGATATAATAGGGCTCATGAAAGTGCTGAATAAAATGATTATGAGAGGGGAGAAAGTAACATTTGAGTTTTATAAAGAAAGCATAAAAACATGTGAAAAATAGAAACAAACAAAAAAATTGGTTGCCTGCTTTAGTAGGTGTGCATTATCCAAGGTAGATTAGTATAAAATAATTTAGGTAATATATCAAACCATACAAACGAATAAAATTAAGCACTTGCCAAAATGAATTGCTGACTCGGTTCACAATATTTGCATTACAAATGTCATTATTAACAAATTGTAAATACAATATTTATTAACAGGAACAGTGTTGTCTGCCCAAGGTGTAACAGAAATATATGGAATGAAATACAAAAATGTGAAAAATAAAATTAAAATAAAAGTAACAAAAATTAACAAAAGTGAAAAATGAGAATAATCAATCATCAACTAGGAAGGCTCCCGTTTTCAGCACTTTATCCCTAGAACACTATCGCCAGACCAAACATGTTTACGTGATTTTCATTATGTTGTTTGTCTGAGTATCATGGGTCCCTGGGTAGCTTCAGCATTTCCTTTGACATCTTTGAAGACATATTTGTTTCCCTGATCCAAAACCTGCTTTTTCCTACAGGCACGTACTCACATGATTTTCACCCAGCAATAGTGATAGAGGGTAAAGTACGTTTGGGTGGATTTGATAGCTGCATGTGGGGAATAAGGTCAGTAAGAGTGGTCCTGGAATTTGCATGCTATCTTTATTTAGCGCAGTGGTTATGAATAACTATCACAAAGTAGTGATTTTCAAGGGAATTCATATGGTGCTGGTCATTTTTACTCACTCAAAATATTATACATAAAACATATTTTGGTTCTCTCTCCTGCAGCTGTTATTGTGCCAAGGATCCTGAGTCTTCACCAGGGAAGACTCACAAGCCCCAGGAATGGATGGAAAAGAAACTAAGAATTCTTAAGAATTCTTTGTTTATGAATGCCTAATTTCAGTTATTTTGTTGCATTTCTATATGGTCCCCTCATGGCACTTTTTTTCCTTTCCCTTTGGACATTGCACAGTTAAAAATAAAAGAAAACTACTTTAATTTGTCATGTATTGTCCTATATTGATATATTTTGATGACAAGTACTTTTTCTTGAGTTTATTATTTCGGGTAGAAATCACCCTGCGATAGTGATGGTGTTACTAATTTTAGCGATAGTGTTCTAGGGTTAAGGTCGGTGCAGTAAAGCGTGTTCTCAGGTTGGACTTCACATTCGTTTTAAACATTTTGTCAGGATTTTTCTTTAAAATATACTGGTTACTACAAATTAATGACATATTTCTTTTTTTGAACTACTAAAAGTAAAAAAAAAATCTGTTTATGAATCAGATTTTTTGTTATTCTCTGACGTCACAGGGCGATACCAACTGACCCAGCAGACGCGGGGGAGTCCGGACACACAACCTCGAGAAATCTACCGCGTCTCGCGCCCTCTGCTCCATTTGGAGGTGATTATTTTGAGCCCGTCTGTAAACTCCGCCACCTTTCACCTGTCACATTTGCGTTGACACTGAAACCGGGTCGTTTAGCTCCACCCCCCTTTGCTTGCAAAACCTCCACCGGGACGCCTCACAGTAAATAATTCGTCCGGATGATTTACAGTAGAGCGGAGGAGCGCTTCCGCTTTTGCCGCAGCGGTGCTGTCACAGCGGGAGGATGAACAACCAGAAATGTAGCACTTTATTTCAGAAACTGGGAGGACGGACACGAATCATACAATGTATCTACGTGGTGGGCTTCATGGTGAGTGGCTAACTGAGGCGTGAAGGCTCTGCTATGAGACTGAAGGAGCTACTATGGTGCTGCTTGCTTTCATATCTCAGACGTATTTAGTGGAAACACATATAACAACAAGGAAAGTGTATCCTTCATGTTAAAACTTTGTTTATTCAAAATACTAACAAGTTATCTTCAGTGTGTTTATGTCTGTGAGTGTAATTAAATGATATAAATAGGTCTTGAAAGTCTGCAGCTTTTATAACATTTGGAAACAAAATATAATTTCTTTAATAATCTAAAGTGTGTGTTTTATTGCCTATATTTGACCTACTTTGAACAGAAATGTAATTACTTCCTTGTATCTGTAGAGACATTTTGTTGAACCTTTTTATGATCTCAATGACAGCATGATCAGAAATGTTAACTTTTTATTTTGTATTTACTGACATCAGATCATTTGTATTCATACCTGTTATTTCTACATCTAAAGTCATATATGCATGAAATGTTTTAAACATCATGATAAGATATTTTACAAAAGATTGTTGGCACCACAGTTCTATACATCTCCTGATACTTCAAAACATGTTTGAAGGTGAATGTCAGATGTAAAGATCATGTTGTCCTGACACCTCTGAGTGGTTTCTTCTCAGCTGTCATTTAAATGTGTTGCAAAGTGGCCTGATGCTGTTTTGACTTTTGAATTCACCTCTCACTCCAAAATACTGTATTTAAAGAGTGTTTAAAGTGTTTTCATGTTCCCTGCAGAGGTAAAACAGTAATTCATTGAATGCCTATGTGGGAATTCATGCTGTTACAGTTTTTGGCACAGAGACCAGATGGAAACAGTGGGGACAGTACACTGTTAATCCACATAAAGTTAAGCAGTTAGTGTAATAGGGTGAGTCAGTGCACTTAATGAAGCACAGTGTGACTTTCATCAGGAGTTTGGCAAGAGCTTTTTCTGATCCCAGAATGCAGAGAAACAGGAAAAACTGCAGAAACCTCTGAACTCTGTGTGTTAAATACCAGACTCTGACTGCATATGTTAAAAGCCGCCATTTTTTGCCAGATCCCAATCTAAAGGTTTAAAAACAAGAAGTGAAAAATCCAGTGAGATTGGGCCATGTTTCAGTGTTAAAAATGTCTGTTTATGAGGTTTACTGATATGGCACAACAGCTTAATCTTAGCATCATGCAGTTTACTTCTCTGCTACACCAGGTGGTGGATTACAGACTAGGTGGAATCTTAAAAATTAAGATCAAATTGACCTTTCTAACAATCTTTCCAGATCATTCAAAGTCTATTGAGCTTCTTCTCAGCCAAGTTAAACAATTATCCAGAGCTATTTAGGAGCCCTCAGCTGTGATGAATTATAATGGCAGCAGCTTTTCAATCGCTTTGCTACAATATTACAGGGTTTAGACATTTGCACTGTATGATGGCATTATCAATAACCTTCTTTCTTGTTCTTTATATTTCATTTTTTTTATATATGTGTATATTTAGGACTTGTTTGGGGTGAGCATGATCATCCCTCTGCTGAGCCATCATGTGAAAGCTCTTGGAGCAAGTCCCACTGTGGCTGGTATAGTAGGTAAGCTGTGTTCTAAACATAAAGTAAATATTGTAGTTGCATCATAGTATGTTCTGTATTTTCAGACTTTAGAGCACAAGATTACAAGTCAGCAAGAAATCTTTCAACCAAACTACAGACATACATACTTATCTGCAGACTAAAGACAGAAGTTATGCATGAACTACGTTTGATTTTACAAATCTGATTCAAACAAATATGTTGCAGGATCCACATATGGGATCTTGCAGCTCTTCTCCAGCACAATAGTTGTAAGTATTGGCTTTTCTCTCTGTCTCTTGTGCTTGGCAAGGCATTCTTACCAAAATGAGTGCATTCCATGTCATCTCTGGTATTTCATGAAAACAATGAACACTGACCGTTTAAGGTTGGTTGAGGTTGCACAGTTCCTCCAGTCTCTATGTATATACACAAACCAGCTACTTCTTTCTAGCTGCAGACTCACACCTAATGTATACAACTATTTAACCATAGGAACAATGTTGTGTATGACTTCCCTGGAAGGCCACTTCACTTTTTGATAGTTTGAGAGAAAATCGAGATTGATCACTGGAACTCAAGAAATGACACTGACTACTCACCACGCCACCATAAGAATCTGGTACAAGATTCCCTGGCTTCTTTACCGCCCCATCGCTCCTGAAATTGGTTAAATTCTCAGGGGTCATGGGACAAATTAAGCTGATAAAGAGTGGTCTGTTGGTTCCCGCGTGCAGACCGGCTGGATCCTGATAAACCCTGGGATACATGGACAGCTGGGTCTCTATAAAACCCCACCAGGATACATTCATAGCACAGCAAACTCAATTGGTCCTAATTTAGTTATTTCATCAGATGTGTACGTGTGTGTTTGCGACAGAATGAAAAAAGACAGGGTGAGAATCGAATAAAGTCCTGGGCTGAGAGGAAACTAAGGGTTTGGACTTTGCTGCTTTAAGGACTGTCAGAAGATATTTTCCTCTATTTGTTGGAATTTTGATCTCTACCATACTGTGATCCCACTGGGTTGGATAGAAATTGACATCAATCACTAGGGGTTTATCACATACTGATATCAACTATGATTGGGTATATGCTCTGACATGAGAACTTAAAAAAAATGTGATGTAGAAAAAATTTACTGGATCTTCCTGAGTATCTAGATACAAAATGTTCCCCAAAGAATTAGCTTTGAGTTAGTAAAACTGGAAGATTGAGTTGTGTGTCATTCCCTGTGTGTGATTATCAGGGTGGCTGGAGTGACGTAGTGGGACGGAGGTACTCTCTGCTCACCTGTCTGCTGCTGAGCGCATTCGGCTACGGCCTGCTCGGGATGTCCACCAGCATCGCTTTGTTTGTCCTTGCGAGGATACCTGTGGGTGAGTCCTGAACCCCAAACCTTTAACACAGGTGATATTTTGACTCCACAGTATAGATAGTCAAACAACTGAGAGCAGTTATAGTGTTGGGGTTCTCTTACTGTCTTTGCTAGTTTTCTGTTGTGGCTATAGAAACTGTAAGATCTGATGAAAATAGTGCATGTCAACATCTTTAATTTTTCTTATGTTACAATAAGAAGGAAGAATACAATTTAAAATGATGTAAAATTTCTATCATAAAAAGTGTGGATTAATCAGTTTTTGAATCAGTTTGATTGAACTGATCAATCCTGTCAGCTGATGTGTTTGTGTTAGTAATGGTAGGCTGTGCAAACCAAGTGTCTTTTCTTGATTTTGAAAAATTACCCTCAGCAACAAAACACTATAAAAGAACACAACAACCAGACCACCATCATCTTATGTTTTAGAAATTGAAAAAAAAACTAGAAACAGAATTGTGGTGTTCTCAATTTCAAGGTTGACACATTGTGCAAACAATGTTTTTTACAATATTTAATGAGGAAAAGCAAAGCTGAGTCTTTGCGTATCTTAATTTAGTTGATGTGCAAAAAAAGAAAAAAACAGAATCTATGAGCACATGTGTCTGTGTTTCCTAAACAGCTGTGAAATAACCTACTGCAACTGATGTTGTCGTAGTCACCTCAGGGGTCATATGGCAAGAACAGCAGGCGCTTTTTTTGCCTGGTTTTATTGGTTCTACTCAAAGTATTATTATTTTTGCTTGGAAATATACAACAGTGGATAAATTATATGATTTTTAAAGATTTTAAATTGAGGCATCTCATGACCCTATTCTTGGAGTCTCTCTGCTTTGGGGACTTTTGTATATTTATAATGCTTTAAAGAAGGTTGACGGTTACACTGAATAATTTGTGTAAATCTTAAATTATTATGTAGAATGAAAACTACAATCTTATTGTTATATTGGTGTTAACCTCCCATTTAAAGGCAAATAAAACATCTTTGCACTAAAGGGACTGGCTTTTAACTCAGGATTTGGGCGAGAATAATAAAATAAGAAATGAAACATCAAAATCGAACGCTACCATCTTCATCTCCAGGATAATATCATCCATTTTTATACAATGTGAATTGACTTTTTCATCTCAGGGCTGTTTAAGCACTCCCTGTCCATCTGCAGAGCTCTGCTGTCTGACCTGGTGTCTGACTCAGAGCGCCCCCTGGTGATGGGACACTTTAATGCAGCCTCCAGTGTTGGCTTCATCCTGGGTCCTGTTGTCGGTGGCTACCTCACGGAGCATGAAGGAGGGTTTTATACCTCCTCCTTTACATGTGCCTCCATCTTTCTCATTAATGCAGGTGGGTAAAAAACCAAGATCTGTCAATCTGTCTGATTGGGTCAAACGTTTATGTCATGTTTTGTGTTCTCTAACATTCCAGGGCTGGTGTGGATGCTGCCCTGGAGCGAGGCACTTGTTCATCTGAATGACACAAACTCCAGCAACAACACAAGTAAAGGCTGTCATGACAACAACTGCAGGAAGTTGGTTCAAAATGGCACTCATGCTGATAAACAGAACCTAGCAGAGACTGACTCAGGATCTAAAGCTCCAGGGAAGCACAGAGGTGGTCTCAGGTGGAGGGAGGTGTCTTTGCTCCAGCCTGCCTGGAAACAGCTCTCCTCAGTGAGCTCCAAGATCCACACGGTGGCCTCTTCAGACATGTGGGACCTCTTCCTGGTGCGTCTTCTGATGGCCATAGCTATCATGCTTTACTACAGTAACTTCTCCCTGGCCATGGAGGAGCGTTTCTCACTCAAACCAAAGGTAACAGGTTATCTCATCAGCTACAGCAGCACTTTAGGGGCCCTGGCTGGGTTCCTGGTGGGTCCTGTCACTAAGCTGTATGGGAACAACATGCCCGCTTTGCTGCTTCACTCCACTGTTCTCACCTGCTCGCTCATTTTCCTGTATGCTGCTGCTCCTAGTGTGTGGCAGGTGCTCCTCACCTCCACCTTTTTTGCCATTTCCACCTCTATTGGGCGGACTTGTATCACAGACTTGGAGCTGCAGAGAGGAGGGGTCCAGGCCAGTGGGACTCTGATTGGAGCAGGGCAGTCAGTCACAGCTGTCGGTCGAGTTTTGGCCCCTCTTCTCTCCGGTCTAGCCCAGGAGTTCAGCCCCTGTGGTCCCCCCAGTCTGGGGGTGGTGCTGGCTCTTGCAGCTGTGGGTTTACTGCTCATCAGGATCCCCAAATGGGACGGGCGGGGATTAACGAAAGTAGTCAAACTAGGAAAATCAAAATAACTGGATGAATGTAGAATAATGACACTTAAAACCACTTCTCCAGAAGGAGAAGTGGTCTTATTTTGAAGGGGCCAGCTCTGGAGATGAAAAGCAGACTCACAGTGGGATCAAGGTTTCCTGCTCAGATGCCTCTGAAAAACATGTCTGAAGATGTGAGGACATCACAGGGTGACAAAGGCTCTTCCTCACCAGCATCACAGTCCTTCTCTCAGGGGGAGAAATCAAATGTGAAGTCAGGGACAAGACGATTGACGTTCATCCCTTCACACTGACGTTGGATCAGTCTAAGAAAAATGGGCCTCGTTTGATTCATGCTGCCTGAAAACTTAGTTGGAAACTACACATATTGTACACTTTAACTCCTGAGTAATTTCTCTAACCACTATATCGTCCAAAGTCTATGAAGGTAGATAACGCTGTTGAAAAATGAGATGAAACTGAACTTCCAGACCTCCTGACTGACCACAGGTAGATCACACTGTTTTTGTTTGAAGTAGCCATGTTGGCCATGACTAGTTGAACACTTTTGGTACCTAACCTCCTGCTGTGGCACAAAAGCCAATATGGCTGGTCTCTCATGAAGATTTTTTTTTGTTTTGTTTTGTTTAGAGATTTAAAGAGGTACTTTTGGTTTGAGGTGATTTTGGTGCCTTCCTTGGAAAAAGAGGTAGCTGTTGTTTCTTTGCTGATTTGTCTTAAACATGTATAATTGGTGTTTTTAACAAAGATTATTGTCCTGCTTATTCATAACTACTAAACATATCAATCATGAGGACTTTGCTGAGGAAAATGTGAAATGAGCTGTTTTGGCTGATTGAAGGTAATTATGTCATCCTACACCCACTCCCCAGCAGCAGTTTCAGACACTAACTTATAAAAAAGGCATTTATTATGTTGATGGTTGTGCTTTTGTAGGTCATATTAATACTGAAATCAGACATATTTATACCAATACCATTATCCAGTCTGCTTATTGATCTAATTCTTTATCCTAACTGCTCTGGAAGCCTGGTTTCTGAATGGGGTTTTACAGGTCAGCTGACCACAGACACAGCCTCTGATTGGTTGACCAGCCAAACTAAAAAGATAACAGCCCCTATCTAGCAGAGTTAGCTAACAACTATAATGACACTAATCTATTCATAAATCCTCACAAATGACCTTCATTTATAAGATATCGGGATCTGACAGGAAAGGCTCGTAGATGTCACACAAACACTCAGGTTTGTCATCAGAAGGCTGCCAAGGTTGTATAAAGCAAGTGGATTTTACACTAAGTCAATACATTGCACCGTTTCATTTTAGAGCTGATTTTGTCAGAGGGTTTTGAGAGGGTCCACTATGATAACTTCTTCCACTCCAAGGTTATCGTTTAACTGACTGCCTTTTGCAGGTGTCACTCCATGTCACTGTTTGGCAGAAATAAGGGAACCATTAGGTTTAATAATATTAAACGCTCAAACTAGTTGGAGCTGTTTTTTGATTCCTTTTCGTAGTTAAAACCACTAAAAACTCCGCACAAGAGCTTCATGATTATCTTTGATACCTTTTAAATTTAATTTTTATTTTTTATGCAACACTGATTTAAAGAAGAAGCTTGCAAGATTGAGAGTGAAGTAGTCACGTCCATGTGGGGATCTGGCTGTGAAGTCTCAAGAATAAACAACTTTTCTATCTGACTCTGTCATGTTTTGTTTTTTCTGAAATCCTGCTCTAGTTTCAGCTTCACTCATCCCATTTCCTATCTCCTCCTCTGCTCTCAGTATCGACACATGCAGGCTTTGGGAAAAGGATTTTTCAATAACATAGAACATTTATTACAGAGTAAAACAATATTGAAATGGATGCTGATTTATGAGCACCATCAGTGTAACAGACCGACTAGGCCTCAGTCCTGAGGATACTCTGTACTGCACAGCAATAAATCCTTCTGTTGAACTAGTTTGGCCTTTTTGTATAAAACTACTGAGTCATAATATACAGAATAAAAAAACAAACGGACAACATTTACATATAATGACAACAAAATAATCACTAAAAATAAAATAGAGTTTAAATTAGGCTGTTAAAAAATCCTACAGGATATAAAGTATGTAAAAACCACATGAGGATGCTTTAAAAACAACAACATAAATTGGCATAAAATACATTTCCTTCACTGCAGTGCACTGTGCTTCTGGTATGGCTGAAAACTCTGACTGTAAAGTCCTTCTTGGCTCAATTTAGAGGCTTTTACGCCTCATATAAGAAATCAATGGACCTTCAGCGCACAGTTTTATTGGTGTGCAGCTCAAGAGCCTGAAATTCAGTCTGTTGCAGTCCAGCTGCTCTTTTATTTCTTCTTTGGGTTCCACTGCGGTCTCCTGAGCAGAGGGTTTCTTGTTGTGTTGTCTCTCGGTTCAGCGGCCCAGGCAGGAGGTGGAGGCGAAGGCTCCTGCTGATCCTCTTCTGCTTCATGATGACTGTTTCTGAGGTTATCAGCTGAGCCGCTGTCACCATTATTTGATGGACGGTGCGGTGCGGGAACACGGGAATCACTGGAGGAGGAGTTTATTCTGGGCACACCACGCCCTGCCCTGCCTCGCTCTTCTCCTGAGTTTTCATCCAGCACACTAACGGAGGGAGATTCCTTCAGGGTGTCGAGCCTGTGCAGGGGCATCATGGCTCTGGAGGAGGAGGAGCGGGAAGGCTGGCTAAACCGGGAGCGTCTGGGGGGGTACGCCACCTCTGACATAGTTTCCTGATCATCTGGAAGAGATGGAGACAAAAAAGCATGATACAGTGACCTGAAAGCTGCAAGTCTCACCACAACACTAACCCATGTCGGTAACCCATGAGAACTTCATTTGAAATTCTGGTGCAGGTGTCAGGGCTCTAAAACATATCACGATATATCATGACAACCCTACTTTGAAATGATCCATAGAGTAAATGAGAAGCCTACCTGTGTAGCTCACCCTCCCAGGAGGAAACTTTGAGTCCAGACTTTTTCCAGCAGGAAGGGAAAAGTATTTGTGGGACTTAGGCACCACCTGAGGATGCAAACAACAGCAGAATGAGTGAGGAGGATATGCTGAGAAAAGAAAATAGAAGATGATGAACAAAGGACCGGCTGTTTAATCAGGGCTATCATCTTTGTTTCCTTGAAAAGTAATGAACCTGCTTTGAATATGATTCAGCTGGGGCTACATGTGTCGAGAGTATCTCATAAACAGCAGCCAGAGTGTTGAGGTTTTTTCATTCTTACTGATGTCTGAAAGCTTCCAGGTCGGAGGCTCCTGCGAATGCTGGCGTGGCGTCTGATCAGGATCTCCCTGGTGGCGCTGTCATTGGGAAGTTTGTTCTTATTGGTGTAAGCCACCGTCTGGTTAGAAAACACAGAGAGGAACAATAGTCAACTCATCAACCATCACACAGTAGATGCAAAAACCACTAGTGGCCTTTTTTGGCCTCACAGACTCCACCATTTTGAACCGGTCCCTGTGAACTAAACCAGCCTTCAGGCTATCACAATAGTTCCCCCTTACACCCTCTGACTGTTGAGAGAACAAAAGACCGGGACAATCACACAGTTTGGACTCTTTGAGAGGCGGCAGCAGCATTTTTCAAAACTCCGATTACTCAGTATAAACTGGCCACACCTGTTTGACCTGCGAGGGTCCGTGTCTCTGTTTGGGCACGTGAGCTGCAACACTAACCTCCTCCTCCACATACGTCAATGTCAATATACCAACAGTTCTGTCTGTCATGCAGCTTTTAGTTCAACCTAAAACAAACAGAGCCACCCTGCAGATACTGTAAAGGTTACAGAAACGTCAACATTACGCTCATATATGTCTCAACTGAGGTTTGAGAAGAAGAACCGATGGTATGTTCCCGTCTGTCTTTTCTTGTGCAACACCACAAATTATTTCATTGAAGATTAAGCTATAAAAACACTTTTTACTATTGGACATGTTGAACACATTTTGAATTATTGCTGGCAAGGAGTTTATATTATTTTAAAACTGTTGAAAATGATACTGTCTTAATCCAGTATTAAACAGGATTTTGAGGTATTTTCAGATTTTTTTTTTCCGCTTATTTCATGTGCATCACGCTTCAGAACATAAATGGAAGCTATTAATTAACATTCTTGATTGATTTATTGTTTCTTTTTGATTCATTTTTCATCATTTTAAATGAAAAAACAAGATTTTTTAAGGTTAAAAAAAAAGTGTATAAAAGTATAAATCCATATAAAATATTAACATGTTTTTCCCAGATCACATGTTAAAGAGGTGGTATCATCCTTTTTTTGATATTTTAGAAAGCAACTGTTGAGTTAAAATATTAACTAATTTTACTTCCTCAGTTCTTTCTGTTACAGAAAAAGAGTACAATTTTTAAAAAGTCTTTTTTTTTAACTTTCTTCACGTATTTCATAGAGATTTCACAAACTACACTATTCTTTTACCTGCAAAAGCGGCGTCACACACAGCTAAATGCAATAACATGACACTAGTGTAAGAAGGCTACATGTGTGGTAAGCATGACAAAGAGAAAGCAACTTAGAGTCTGTGTGAGGAAATGAACCACATATGAGATACTTTCAAGAAAGAAAAGCTTTGAAGATGATCAGAGAGTCCATCATCTTTAGGACAGGAGCACACGCTTTGTATTCGTCACATCAAAGCGCCTTTCTGTGGGCTTTTTAAAATGGTGATGTCATTTAGCTAATGGAAAAGTACTGCTGGCCACAGCCTGTGGGTATGCAAAACAGCGCTGAGTTTCAGAGGCTGGAGTAATCAAAACATCGTGTGAGGAAGGCGTCGCAGAGACTCAACGTTCAATGTTAACAAGAGATGACAAATACGTGAAACAAGCAGATCACAAGAGTTAGGGTGGAGGGATTTGATAAGGGTGACATGACGAGTGAAGGACTTCAGCCTCGTAAAGGAGCACATGTTGACTAGACCACTGATGATTCAAGGAGGCAGGAGTTCAAGTTTTATACTGCTGTGACGAAAACTACTGCTGAAAGTTCACTCCAGGATTAGCTCTCTGACTTAACACAATCACACAATTTCCGTCTGTTGTGCAAAGTGATTTTTGATTTATTTGAACAGTTAATTTATGTGTACTGTCCATTTTGGCTGTGCTGGTAGCTGCCGCAAAAATTCAGTGAAACTTGAATAAAAATATACTACGATTTTAAGGTGAAGTACTTAGAGAGATGAAACTGAAAGTACTATTTGTGCAGAAACTCAATAATAAATAATCAAAATTAATTATTCACACAGGCACATCCCTGTGGTTCACAATTTATGAATAAATGGTCTCGAGAAATCTCTGAAAGGCTTCAAGATGACTAAAGGCTGAGGGGGAAAAAAAATAACTTTCTTGCACCAATATGTTAACTTTTTTTTTACTTTTCCTTATCTTGGGTAAGTTTTTGAAAATTTGGTAAACCAGTAATTAGTAAGTAAAGCAAACCACTGATTGTGTTTGATAAGCTTATCATGTGTTTTTAGTTGATTTGTAACCAGCAACAGGATCTGCTTTATGTATCTGGAAATGTAGAGCCATAAAAATACAACATTTCTCTTTCAAAGTGATTTTTTTTTATACACAGGGCATATCAAGTCAAAACTATGCTGATAAATGTTAAATAAAAAGGTGTTTTGTGATTTTATAGCCCTGCTAAAAATAAAGGTTTAAAACAGTACTGCTCTTGTGACACTGCTGAATCTCTTACCCGTTGCCTGATCTTGTACATGTTCTTGGACAGGATGTCGTGCATGTTCCTTAGGTCAGCAGCCAGGAACTTCTTCTTCGGTCTAGAAGCATTTTTCTTCTCCTCACTACAAGACAAATTAAAAATAAACCATGAGACAAAAAAATATCACACCCTCTCAGCACTGAGCATAATGTGTGATAATTTAAAAAACAAAGACATGATTAAAGTCTCATACTAAAGAGAGACAATGGACGGAGCAGCACTGATGTCTCCAGATACAGTGTCCAGGATCTCCATGGCGTTCTGCAGCTCCAGCTTCTTGTACAGAGCCACAATACTGGACTCAGCTCGGTTGTCCCGGATCAGGATCCTCCGCAGGACTCGATTGTTGAACTTCATAAATCTAACAGGAAAAAAGGAATATGTTGATTAGGGTTGACACAGTGTGTATTGTGTGAAATATAAAAGAAACACACACTGTGACCTCAAAGTATCTCATAATCACTGCAGGTTTTGTACTTCAGATACCTGGAAATAATGAATGTAAAAAAAGATCAATTATGAAGGAATGACTTGTTTCTTTGTTTCAACAAATCCCCTAAAGATATTGAAGCAAACAATGGGCTCTCTTTGTAAGAATGATGCTACTCAGTGTCAAGTTCTGCTTGTTTTTATATATATTTTTTAACAACAATGACGCTCTAAGGCACAGAAGGATGAACTACATTTTCAAAGCACAATTTTCCCCCTTTTTTCTGTTTTTTTTTTATTTATTTATTTTCTTTTAATGGGATAATTTAATGACGAGACGAGCAGTCAGTAGTTTTGTCTAGAAACACAGATCAATATGGTGTCCTTCAGCTAAGATTTGAGAGTTTCTTCTTTAAATGGAGAGTGGAAATGTTAAAGTCCAATTTGAATTATTTCAAGTAAGTTGCAGTATTTGACTCTTTTAAACAATTATAATAGTTCTGATTAGGAGTTTGTTGTGCACAACTTTCCTTTAACTTTATTAATTCATTCCTGTATTTGTCACTTTTTGTATTACTCAAAATCCAAAGTTGTAATCTAAAGGCACTGTGAGGAGTTTTTAACTGCTTAAGAAACAGTCTGAATCTGATACTGAGGCCTCTTTAAGATCCTCAGAAGCAGAGGAGACCTTCATGAACAAGACAAATTCTTTGTTGTGATTGTTAATGTCTGAAAACACTGTCAGGGGAAAGATTCAAACCAGATGATTGGCAGCAGGCTGAAGAAAGGTTTTTTGTGATGTTTCACTGTTAAAAGACAACAGGATGACACTTATCTCTTGTCCTGTCATGAGCAGGACTGCAGCTTGTTCGGACTCGTTTAATCTTAAAATCTTGAAATTGACATTTTGAGACTTGAGGAACCTGTTTTACAAGGCAAGTGACTACAGTTTATGTTTGTGGCATGAACCCGGTAGAGTCTTAAAAAAACAGATAGACATGTAGCTATGAGGATGTAAGTAGAAAATGTTGGAGAGCCTTGGCAGGAAAAACCATCAGTAAACTGATGGAGGAAGCTAAGCTCAACTCCAGGGTTGGATTTTAGCAGCTGGCATTCCTGCAGTCCCACAGCAGTGAACAATAGCACTGTCATACTTAAATCACAAAAAGGAAACTGAGAACTCTCAATCACAGAGCAAACAGCAGAGGAGGAAAACCACTCACTTATCCTTCCAGTAGAAATGGCTCCACTGTCCACACAGATCCTCGATACCAGCTATAGTGTGCTCCATGAGCTGCAAGCAAACCCAACCTGTTAACACTGTGTGCTGTGAAAACATGACATCTTCATCAACAACAACAACAGAATAAGAGTCAGTGTCTTACTCTGCAGTGAATCTCTGCATTGATGGTGTCCAGGTTGCGGTTTGTTCTGCGGACGTTGATGAACTCAATCAGAGGTCGGATGCTGATGCCCTGTGGAGGAGGATAAAAGTTAGCACAGTTTCAGCAGATAGAATAAACACACAGCAAAACCAGTCAAATTAGAGGGAGTGAAACTGGAGCTGTAGATAGTACACCACCTCCAACAACCCTGACTGAGCAGATTCTTCATGTTTTACTATTTTACTTCACTTTGAACCTCATATGATAAATTTCAGTGATGTTTTTTGGTTTAATATTTTTATCCTTTTATTAAATTTGCAGATTTTAACAGACTGAGACCTTGGGCTTCTACTTAACAATTTAATGCACAGAAACATGGTGAGCATTAAACTAGATTTGAAAGAACTCAAACTGGATCCTGGCTTCTTTCATTTAAACTCAACTGTGATTTAATTTTTGGGGTGTTGATTTGTTTTGAAAAAGAAACTTCTGTCAAAACTGATCCAGGTTTAAATGCTACACATATGTTTGAAAAAAAGTTTGATAAGAAGGTAACATTTATTTGGTCATTAAAGCTATGTAGACTGCTCTGACATCAAGATAGGATCCAAGGTTGTTTTTGTGAATCCTGCACAACTTAAGAAAATTAAATCAGCTCTACCCTGGACTTAAAATTATGAAAAAAACAAGAGAGAACTATGAAATAGGCTATTTTTGACCTTTTTAGATGACTGGCCTTAAGAAAAAAAGATTCACACGTTTTAGAGGTACTTCAGCCTTGGATTAATATTTACATACGTCACACCATGAGTTATAATGTCAGATGACTGTTTGTTGATCTCTTACCTGAAGAAAGACAGTGAAGAGGATGATGGCAATGGTGGCAGTGATGAAGAGCTGCTTGCGGCCGATGTTATCAGGAAGAGTGAAAGCCAAGGCGAATGAGATTGCGCCTCGCAGGCCACCGTAAGCCAGACCAAACTGATCTTTGAGGTTGAATGGGATGGTACGGAAAGGGTTAATGATCTGAGTCAGCACCAGGACGCCTGAGAAGAAAGAAAAGAAAACAAAGTATGTGATTTCTTTTCAAATGACAACTGGAACAAGATTAAAACTTCATCAACATTTCAGCAGCACTACAGTTACTTTCACTTCTGGGGTCAGTTTGGTTTTACTGCAAAGATTTGATTTGTTACATCTGTGCAGAAATGTGAGAGGAGGCAGCACCTGAACCAAAATTAGAAGAGTCGCACCGATCAGTGCGAATAACTGTCCTGCTGGACCTTTCAGTTCGTCTAAACTTTGATGCATCTTTTCAGCTGATATTTTTGGATTTGTGGCTTTAAATCAACTTTTTTCTCCATTTTGATCAAATTTGTTCCTATCAGCAGCAGCTTCCTGTGTCAAGACCAAAGAAGATGATCACAGAGGCAACAATCAATCACTAAGCAACGTATCCAACAACTTGAGTGAATATTCCCTCATAAAACACTTGTAATGGCTACAAAAAGGTTGTGAGTTGCACTGCTTACGAGCTTGTGCATGATAAGTCTTTAAGTTTGTGCAAAGTAAATGGTATCAAACTGATGCAAATTTCCTTCAAAGCATACCCTTTAGTGAAAAAACCCAGAGGGCACCTTTAATCCTGTAACAACGCAAACAGAAGCCAAGTCACACTAACTCTGACCTGACCAACATGACACAGATCCCCCCTCAGCCTCTGCTTACCCAGACCTCTCCACACAAAAGCAAACAGCAGTGTGAACAGGATGTAGCCCCAGTTCCACTCGTGTTCTGTTGTTATGGTGACCACCCCCAGGAAGAAGAAGATGAGGGTCTCAGAGATGGAGCCCAGCATCTTGACTACATGGCGGATGGTTGTGCAGGAACGCTGGGAGACATTTTCCTCCACGTAGTACTTCATGGTGAGGGCACAGGTCACAATGCTGAAAAACATAAAACACACTTGTACTTTTCTTGTGCTCTTACAGCATCAAAAATATCAGTCTTTGAAATATTCAAACTCAGAAGAGTGGTCCAATCTACTCACGCCATGATGGACGAGATGGCGAACAGCTCAGCCACCAGATACGCCAGGTAGCTGTACATGAATATGAAGAGCGGCTCGATTTCCCGCACCTTGGAGGTGAATCTGGTGGTGAAAGCAGCCACAAAACCAAACAGGATGCCGAAGCCCATCCCGCCGAGCCCAACTACGAAGAACCTCGCCACTCCGAGGAAAACATCCACCGGCTCTACCACCGGCATCTCTGCCACGAAGTTGAACATGTTGTACAACACCTGTAAACACAAACACAGGTGCATGCATGCTTAAACAGGGTCTGTGTGCGGATTTGAATAGGCGCATGTGCAGAGGTCAAGGGTGAGGTCAGAGGCTGCAGCCTTTCATGACAAGGTCCTAGATAGCAGTGATTTATGGAAGTACTTACTCTAGACTGTTTGCAGACTGGTCATCTCATTTTACAAAGCAAGCCCGTGACTCATGGAACGAGGAATTTGCAAGAGCAGCTAACTATCTTTTAAACTAACGCACACATTTAAAAAGTTTCAAAGTTTTATGACCAGTTACAAAAATTAACATCCCCAATGAGAACTATGATACAGTATGTGCTGGACACAATATATATATATTTTTTTGTAGGATGGCAGGGGAAAGTCCCGCCTCCTTCGCCTCTGATTGGCTAGAAAAGCTGGAAACGTCATTACACACTCAAGACAAACGCAGGCTGTCGGCTCTGTACATCGAACAGAACATTACAGAACATTATCGCACTTCTGAATCCCCTAACCCTAACCCTCATCCTAATCCTAACCCGACAGACAATGACGTTTTGCAGCCATTAAGAATAACCAATCAGACCCCAGCACTTCTAGCCAATCAGAGGCAAAGCAGGGCGGGAACTTCCCCTACCATCCAACAACATTTTTTTTTTCGAACGCTGGACAGATTCTCTCTCATTACAACAATACAGATCTAGATACACACTCAAGTGCAGTAAGCATCAACAGGTATTTTTCAATGTCATATTATCATGTATTTAAAATCACTTATCTGATGTGTGTGTTCTACTTGTTTGTTTTTTTACTTGTAGCACCAGTTTTAACATGTAAATTGATTGTTTCTTCTGCTGCTTATTATTTGTAATTATTTTCATTATCTTTAGAGCATGCTGAAAATAGTGGGTAGATGGTGCACCCCTGCATCCTTCGCTCACTACACCCTCGGTAAATCAGCATGCAGAATTGTGTCATCTCTCTAGGCGTCTCAGAGTAACAGATCTACTGTTCCCTTTTCAGAATTTGCCTATTTGAAGATATAAAAGATAAGCAGCATCACCGATGAATAACAGGATTCCTCTTCATTACAACTAACTTCTGGTTTCTAAAGTTCGAACAACTTGCACCTGACTTAGGAGATTTGAGGAAATCTTGTCTGAAGGGCGCCCCACACCTGGGCTTTCCCACTCTTCTGAGTAAATGTTTGTCTTCCCTGTCTGTATCAGCTCGGCTACTGTGTACCAAACAAAGGAGTCACCACCACACCAAAGCTAAGAGCCAGTTTATGGAGCAGGATGAGAGGGTGTGTTTGAACACAATGAGAGGATGAAGAGAGGGAAATTTGAGCTTCACTACATTTCTGTTAAGTTTCAGGTGATGTGTGTGTTTTTGTGTGTGCGGGCGCGCATGTTAACCCCTCCCGAAACAGTGACCTCAGAAACTGGTTTAGCAGCATCAGAGCAAACAAAGCCGCGCAGCCCAGATCTGCGGAAACATCCGTTTTAACGTCTCTGACTACATTCCCTTACTTCCATTTTTGAGCGGGTTATCTTTTCAATAATCTGACCAGGGCACACATATTTCCCTCTGACACACTCTGTCCTCATGCATGCACACTAACACAGAAAATAGAAGTGGGACAGTATCTGATGAAACCTGAGCGGAGCCTTTAAGGAGAGAAAAGGATCTTACACTGTATCTGCACTTCATATTAAAGCAGTGTGGAAATTAAGGGTCTAAACTAGGTGCCGTTTAGAGGCAACTTTTATTATTATGATTCGAGTAGATTATTTGATAAGTACTTCAGAGCAATGAGCAATAAATTGAAGAAACAGACAGACAAGAAGGTTCCCAGGAATATTGTAGAAACGATGAGAAAAAGATAGGACACAATAAATGGTGTCTTCACTACGATCAAGAAAAATATGACAGCTAAAAACTGCTGTATATATACGCTTAAATCGTTATCTATACACAGTATAGTTAAGGGCATAGTTACAAAAAAGTAAGCTGTCAATTTTCTTGCTTGTATTTGTTTTCAGGATTATAAAATGACTAAAATTAGTGAAGATACATCAACAGCCTGTAAGCATTAATGTAGTTCAAAATCTATCAAAAAAGGCCCAGGAGTGTGTTGAGAAAGTAAAAAACTGGAGCCATAAATGTTCATATTTGTCATAGTAAATTAACATTTTTGTTTTTTTGCTCTGTTTTGTGTTTGTGTCTTTGTTAAGACTGGTCTCGGGTTGTCATTTTACCTGCTTATTTTTTAGACAGATTGAGAATAAGACAATGGCGCTTGATAAATCACATTACGCTTTTCTAATCATCAAATGTACGACCTATTTTGAGTAATTGCCGTAAAGATAATACTAATAAAAGCATTTACAGCAAGTCGCCAACCATCTGGTCTGTCACCCACTCCTACGCAACAGCTAATGGTCTTGTTTGTTTTTGCACAGCATAGTAATGCATCGTCATTCATTTCAGTCTGTTTCATTACCTATCAAAAACTCCCTACAGTAGCTTTAAGTGAATTGCATGAGCCTCTTTGATTCACTCTTTTTAGTCCCTAGATTTGTTTCTTTTGTTGGTCCATGCTGCTGAATTATAATTTGCACTCTTAACAGTTGCATCAGTTCTCTTCCTCCCTGCGTAGAGTGCTTTTTCATGTAGTTTTCAATCATCAAAGTGAACTTTACTTTACCAAACAATGCTCTTAACAAATTGGGAACAGTACTGTGGTTCCTTGTCGGCATGTTTCCATAACAAGCAACAGCCTGGAGGTAGCCAAAGCAGGCAAACATGTTGCTGCAGGTTTCACTTTGGAGTAAAGGGCAGACTTACAAGAAACTGTTGAAAAAACCAACTAACCTGCTTAAATATGTCTGCACTTTTACAGTTTCTGCATTTCTACTCACCACAGTGACAGCATCATTGAAGAGACATTCCCCGAACACCACGATGTAGAGCTGCTCATTCACAGAAACATCCTCAAACACACTCAGCACAGCCACAGGGTCCACAGCCGAGATAATGGTGGCAAACAGCAGGTTCTCCTGGAGGTTTATGTCCTGCACTCCAAACGCCTCAATCTGACAGATGGCAAACAGAGACATGCCGATGCCTATGCTGTTCCACAGAGTCCCCACTACTGCAAACCACAACACCTGAAAACAAAACAGAGAAAATGTCACATTTCTGTTGGAGAGGGGAACAAGCTGGACCTGTTTTTGAGGAAACTGGTTGATTCGATACAGACCGTGCCAATGTTTTCAAAGAAAGGCCGTGTGGGCATGAAGTAACCAGAGTCGAGGACGATTGGGGGGAGCATGTAGAGGAAGAAGACGTTACTGGAGAGTACAGCTGGAGGCTCTTCATGGACAGAGTGCATGATGCCCCCCACGATCAGACCAATGCTGATCAGAAGGCAAGACTCTGGCACCCAGATGGTGATCTTGTGGTACACATGGAAACCTGAAAAAGGAAGATTTCACTTTAGCTGAATGTCAGGTGCCTGTTAAACTCACCTACTTCCTTCATGAAGGAGCTTGAGCATATGTTTGTGTTACTCACCAATCTTTGCAAATGAAGCCAGCAGAATCCACAGAGTGATCTCAAAAGGGATCTGTATTCTCGGGTAATCCATGGTAAACACAGGTAAATTGTCTTTACCTGTATCTGGATAGGCCTGAGGAGCATCAGGCTTAATGGGAGGCACAATGGTGACACTGCTGGTTGGAGGTTTGGGCGGAATTTCTCCACTGGAGCCATAAAGAAGGGTTAGAAATGAGAAAAGGAGCAAAACTCCTCTTCTTAAATTCATTGTGCAGGAAGGTAAATGATCCAACTCAGAAATCAGATGCCAGAAAGTAGATTGCAGACAGAAGTTGCCAGTATAAATCCAACTTCACGAAAGACAAACATCAATTAAAGTAAGAAAAAGACGAGTTTCTCCTCCGAAACGATCCTTTTCGTTAATTCCCACGTATTTCTCTCTCCACCATCTTCGCCTCTTGACGAAGTTTTCCTCAGGTTTAACGGATGTGTTACTCGGATGAGTCTCCTTCAAACTGCTGGGCTACACACCTGTGCTGCACCTCTAGCGCGTCCACGAGTTCCGATACAGGTTGGGCGCGGCCACGAGCGCCACTCTGATTGGTTTTCACTCGCGAGCACATCAGAAGGGTGGGACCTGAAGGTGTCTGTGTGGGACATTCAGGGACCTTATTGGAGTTTCGGCGACACCAGTTTCTAGAGTTTCAACTTTCACCGGAATTACTCTGAAGGAGGTGAGGAAAAAGAGACAACAAAGGCTGATGGGTAAGACAGAGGAAACCAAATGTAAAGAAAAAACTGTAGGGAAATGGTCCAAATTCAGGTTCCAATTAATTCATTTATTTATCCATTTGTTTATCACGAAAAGAGCAGCGAAGCGCGTTGTAACAGTTTTTGTACAGGCTAATTTTTTTTTTCTTTTTTTCGAAAATTATAATGTCTTGATTGATTTATTATCACTATTGATTTATCATCACTGTCAAACATGACATGTTTCACCAGTAATACATTTAGAAAAGATTAAAAGTCACAATGTTGATTTCTGTATGGAAGTAAATCTGTGCCATCTGATTTAGAATTTGAATTTCTATAAAGCTGAATTATTATTATTTTTATTTGCATCAAAATCAGACTTTGAATTACAAAACCATCGAATTTCAAGCACACATTTTTATTTCTTACGCTTCTTTTTTTCACAATGATGAAATAAATTTAGTGTAAAAAAATCGGTCTCTCAAAATATTCGTGTAGCAAAAATTCATTTTGGAAGAAATCTGTGTAAAAAAAAATTCAACATAAAAAAAAAAATCAATGCCAAAAAATTCAGTGTCAAAAAATTTTGTGTAAAACAGACCAACTCCAGGTAATCAGGAGCTGTGTCTGAAATGGATCCCTAACCCCCATATAGGCGACTACATGGGGGTTTGCGCCATTTTGAGGGGTGTCCAAAACCTGTGTGATCAATTCCAGTGCCCCATATAGGCGACTCAATATTTCCCATAGAGCATTGCAAAATGTAGTGACCATCCGATGGTCACTCACTGGTTGTGGGCATCCCGTCATGCATTGCGTCATGCCATGTAGTGTCTGAAACCTCCGGTGATTGAGCTCACTACATGGTCAACTATATAGTGAAACCCCATATGGGGGGTAGGGATTAGGGGGCGAGTGATTCAACTTTTTTACAAGATTTTTACTAAACAAGTCTTTTGAGAGATTCGATTTTTTTACTCTGAATTTATTTCATCATTGTGAAAAAAATGTGTCAGAAATAAAAAATTCATGCTTGAAATTCAATAGTTTCAAAATTCAAAGTCTGATTTTGATGCAAAAAAATTTGGCTTCTGTTTTTTAAAAGTGCTATACAAATAAAGTTATTATAATTATTATTATTATTATTATTATTAATAATCTTGAATATACTGCAGTTAAAATATAAAAGTGCTTGGCCTATAAGTACTGTTTATAAAAAATTCAGAGATCGTATTATGACTTTTTTTTTTTTTTTTTTTTTTTTACAGTACTCTGTAAACAAAAATGCAACTTTACAGTGAGTTTTTTCAGCTGCATAACTGAACTGAAGTTAATACAGAGTCCTGCATTAATTTCAGATGGGTTCAGTCAGAATGAACAGCTTGCTCCCAGGCTAAGTATGTCACTGATAGTATCTACCCACTTCATCACTGCCTAGCTTTTTCCATCATCATCATCATGCACTCTTCATTCTCACACAGACACCCAGCATGTGAGCTGTCTGTTCACACCGTCTGTGCAGCAGTTCAGGCTGTCAGCGCCCTCCAGCGGTGGGGAGAGGTGCTGCAGCCAGAGGAGGAATTACGTCTGGATGTGTCAGAGGGAGTCAGGGCGAGTCTTGAATGCAGACATCGTCGAGTATGGAATCAGGATGCGCATCAACATGAACAGAAACCTTTACATTTCTTTACCAAATGGTAAGATATCGTTATGTTTCGTTAGTGTTTCTCGTTTTAAATGTCATCATATTAGTTGTTTAAGGGCGTGTGTTCAGATGCTATCTCTCTATGAGAGCTGCATCTCGTAGCTGGTCCAGGATAAGACATGTTTACGGCCACAAGCGAGGACTCAGATTTGGATTTGTGTGTTTTGTTTTAGTACATTGCTACATTTCATTGTGTTGAACGAGGTGTACATCTTGCAGCATCATGCAGCAGCAGCATCAGTGAATGAGCATCAGCAGATAACCTCTCATGACGCAATATTTGTTATTGTCCCTGTCACAGTGGGAAAAATGTATCCACGCTGAAGTGGAATTACAGTAGATTCATTATAGGATGTCTATGTTCATCTTTGGCCTTGTTTGGGTTTTTGTCCATGATTTCAGTGTGGTAGGCAGACCGGTACCACCCTGTTTGATGCAGGTTTTATTAAGACATGGGAGCTGTTGGTTCAGGGTTATGGAGAATAATGTTACATTTTTGTTTTTTTCATGCAAAACCGGATGTAGTGCTCATGAAGCAACGTGTCACGCCATGCTAAATCCACGCAGATGCTCCATCAGAGCGTAAAGGATTGGATTTGATCTGTTGAATCATGGTTTTCATTCTTTTTATAGTAATAATAGTGGTGACTTTAACTCGCTGTGGTCTTCTTTGGTTCATCCAAAGCTGTTTTATCTTTTAGGTCTGTGTGTAGGCTACTGGAGGGTTTGTTAAGATGAGGATTTGATAAGGAATAAGCTCAAGAAGACTTTAAACAAGTCCACACATCTGTGTGTGATCCCGTGGTATCATTGTTTGTTAGGATGCTATACAATAGGATATCATAAAATACAGTACAGGGAGGGGAAAGAGGATTAGGTACAGGACAAGTAGGTTTAATATGATACCATTTGGTGAGTAATATGGGGGGGGGGGGGGGGGACAGGATAAAACAGGATAATATGGTATAGAATGACACAATTCAATGCAGTACACTAAGGTAGGATATGATACACGATATGGTACAGAATGACATGATATGAGACAATATATCACAGGATTGGATACAATGCAATACAAGACTAATATGTAGTATTTATGATTGACCAATATGATGCCATCATGTCATTGTCCAGCAATGGTATTAGAAGATTCTGTTTATTACAGTACAGAATGACGCAATTCAATGTCACAATTTAGAAGCATATTATATGAGACAACAGATGATTGAATTTCCCTTCAAGGATTAATAAAGTTCTTCTTATTCTTATTCTTAATTCAATGCAGTACAGTATAGTAGGATATGAACAATATTGTACAGAATGACATGAGAGAATGTGATATGACACATTACAATACGACATGATATCAATACAAAAGGAAACAATATGATACAAAACATTATCATACCATTTAATATGCATCTAACCATGTGGTGTGATAACATATGTTATGATATATCACCCAATACAATATAATACTATTAGGTACTGTTTGGGGTTGACCAATATCATTCTATCCAGTATGTTATGACAAAATACAGTATTGTGTTTTACAAAATGACACGATACATGGCAATACAGTATGGTGGGACATATATAGTAGTTTTATATATGATGAGAGACAATACAATGGCATGTAGTATTACTAGAAACATTATTATTATTATAGGATTTAATTTGTTAGATAAATGTAGATGTAATTCAAACACTATGGTACATCAAAGTTTATTGTTCCATGGGGAAATTTCCTCAGACTTGTTTGCACCACCCATTTGCTGCCTCAGAAGTACAGATCAGTAAGCAAGAGTTTAACATCCTCATCATTTTTAAGGATCTCTTTCATATGGTTTGTTTACTGCTGTCTGGGTGACAGGAGCTTTATTGTGCTCTCAGTTTATGCTTGAGTATATGTGGCCAGTTTTCTTCTCACCAGAATAAGCTTCTTTGCATGCACTTCTCCTCTTTGATCAATCCAATTAGAAAACCGTCACTTTGGAGGGAGCCAGCCGTCCATGTGTCTATGGTTACTGCATCAAGTTGATGATTGTAGATCAGACTCAAGGGACGGCAGATCTGAACAGCTCAGCTCTAGGCTGAATCAGGATCAATACCCTGAAATTGAGAGGATCAGCCGGGTTATAAGGGGACACAGGAAAGAAGGGGAGATTGTTGGAGTAACAAAAAAAAGAGGGGGAGGCTTGATGACAAAGCAGAAAAAGAGAGATACTAGATGGATGTGAAAGATTTAAAGCAGTGAGGAGGAGGTGATTTGAGGAAAAAGTAGATGTGGGAGAAAAGCTCTGCAGTGCAGCCGGTAGTGACAGCATCTGCAGGGGGCCAGCTGTGTGCCGGCAGCCAGCTGGACTAACTGGGTCATTTTTACCCCAGACCTCCCCCAGAGGACTATCTTCCATGAAGACCACCTGAATCCTCACTGTCCTCTCACAAACACTTTCTCTTTCCTCCTAGCTGCATCTATACCATCCATCTCCTCCTCTTCAATCCATAAATCTGCTGAAATAAATATCCCTCTGCATGACTGTTTATGGCCTGATGGGGGTCACAGGTCACCAAAAGAGCAGCAGCTGAGACTCAATGTTAATGGCACCTTGTCAATGATTATGACTTGAGATTGATAACAGCCAGACATTCTTCACATGATAATCATTAATGAATAAACTCAACAGTTAATAGATCTATTAATGGAAAGAAAATTAATTCAGCAACAATTATAGAATCTGGTTGAACACTCCAGTCGTCTTTCAAGAAAGAATAACAGGAAAAGCTGGTGTCTGTTGGACTGTCAGACTAAAACAAAGTCTTAAAAGAGATCTTCTGTATCTGGCTATTAAGATTTTCTTCATGAAAAATCTGATTTTGTATTTATTAATCAAAAACCATCTTCATGACCAGTTTATTCTCTTTTAAGCAGGAATAACATTCACTCTCTGGTTACAGGTGCTCAAATAGTTTGAAATCGCCCTTTTATATCATAACATATACAGTACATTATATTTTAGGTTCTAGACTGGAAAAGATGTGTGTCTGTGAAATTATGAGAGCTATTTTCTTGCCTTTCTAAGACCAGCAATAATCGCTTTTTTACTGATAGTGAAAATAAGCTTCAGATCTTGATGTACAACTCCAATTCAAAAAAGTAAGGATACTTTAGATAAAAACAGAATTTGATTGTTTGCAAAACATTTATACATGATTTTAATCGGAAATAAATAAACGACAATACATGAAATATTGATACTGTTATTGCTATCAATGTGTTTTTATTGTTTTGTGATAAAAGATATACTGTATATAAATACAGTATGCTCATTTTATATTCAATGCCAGCAATGTGTTCCAGAGTAGTTGGGACAGGGACAACAAAACACTGACAAAGCTGAGTTAAGCTACAAAATGCCCTGTGATGTTATGCAGATATGTAGGGGCCCAGATGATGGCAAGTTTATACCCCTGGGAAGGCACCATGAATGCTAAACAGGTTTTGGAGTCACATATATGTCATTGTCTTTTCAAGGAAGACCTTGCATGGTACAGTAAGAAGATGCTGAGTTTCATTTTGCACAGCATGGCTCCACTGTAGAAGACCTTAAGTGCTAAACAGACATTTACAGTCCTAGCTTGTCACCTTAACATTTGGCGCATCATGACAAAGGAGACCCCTCACTGTTCAGCCACAGAAATCCTATATCAGGCATGAACGGGACAATATATCATTCTCAAGACCAATCAAAATCAAAGATAACAAGCGTATATTGATATAATACAAACATGTAGAAAATAGGATAAAATACAGCAAGTACTAAAAAGGGCAGGACCAGAGACTGTTAACTTACTTGGTTAGATAATTTACACAAATGATTAAACCGTTAACTTTGTACTATCAGCCTTTCCTCCCCTGGTAAACTTGTTAACTGACTAATAGTCGCAGCAGCAGTCCTGGATGTTATCTGCAAGCATGTCGCTGGACTGTCAGACAGCTGATGTGTTGATGATGATCTTGGCACCCTGTGGTTTTGCAATAGATCCACAGAGGGTTACACAGAGCTCCACGCTGTGCCCCAGGACATGTAGATTACAGCATGTTATAGACAGCTCCCACTGTCAATTACGCCCTCATAGCTTAATGAGGCAGAGCTTCACGCTGTAATGGCATCTGTGCTTCGCCCGCATGAAAATGCCAAAACAGAGATTGAATTAACAAAAAGCATCACACTCACACTTTGGATTTCCCCTGTGTGACTCCACTCATTATTTAGTGTGCTGTGTATTCTGATTTATTCTATTTTTAGGGGGCACAGACTAGAGATCTTTAAATTTAAAAGTACTTGTACAAACAAAAAACAATCAGAGTAGGGTTTACGTTAAAGCTAGCTGATTTGGAGTAAAGTTAGCATAGGTCCCCAAAAAATTTTAGTAAAGTTTTTGTTATGTCCTCAGATGTAACCTAAGTAAGCGTGTGTGTGTGTGTGTGTGTGTGTGTGTGTGTGTGTGTGTGTGTGTGTGTGTGTGTGTGTGTGTGTGTGTGTGTGTGTGTGTGTGTGTGTGTGTGTGTGTGTGTGTGTGTGTCCAAGTCACTGTTTACATTTGCGAGTAGCGTGTGGCGTCATGACTGATTCACAAGTAAAAATAGACCTCCATTACGCACATCTTAACACATGAATGCACAGTGCCAAACACACTCAGTTTTATTCTTTTGTCAGTGTCGTATCAGCAAACAGCTACACATAAAGGACATAGACACTGACAGTTCCAGATATCCTCTCAGTCTTGTTAGTGTATGTGCATCTGGACCAGGATTTAGAGCAAATATTTTGACTACTCTAACTGAAGGCAGGTGGATATTTGTGAAGCACATTCACACAAGTAGTTCAGAGTATCTGACCTGCCACAGGACATATTAACATTTACTCTCAGGGCTAGCTGAATGAACACACCGACAGCTTGCTCCTCTTGTTGCTGATTCCCACTCTGGCATCAGTGTTTCCTCCCAGTATCCACTGTGTGCCACACTTGGCACAGCTAGAGCTTCCTGTCCTCTCACGGTTACACATTATTTTGGCAGGTGCAGAGTTAGCTTGGTAACAACACGAGCAGCCCACTGAACTGCTGCTTTTGCATGAAGAGCCCTGTCTTGCTGGTAATAATTTATGGGGTGATTAGAGTAATTTTACATCCAAAAACAAATTTATTAAATTTTCATATGTTATTGGTGAGATGTTAGGAGATTTAAAGATGGCTTTGGTGTATATTGTGCAGTTTGTTTTTAGCAGTTTACATTACAAACTTCCTGTGAGAACTGGGCCAGTGTGATATCAGAAAAAAAAACATGCAATGTGCTATTACACTCCTCAATAATGTGTTGAGAAAATCAAATGGGATAAATACAACAAAGGCTATATATATTAGCTCTGATGTCCAGTTTTTATGTCTGCTGTTTGCTTACTTTGCTAACTTACTGTTATGTACTTTATGGGTCCTGCATTTGAAACCCGTCCTTCATGAATCTAAAATTAAAAATGTAGTTGTAAAGTTGTGAACATTATGCCCAGGCCTCCATCCAGAAGGTAAAATACACCAAAATTGCTGGTTAAACAAAATATTAATATTTTATCATATCATGTCCAAAATGACAGATGTCAGTTGTGTCTTAGCTGTTGTGTGCTGCCAGGATGGAGCACTAGCTAGTGGTTACTGCAATAATACTCTAATGATCTACTACCTGGATGTAAATAAACCCTGATGGCAGATGGTATGTAGAGGCTGTGTGATTAAAAAGGCTAATGTTGCTAGCTCTGCTAATGTTAGCCATACTTATCAAAACAAGATCATCGTCATGTTCTGAGCAATTTTTGATCGTTTTATCCTTTTGTTTAATTGACTTGTTGAAGATTTCCTTTTGACAGAGATGTACTGATTTGAGGGTTTTAAATTTGTTTTTTCTAGGTCGATTTTGGCACCCCTAGTAAACACAGTCTTTGCTCATCTTGTCTGCTACATGCTTGAGCAATGATTTATGACAACAAATCTCATTCTGTTGGCTTTTGACAATCACATGTATCATTTATTGTGAAAATTTTATTTTATTGTGGAAATTGTAAAAACAGGGCTTTTTCTTGAGCTGCAAGGCCTGGACCTACTACCTTGCAATGGTTTTAGACAAAAACAATAGGATTTTTAAAACTTCAGTTTTGTCACTGCTGGTCTTGTTTGCTTTTTTTTTATCATTAAAAAAGCATCAATATGAATTTCAGTCTATTTTGTAATTGTAAAAAAATCTCATAGTAGCTTTAAATATTTTTCAGCTTTTTTTAATACTTAATATACTATAATAAAAAGGAGAAAGACACTAAAATTCAAATGATAAGTCTTGATGTCAACAATCATTCCTACAGCACTCTTAAACCGCTCACAAAAGCTGATTGCTCTCTGTGCTTCTTATGGTAAAGATATCCATCTAAGAGTTTAAAAATAAAACTGTGACATTTACCTCATTATCGATTATTCCTATGCATTTATGTGTGACAGCAGTCATTATGAAGACAACACTAAGTAAAAGTAGCAGAGTTTCAATCTGCTGCAGTGTTTCACATCCTGCAGCTGTGTGAAAAGTCACACTCTGCCTCACAGACAGTTTTCCTCAGACTCCATTAGCACGTTTTAAAAGAGAAAGAAGTCAAGCAATATGAGACACTACAGAACCTCTTCTACATTGTGTGTCTCAGCCTGAAGCATCATCGAAATACAGATGAACTCAAATTGGGTATTTATTGCTTTAACACTGTGTGTTGAGGGCTTTAATAATGTAGAGAATTATAAGCAGATTTCTAAATTTGGATTAATTTTTCTGAGCATATCTTGATGACAGCATGATACCAGGATCAAACATGTTGAGTCTGTTTGAGGTGAGATAAAAGGTGATAACTGTTGTTTTCTTCTCTTTCTTTCAGCTTCATTATTAACAAGAGTCTGACTGCTGCTCATCTCAAAACACAAGAAGAGACCATAAATCCCAGAGAAGTAAAAGACAGAGGAGTTTTGTCTCTGGGTCTGATCCATATTGTTGTACTCTTCAGTCCCTGTGAAGTCCATCCTCAGCCCCGACGTGAACCCACCATGTCCGGGAAGGAGCGCAGCCCTCGCCATCGGCCATGGTCAGTCTACCGGGCCAACACCTTTGATCTCTCGTCTGAGATGATGGGGCTGGCTCTCTCAGGTAACCAAGTAACTGTAGCCATGGTAACCCTTGTGCTTCATTGATGATGGAATACCAGGATAACACAACCCCTCCTCCTCCTTATTCTCTTTATCTTACAGGCAACAGTCAGGATCCGGATGAGCCGGTGCTTGAGTTTAGCGTGGGTAAGACTTAGATACACGATGACACACAGTTTCAGACTGCATCGATAACTTGTGAAAAATAAACTACTCAGAATAAAATGGAAATTACCCAGCACAATAGGAGCTGAATTTGGCATAGGACGCATGTTAGAGAAAAATCCAAACGTTTGTCTTCCTTGTTGTGAAACTATTATATCATCCATCTTTTTTCACTTTCTATTGCTGTCTTTACATCCTGGCTGATGTGTCCATCCACGCCAGACTAGGTTTTCCTCACACTCACAGAAATTCCGAGGCATCAAATTTACCTAAATGTATTTTTATTCATTGACCTTTCATTTTAACACAGTAGATGACTTAAACTCTTACGATCCTAGTATCAGCCAACCAACATTCATACACTCTGCTGGATGTTCAACTTGGTGCATGGTGATATGAGGCTTGCATATGACTGTCCACTTTATGAAGCTGTGGATGCAAAATATGGGAAGTCATTGTACAGCCAGAGACAGTTTGGGACTCCAGTGTGAGATAGAATAGATGGTGTGCAGGTTTTATGCCTTTGAGCACTGTTCGGTCCAGCATTTGAGTTTTGTGACTGAGCCTCCGTAGTCGCCAGATACTTTTATTTCCCAGAACTAGCAGTCGTGGATAATCAGGAGGCAGCTGGCAGGAAGAAGTTTACCTCAATATAGATAATTTTTTGTTATGGTTGCATGATATGGCAGCACTGCTATCAAAGTCAGTGAGATTTTTACAACTCATTAAAACTCAAAATTCATGCCTCTATAGCTGCAAGCTTGATTTTATACTCCTGTTAGCAGGAAGTGCAGTTAGACTCAATGAGATGGGATTTCTGTGGACTTTTGGGCATATAGTGTATGTTAATATCATTTTCACAGCCATATCAATTGTATCAAAAGTAACTCACCCTCTAAGAATAAGAGAGATTATGATTTTGATGTTTACAAAATAATAACATTGTTTGACTACTGTCTTGAATCATGACTGTCATCGACTCACTACACAAAACTACTGTATTACATTCCCTCCATGGTCAGGGATTAGTGACCACCCACTATTAAATCCCACAGATTGTAATCTCTTGTGTTTTTATGTCACCGCAGCCTGTAGTGAACTGGTTACTCCCTCTCTGGACCGTAAACCAACCAGCTTTGTCGCCGTCAGCTGCACCACTCCTCCTCAAGCCTTCTGGACCAAACACGCTCAAACGGAGATCATAGAGGTACATGACAATTCACTCTCCCCTGAGTGGTTTCTGTAGAGGGTTTGGCCTCACCCTTTGATTCTGTCTCCAGGGCACCAGTAACCCCATCTTCCTGAGCAGTGTGGCCTTCTTTCAGGACTCTATGATCACTCAGCAGACTCAGGTCAAGCTTTCCGTCTATGATGTTAAAGATCGCTCACAAGGCACGGTAAGCCCAAACACAAGACCCACTGCTTGCAAAACTTTGATGCTACTTGTCCTCAAATGTCCCCTCAGGGAAGGAATGAAGTCTTATACACTAAATCCATTATAGTCTACACTCATCTGGGTGAAATCCGTTAAATCCCACGGCTGTGTGCTTTTATGTGACAGATGTACATGCTCGGGTCGTCTATGTTTACTGTGAAAGAGCTGCTGCAGGACCAACACCACAGACTGCATCTGACTCTCAGGTAACAGGTGGACAAGACAAGCTGTTCTTTTGACCAAGTCTGCCAGTGATAAATGACAGACACCGCTCTCAGGACTTTGACTCAGAGATGTTTAATTTACTGGTTGTCACTTTGGATCAGGTCGTCAGAGAGCGAGCGCGTGGGGAACATCACTGTCATCGCCTGGCAGATAGAGGAGAAGCGAGAGCAGAGGGCTCCTGTGGCCAGATTACAAAGAGGAGACACTGTTAACGGACGGGTGAGTGATCTACAAAACCGAGAGGACAGAAATGCTCAGATTTGGACTAGTCTTTTCTTTAAACTCCATATACACGGGAAGGGATTTTAGAAAGTGTCGTGTTCTGGCTTCCAGCTGCAATCCAAGTACAAAAGTCTTCCACCATCTATATTAACGTTGGAAAAACCTGATTAATTTTGAGGCTTCCACGTGAGCGTACCTTTTTCCTTACTAAGGATTAAGAGTGGAAATGATCAGTGATTTTTAGCTCATCGGATTGAGCGCAAGAAAGTGTAACTCTCCTAAAAATGACACTCTGGTGCTTTTTTTTTCTTATAAGATAAAAATAAATAAATGGTGGCTATTGACTTGTTTTAACAACAGAAGCATTTTTTTTAGTTTATTTTTGGACTTCAGTACCTTCATTGAAAGATTTAGGATAGTAGATAAAGTAGAAAACTATGAAGAAAGAGAAGAAAGGGTTAAGGTGTCAAAGAGCTGCAGGTCAGTATTTAGCCTGAGCCATCTGCTTGCAGAAGTATAGCCCAGGATTTACTCAAAAGTTACGCATTATTTGTTTTATCTAGTGAGAAATATAACTAGTAAATTAGTTTTAGGGCTGGGTATGATCATGTAAACGTCAGGTAGATTGATACTCCAGCACTAGGGATTTTTTGAGCATCTTTTGTCTTTCCTAAAAGAAAGTCTTTTCCTTGAACCTGTATTTTTATTTTGTTTTAACATGTCGTTTTTTTCTGTGTACATTTGTGTCAGATGGTTCTTCCTGTTGATGCAAGCTTGACTGAGTCCATGGGCATCAAATCCAAGTCTTCATCTCTGTGTAAAGACCCTCTGCTGAAGGCTGGTGAGTTTTATGACTGGAAAAAAACCTCCTGTTTGATTTGCTAAAGAGTTTAATCAACTGTGTAACTGTGACTCTGTATTTTGGTTGGTTTTTAGTGTTCGGGGGCGTCATGTCAAGAACATACCGCTTCCCTACCACGGACGGAAACCACCTCCGGATCCTGGAGCAGATGGCAGAGAGCACGCTCTCCCTACATATCCCACGACAGTTTGTCAAACTGCTGCTGGAGGAGGACGCCGTCAGGTAATGTCTTGAGATTATCAATCAGGGGTCTTGTTAGAAGTAGGGGGCTCAGACCTTCTAGGTTAGACCCCTTTCAAATGAACAATTTCCCCCCCTACTCTTTGTCACAGCTTCACTGTAGATCTTGAGTTTGGTCTCATCCCCCTCTGACTGTTTGGACTCCTTGCTGTCTTTTCATTCTTTAATATCTCTTAAGTGCAAAAAATTCCCATTAACTCACTTTAAAAAATCCCTCATCTGAATTTTTTGGGTGTATTGTGTAGTTACATTTCTGGAGAGGTGACACTCTCACATTTTCAGAATATTCACTTTGTTACACAACTATGTTTTTTGGACTTGTCTCAACTCTCCACTGGGATTTTATCTCTTAGTTTTAAAGCGCCTGACTTGAAACTGTGTCAGAGTTAATAAGTGTGAAGTTGGCTACCGCTCAGTATTTCTTCACAGATTGGAAATGAGTGTTTGTCCAAAGAAAGACATTCGGTTTTCAAATATTTTCTTGTTTTTTGGCAGCTTAGGGAGACAAAACCATCCCGTGTTTCACAATGAAAGGAGAAAGTGAAAGAATAAATTTGCACATATTTTAAGTTGTTTTATTTCTTGTTAATCTCACCACCCATCAGAGCTTTATTTACAATCATTCGGTGCCAGTGTGTGTGTGGTTTGTGTGGGTTTTTTGTCAGATATCGTGCACTTTAAATGCTTTGTGTATTCTTTTATTTATCGTGAACACTGGGTCAGAGAAACATAATGATTCAGATTCCCACTGTTGCAACTCTTCTTACTTGTTGCTTGAACTGTGGGCGTTTCAGAGGACAGTGTATGTATTGCATTGACTGTGATTGAAAAGCTGGACTTACTGGAAGCTATGAGGTCAGAATTGCATTAGCTGCTTGTCTTTACTGTAAATGCATATGTGTATATATGTGTGTGTGTGTGTGTGTGTGTGTGTGTGTTATGTGTAGGGTGTGTGAGCTGGAAGAGCTGGGCGAGCTGTCTGCGTGTTGGGAGAACCTCAGGAGGCAGATCATCACCCACTATCAGACCATCATCCTCACCTACCAGGAGACCATAAGTGACCTGCATGAATACAAAGGTTAGAGCCACAAAGTATTTCGTTATAACAACATCACCCACAAATTATTCACGACATATGACTGTAAAGCTGCACAACAACAGTTTTATATGTCAAAGTCAGTTAATCACAGGAGGCACCAAACTGCGCCAACTATGGATGGAAAACTAACTGATCTTATTTAGTTTATTTAGCCATCAACCAAAGGTCCATTTATATCTTTTAGTGTCTTCTCTGTCAGCCAGTTCGTGTTAAATCCATGAGGGATGATCACAACATAAAATTATATGACTCACAAAGTGTAACTCAATAGTGTGACATTAGCCGCGGTATCAAACGGCATTCAAGCTCCCAATTCTGAGCAGGATGTCAGGAGAAAATGGACATCATATAAACATGGTCATTAAAGACTCTGGCTTTTGTTATTTATTATGGGAAACTACATTTTTCTCATTTCTATAAAAAAAGAGATACTCTGAACTGTTGAGTGACACTGAAAGTTAAACAAATGTAGTGGATTGACAGGGTAACAAACCTGCATCAGCAACACCATGCACTCATGCCCAGGAGCTGTTTTCTACTCTGCATTTATATCCATGCAGTAGTATAAATATTGGCTGTCCATACTTGTCTTTCTTACTACAATTGTTAACTATTTAGATTTCTGCACAAAATTCAACATTTGCACATTGAATGTGTATACTTTCAATTCACAGTTATATTATTTATTCAGGATTAGTAAAAAAAAAAATTCTTTAAGTAAATTTATAGTTCTTGTTTTTTTATACCTCTGAATGCTTAAATGTCTATGATATTTATTATTTAATGGTTTTTGTATGACTGACTGTAACTGAAGCTACCATACTAATGCAGTGCAATAGATTAATTAAAATGTAAATCCTATTTTTATCAAAAATATTACAATTAATTTCTGGTGTCCTGTTGTATTTAGGTTCAGAAAACCTCTCTCCTTTTTCCTTCAGGTCCATCTTTTAAGTCTAGTACTTTAAAAGCTGAGAGGAAGTTGGAGTTTATTCCCACAAACCTGCACATCCAAAGGATGAGAGTACAGGGGGAGACGGGCTACGGTAAGTAATCGTACATAATCACAGTCTTTCTGCCCTACATGAAATAATCACGCAGTGTCTTCATCTCCTTTTGTTCACTCTCCTCTGTTTAGACCGGACATATGATGTTGTGACTATTGGAGCTCCTGCGGCTCATCACCAAGGCTTTAAAGGCTGCGGCCTCCGAAAAATGCTGCACAAACTGGAAGAAGCTCGAAAACAGTGAGTAGAGATTACACATGACCCTTTTCCATTTGATAATAGTTGCTTTCTAATTTGTATTTATGTGATTTTTTTACATTTTGCATAACTTAAGCAGCTCTTATGGGGAGGAGAGGTGAGATTATATGTGGTGTGTTTAAAGTTTCTTGTGTTTTTGTCATCTGCGTTCCTCAATTTATCTTGTCTGTCATTTGTCTTTTCTTTCTCTGGCATGCAGCTCCCAAAGCTCTGGCAGCCCTGGCCCTAAAGGAATGGCTTACCAGCCCCAGGATGTTGTGAAAGCAAAGGAGCTGATTGGTCAGATAAACACTCTGAAGACACAAGTGTGTTACTACACTGAGCGTCTGTCTCGAGCTGCGAAGGAGCGCTCAGCCAACGCTCTGGAGAGGACGCTGGCCATCCTGACAGAAAAGGTAAGAAGAAAGGGCGTGTGCTGTTACAGCTCGTCTCTCTTTACTCTCTTATTCACAACCTCTCTCCCTCAGGCTTTCACTGATTCTTTGACAATCTCAGTTTTTTTTTAATCTCAGCTCTTATTGCTCAGATAAAAAAAAAAACTGTCCTTGTGAGCTAAAAATGTCTTCAAAGTCATTATTGGCTGTCGAGTGTAGTCAAATTAAGGACAAATGTAATACAGTACGGCAGATAAAAGACTAGATTCTCAGTCCTGCAGAGGAAATGAGACAAAGAGAGAGTGCATTATCAGCGAACCTGTGAGTCACAGAAACTATGAGGCACCAAGAGCAAAAAAAGGTTATTTTTTAACGCTTTACTTTTGCACAATTGTCACCTAGTATGTCACTCGCTGCAAAGATTCAATTTAAAACATAACAGGGACATCAAAGAAACAAGTTGAAACCCCTTTTTTCCTGCTCTTGTCTCCTCTCACAGACTCGTCAGCTGGTGACCGTCTGTGATTCAAAGCTGCTCTCCACGGCCATTCTCGCCCTTGCAGCTGCCCGCCCAGAAACCACCCAGCAAGGCACTCCGTCTCCCTCCTCCTCCTCCCTCTCCCCCTCCTCGCGTTCCCCATCACGCTCCCCCTCCCGCAACCCCACCTCCCCGTCTCGCTCTGCCACCTCGCCTTCCCGTCGTATTTCTCCCACAGACATCAGTGATGGGAGTAGAAACAAGCGCGCCTCCATGCAGGCAGATCTTCACGAGGAGGAGTGGGTAAGAGAAGAGTTAGAGAGCTCTCCTCACATCTATGTTAGTGTTTTCCTTTTCTAGCTGATATTGTGATGTGTGTTTGTTTGCAGGAGAAAGTTTGGCTGAATGTGGACAAGAGTCTGGAGTGTGTGATTCAGAGGGTGGACAGTCTGCTGCAGAGAGACAAACTGCAGAGCGACAGCAGCTCAGAGGACGTCTTTGAGCTCGCCACAGAGGAGCCGAGTAGCATCAAGAAAGGTGCACACAAGGGCAGTCATGATATCATGTTTTCACCTCACAATTAGCATAACCAAAAAAGTCACAGTATCAATATCAACCCATTAAGACCTGAACCCTGTCTGAGACACACTTCTGAAATCCTGAGGGCTATTTCACAAGGGCCCCCAGATCCTGAGGTTCTCTGAAGCGTTGAGGTTTATAAAAAAAGCTGATATCTCGGCCTCTGTAGCAGATAGAAACAAAATTCTAAAAGTCTTTTAGAGCTTACGCAAGTGGCTTTCAAGATAACTTTCTTTTATTCGTCTGAGCCTTCATCACATTATTGAAAACCTTGAACAAACAAACTTAAATGAAATAAAGCGGTTGTATAAATAAAAGTAAAGGCTCTGCGCTGAAGAATAACAAACAATTTGCTTTCTGTAAAACAAGTGTCAGTCGTGATAAAGTGTCCTTTCAATACAAATGTAAATATAAAAAATAAAGTGTTGAAAGGGTATGCAGCTGCCCTAATATAGTGCCAGTACAAAAGCAGCACTAAAAACTAATAAATAAATATGTGGCTTACAGTGTGTTCATGTCTGCGCTCACCTAAAGTCATGCAACACTCACAGATATCGCCAATAGTGTGATGAAGAGGTTGTTCACACTGCTTACAGCCATAGGCTGGAGGTCCACCAGCTCTTTCTGCCTCTGTCATTGTTTACTTTACTCATGAAGCACGTAGCAAGATCCAAGCATGAATGCAATCACTTTATTAAGCTTTATCAGCCTATCAGAGGCAGACAGGCACAATGATTTGATTCGCCACGACTCCAGAAATGACTGAAAAACCACAGAATGTTACAAAATGCACAGCTGAACTCCTGGCTTGGAAGGTTGAAATGTGTCCCATCCCAATACATTATATATATACAATACATATAGAGTATGTCACTCTCATGAAGTAGCCATAGTAACAAGAGTCTTTCTAGACAAACGTTGAGCATGACATCCATCACTTCATCCTCTATTAGCCTCTCCGTCCATCATCACCATCGTCTCTGTGCCAGAACTCTGCACGCCTTTCACATCCTGTTTGTCATCTGTGGGTTCAGCCCTGTCATCATCTAAACTACTTTAATGTGTGTCTGGACATTAAGATCCCAAACATAGCAGAAAGTTACAACTTTTTTTGCTCTAAATATCTTTAATCTCCTCTCATTTATAGAGAGCAGCCCGGATGTAGAAAAGAAATCCCCAGGTGAGCAATAATGGCTCTACGAACAAACCATCCTCAATGACTAGAGGGATTAAACATCATAAAATAACCCACTACAGTTTGAGAAAATACATGTACTCTGCAAGTTGATTAATAGGAAAATACCATAGACTGTATAAAGAATGGACAGAGTCTGCCTCCTCACTGGGTGAAGCCACTCCGAGAACAGCACCCTCTGATGGTGGGCTGCAGTACAGGTCATAAATCCCGCCTCCGCCAGCAAAGCTTATGGGACTGTGGACAAACTTTAGAAATTTATTACACAGAACATACATTTTTCTCCCCCCTGCTTGTGATGTTGACATGTAGTTATTGTAAGACTGGTTTGTGCCCAAGTCCTTTTTTTTCAGTACAGCTCCGTTTTTAAAAGTTATTAGGGGGTTCATGTTTTCTATGATTGACACCTGGTACAGCCTATGGGCGTTCAGGGAATGCGCGGCCGAATGCGCACATCGCTACTGCGCAGCTCTGGTTTCGAGGAAGTGGAGAAAAACCCGGAATTACCGAGAGCTTTTTGGCTTCAAATCCGTATACAGGCGGAAGGCGGAACCAAGTTGTCCATAGTATATACAGTCTATGGAAAATACTCAGAAATAAAATTCTTACTCTGTCAGTCAATAAATAAGGTTATTATGACATTTCTGTAAAGCTGTCAAACACTGCTGCTGGCAGACTTCTTCCATGCACTAACTGTATGCGCCCCTGTGTGTTTCACTCATCTGTGTGTGTACAGTCGAGTGGAGTGAAGCCCTGTACCCCCTCCTCACCACGCTGACAGACTGTGTTTCTCTGATGAGCGACAAAGCGAAGAAGTCCATGGTGTTTCTGCTGATGCAGGACAGCGCTCCCACCATCGCCATGAGCCTCACCCTGCAGTACCGCCGTGACGTTGTCTTCTGCCAGACAGTCAGTCAATTCCTCTCTCTTTCTCTCTCCTGCAAGCACAAGCATCCTGTCGTTAATAGAGATGAGCGTTATACAATAAGCAAAGTTTGCGTTAACATCATGACTGTTCAATGTGCTGCTTTTCAGCTGACGGCACTGATCTGTGGCTTCGTCATCAAGCTGAGGAACTGTCTGTGTGACTCAGGCTTCCTCAGGCAGCTCCACACCATCGGCCTGCTGGTGCAGTATGAGAGCCTGCTCAGCACCTATGGTAACCTGCGTTTGACAGCGTGTGTGTGGACTGTGTCAGGACATTTTTAGGTTTTAAAAATACTGACTTGTTTTCATAAATCTATTTGCCTCCTTGTCTCTCAAAGGTGAGGAGCTGGCCATGTTGGAGGACATGAGTGTTGGAGTGATGGACCTGAGAAACGTCACCTTTAAAGTCACCCAGGCGACCTCTGGTTTCGCCCCAGACATGCTGCCGGTGATAACGGGGAACAGGAGCGGCTTTAACGTCAGGGTCCCGATGCCCGGGGTGATGTTTGACACGCTGCCTCGAGAGATCCAGAACGGGATGCTGCTGCGTGTGCAGCCCGTTCTCTTCAACGTGGGGATCAACGAGCAGCAGACGTTAGCTGAGAAGTGAGTCACTGAGATAAGAGAGATTCTTCTCAGCAGTGGAAAAAAGAGTAGAAGTCAAGAGGGAAAAATCTGACTTGCAGAGAATGTAGCCCATGAAAAACCGGTTAAAAAAGTGATTTGGTTGGTGTTTTAAGGTCCAGAAATACAGATTTGTGTGTTCTGTTATAATTATACACATTTTTTTACTCATTTTATCTTTAAAATCAAATGAAGAAAGAAGTATAAATGACAAACTATTTACCCAACATTAAGGCCATACAATTTTATAAATGCTAAACAGTGACTTTTGGTCTCCTTTTCTCACTTTATTGATTGTATTGGAAGAATAAAAACTTAGAAAACAGCAGCAATGGCAAAAGATTAGGAGAAAGACCATGGGGGAAGGCATTATTTTTCTATGCAATCTTGTGTTAAATTATGAGAGGAGACTTGATGTTCTTATTACCAAGTAAAGGTTGGTCACCGTGATCCGGCCAGTTATCTGAAAGTTAAAGGCAAACATCTGAAAAGTCTGTCTCAGTGTGTTAGTATAGAAACTGTGGTTCAGGTCGTATTTTTGTGTAATAGATACAGAAATGTATGATCACAGTTATTCAGACACTTAGCAGGTCTAGGTAGATCTTTTCCTCAAAAGTATAATCATAAAATTCCCTCAGTCGAGCCTGTACTGAAAATATGAGCGAGAAAATAAAAACCAACCTGTGGAGGGCAGCATTACACTACTGAGCATACAGCCTGTCAGAATGTATTTGAAAAGGAGGAAAAAAAAGACAAAAAGACATTTGAATTAGGATTAGTTAAATACATTGTTGAGTGGATAGTTTGTGGTTTGAATACCCTAAACGCCAGTGGAGTTACCTCTGAGAGAGGCACTAATGTTTTAGTTTGAAGTTTGGCTCCTCATATGGTTTCGAAAAGCATGCAGCCTTTTGTCACAAAATAACGTATAAGGTTGCAGAGACAATAAATATATTGAATTGACTCTCCCACTTGTGTCCAGGTTTGGAGACACATCCTTACAAGACGTGATCAACATGGAGAATATGGCTCGCCTCAGCTCTTACTATGATCAGTTCAAAGAAGTCCTGCCAGAAGACTGTGAGTTAAAACACGTTTCTGTCAGAAAGCAGTGTTTGTTTTCTTACTCTCATTTTTAACTCTGCCCATCTCTCCTTTCTCCTCAGGCCTGCCTCGCTCTCGCAGCACCACCAGTCTGCCTGATCTGTTAAAACTGCTGAGCCAGAATGTTAACGCCAAGAAGAACAAGAATGTAGAGATTCTTTGGCAGGCGGCCGAGGTAGACAAGCTCCTCATTTCTTATCCCTCCTCTCAAATTCAAGCTCTCCATCTCTCTCTCCACTAATTTATCTCTTTGTACAAACCCTGAAGGCATGTCGCCGCCTGAACGGAGTGCGTTTCACCAGTTGTAAGAGCGCCAAAGACCGCACAGCCATGTCTCTGACTTTGGAGCAGTGTCAGATCCTGCAGCAGGAGCACGCCCTCGCCCCACAGGTCTTCTACCAGGCCTTGGACTGTATGCGCAGGTCAGCAGAGGATAACACAAGTCTAGCAGATGTTGTTACTGAAAAAGGGCAGATGTGATGCATTAGCAAATATTTCTATAAACAGAAACAGGTTACAAATGCTTTTACTTTGCAACTTCACTGAAATGCAGATGTAATGATTAACATATCCTGAAAAAAAAACATGCTGTTGAAGGTCAAAACAAATGCAAAAACCCACAGACACAGAAAAATACTGCAAGAGAAAATTGCTGTGAATTCATCACAATAAGCAGTGCTCTGAGTCAGTAGGAGGCGCTTGATAGACTCGAGTTTGGTCAAGTGTTATTAAGGCAAGTGTGCATCTGTAGGATCGAGGTTTATGCAGCATGTTTTTTATATGCAGCATGTTGAGGTGGCTGTCTAAGCATTTAAATATTTTTGAATTTGCATGTCAGTTTTCGTAGCTCATCCTTCCATATGAAAATGTTTGGGGTTGTTGAAGCACACTTGCACTTATTTACAGCTGCAATGGTCCCTTGCAGCAAAAGTTTGTTGAAGTTTTACGAGCAGAAATAATAAATGGATATGTGAGCGCAGCTCCGTCTAATGATTGAAGACCCTCTGAGGTTGAAAAACCAGAGCATGTAGTTGATGCGTATTTCCATGATAAAACAGATAGTCGTCAATCTTTCCTTTCTTGAATTTACTTGGAGGTTTACTTACATAACTGAACGATACTTTCTCTACACAGTCCAGTTGCCTGTTTTTAAGTCTTCAAGATAACCATGACCTGGATGAATGAGAATCTACATGGACACGAACGATACTTTTTACAAATCATAATGACAAAATTGAGACTCGATGTAAACACAGTCAAAAACTATTGTGCTCTCAAAAAGACCCACAGCTGCATTAATTACCCAAGAAAAACCCGCAGGTCTAGTAGTAGTAGTAGTAGTAGTCGTTTATTTAGTCGTGACAACACCAAATATTGTACACAATATTGACATTTCACACTAAATCACTAAATCACTAAATCAAGAATCATGTGTTGAATATTGACTGAAAAGGCAGAAGCAGACTGCTTATAAAAGCCTATCCTATATTGTCAACTTTTTAGGCTACCGACCTCCAGAAAAGCAAAGAAACCACAACAACAGATAATTAATCGCACTTATAAGCTTCAAAAATAGCTTTACTCCACTATTTTCTTAAAAAACAAAAAAAGAATGACATGTTTTTAGATTTATGTTGGCATCATTGCAGAATTTAACTGCAGTAATGGAGACACATCTCCTTTTCATACCTTTTTTAGCTTTTTGTTCAGTAAATTTGCAAGCAACTCTGAGATTATACGGACTGTCCTGAATTGAAAAGAACCTCTGTATTGGGTCAGGGAGCAGGGTCAGGTCTCACATTGCATGTCTCCTCCAATAGGAACTGCAGTAGTTATCGGCTTCAATATAACTGTTCAGTCTCTCAGAATTCTAATCAGGATAAATAACAAAAATTATTAATTATCTATCAAATTAACAGTAGTGCACAAATGGCTCTAACATGATACAAAATGTGTGTGTTTCTTCACAGCGAGGGCTGCAGGAGAGAGAACACCATGAAGAATGTGGGATGTCGTAAATACGCCTTTAATGCTCTCCAGCTCAAAGCCTTCCCCAAACAGTACCGGCCTCCAGAAGGGACGTACGGGAAGGTTGAGACCTAAGTGGACTGCTCTTACCAAAAAGACTGAAGGGGATAATAATGACAGCGCCACACAAACAAATATACCAACACAAACTGGAAAAAAACAACCCTATGTTTTGTGCTTAGTCACTGTTAAGATGTCCAAGTGCCAGTGCAACTGTAGGTTGTTTTATAGCAGTTTCCCCCCTCCTCATGTAACACTCAAATCACACAACTTTCACAGCCCTGAGGGCCAAAAACTGTAACAACATGGCTTTCTGTGTTGGATTGTAGCCACTGTGCAGACCACACTGTTGGCTGTGCCAGCTGTAGCACCAGGAAGCAAATCAAGTCAATTCAACACGTGTCCCTTGATATCAGATGTGTAATCTTAGCCTTTATGGACAATGCAGATGGATGACAACACACCTGTACTTGTTTTCACCACTTTTATTTGATTTGATCAGTTCGTCTATGAAAGGATAAGGCTATGCAGATTCTTTCTTTTTCTTACCATTATCAAGAAATCACAAATAGATCAAACTATGCAGTGGAGTAATCCTGCTGAAGAGTTCAGCTCATATCTCGTTTAGAAAAGCTGTAATACTGTCCAAAACTCAAAGCACATCAATGAGATGCACCTTTGGAGCAGCTAACATGACAGTCAGCATAGGCCGTTTACAAATGTGAAGTCAAGGCCACAAGCAAACAATTCTCATTGATTAAAATGTCAATAATGATTATCATCATTTTGGATTTCTTGACATTAAGAAAAAACTGAATACTGCTCATCTTTTAGTGTAAGGCTGCACCAGAGAAGTGTTTTATCAAGTACTCACGTCACTGGTCCAGCTTTAATAAAAGGATCCTGCTCTTTGCCTGTGAGATATTTTTCTGGACCTAAACGACAGCTGTCAAACTCAAAGCACTTATTTTGTTCAATTTTTGTGCTTTTAGTCTGTTGTTTGTTTCTCTTCCACTGTCTCTCTTATTTTCAGTCATATTTATGGTATCACTCTCAACAACAAGCACAGATATCTAAGACGAACATATCTGACACTGCTCTCTGTCACTTGTATTAATATGATGTCTCATACAAAGTGATTTCTGAGGTTCTCCTGATGCTCAACTGGAAGTATTGATGAGGAGCTGGATCACTAATCTTGGACTGCAGAGGTGGTGCTTCATATTATGCTATAACTTTGACATATTGATAGTTATTTAACACTTTTCTCCAAGTTATATGCAACACTGTAACAGTTTTATAGCCCTTAAAAGTTGAGTTTTATTTACTGAAAGTGTTTGTTTCTATTGTCACGGCACTCAGTTGTATGAAGAACTTGGAAATCCAACTAGATAAAAAGCTTCATTAATTTAATCTGCATGATGTTGAGAAAAACACAACTGCTTTATACTGTTACAATTGTATACTGCTGAGGAAACCTACGAGAAGTGAAGTAATGCATATTGCATTATTCTACTGAGCATCAACAACACCTCTTCTGTTTTCAGTTTACCAGCACTGAGCTCCAATGTACCTTACTGTACAGAACTTTCAGAGACAGTGGATTTTATTTTGAAAATGTTATTTTGCTTACAGGTATTTATGTTGAGATGGCTGCTGCTGCCAAATGCTGTTAGAGTTTTATTGTTCATTGTTATCGAGTAAGTTATGAGGTAGTTATGATCTATTGTACATGCACAAATGTTAGGAAAGTGTAGGAGAGCCCTGCACTCTGACGGAGGTATGGAGTGAGACCAGGTTAATAAAGGTTTGTCAATTCAAAATAAGTGAGTGAGTACATTTTATTATGGTTTTTAAATTGAGCAAGAGAAACTCTGACCTCTGAATTTAAGTTTGGGAGGAAAAAGTCAAACCACCTAAAAGGGGGGAATCTTAATGAAGCGGGTGCAAGAAATCTCTGTGAAAAATTGATTGTCACAGTTAGGGGGGAAAAATATGCCATTGAATCTATAAAATAATGTACCTTCAGTTTTTAGAAGTTTCTCAAAGACAAAATTGGTGAGACCCCTATGAATCATGACAATATTAATATTAAGAAACTAATAAAAGGGGAAAACATGTTTATAAGCACAATAAATATTCACATACAAGCTCGTTGTCTTTAATTTCAAAGAAAATATAAAGAAATAGTCTAAAAATAATCATTTAAAAAATAAATTATGAGAGAAAGACTAATGAAGAAATGAATTTATAGTATCTAAAAATTGGACTTGAATTTTACAACTCTGTACGGCCGGATTGGCGTGTGAGTGAAAAAAAAAACTCGAAATAAAATAAAATAAAATAAAATAATACAATTTTGTTCAAAACGAAACGCGCTCGTCCCTTTAAGAGTGTCCGGAAGTAATACCATAGATGGTTGTTTACTAAGAAGGAGCACTCTGGAGGTGTAAGCAGTGACACGTATTCGCTCACTGCGGTCTAGCACAGCTCAAACTGAACAAGACAGAGACAAACTCCTTTCACGCATCCATTTCGGAAATTTTTGGTGTCAAACACAACCCAAAAGAGTCAATGCCGGCTGCCGTCCCCTGACCTGCCTCACGACGCAGTTCACGGTGCTTCGAAAAATCATCAGAGTGAGACCTCGCTTTACGGTTAAGCTCAGTGGTCTCAGTTTGTCTGCATGGCGGTGATAATCCGTTGTGTTGCCATTAAAGCGCACGTTTTTAGCGGTCGTGTGTGGAGGTGAGGAGATGTTAGACTTCAATACAAGTCCAAATACCTAGACATTTAGTAAAATAGTCAGAATGACACCTTTGCTCTTTGGATTCTTCTCTGATAGCTGTCTTTGTTAGCGTGTCATGCCTCTTAGTTTCTTTGTTTTGGTCACTGTTAGAGAAAGTGTGGCTGTCTAAACACAGACCGGATGTTGTGGTCGCTGAAGGGACCTTATCAGTGGTTAAAAATTAAAGTAGACTAAGGTTTCTTTCTTAGTGCATTATACGAAGGTAAACTGTTTTTGAGGACATCTTGAATGTGTTTTACAAGAGAAACAGTGTCTCCTCCAGTCTTGTTTATTTCAGAAGCCATTGATCAACAAGATTCAGATAAATATTAACTTTGACTTCCTGTTACTTGACCCCTCCTATCCAGCCCACTCTCCATTCAGAGGGTCAATTCCATCTCTGTTCAAAGATTGTTTGCAGCTGACCGCCTGTGTGTCAGACGAAGAGCACTGAACAGCAAGTACTTCAGTTCATCCACCTCACATTTAGCTACAGGTTGGTGTTGTAAATTATACCACCATTTTCTCTAATGTTGCATCAAGAGAAATGTAATCTGATGTATAAGGGCTGTCATGACTTTGTTGTGTTCCTCTTCTTTCACTCTTACCTTCACTCCACAGTCTCCACAATGAGAAAAAAGCTGCTGGCAGATGTGGACTGTGGGACAGACGATGCTCAGGCCATCATGATGGCGCTCGCTGACCCAAATGTGGAGCTGCTGGGGGTCACTTGTGTCCATGGAAACACCACTGTTGAGAATGTGTGCAAGAATACGCTGAGAGTTCTGCAAGCCTGCAATAAACTAGAGGTGGGTGCGGCACTGTACGTTATTGATAGTTATCTATGACCTTATCCAGCCCCTTGGTAAACATTGTGTCTTTCTCTGTTGGCTTGAGTTTTACAAGGAATTTATTGGAGTTATGTAACAAATTAGGGGGCCAGACAGTGAGTTGTTGTTCCTGAAGTCACATGATGTGAAGCAGGAACATGAGAAATTACACAACCACATTGAGCTCTGTTGGACTTACATGTCACGTTGGATCAGACGCCATCCTCTCTACACGTTCCAGATTCCAGTGTTTAAAGGAGCTGATAAGCCCATCCTGGGGAACGCCATTGATGCGGGACACTTCCACGGACTGGACGGGTTGGGAGATGCTCCATGCCCCAACCCTCCCAGCCAGGACCTGGTTCAGGAAGAGAGTGCTGTGTCTGCCATGATCAGGATTGTCAATGAAAACCCAGGAGAGGTAAAAGATACAGATAAAGACACAGCTCTCTCTCGGTCTGTTGTCATCTGAAAGGTTTTTGAGTCTGAGTGCTCTCCCCAGGTGTCTCTTGTTGCCACGGCACCGCTTACCAACCTGGCTCTGGCTGTGAGGATGGATCCATCCCTACCCAGCAAACTCCGGGGCCTCTACATCATGGGAGGCAACACTGATTGTCAGTCAAATTTTTTATCCAGACAAGATAAACCAAAAGTTTTATTGTATCTTATCTCCTTTGAGGGTTGCTCTAAACAGGTAACCAGCAGTTTGATCTGATTTACTCCCTCAGCTCGAGGAAACACCACAGTGTGTGCTGAGTTTAATTTTGCTGCTGATCCAGAAGCTGCATACATCGTGTTGAAGGATTATTGCTGTCCCACTTACCTGGCCTGCTGGGAGTTTACCTGCCACAGCAAGCTGTCCTGGGTACGAATTCTTTTGCATTTTGTAACTGAGAAATTTTATTTCCATTTATTAATACAGACTTTGGAGATATCTGATGAGAAGAATCAGGTCCTGTAATTACTCAATCTGGCACTTTTAAAACAAATGCTCCCTGTTCTCCTATCTGCCTGATACTTGGTACTGCTGTTACACATGTTGAGGATACAGCTTTTTTCAAATCCAGCCCCTCTAAATAATTTGAATAATCCTGTGAGTTACAGCTGCTGTTTACTCTTTTCCTTTCTTTGACAGGAGTTTTGTGATGCCTGGTTGGCCCAGGACACAGACAAGGCCCGCTTCATGGCTCGGATCTTTCGCCACAGCATCGAGGCTTCACGAAGCGAACGCTGCGAGAAAGAGTTTGTTGCTGGCACAGGGTTTGTTTCCTGTGACTCGTACGCCATGGCGGCTGCTATGGATGATTCATTCATCTTGGAATATGACGAGTATCCTGTTAGCGTGGAGCTGACAGGCACACATACCCGGGGCATGATGGTCATGGATACTGTGGGGTTCCTGAAGGGGAAGGAGGCGCCTAAGAAGGCTTTTATCATGAAGAAGGTGGATATGAAGAAGTTTGAGCAGATGATGATGGCTGCTTTAAAATAACAGCAGTGAACATGCTAAAGAGCCATGAGTGAGAAACTTCCTGTCTGCAGATCTGGGCTGAACATAAGTGTTCATTTGTTGTTCTTTGGCCCCTTTGTTTTTTTATTTCAAGAGCATTTTTGTCATTTTTATAATGACAACAAATAGATACTGTGTATTTGTAGTATCTTGTAGTGAACACTTAAAATGAAGCTAATTTTTTAAATCCTATGACTCACTACTGTACATACAAACCCTAATCATATGATGTCACCGTCACACAGCTTTTTTAATGTTCAATAAACAATAAAATGTTTTAACAAAAGAATCTCAGTTTAAACAAACTTATTTTATTCACCTTTTCTTCCTCTGAATCTTGATCTTGTGTTCGGCTAGAAAAAGAGGAAACACTCTTGTTAAGGCACAGAGCACCAGTCAGGTCATCTTTAAACAAATCCTAGATTTTTGTTTTGATTCTGGTCTCCCTTCTCACCCCTGCTGACTTACCATTGACCTCATGCATTCAAAGAAAGATGTCTGTATGGCTTTGCAGAGGCCTTCTTTCAAACATTCACTGGGTAGCTTCCCTTCCTGACAAAATTACAAAGAAAATTAAATATTAGAAATTAACTGGACATTGACTAAGAGAAAGTGTAGCTGTCACATTCATGCTATTTGGTGCAGATGATAATAAAACCTACCTTTTATATTTTTATTTATACACGCTACGCACATTGACAACATGAGATCAGTTAAATGTTATTTTTTAGATAAACATAGACCGGATGTTGTGGTCGCTGAAGGGGCCTTATCAGCGGTTAAAAATGAAAGTAGACCAAGGGTTCTTTCTTAGTGCATTATAAGAAGGTAAACTGTTTTTGTGGACATCTTTACGGTGGCCCTGAGGTGCAAAACACAACAATAAATCAGAAAAACAACACAAAAAAAGAAAACATGACACAAAACTAAAAAATTGCATTTCCTTACAGAAAATGCGTGGAAATGTTGAGTCCTCAAATCTGAAAAAGCAATGCTGAACTGCTAATAAAAAATGGAGAAAGGTATAAATTTAAAAGCTGTTGAAGGGGTGAAAAAGAAATAGAAGTTGGATAATTGTGAAACTGGTTCAAGGACAAAAAGTATGAATATGCTCTATAAATTGAAATTTTATTCATGCTTAAAGAGGCTAGAAAAATGTCTAAAATTGCATAAAGTTTAAATGAAGAAGGAAATTACCTTAAAAGGCAGAAAGGTGAGAAGTGGCATAAGTTTAAGTTGTAGTACTATAAGAAGTATGATAAGTAGTCAGCGTAGTGAGAGTAGTCATGTAAGCAGTAGAAGTAGTTTGAGTAGTTCAGCGATTTCCATGCTGTTCGGCACAACACTTCACAAATTTATCTAGATCTAATGCTTTTGTGCGTTTTGACTAAAGGCTGAGTATTGATTGCGAACATTCTAGCCAGGGATGGCATTTGTACCAGTCACTGCAGACGCTTCTTCTGGCTCCTTCCTGGAAGGTCTTGGGGAAATCCTCCTGTGTTGGCTGCACTGGTAGCTCACATCTGGATTTGGATATATCTAGAATACGGAGGGGAGGAAAGATTGAAACTGCATTTCTCTGAAATAATGACACAATATAACTACTAATAAAATCATAATCAAATTGGAACTGTCATTGGTTACTCATAACCATCAGGCTGTGTCAACACACTAACATTTGTTTAATTCTGGAAGTTAACCTCAGCAGTGGATCTAAAATACATTGTTCACAAACTACTAAAGCGCTGTCCCCACGTCATCACACTTTTCACAATTAAGTTTCCCTAGTTATTCATATTTAAGCAAACACACATTTTTATATTTATTTGAAGAAGTCCAAGCAATGTCTCTCTCTACTTTCCTTACCATCTGGACCAGCTTGACTGGAGATGGTTGCTGATGACTCATGCTCTCTCATCTCCCTCTCATTGTCTGGGTCCTGCACATAGACTGTATAAAGAATGGACAGCATCCGCCTCCTCGCTTGGTGAAGTCACTCCGAGAACAGCACCCTCTGTTGATCGGCTGCAGTATGGGTCATAAATCCCGCCTCCGCCAGCAAAGCTTATGGGGCTGTGGACAAACTTTAAAAATTTATTACACAGAACATACATTTTTCTCCCCCCTGCTTGTGATGTTGACATGTAGTTACAGTAAGACTGGTTTGTGCTCAAGTCCTCTTTTTTCTGTGAAGCTCCGTTTTTAAAAGTTATTAGGGGGTTCATGTTTTCTATGATTGACACCTGATACAGCCTATGGGTGTTCAGGGATTGCGTAGCTCACCTGTGGGGATACACTGGCTGTGTCTCATTTCAGAGACCGCACCATCGAACGGCGCATTTGAAGTGTGCCTAGAAATGGCAGAAATTAATATGCTGAGGATATATCCGTTTATGCAGCCGTAAATAGCCGTGAATGGCATTGAGCTTTAGTTTATGATATGAATCCATTTGCCATAATAAGGTGTTGGTGTCTCTGCAGGTGTAGGTTACCGCCGGTGTCAGAGACGTGGTGCTCGTCGGAGCTCGACTGCCTCTGGATCATAAATGTTGATCATCAGTTGGATTGTTTCTTCAGAAACCACAAAATCTCTCTGAATGACCCGCTGATACATCCACCAATAACCCTGCAGATGACCAGCTTCAGTCATTTCCCCATCCACAAAAGCAGCTTTATGACTTTATTTACTTTATGACTTTATTCTCCTAAATTTACAACTTTGATCTCTAAATCTTTATCATGGCGACTCTCGGCGACTGCGTGGCCGAATGCGCGCATCGCTACTGCGCAGCGCTGGTTTCAGGAAATGAAGAAAAATCCTGGAAATATCGAGAGCTTTTTGGCTTCAAATCCGTATACAGGCGGTAGGTGGAACCAAGTTGTCCATTGTATATACAGTCTATGGTCCTGCACGTTGTCTTGTCTCTCTTCTGCCTCCTCATCTCTGAGATGTTCTCCCTGCTCCACATAGTCTTCTCCCGCCACCTCCTCATGTCCCTGGTCACCTTGGCCCGCTGTTCTACTACGGTGACTTTTGTTGTGCCTTTCTCTCCCTTCTTCCACTCTGTCTTAGTCTTCCCTCTGTCCTTCCACCTGGTCTCTCTCTCCGTCCACCTGGCCTCTCTCTTCATCCTTCTTATCGTGTCTACCTCGTTTTCTATCTCTCCTGCCTTTTTCCTTGTCTTTGGTGAAAAAAAAAACTAATTATGCAGCCTTTCCTCTTCATTTCTGCAAGATTTGAATTTATTCTACTTATGTTGCTCTGCCAGATATGGAATCAATATTAGCTTTCATAGCCTACACAGGATCTAGCTGCTGATGCACATGTAGCCTAGCCTCGCCGGGCCATCCTGTTGCGTGAATCACTTGACGTTCCTTGTTGTGGGAAGGAACGTCAAGTGACTCACGCAACAGGATGGCCCAGCCAGGCTACATGTAGCCTAGCTTAAAATTAGCGAAATTACGCTCTTCAACACGATCTCAAAATCAGCATTGCCGCAGCGCTAGCACTGTGCTTTCATCACAAATTATTTCATTGGTAGTTAATCAGTTTTTACCTCATTCCTCTCGTGTCTCCCTCTTTTTTTGCGACTACTGGCCAGCTCCTTCGCTTTTGTCAATTAGAAAAGTCAGTCGTCTCGCGGGCACACCACCACAACACCCGCTGCGTCGCCACCCACGCTCTGATGCAATCTCGTGCTGCTTTCATCGCAGTTGGACAATGGAGATTAACATTCGTAAATGTCAAATTGGCCATTTAATTTGTCGCTGCCAACTGGGGTGGCAACAGGGGTGGCAAGCCTGTCTATTAGGGTGGCATTTGCCACTCCATGCCACCCGGTAGATCCGCCCCAGCTTGTACTAAATGTAGATCTTGCTCAGGTATATCAGAACTCTTTATTTCCGGTCCGTGGTTTGGAAACGAACAGTTGAATAAAAAATGTTTTCACTGAAATAAACTTTATTTCCGTGTTCAAGGCTGGATTGAAATGACATCGGAAAACAGATAAAAATCAACAATGAAAATAATTTGATAAACATTTTTACTGCATATACTATCGCTCACGCTCGCGCGTCACTGACAGCCATAGTAACAGAGCGGTGACGCGCGCTCGTGGTTGCCTATAAATTCGGAATGTTTGATATCTTTCAAATCAAAACAAACTGAACCTCTGGCCGGCTTGTGCAAAACTTTAATCTGAGAAGACGATAGTTTGAAAAGGCTAACTTCACCTGGACGAGTCTTACCGAGAAGGAAAAACACCTGAGGAGAACACCAAGAGCGAAAAACCGCCGAGGAAGAACACCTGCAGTTCCGAATTAAACTAAGGATGGCCGCCCACGGACGCCGGGAGGAGCGCATCCTGTCCAGCGAGACAGGTAAGACAGCTTTAAAATTTATCAATGAAATCCTCCCGTTTCCCCTCAAATTTACATGTTAAATGATTTTAGATAAAGTTGTTATCTATCAAGTAGGATTAAAGTGTAAGAATCGACAGTTATTTGAAGTTATGAATTCCACTCTTAAGATAGCTTGACCCAAAACCACATTTTAATGTCAGAAATGTCTAATTTTGTTTGGAGAAATTGGTAAAAACTTATTAATTGAGGTGTGTTAAGGCGAAAGATCTTTTATTTGCTTGTGTGTGTATGGTGTAAAGACTTCAACTTTCAAAATTAACTGTAGAAATAACATTATCAAAGATGGCGCCTGGGCCACTTCTTTCAAATGTTTTAAAAAAACTGTTTTTGTTCATAACTTGGAGATATTAGAACTGTAAGGGGCGGACCTGAATTAGGTGGAATGCGCATGCGTGCCTTGCAAAGCTCATTAATTATACCTTGGCAGTGATGGTTCAGCTATTAAAATGATATGAAGTCTGTTTAAATAATAGATAGACATAAGTGTTGAGACTGAAGTTTAATGCAGGCGGGTCAATGACTTATAAGGTTTTTCAACATGCCAATTTTAAAATACCAAAAATAAGAATATCTTTTGTAACAGTTCAAACACTAAGGATGTTGTGTATACAAAAATTAACATTAAATTTTTAAATAAGGCAATTTTTAGTGTTTTTTCATATAGATGAATTGCCCGTGACCTTAAAAAATATCATGTAGTGCGACCATAATTTATCTCAACATACTCCATAATTTTTTACAAATTGTCAGTAGTCACCTGAAGACCTTGTATCATTAAAAATCAATGTAAACAGACCTATGAACAATTAATTTCATGCAAATTTTATATTCAAACCAAATTTCACTTACATTTCAAACATGAACACAAACATTTCATTTCATTTTTTTGACAAAAATTTAACTCTGTGTCTGTGTACGTGGCCCAGAGGCCTGTAGAAACTGGATGAACACACCCAGGATAATTCTGCCACAACTCACTCAACTTCACCTGATCTCCGTAATCCCGATCTGCTGTACTACGAGGCAGGATATCAACTCGCTAACTAAATTCAGTTGTGGTCAGTCAAGCTCTGTGCGTGGGAGCAAAGAAAAATAAATCTAAAAACATCCGTCAAAGTGGTTAGTAGGTTTATTGGAAGATTTTATTTGTGCATATTTCAACGCGTAAACAGTGATTTCCCCACACTGCCATTTTTTCTTTTTTCTCCATCATCTGATGGTCACATGTCATCTGCAGACACATTTGGAGTTAAGAGGAGTTTTCTAATCTGCTTCAATAAATTCTGAATGATGACCGATATGCTGCATGAAATTGGAACTTGGAGCTTGGCAAATATTAGTGCACTGCTTCGACCTAATGCTACCCGAATATTGAGGCCATCCGAGGAAAACCTGTAATGTTCATAGAGAACCTCATCAGGTAAATCAAACAGATTTGAACGATCTCGGCGAAGCGCTCCTCTCACTATCCGTGCAACAATGTCCCCGGGATCCGGCAAAAGTGGGCAAGCCATTTTCCAAGAGATCTGATTGGTCAGTGGGCGGTCTTTTATACCTGCTGAGATCTTATCCTGAAACATAACCTGCTCCGGAGCAGGTTTGGTATTCCGTGTAAGTTACCGGGGCAACAGACCTGAAAAGAAAGAAATCCACCTTCATCAGCGGTAAACCCAGTTATTCCATAAGTTATTTCGCTAAGATCAAATCCAGCTTCGTTGTACAGGCCTCAGGCCTTTTTAAACTTTGCCCAATCTTTGACCAGTCCTCGCATGAACAACATGCTGCAGGGTCAGAGTTGACATGCTGCCTATGGCGAGCGCTTTTAACTTTGCTTGGCAGTGGCATCTGGTAAAATAAATTAAAATGACTTAAATTGATACATGAAAATTAATAAATTGCTAACAACAGCATAAATACCTGTGAAGTGAAAATGGCATGCTTTTAATATATATATTTTTTATTTTGTACAAAGATGAACTAACCATTATTTCTGAAATATTTGCAAAATGACTCATCAAATAACAAAAAAATATTCAAAATAATTCTAAAAATTAAGTACTTAGTGTTTATCAATCATCAATTGAATATAAAAAGTGTAAATACTGCCAATCTGGGGCATATATTTATGATGGAAAACAATCCGCAGTGGTCGCACCACATGATAATTGGTCGCACTGCATGACATTTTCAAGTTCAGTCAAATCTTATTGATACAGGATTAGCCACATAAACAAAGCTCACTAGCTTCCCACAAAAGGTCACTATGAAATTTATAATTAAAATACATATTTGTGGAAATAACTTAAATTAACTGTTTTTTTTTTTGTTTTTTTTTGAGGTCATACCTCATGACATCCAAAAGTGGCAATGCCATTACAGTAGTTGAAAAGGTCTTTTTTTTTTTTTTTAAGAAATGAGAGCGCCACCAACCCTCTTTCTGCTTCCATAGCTCTATGACAAAATGGTGAATGATGCAACTTCCTGTCCTTGAGTAGATTTCAGGATAGAAGTGTCAAAAATTGTCATTTTTTGATGGTCGCACCACATGATATTTAATGAAATGGACATGATCGGACAAAATTTGTTTGTATATTATGAAAAAAATATAACTGCAAAAGCGTTGCAATTTTGTACAGGAATAAAAAAACACTTTGAAAATCATGCCAAATATTGCAGAAAATAAATTGTCATAGATTAAGAGTAATTTCAAAGAAGTTTTCTAAACATGGCTGGACGGTCGCACCACATGATATTTTGACACTTTGAAGTAAAAAAAAAAATTACAAAAAACTCCTGATTTTTGAAAAGTTGACGTGGCTCCACATATTAGAGAGATACTACACATAGTATATTTTTTACATTTAAACCTTTTTGTAACTAAAAGAAAATACAGCCGGACGGAATATTTAGGCATCACGTTATTGACCCACATTATGAAAACGATATAACTGCAAAAGCATTGCAGTTTTGTACAGGAATACAAAACACTTTCTAAATCATGCCAAATATTGCAGAAAATAAATTGTAATAGATTAGGAGTAATTTCAAAGAAGTTTTCAAAACAGAAGTCATGGCTGGACGGTCGCACCACATGATATTTTGACACTTTGAAGTTCAGAAAAATTATAAATAACTCCTGATTTTTGAAAAGTTGAAGTGACTACATATATAAGAGAGATACTACACATATATAGTATATTTTTTTAATATTTAAATCTTTTTGTAACTTAAAGAAAATACAGCCGGAAAGAATATTTAGGCATCACGTCATTGACCCAGACTGTGCGTCTTTGAGTAAAAGACAAAAAGGAGTTTCAAATTTTAAAGGACACTCAAAATAGTAATGGCTGTGTCCAAAATAGATCCCTAACCCCTATATAGGTGACTATATGGGGGTTAGCGCCCTTTTGAGGGGTGTCCAAAACCTAAGTGATCAATTCCAGTGCCTCATATAGGCGACTCAAAATTTCCCATAAAGCATTGCAAAATGTAGTGACCATCCGATGGTCACTCACCGGTGGTGGGCATCCTGTCATGTATTGCATCTTGCCATGTAGTGTCCAAAACCTCCAGTGATTGAGTTCACTACATAGTCAATTATATTTGAAACCTCATATGGGGGTTAGGGGTTAGGGATTGAGTGATTCATTTCAGACACAGCCAATAATTGATTGTGTGGTAGCCATTATTTCTGCCACTACACTGACAGATAGCAGACTCGGTAAATGCGGACAATCCCTTTACCGGAAGTGAAGGCGCTCAAACTCAAAAACCCCCTTACAAATACACTGTAAAAAATATTTACACAATATGTATACGAGGAAGAGAATGGGTGTAACAAATCAGCATCTTAACTGCAGTTATCGTTGATAAGGGGTCACAAAAAGTCAAACAGCAGAATACCATGAATGATCCTGTAGGCCTCATGATGTCTCATTCTCTTTTATGGATGCACCGATTTTGACCCTTTAAAACTTCCTCCCTCAGGAGGTGCCCTCCAGCTCGCTGCTCCTGCTGCTGCTCCTGCAGCTGCTCCTGCTCCTCCTCATGTTGCTGCTCCTCCTCCTGCTGTGGCTGCAGCTCCTGCGGCCACTGTTGCTCCTCCTCCTGCTAACCCTCCTGCTTCTTCCTTTCTTTCCTCTCCTGCTTCTTCCTTTGCTTCCTCTCTTGCTTTTCGTCCTTTTTTTCTTCACGCTTTTATCCCTGCCTCTCCTCCTACTTCTCCTCCTTCTTTTGCCGCTGCTCCTCCTGTTTTCCTTTACGTTCCTCCTCCTGCCTTTGCCCCTGCTCCTCCTCCTCCTTCTCCTCCACTACCTTCTCCCACTGGCCTCTCTTATTTTTCTTCTTTTTCTTCTTCTTCCTCTGATCCCTTTGCTTTATCTCCATCTTCTTCCCCTGTCTCTGCTTCTCCTTCCTCTGCTTCCTCTTTGCCTGCTTCTCCTCCTGTTTTCCTTTACATTCCTCCTCCTGCCTTTGCCCCTGCTCCTCCTCCTCCTCCTTCTCCTCCACTACCTTCTCCCACTGGCCTCTCTTATTTTTCTTCTTTTTCTTCTTCTTCCTCTGATCCCTTTGCTTTATCTCCATCTTCTTCCCCTGTCTCTGCTTCTCCTTCCTCTGCTTCCTCTTTGTCTGCTTCTCCTCCTGTTTTCCTTTACGTTTCTCCTCCTGCTTTTGCCCCTTTTCCTCCTCCTCCTTCTTTTGCCACTGCTCCTCCTCCTCCTCTTTTACGTTACTTTCCTTCTCCTGCTTTTGTCCCTGCTTCTCCTCCTCCTTCTTTTGTCCCTGCTCCTCCTTCTCCTACATTCTCTTCTCCTCCCTCTTACTTCTCTTTGTTCTCTTATCCTTTTTTTTCCTCTGATTTCCTTCCTTTATCTCCATCTTCTTCCTCTGTCTCTTCCCTCTCTGCCTTCACTCCTTCCTCTCCCTCTGCTTCTCCTCACGTCTCTCCTTCTCTTCCTGGTTCCTCCCCTGCTGCTTCTCCTGCTTCCTCTGTCAGGGGAAGGCGGCGGCAGAGGGAGGACAGTGATGAGGAGGAGACGCCTGCACCAAAGAGACTGAGATTGGCTGATTAGGAGTGCCACTCTCTGTCTCTTTGCCCCTGCTCCTCCTCCTTCTTTTGCCCCTGCCCCCCCTTTTGCTTTTGCCCCTGCTCCTCCTCCTGTTTTCCGTTACGTTTCTCTTCCTGCTTTTGCCCTTGCTCCTCCTTCTCCTGCTTTTGCCTCTGCTCCTCCTCCCTCCTCCCTCTCTTGCCCATGCTCCCCCCTTTCTTTACCCCCTGCTCCTCCTCCTGTTTTCCATTACGTTCCTCCTCCTGCTTTTGCCCCTGCTCCTCCTCCTCCTCCTTTTGCCCCTGCCCCCCCCCTTTTGCTTTTGCCCCTGCTCCTCCTCCTGTTTTCTGTTACGCTCCTCTTCCTGCTTTTGCCCCTGCTCCTCCTCCTCCTCCTTTTGCCCCTGCCCCCCCCCTTTTGCTTTTGCCCCTGCTCCTCCTCCTGTTTTCCGTTACGTTTCTCTTCCTGCTTTTGCCCTTGCTCCTCCTTCTCCTGCTTTTGCCTCTGCTCCTCCTCCCTCCTCCCTCTTTTGCCCATGCTCCCCCCCTTGCTTTACCCCCTGCTCCTCCTCCTGTTTTCCGTTACGTTCCTCCTCCTGCTTTTGCCTCTGCCCCCCCCCCCTTTTGCTTTTGCCCCTGCTCCTCCTCCTGTTTTCTGTTACGCTCCTCTTCCTGCTTTACCCCCTGCTCCTCCTCCTGTTTTCCGTTACGTTCCTCCTCCTGCTTTTGCCCCTGCTCCTCCTCCTCCTTTTGCCCCTGCCCCCCCCTTTTGCTTTTGCCCCTGCTCCTCCTACTGTTTTCTGTTACGTTCCTCTTCTTGCTTTTGCCCTTGCTCCTCCTTCTCCTGCTTTTGCCTCTGCTCCTCCTCCCTCCTCCCTCTTTTGCCCATGCTCCCCCCCTTGCTTTACCCCCTGCTCCTCCTCCTGTTTTCCGTTACGTTCCTCCTCCTCCTGCTTTTGCCCCTGCTCCTCCTCCTCCTGCTTTTGCCCCTGCTTCCTTCTCCTGCATTTTCTCCTCCCCCCTCTAATTCCTCTGATTTCTCTTATTTCTCTTCTCTTCCTTTTTCCTCTGATCCCTTTGCTTTATCTTCATCTGCTTCTTCTTTCTCCACTTCTTCTTCCTCTTTCTCTGCCTCCTCTGTCAGGGAAGGCTTCACAGCGTATTTCTCAGCAGAGGGAACAGTACCCTGCAAGGATACACACCACAACGGCTCTTTTAAGAGCCACCCAATTATTAAACTGAGCAAATGTAAATGTACTGTATAAATATGCAGTGGATGTCCTTTGTGAATCTAGATTATAACTGTAAATATATATATATGCAGCCGAGGTCCTGTGTAAATTCACAATATAAATATAAATACAGATATGCAGCAGAAGTCCAGTGTAAGTCCAGGTCATAAGTATAAACATGCAGCAAAAGTCGTTTGTAAATCCAGATTATAAATATAAATATAAATATGCAGCAGAGGTCCTTTTTTAAGTCCACAATATAAATATGCAGCAGACATCCTGTGTAAGTTCAGAATATAAATATAAATATGCAGCAAAAGTCCTTTGTAAATTCAGAATATAAATATAAATATGCAGTGGAAGTCCTGTGTAAGTACAGATTTTACATATAAATATGCAGCAGAGGCCCTGTGTAAGTCCACAATATTAATATGAATATAAATATGCAGCAGAAGTCCAGTGTAAGTCCACAATTTTAATATGAATACTAGAAAAATTGCATTTCCTTGCAGAAAATGCGTGGAAATGTTGAGTGCTGAAAGCTGAAAAAGCAATGCAAAACTGCTAATAAAAAATGGAAGAAGGTTTAAATGTAAAATTGGTTAAAGTGGTGAAGAGGAAGAAGTGGAAGTTGGATGAAAGTGAAAACTGTTGAAGTCCAAACAGTATGAATGTGCTTCATAAATTAAAATTGCATTCATGCTGAAAGAGGTGGGAAAAACTGTTTGAAATTGCAAAAAAAATGGATAAGGAAGAAAATTACCTTAAAATACAGAAAAGTGAGAAGTGGCATAAGTTTAATTTGTAGTACGAGAAGAAGTATGATAGAAGGTAGTTGTAGTAGTGATATTAGTAGTCATGTAAGCAGTAGAATTAGTTTTAGAATAGAAGAAGTAGAAATCAAAGCAGTAGAGCTTGTGGTAGAAGTAATAGTGGCAGTAAAAGTAAGAGACGCAGTAAAAAATATTTAGAGAAGCAAGAGTAGTGGAGGTAGAAGTGAATATACAAGTTAAAGTGATATTAGTAGTAATTGTAGTAGTAAAACTGGGAATTTGTTTGAAGAATTAAATAATGCAAAATAATGAGAATGATTTTAAAATGGGAAAAATTTGAATAATTAAAAATCCTCAAGTATTAGACAAGTTTAAAGTATTAGAAAGGTTTGAATCAGTTTGAATCAGTTTGTCAGCTGTGTGGCTCCAGGTGCACTAATTGGTTGCCATGGGGACGGTAGATGCATCACTACAGCAGCAGAAAGGAGGCTTGAAGCTGAGAAACAAAATCCCAAACTATGCCCCGATGCTCATTCTCTGTAATGGCTATATTCATGATAAGGAACTTGTGAGAACCTTAAGACTCTACTGAACATATTGATACATTTTACAAAATCCTAAATACACCCCATAATGTCCTCAATGAGCTGAATTTCTGGAGCCCAGAATGGTTTCTGTAGCTCAAAGTTTATGGGAGAAGATAGGTGGTGAAGCAGACACATGGTCAAAGTGTGTGCATGTGTGTGCAAATATGTGTGCACATATTTACTGTGTGTACATGCAGGTGTCATAGATAGAGAGAGACTAACGCACACACATAGTTACTGTGTACATGCAGGTGTCAAAGGCAGAGAGACACTCACGCACACACATTGTCAGAGTGTGTGTGTGTGTCTTGTTATTAATGCAGTCTTAACAGCTGTGAGACACCAACTGCCAACAGTTTAAAGTAAAGCTGCCTAATTGCAGTGAATTTAGGGCCTCTGAGCTTCTTCACATAGCGCAATTTCCTTAAACCCCAGAATGAAAATAAGAACATCATAGGAATCTTCCGCCCCTCATGAACACAATGATGGTTTTTTTCTTAAAAATGTGGCCACAACAGCGAGTTAAAAAAGTCTGAGCCTGAGTGATGATCAGGATTTTCTGGGAGAAAGATTACATTAGGGCTATAGGAATCTCTGCCTTTTTCGACAGTTGGTCACCTGCTGGACAAGGGGACTTATTTTCTTCCATTTTGATGTATTTTTTATGGCTGTGGAGTGAAATTTGTGGGCGTGGGAGCGATATATTCGAGCGAGGTTTTGTTGATAAAAGAGGAGCTCTCAACTCTAGCTATGACATCACACACTCTAGCCTCTCCAATACACACCCATTATAAAGCCTGAAATTTGCTGAAAACCATGAGTGGCTTAAAGCAAATTGTGGGAAAACTGTAAAAGATATCAAAGGTTGAATACAACATCAATAGTCGACAAGTTAATGAACATTTTAAAGCAAAAATAAGGTCTCTAGGTGAAAGTATGCTGAAGTTAGAAGGCTTAGAAGGTGGAAGAATCAAAGGAAGAATTGGAAGATTTCCCCATTGACTTCAATGTTAAAATTTTGGCACAAAAAGTATGAAGGATAGAAAAGTAAAAAGTACATCTGCACATGTCCTGAAGGAGTGGAATAATTTAAAGTTTGAACAGTTGAAATAGCACAAACTGGGAAGGAGTTAAAAAGGGCCAAAAAATGTTGGAAGAAAAATAATAATAAAGAACAGGATAATAATAATAATAATGAAGAAATGGGAGAATAACAATGAGTGGAAATGCTGTGTCAGCATTTCCACTTAATAAAGAAATAGGAGAATAACAATAAGTGGAAATGCTTAATCAGCATCTCCACTTAAAAAGAAAACACAACGGTTAATGCTGTTGCGTTTTCTATTTTGTGTTGTGTTTTTTATTTGCTATTGTGTTTTCTGTCTTTGTGTTGTGTTTTTTTATTTGCCAGTGTGTTTTGCACCTCAGGGCCATCGTACATCTTGGATGTGTTTTAAGAAAAAATAAACTGTGTCTCCTCCAGTCTTGTTTATTTCAGAGGTGTAAGTCGAAGTCATTGATCAACAGATTCAGATAAATATTAACTTTGACTTTCTGTAACTTGACCCCTCCCATCCAGCCTACTCTCCAGTAAGAGGTTCAATTCCCTCCCTAATCAGAGATTATTTGCAGCTGACCATCAGTGGTTCCACTCTGTCAGAGGAAGAGCACTGAACAGCAAGCACTTCAGTTCATCTTACATTCAGCTACAGGTTGGTGTTATCTACAAAATTATATCAAACTTCTCTCTAATTTTGCATCAAGAAAAATCTTCTACATGATGTGTAAGGTCTGTTAGGACTTTGGTGTGTTTCCATTCTTTCACTCTCACCTTCACTCCACAGTCTCCACAATGAGAAAAAAGCTGCTAGCAGATGTGGATTGTGGGACAGACGATGCCCAGGCCATCATGATGGCACTCGCTGACCGAAATGTGGAGCTGCTGGGGGTCACTTGTGTCCATGGAAACACCACTGTGGAGAATGTGTGCAAGAATGTGCTGAGAGTCCTGCAAGCCTGCGATAAACTAGAGGTGGGTGCAAGCCGGTGTGTGTTATTGATAGTTATCTATGACCTGATCTGACTTATTGGTAAATATTGTCTTTCTTTCTCTTTTTGTTTGAGTTTTACATGAAATTTATTGGAGTCATGTAACAAATTAGGGGGCTTGAGAGTAAGTTGTTGTTCCTGAGGCCACATGATGTGAAGCAGAAGCTCTGAGCTTTTTTTGGACTTACATGTCTACCTCTTTGTTGTTGTCTGGTTCCTGTTGCATTCATCGAAAAGGAAATTAAACCAAACATCCGAGATGATTGTTTTCATATTGATAATGTTAATGAAATTAATGTTCTGCCGGATGTCTAATACTTAGCAAGAAAAGCGACCATATAACACCAGTCCCTGCTGCCCTTCACTGGCTCCTTGTGAGTTTTAGAAAAATAAATTATTTGTTTGGATTTTTTAACAGAAAAAAAAGGATCAAAGAGAACATTCAAACAGTGTTTTTGACTCAAAGAGCTTAGTAAACTGTTAAAACTGTTGAAGGATGACATCGGGTGAATTTGAAGATAAGAGCAGCCTCAAAATTCAGCTTCCCCATGATATTTAATTTGATGTCTTAAATGTCTATAATATGTAAGATGCCACTCTTCATACATTGTTATTGTCTCATGGTACTTTTAGCTCTGAAAAACTGAAGAGACAAGTGCAAAAGTATAAATATATTTTTTCTGGGTCTACTTTCATAGGTTTGTGTTATAATTAACATTTTTGTTTTATGGTACATTTATAAAAAAAATTTCCAACATTTAGATACCCTCATTTTGGTCCTTTATTTGCAGAGAATTACAGCTAGTTAGTTGGTTTTCAATAATAGATTTTATCTGGGGGTGTATAGTCATAGTAACCAACATTTTCTTGTTATCTAAAACATAATGACTAAAATACAAACAGAACTGTTAATCAGATGCCTTCTTCTCTTCACATTCCAGATTCCAGTGTTTAAAGGAGCTGATAAGCCCATCCTGGGGAACACTATTAATGCGGACCACTTCCATGGACTGGACGGGCTGGGAGATGCTCCATGCCCCAACCCCCCCAGCCTGGACCTGGTTCAGAAAGAGGGTGCTGTGTCTGCCTTGATCAGGATTGTCAATGAAAACCCAGGAGAGGTAAAAGACGTGACACAGCTCTCTCTCTCTCTCTTTCTATCATCATCTGAAAGGTTTTTGAGTCTGAGTGCTCTCCCCAGGTGTCTCTTGTTGCCACGGCACCACTAACCAACCTGGCTCTGGCTGTAAGGATGGATCCATCCCTACCCAGCAAACTCCGGGGCCTCTACATCATGGGAGGCAACACCGATTGTCAGTCAAATGTTTTAACCAGACAAGCATTTTCTCTGCAAGTTTTATTGTATCTTATCTCCTTTGAGGGTTGCTCTAATCAGGTAACCAGCAGTTTGATCTGATTTACTCCCTCAGCTCGAGGAAACATCAGAGTGTGTGCCGAGTTTAATTTTGCTGCTGATCCAGAAGCTGCATACATCGTGTTGAAGGATTACTGCTGTCCCACTTACCTGGCCTGTTGGGAGTTCATCTGCCACAGCAAGCTGTCCTGGGTACGGCTTCTTTTGCATTTTGTAACTAAGAAATTTCATTTGCATTTATTAGTGCAGACTTTGTAGATATCGGATGAGAAGAATCAGGTCCTCTAATTACTCAATCTGGCACTTTAAAAACAAGTATATAGATTAAAAAAAAGTATTTCAAAAGTATGTTATAAAAACTTCGAGTGACTGTTATTCATTGGACTTTGTTATTGCAGCTGTACCAAAGTCCCTCACTGTTTATCTCTGCAGTCTTTAACTTGTTAGCACTCATGCATGCTTAGTGATTGCTGCAGCTTCTCTTATTGTGCTCCTTATGTCCTCCTGCATGGTACTTGGTACTGCTGTTGCACATGTTGAGGATACAGTTTTTTTCAAATCCAGCCCCTCTAAATAATTTGAATAATCCTGTGAGTTACAGCTGCTGTTTACTCTTTTCCTCCCTTTGACAGGAGTTTTGTGACGCCTGGTTGGCCCAGGACACAGACAAGGCCCGCTTCATGGCTCGGATCTATCGGCACAGCATCGAGGCTATGCGAAGCGAACGCTTTAAGAAAATGTTTGTTGGTGGCTCAGGGTTTGTGTCCTGTGACCCGTACGCCATGGCGGCTGCTATTGATGATTCGTTCATCTTGGAATGTGACGAGTATCCTGTAAGTGTGGAGCTGACAGGCACATATACCCGGGGCATGATGGTCATGGATACTGTGGGGCTCCTGAAGGGAAAGGAGGCGCTTAAGAAGGCTTTTATCATGAAGAAGGTGGATATGAAGAAGTTTGAGCAGATGATGATGGCTGCTTTAAAATAACAGCAGTGAACATGCTAAAGAGCCATGAGTGAGAAACTTCCTGTCTGCAGATCTGGGCTGAACATAAGTGTTCATTTGTTGTTCTGTGGCCCCTCTGCTCTTTCATTTCAAGAGCATTTTTGTATTGTTTTTTCACTTGAAATGAAGCTCATTTTTTAAACTGTGATATAAATCCTAAAACTCACTTCTGTATATACAAATCCTAATCATATGATGCCACACAGCTTTTTTTAATGTTCAATCAGCAATAAAATGTTTTTTAAAAATAATCTCAGTTTAAACAAACTTATTTTATTCATTCTGCCTTTCATCACAGGTGTCATTTCATAACACAAAACACTCATTTATTCAGAAAAAAGCTTAAGTCGTGCACAGCGCTACTCAGCACATCATTCATTGCTGATGAATCATAAATCCTATTTCTGGTGGTGGAAATTGTCTCCAAACATTTAAAGTCCTTTGGTTTTCCACCGTCTTTGAAAACGTCCATCAGGTCAGGTTGTGAAGCTGCACGTCAACTAACCTGGACTACCAAACAACCTTATCCCACAGTCAGTCACCAGTATGGTCTCCTCAGTAACCTTTTCTTCCTCTGAATCTTGATCTTGTGTCCAGCTAGAAAAAAAGGAAACACTCTTGTTAAGGCACAGAACCGTTTCAGACACCAGTCAGGTCATCTTTGTATAAAACCAAATTTTTTGTTTCGTTTCTGGTCTCTCTGAGGAACACACCCACTGAACAACAGACGGCTATTAGACATCTAGTTTTTTTAGAGCTAATTTCAATCGTCTAGATTCTGTATATTTTTAGATGGCATTTAGACATTACACTTTAACCCATTATTCGATAACTATTTATTTAAAAAAGCAACAGTAAGTTGCATAACTGATCTCCAAGTACTTCATCAAAATAATTATGATAGCTGTTAAGCAAGAAATGCTCAGTGGGCTGTTAGACCTCTGTTAGCTGGCTATTCTAAACTTGATCTAAATTTAGACATCTAAAAAACTCATTTTTAGACCTGTAGTAGCCTGATTTTAGACCAGTCGTCTAGGCTACATCTAGACATCTAGGCAACATTTTTTCTTTTCCAGGGTGTTTTCACAAATGTCACATCACCCCTGCAAACTTACCATTGACCTCTTGCATTCAAAGAAAGATGTCTGTAAGGCTTTGCAGTGGCCTTCTTTCAAACATTCACTGGGCAGCTTCCCTTCCTGGAAAATTACAAAGAAAATTTAATATTAAAAATGAACAGGAAATTAGAGTAGGAAAAATGCACATAAAGATAAACAACTGCAAAAACTGCCTTCGCTCAGTATTCAGGAAGATGTCCTCTGATAATTATGAGGTTAATTGGTGAGAATGTTGCATGACCAGTTATCATTTATTGGGTGTAAATGGACAGCAAACACTGAACAAACCCACAATATTTGTAATAATATTGATATACTGAAAGAAAAAAAAAAGCGATGTCATGGGTCTAGATCACAATTTTGTTTTGAAAACTATTCCGGTCTAGTCTATCCGTATTCAGTCTTTATCTCACCTGTATGTCAGTCTTAATCTCACCTGTATTTTAGTCTCAATCTCACCTGTATTTCAGTCTTTATCTCACCTGTATTCCAGTCTTTATCTCACCTGTATTCAGTCTTAATCTCGCCTGTATTTCAGTCTTAATCTCACCTGCATTTTAGAATTTATGTCACCTGTATTCATTATTTATCCCACCTGTATTTCAGTCTTAATCTCGCCTGTATTTCAGTCTTTCTCTCACCTGTATTCAGTCTTTATGGGGAGCTAAGGTCGTCTTCTTACCTTTATCACACAGTCGTGCTGAAGGAGACAGGCCTTGAAGTCCTCTCTGATACCGGCGCATGCTCTGTTATCCTCCTCTTTATCCTCATAATACTTCGGCATTGTGCGGAATCCCCCCCAATACTTCAATCTAAAGGAATCTGTTATCGTAGAAACGCAGTACTCGGAGATGTAACAACACTCTCGTCAATGTTAGGAAAGCTGTCGGCCATGTTTATGAAACTGCATGATGGGAAAACGGAAGTATTTGCGATACGGAAATGCACGCTGGGAGAATTTGTAGTTTTTCACATGTAAAAGCTTGGAAATAGCGTTGACTTCGTGAAAAGATAATAGCACAGTATTAGGTTAAGTTGAGGTCAGTTTAAAAATATATATTTCGGTTTGTTTTGAACTTGTTACACTTAAATCGTACCTGTGATGTCGATGTAGATGGATGACTGATGCGAGCTGAGTGAAATCACAACACAAAAAATGGCCATGACTATTTACAATTTTATCATTTATTTCAAATATGTCCATGAAAAATGATGTCAAAAACATCAAAGGCAGGCAAAACACGAAAATGATGAAGGCACATGAACTGATGGATGTATGGGGGGGTTGTCTCCAGTCCACTTTCTGCTGACACAGTACGGGAATCACATGACCAATCATGCTGTTTTCATGCACTCATTCTGCTTGAATGTGGATGCAGAGCAAAGGGGGAGAAGCCATTCCTGTTAGCTGTATCTTTCCCCTTTTACAAATGTTTCATGTCAGTTACTTCTTCTAATCTGAGTTTGATAAAGAGGCAGAGATCAAGCTACTATAGTTTTATCTGCAGCTTTAAGGTGGAGGAGCCCCATTTACCAATACATATTGTCATTTACAACACATGATCATGCAAAAAATTGTCCTGTTTTCATATCAATTCCACCAAAAGGCACTTCACTGCCTCCTTTAATAAACCGTTATAATGGAAAATGTGTGAGGTTTCACTTAAGAATAGCTTCGACTTAAAACATTGGCCACACACACAAATTGAAAACACATCAAGTGAATCTCAATAAACCGTAAAGAGAGGGAGAAAAGAACAAAGAAAAAAGTGAGGGAAAGACTACGATAATGCTTGTTTCTTTTTATATATTTACAATCAGTGAAAGTACTACACAGCCTCAGCCAAACCATACAACAAAGGCGCACTCTACAGTGATCAGTAGTCATGATATTCTGTCCAACTGAAAGAAAAGACATTTGATTGGACAGAATCAATCGCTGTATGGATTTGGAGGAATCAGCGGAAAAAGCATCTACTATGGTAAGATGGAAATTTTATGTAGAATGGTGAAGGATGTGATGGTAACAAAATAGTAGTGAAAAAAGTGCAAATCACGCTGTTTCTTCCAATGAAAACTTAGATACTGTTCTTAAAATCCAATCACTTATTGGACTGTGTTATTTGAAGTCGTTAGTATTTCCAGCAATCCAAGTGTAGGAAAAAGTGAGGGGGAACAGATTGAAATAGAGTTTCTGAGAGTTCTTCAAGAGACCTGGATGTAAGGCACATATTTTTAAATTTTGACTCACAACTTCTTCAACAGCAAACCCTTCAAACCTCTCCTACAATTCAGCTTCATAGCAGTGAATATTAATCATTTTAGTTAAAACATTTACCTTCAAGTGAAAAGAAACCGTCACAGCTGCTTTTACCAACAGACAAAGCAACTTTGCAAGTAGCTGAAATAATGAAACAAAATGTTTAAAAATACAGGAAAAAAAAACACAAAAGTAAACAAGTAAACAAGTAAAACAGACTCTCAACTACCATAAACATCTCTTCATAGAATAAAAATATATTTTACCTCTTGTACAAATTAAAGATTTATTTCAAATAAATTAAGTCACCTTCATAGATCGTCATAGCTGTAATAATATAACAATATATTCCTTCAGGAAAATGACGCCAAGGCAATGTCTGATTGGTTTACTAGAAATGGACACTGAGGTCACAGACGGCCTGTCAGACAGGAGGTGAAATAGATAAGGTGTCATGGTATTTATTATCTTGATGGATCGGGGTAGTTGCCGCTGAATCTGGCCTATTGGTCGTTGATGTTGTTACTGACTGGCTCATCCTGAGATTTCTTTCTTTTTTTTTATTTTCAGGAGAATTTGAATGTCTGAGTGTGTCTGAAAATACTCAGGAAATGATGGAATCATTTGTTTTGTTTGGGCTGGTGTTGATCAAGAGCTCCGTCACCTCTCTGTGGAGAACAGAGAGCGACCGGCCATTAGTGATGACAACATTCTTGGTCATCACGGGCTCAGCTGAGGCGCTAGTGACAGTGCAATGCCCCTACTAGCCCAGAGGTGGCAGCATCGAGTAACAGACAAGGATTTGGCAGCATGTACACCAGTGGCCAGGTGACTGGTTCTCCCCACATGTGATGATTTGTCTTCATTCATTCCATAGTTACATCTGATCGTGTTCAAAGCTGTTGAATAAAACAGTCTCTTCGAGAGCCGGAGCTGGGAACAGATGTCTTCACACACTTCACTGTTGTGTGTTAGACAGTAGTATTCACATTCTCACTAAAATGAAGTAAGAGCACAAGAGTGATGGAAAGATGCGGATAAAGACTCGATGGATGGGAAGCAAAATAAAGAACGTTAGGAAGAGCGGGGACAGAGAGGTGGCATTCCTCAGACGAGCTCGGACGAGCTACTCTAGTGGGCTCTAATAACGTCACTGCTGTTTGCCGGGTGCCAGGGGCCCCGCATAAGCAGTCCAGGACATAGTGGTCCCCCTAGGGCTATGACTCATGTGCCCCAGTCCAGACAAGTCAGCCAGCTATCCTCTTGATGTGTATCTGCAGGAGGAGAGAAGAGTAGAGACAGCTAGAGTGAGAGGTATCAATCGGTGATTGGACAGGAGATCACTGGTGTGACCCGTGATCGGCTTACCTCACTAACAATGGCCCACACTGCTGAGTCTTTGAGAACTGAGAGTCGAAGTGCAATGATGGGATTGAAGGACGGATCCACAGTGCCCTCTGCCACACCTTTCACAAACTGACCTGTGAGATTCAACACACACATACAAAAGCATGTATGAAGTAAGATGACTCATATTTGTGAACAGGGAGTACTTGCCAATGAGTGAGCAATTACAAGGGCACTGATGTGAGTAAAGACTTCATGTGTTTGAATTCTTCTAAAAGCTGATCATTAGTAAAAGCAAAAGTCTCAAAAGGAGAAAATGACTGCAGGAAGAGCTGACAACTTCAGATGAAAATGGGTGTGAAAAAGGCTGTGACTGAGAACATTTCACACACTTTTGTACATCGTCTTTCACTGCAGGCACCATGAGCGTGAGTGTGTAATCTGATCACGATGCTTCACTGTTTGTATGCACTCACACACTTGAAGTTCTAGGAGACTGTCAGATCCACTCACCAATCCTGTAAAAGCGGTCCTCACTCCGTTTGTACTTGTCTTTGGTCTGTAGTCCGGGTTCCTAACGAGTGGTAAAGAGAAGAGAGGACAGCAGAGTTAAAGATGAGCTACGAATGTTAATGATTTCTCATTTGAGCGTGAACACATGCTAGCAGCTGTGCCTGCACTGGTGGTGTGAACCAGTGTGAGAATGTATCGCCTCTGGCACAGCAACGATTTTGTCATGCTTACATTCCTGTCAATAATCAATATGCTACGTCCTGAAGAGCAACCGTTCAATGTCATCTAATCAAAACCATTTGCACATCGCACCACAAAAGGGTGGCAGACTGTGGGTGGTGTGGGTGGTGTGTGTGTGTGTGTGTGTGTGTGTATGCGTGCATGTGTGTGTGGAGGGGGTGTTTCCTTACTGAAACAGGCAGTATTTCCACTGTGGTGTTCTCAATCTTGTCCCCTGGGTGTTCCTGGTTACCACTGCGAAACAGGAACCTGCCAATCAAACCAGGCATCTCTTTAAAACTTCTACCCACAGACAGCAGCATTTCACACAGACTGACTATATATTTGTGGAGGCACATGGACTAAAAAAAAATATGAAGCCAAACCAGCACAAAATGAACACCACCTTTTTCAAATAATTGCATTCACAGTAACTGATTTCATGGGAGGCTTTAAAGGTGTTTTTGAACAACATGAAGCCAAGATATCTGGCTGTTGGTGCTCTAATAATGAATCTCTCATTGTGGTTGGTTTTGACATAAACTTCCTGTTTTGTTGATTTTAAGCATTTCACTTCATTATAACCTTGTGTTTTGTTTCATTTCAGGTCAATTCAGGCTAACTGCATTCATAAAGCACGTTTAAAAACAACTAAATTTGACCAGTGTTTTGCAAAAGTATCTATCTGAAGAATTTTGTTTAATCTATGTTCAAAAATGAAGAGGCTTAACTTCGGACTTAAAAATAGAAACATCCTTTACTGAAAGAAAACCCCACGTGATAACTCCTCACAACATAATGTAACAGATTTTTTTTCCAATTCCTGCTGAACTTCCTGTTTACACCAAGGTGCATTCTGGGTAATGAAGTCCCTTTAACCAACTTAAAGCTTCGGCTATGAAATAATGCTTTTACTCTTCTAGTCAATAAGAAAACATGAAATAATGTTCAAAAGAAATCTTTTATTTAACAACCTTATATTCAAATAAATTACACCCTGATGAATAATTAACCTAATAGCTTGTTTAACCTCTGACTTGTATTCGCTATCAATTAGTGTTAAAACAGTATCACTGCATATTTTGAGGCAGAAACTTAAGAAAGAAGATGACACTCCTGATAAAAGAAGTTTAAACTCACTGAGCTTCTTCTGATTTGATAAAGGTCAATTAAATCAGACAAGATCGTATTCTCCTCATTTCCATTTAGTTTTCTTTGAACACACACCTCTTCTCTACTAATACACACTAAGTTGCCTCTTCCTTACTGTTTCTCTTTCATCCTATGTGTCTGCTTTGTTGACTTTCTTCATCAGCAGCATGTTTTATAAAGTCACACAAATATCACAGCGTTTGGGATGTTTTGCGAGTGATTCAGCGATAAAAACAGGTGGAAAGTGTAGACAAAAAGGTCTTGTGCCATAAGGTATAAAAACAACACAAAAACTTAAAAAAATGTAGAATAGGATCAGCAGTGACTCACATCTTCAGAAAATCTGTATGTGACATGATTTTGTACCTCAATGAAGAGACAAAAGGGAAGCACCTCAGTTTATACACCAGGGTAATGGGAGTGAGGAGAGCTTATATGAGAAAATATTTTTAAAAAACTCCTACGGTGGAAAAATATCCTTACTCAGCTATAAATTCACACAGGCAGAATGCATGCTTGCTACACTCCTCTCCTAAATAACTGCAACAGAAACATTCATGCACTTATGGCATACATCCACTTTGTAATGCAGTAACTGTATGTGTCAGAAACAGAAAGGTTTAGATTTAAATCCAAAACTCAGCTGATTTTAGAGCAACTTAACAATTTAAGTTCACAAGCATGGACACAGTTGGAGTGCTTCAGTTGTAGCTTTTCTGTTTTGAATCCAAGGTGAGCAAGATTCAAAATGAGAAAATCTTAAAGCTGTTTCCAAAATTCCAAAAGAAGGTTTTTTTTTTTACTCATGTCAGTTGATGCTGAGAAATCATGAGCATTTTCTGTTTTAGAGTCAGCGAGTCAGAAACAGGAGAGAAACTACAGCCAGAGACTGAGGTGTTGACACTTCTTACAACATGCTGTATCGCTTCTTTACCAACTGCTGATGAGATGTTTCTCAATCAGCAGGGCTAGAGAGCGCGAGCCAGCGTAATTGGTGTCATTTAAAAGCAGACAAAACACTTCAGAGTCAGACAGTGGAACAGAGGATGGCTCCTGTCCAACATGCTGCCACTTCAATGGAAAGTGACCTGCTGTCTCACACACTTGTCACACTGTCCTTAAATTATCCCTACAAGAGCAGCAGTATCACTATAAAGCACTATAAAATGAATCCCCACATCATGAACAAAAATATACACGCTTCGGTGAGTTAGAATGAAAAATCAGAGACTTCGGTTAGCACACCCAAGGCCTTATTTTCTGCTGACGTCTTTTTTAATCCGTGTTAGTCAGCAGCGTGCCTTTGGGCATCGCAAAAATAAAACTCCGCTTTTAAGTCTGCATATTTATGACACATGAAAACGCCACAGGTGACGCGAGATTTATGAGAGTGTCAAACTAGCATGTTCAATAACAGACATGTCTAAGAAAGCTTTTACCAATACACTGAACATTCATTAAACTATCATAAAATTTCTCAAATGGCCTCTAAACCCTCTGCCAATTCTTTATGTTTTTATATTCTGTCTTGTAAATATCAAAGACCCTTTGCAAGTCTGCTTCGATCCAGGTCGTCACTCTCCCCATCACATCTCTTTAGATTCTCTGCCTTGCCCCCTCTCTACCCTGATGTCCACAGAGAGAAGGCTGGGCTGTGAATGCTTATTTTAGAGCACTCTCATTAGCTCACCCTGATCCCTGAAGACATGCGGCGCACACACATTCAAACATGCACATGCACAATGGAGCTGAGCCTGAATCAGTAAAAGGGCAGCAGGCAGAAAAGAGCGATTTTGCATGCGCCTGTTTGTGCAAAGGTTATGGTAATTTCTACAAAAAGATGTAACAAGTTGGACCTTTTTTTTTTTTTTTGCATACTCCACAGATTAATTGAATGCTGTGCACCTTGCAGATGAAGCCTTTTACGCCTACCTTTCTATGCTAACAGGTCTGTCAAACTTGAAGAGGACGTAGTCTCCTGCAGTCGGGGTGATGGCCCAGAAAAAGTCCTCTCCTAGGTACGTCTTCTCCAGAGTGTGACCCTGATACACCTGTGTGACACATTAAACATTTGAATTAACTAAATTTAGCATTGCTGATAAAGTTCGTTTTATGTATAAGACTTAAATAAAAGTTAAAACTCAGAGATGATATACTCTTAAAACCCTGAGACAGTACCTTCATTGAAGTGGAAACCTCAGCCGGGGGGTTAACATGCATCTTGTGGAGAAGAGGCTTCAGGAAGTCCTTATCCTTCACAGACACACACAGAGGAAATTTCTACACACTTCTACAGGAAGTCAAGTGCACTTTTTTTGCAAATAAAAAACTCTGAGACTCACTGTGAGTTTCTGAATTTTCCCAGCAAGAGAAGAATGGAGTCCCACATGCTGAAACAGGGAGGGTCTGAACCGCACACGTAGGCTGGACTTCTGACGCTCACAGTGTTTCTGCAAATTAAAAAAACAGTAAAAGGAACAGTGATGAGACTGTTTACTTCAGGGACAACACTAAGAGCTTTACTGAAAGTGCTGCACATACAGCATCTTTCTCAGGATTGCAGACTTTGACCCAGAGGATGTGGTCCAGCAGCCAGTCGATGGGTTTCTCTTTGTAGAACATAAAGATGAACTCCACAATGAGGTTCAGGTCCGGGGCCTGGAACATTTTTCCTGCAGGACAGAGAACAGACTTACTAAATAACAACCGGCCACATGATGTGTTAGTTAACATGAAAACAAACTGGGAGATTAAATGAAATCACAGTTTAATTTGGAATTAAAGTAAACCTATTTTAAATCTTAAATATGCTCAATTTGAACGCGCCTTTCTCTTGCTAATCACATAACCTTTGAATGATGTTTAGAAAGCCTGTTTAAAAGTGTAATTTTACAGGCTGCTAATTACACAACAATGGAAGTTCAGCAACAGAGAAGCCACCCATGGGAGAAATGTAGCTTAGCTAAATAACGCCACTCAGCGAATGTAGTTTACGCTACTCTGTAAAACAATAAGGAGATCACATACCAGAGTAAAAAGGTATTTTAGCATAAACCCTATAAAAGCCGGGCTGAGATGATTTGAGAAATTCTAAACCAAGCCAGGATCCCGTCTCATTCTTTCATCAGCTGACTACAAAGATCCTACTGTATCTGACAGACCCCCTGTGAATGCCGAGTATTGATCATGTGCTGAACAAACCGCACCGATGAAGCCCAGCTGAGAGAACTCAAGGATCATCCAGTCTTCTGATGAGAGCTGCAGCGCAAAGTTCTTCATTGTGGCAAAGTAGTTGGGTTTCGCCACGATGTCATCCTCCAGCTGAAGTAACAGAGACACAGAAAGAGCGAGATTGTAAGACAGTGGGAATGCATTTAAGGAGAGATGAGTTTATGGTTGATGCAGAAGGGGGGGGGGGGGACTCTTCTATATTCACAAAAGGAAACACTGTCTGAGCTGAGGTAGGGAGCGTTGGAGGCGCTACACTAAACCAAAGTAGGTGTCAGACAGGAAATACCTCTTCCCTTTAGCTGAGAGCAGGGAGAGTAACTGACACACCCAGGCAGAAAACAGAAAAAACAGAAGATTAACAACACAGGAAAACTAAGCAGTGAATGTTTGGTGTTCAAATCTGCTCAAGAGTAAACATTTATAGCAGCATTACCAAACTAGCTGCCTACTTTAGCCAAGAAACAGATAAGAGCTGTGGAAGTTAAAGAGGATTAAGAACAAGTGAAAAACAACAACACTGGCTCTGATGAATGACCAGCCAACAACAATACACGTTTATTTCAAGGCCGCATTTGTCTAATAGCAGATTTTCAAGACGACTTATATGAGACTCCATCCCAAAATGCAGTCATGTATCATAACTTAAACCTACCTGGACATAATAAACCCCTTTGCTCACAGCGTACATCATAAGGAAGGAATAGTCCAGGTTCTGCTTGGTTCGCCATCTAAATACAGACAGAATCATTAAAACACATGAAAAAGTGAATCAGTCTTCTTGTATTTGAAGGTATCCTCCGGCGTGTTTTACCTTTGAAGAGCCTGTCAGAGACACCTCTTAACATGCTAAACCTAAATTGTGCAAATCAGGTCCTCCCAGTTATACTCAATGTTACAACAGCAGGCTCTGCTTGAATTATTTATAAAGCAGAGCTGCCACTAATTGTTTGATCTGAATGATCTGCCCTTGTTGCCGTGTGACTCATGAGCTGCAGGTGTTCATGATGCTTCTGGCAGGTGTTGGGAGTTGGAACGCAGATGCACATCCGCACGCACACACATACACACACACTGACACTCATACATGCTTTTAAATTCAGGTGAACAGACTCCTCAGATATGTGCGCACACACTTGAACTTGGCCATATGGGTGCTGCAGCTTCAGCTCTGAAGGACCGCGGTGGGTCTTTTTCTAGACTTCTAACTGGGGCACATGCACAAATAAACACACAAACATACAGTATATACAAAAAAAAGCCTTCTAGACATGTTGGGAAAAACACCTCACACCTACACTCACATCTACGTACAAACATAACACCGACTCTTGGGGGCCTACAGGTTTGTAACAGAAAGCCTACCGTAAGGAGTTGTCACAAACTGCACCATAAACAGATTTCTAATGTAACCAGATGTTAACTGACTATAAAGAGAAGATAAGTCCAGAGGATAATAAGAGGGAGCGTTACAAAGAAGAAGAGATAGAGGGTGCTGCTGCTGATGACCGTGATCTGACTTTGAGAAATGCCAGTGGAATACTAAGTAGCCAAGCAGCCTACCTAAAAGCTCCCGCTCTCTCCCGCTGTCTCTCTCTCTCCCTCACTCACTCACTCCCTCCCACTGTCCCCCTGACTCATCCTTCCACTTTTTTTTCCTCCTGCAATCCTCATCACAGCTCGCCTTCCTGTCCTTTCTCTCCGGGGCTGATTTCTCCATCATTTCTGGTATGATTTCTATCACATTTTGCTAATTACGTGGCAGCGCACCGAATAACAGATAACGCAGATGGCATGCCTGAGAGAGCTGCTTACCTGACTCTCTCCTTGGAGTCCCCGAAAGTCTCTTTGAGGTTGGTGAGGTCGGGGTAATAGGCGGCTGGAGGGGAGATCACCTCTAGCAAGCCTGAGTTCAGCTCTGTAGAAAACCTGAGGAAGAAGAGCTACTGGAGTGAGTCAACTGTCTCTCTTAGGATATTTTTATATAGCGTGCAATAGCAGATGTGCAAAACTCTTAAGACGAGAGAACGTATACATATATATATTTGTATAAGAGTTGGGATGTTATGTGATGTGTTGATGAAAACAGAATTTGATGGATTGCAAATCATTTATCACCTACATTTAATTGAAAATTGTGCAAAGACAATAGCCCAAATGATAAGACTGAAAATTGCTGTTCAAATGGAAAAACAGCCCTTTATCAAAACATGCTCATCTGATTCCAGCGACACGTTTCTGAGCAGTTGGGACTGGGACAACAAAACACTGAAAAAGCTGTTATTCTCATATAAAACACCTGGAGGAAGATCTGCAAAACTGATTACATCAATTTGCAACAGATTAGTAACATGACCGTGTACAAAAGCTTTCAAAAGAGTTTGAGCAAGTCGAAAGATGTGAAGAGATTCACCAACTTCTGAGAGACTGGATGAGGAAATAGTTGAGCAATTTCAGAGTAATGTTCCTGTGCATAAAACTGAAAAGAATTACGGAGTTTCATCATCGGCAGTACAAAATATCATCAAAGGTTCAGAGGATCTGCATAAATCTCTGCACTGAAGAGACGAGACCAATAACTGAATATTCAGTGGACACGACCTTCGGGTCTGCAGGTTGCACTGAGTTAAAAATGTCTGTAGTAGGAATAACTGCATGGGCTCTACATCATTTCATTTTAGAAAGACACAGTCTGTGATCATAGTTTGTCACCAACAACTGCAGGTGAAAACCGTCCCATGCAAAGAAGAAACCACATAGAAATATGATCCAGGAATGCAGGTGACCGAGGCAAAGTGCAAAACTTGACTGTGGTCTGACACGATAAAATTAACGCTTTTTGAAGGTACCATGACAAAGGAACAGATGAAATCCCATATCAGAAAAGAATAGGTTGACATCAAACTTTTAAAACTCCCAAAACTGGCCTCCAAAGTTTCAAAGGAGGTGAAGCAATGCAATGGCAAACATGCCCCTGTCCCAGCTGTTTGGAAACACACTGTCATTAAATGTTTTAAAATTCTCGTGAAAAACAAGACAGAGATCATTGCGTTTGGACCCAGTGCTTCCTGTGACATGTCTCTGATGGAGCCAATTTGAAAAGAAAAACAGAATAACTCTGTTATCAAATCTTGTTTTTATCATCCCTGTGGTTTAATGCTGATTCTTTTGCAGTCTCTGTATGTCTTTTACAGGTTCTTACTGTTTTATAGATTTTATGTCATTTATTTGTGTTGTTTTTTTCTGTCATTTTATCTTACTGTGCAGCACTCTGGTAAACACTACTGTTTGTTAAGTGATTGGATTTGATGTTGCCGGCATCAAATAGAGTATATAGCTTTCATTAAACATTTAGTTTTTCAATTACAGTATCGTATATGAAGTCTTTGGACTAAACTCAATCAAATAAAGGCGTTACATGATTTGCAAACCCTCATATCCTGTTTTTATCAACATATTATAGCCTGTCACAACTCTTTTTGATTGGTTCAGTGTCTCCGTTTATACTCTAGTGTGTTTTTTTCATAGTTAAGAGTTAAATGCAGTGTAATATTCTAGTTTATTTCTTGAAAAAATGTTGGTTTCTTCAATGTGCGTTTTTTTTAATACACAAAAAAGCCCTCCATATACATAGCACATAAACTGCAGTGTGTTCGACCTGTCCATTACTTGTGCAAATGTCAATAAACAATAAGCCTCTCTTTTTTCTCTTTTCTTTTCTTTGAAGGCAAGGCAGTGCACTCACTCTTTCTCCAGGCCAGCAACCACACTGTGAACGTAGTCCTCATCAGTCTGCAGGGTTCAAACAAGAAAACACATGTAGCACACACATCAATTTTTCATTTGCTGTTCAGAACAATCCTGCCATGACTCATACAGGAAGAACATGAGATCTCACCTCCCCGACAAAGACTATTATGACACAGTCCAGCTTCTCCTCTGGTGACAGCTTGTCTATCAACGAATGCAGCGTCTCCGACAAGTAAGACTTCACCTTTCGCTTCACTGTTGGGATCCCCATCACCATGGTAACTGAGAAAAAAAAAAGACAGAAAAGTGCAAGGTGAGAGAAGAAGTGTGGTACGCTGCAGGGGTGCCCGTTGAATCAGATGGATCCAGAATCAAACAATGTTTGCTGTTAGACAACTGCAGATTAGATGGACTGAAATGAATAAGAAATTCATGCCCAGGCAGACAGATGGCAGTGGGAAGAAGGACTAAAGGAGGTTTTTTTGTAATACATCTATCTACAACACCATGCTGCTTGTTATTAAAGAAACATGTCCTTAAACAAGAATCATACACAAAGAGGGTAAAGTTGTTGATTCTTGACAAATTGCAAGTCGAACCGCGCTGCTTTGGTAATGACAACAATGTGCAGCCGAGGAAACTACCAAATATGAAAACATTCGTTCTTATCCAGCAAATCAGGGCTGCCTTAATTTAAGGGTTTTTGCTACCAGCTAGAATAAACAAAGCCAAGCAGGCCAATGTAAACAGAAAACAGGGTCAAAAAAGGAATAACGGCCTGAGAGAGGATTTCTGACTGTTTTTCTTAAGATGTGACCAGTGAGTCATCAGCTGATCCAAATGCAGATCATTTCATTTCCTCAGCAAGTACTGTGATTGATCAAGACAGCCTCCCCACAAGCTCTGAAACATTTCCAGGGAAAGTTCAAAGAAAGGTCACATGTGGGAAACACTTTACATTCAGCACTAAAGTGAGACAACAGACAAGAGACCGGCCATTGTCGTCTCCTTATCGCTCCTATTGTGCGAGGCTCGGAGTGGAGAGGCGAAAACAGACGGCCTCTTCTTCTTTATTGTCTGAGGATTCCACGATAAGTACACCAGACTACGAGGACACAACAGGCTGCTGCAGACATAAAGCCAGTTCATCTTACCCACGAGGATAGAAGGATCACTTTCACGAGGGAGCAGAGTGACAAGTCCTTGTGAGGTTGAACGAGTTTCCTGGTTCATAATCTGAAACTAAATCAGTTTTTTCCTCATGCCAGAGAGAAATGTCAACGGCGTGAAAGTGCGAATTAGCCTGCGTGCTCCCTCTTTCATGTTTACATTACTCTTCCTGGAGACACATTGTACTTGTCCTTTACTGAGCTCAAACCAAAGACAATTTTGCATAATGTTTTGCATAACTTCTACTTTGCTTGGACAAAGAAAGTAAAAGCTGAATGAGTGTTTTAGTCAATAACAACTTGTCCTGAAAGAAAAGCACAGTGAGAAGTACGTGGAACAAGGTTACAGTGTGCCTGTGTTTCCTTGTGTGTGCTTGTGTGCACATGTTCATTTAACAGGGGGAAACATGCTGACTGAGCTGATATGGGGGCACACGAGGGGCCCCGCGAAAAAAAGAACAAAACAAAGTTGCTGTATGAGTGAGCGGCGCAGTGGACTTGAGAGAGGGTCCAATCCTCCAGAGTGATCTGCGCAGCGTGGAGAATCTGTCCCAGTTTCGCTTTGTGTTTCTCACACTGAGCTCCGTGTCGTATAGCGACACCCACCACCACCGAGAAAGTAGGTCGAGGATGAAAGGAGAATGTGGGAGGAAGGAAAAGAGACAGAGAGTGACAGAATAAGGAGGAGGGGGGGAGACGGTGAGTGAGTGATAATGCATGCAAGTGCGGCGTGAGCAGGACCGACTCGGAGGCAGCCCCTCCCCATGTCCCTTGATCGGCCTGCCCGCGTCACTCTGCCATCTTTACATCTCGTCCAGGAAAAAAAACAATAAAAACAAAAATAATCTACATATATGTCTGCTTCTCTGTCACATAAGTAAAAAACCTGATTTGGTGTCACATACGCACTGAAGAGCCGCTGTTCAGCTGTGTTTTCAAACAACAAATGCTGCCTGATTGTTAGTTTGAACTGAGCCTATTTAGGATTTTATTTTCCTGTTTGAGAAGCAGAGTTTTTATTTTCAAGGGTTGAGGTTTGTGACATGAGGGAAATGATCTCATAAGAAGTTTAACAACTGAGTGGAAAAAGTGAAGCATACCTATGTGTCAAACCAGATAACACTTTGGCGTGATGACTCATTGATTTGTTGGAAGTTTAGTGAGTGAACTTTCAAACTTGGTGACTGTTTTGAAAGTTAATTTTTAATTCTTTTTGCATGTGCAGCTTATAGTGCAGTGAATAAAGTGAGGAACTGGGAAGAGAGAAGAGGAAATGACATGGGGTAAGGTCAGATTTAAAGGAGGAGGTTGACCTCTGTACATGGTTTGTGCTATTAAACATCCCCCTACTCCTTAACTTACTCTATACTTCTAAGAATGATGACTCATGTTTAGACAAAGTAACCACATACGACTTCATGTCAGCAAGAGGAACCATTAGATCTTTAATATGTATTTTTACAACCAGCAGAGTTCTTCCTGCGTATAAAAGAACAAGGCGGCTGCTTTTGCCTTATTTTGGCACTATCTCCAGCCCCCATCAGAAGTGACGTGTGTTTTCATGAGGAACATCATTTCCCAAGAACCAGATTAGGTCAGCTGGTTATTTTTAAATGCAATTACAGCATCACTACAATGTTAAAGAGGCCCTATTTTATGGTAAGTCCAGTGCATCAGAAAATACGTTATCAAAACTGCCCCAAAGGAAGAGAAGTGAAAAGATTTCTTTCCATTTGTGTTCATTTTGCTACGGGTAAGGACACCCCTACGTGTCGAAAAATAAAATGTTACATGCATATCCGCACTTTTTTTTCACATATAATTCTGTTCGTCTGTCCGTCTCTCTCTTCAGCACTGTCAGTGTGTATAAGAACAGTAAAAGAACGCTTATTAATAACACACAGATACAGTTCAAATAAAAACATGTTACTGCCACCAACATTCATTAGGACAGAGTTCATAATAGCAGCGGGTACCAGCCTGCTGTCAATCAACTGCTCTGACACCCACCTCCTCACAGCAGGTTCAACAGAACAGAGAAACTATCAGACATGCTGCAGATGGTCTCAGTTTTAGCTTCAATCTTTCTTGATCATTGACAAACTCCTTAAAAGACAGTGCCTCTAAAACTATATTTATTATCAATAAAACGGTCTTTGATGTGAGTTTGTCCTTTCTCTAATTACACAATGACTACAGTTAGCTGGTGTGTGTGCACAATAAAGGTGCTGATTTTGAGCCAGGGAAAACCTGTAACTAAGTTTGATTTCTTGTTAGTAAAAAGAATTTTTTAAATATATTTGGGATCAAATATTCTCCTGTGTAACCAGTTTGAATAATGGAGATGACGTCAATTGAAAACTGCACTGAATTATACTGAAACAATTCAATGTGGCCAGAATGGACTTTCTAATGAAAACTTCAATAAAACTGTGTCCATCTGTTCCATTAACAGCAGCAGTGAGGGGAGCTGGTTTTGTTTTAGTTTGAGGCACAGCTTTGATGCATTTTTAATGTTTTTGGTTCGTTTTGCATGTACATGTTTGCTTTTGATGTTTAATCAAAAATGTTCAAAAAGATCACTTTTTTATTGATTCATTTTGAAGGCTTTGTGTTTAATTGGCCATCGGCGGCTCTGCGGCTCATGTCATTTTTGAGTCCACTTTTGTGAAGGGATTTGGAAACACAGATTTTCTCATGCAGATAAGGATGTAGGAATCAAGGTCTCAGTCTGAGACCTTGGGATAGTCGACTATGTGTGTGTTTGTCTAATTGAGTGGGCAAACAAGTACGTTTGTCAGTAAATGAGGCCTATATGTTACACTGGAATGTACAGCGGGAAACCCTACAGCCCACATCTGCGAAGTGTACCCACTGAAAAGGACGTTGACCTGTTGAGGTGAACTCACAAAGCTCACTCTCTTAATCTACAGTCTCATTATGGTAAAAGATCCATTCACAACAACCTTTAAAAAAAATGTGTCATGTGACAAGTCTTCACTCAGAGCCTAAAGCAGAATACACAGACCTATACATGTCTCACTGTTTGATGAGTATCCACAACCATTCACATCCTGGACATGTGTGTAAACAACAAGTCTGTTTATGCTTTTCCAAAGTCAACTATGTGTGGACATCCGTTTACACCCTTAACTGACTGGCAGACAGTGGCAGGTGAAATGCAACGTGCAGCGCTCTCCTGCTTTGACATGTGAGATCAAAGCTGCTGGAAAGAACCAGAACCACGCTTGACTTGTTCTCCTTTAGCTGTGCATAGCAAATGAGGAGTGTGCAACAATTGTTGTTTCCAAACCAAAAGAAACCTAAGATAATGGAAAGCTTTGGATTTGACCAGACTAAGGTGAGGCTTACACTCATCTTCCAGGTACTCGGTGACACATTATTTCGATGGGTGAGAGCGGTAAAAGCTGAGAGTTCAGCTTTTAAAAAGTGACTAAAACAGACACAGACAGAAAACAAGAGGAATTCGCTATGCGTACATGTGGCTGTCTCCTAAATCGACAATGCCCTGAGATACAACTCAGATTGACCACAGCAACATGATACCCTTATGCAATCAAAGCATCAGGCTAGCCTTGAGAACATGTTTGTTCTTTTCCCTCTCCAATAAGAAACAAGATTCTAGACACCAAGAGTGACTGATAGAATTACAATACCGTCAAACATCAAAAGGCTGTATTGTTATGTTGTTTAAATGGGCAGCAGGAGCGAGCCAGTGTATGCATGCCTGAGTATCCACTGAAGGTGATTGGATCCAGATTAGACTGGGCTGATTAGATTCTGTTGATTAATGAAACAAAATCACTACTTGGCTGATCAGACTGAACAAGTGATATAAAATCCAAAGTTTCTACGCGGTTACTTTCTCTCCTGGTAGTGAACGAGCAATCATATCAGAGCCAGAAATAAATATGGGTTAGCACAAGAGATTTTGATATAACTGTCAACTTGTAATTTAGCTGTTCATGCCTCATCCACTGAAACAAAAAACTGTGCTGCATTACAACGAGCAAAACTGGCAGCGTAATGAGCAGCAGTGAGTGGGAAGCTGATGAGAGGTCATGTTGTTGACACCGTACTGGCAACTGCTACTTGTTAAGCCAGGAAACCTGCACAGAGACATGTGGGATCTGAGAGAGACAGCGAGAACCGTCATATATGTAAAGCCCTTGCAGTGAAGTCCTTGCGTAGCAGCTGGCACCATACATTAGAGCAGAGCCGTGATTGTCCACACAGTGACTTACGGCCTACCAGGAGAGTCAGCAAAGACAAAGACTGCAATGCAAGGAATGTTTAGGGAGAGAAAGGGGAATAAAAAGAGATATTCAACTGTAACATGTGACATGTTTAAAGGCTCAGCAGTGTAAACAAGGGTTGCTGTTGCTTGGCAATGAAAAAGTAATGACTGTGTAAAAAACGGCAAAAGTTGTGAAGCTCGTTGTTTGCCAACATCTTATACACAAACGTGTTTCAAACAAGCAAGGCCTGATAATGCTGTTTTTTTTTTCCGTTTCGGTGAAAAAGGTGCTTCAGTCAGGCTCTCCTTCAACCGACTCAGCCTGGAATGTTCTCTGGTTTCTTACAATAATCCTTTTCCAATTTTAGGAGGGATTATGTCCTAATTTGCTCAGCTATGAATGTCAGATACACCCAAATCAGCTGAGACACAAATAAACAGACACAAGCAAAGAGGACAACTAAGAGGACAAAATTAAAAAAAAGAGGATGTTACAGAAATTCTCGGGGCCCTGACGCAAAACTCTGCCATAGCTATTAAAGTGTGTCACAAGGCACGCACGGGTTGGTGGGTAAAACTTCTCAGAGGCAGTCCTGTGACTCTGAGACCTTTAACCCCGCAGATCCACAATCGCTTCCCAGTGGCAGTATTTCTGGCTGGCTGGTGCATTCCAGCAAACACAACTGATAGTGTTTAACAGGGAGAAGCCTGTGAGGATAAAGGCAGCAGGCAGCAACACAAACTGCTCATTATCTGGGGTTAGGAATCTCCTTTAGGTTTTCTCAAAGACAGCCGAAGAAAGAAGAGTCTTAAAACCCTGTGTGGAGGTAAGAGATACCTGCTCACCTGTCATAAAAGCAGACAGACTGGCAACCAGTAGGAGATGGCAATGATAGGCCTTTTTTCTCTCGCTCCTGTGGGAATACCTCGTACCAAGTGATCAAACGGGCCAGGGACAAGGAACTCCTACTTGTTCCAGACTTCTCCCTCTTTCTTCTCCTTTAATTTGTCAAGGGCCTCTGTTCTTTCCCTGGCTTTGTCGTCAGGAATGTGGGAACACAATTCAAGCTGTTCAGCCCACCCCCCCCACCCCCTAAACCTGCGCCCCAAATTCACCACACACCTATCACACTGGCAAAGCTCAATGAGTAATCCTCTTAGAGAGACCTTGATAAAGCAGAGGTCACATTCACGCTGCTGCTCGGGTGTGAAAGGAAGAAATTTAAAAATAAAACTATGGTGGCTGAAAATAGGAGTTAATGGAGGAGGGTGAAACAGCAGCGGATTAATTCATATAAAAGAGCGGGCTGATGGAAAACAGAAGCGTTCTGTGGGCTTTTGTGACCCTGTTGGAAATGAAAATAACAAATAAAGAGAAACCAAGGGACAATAAAGACACATTACTGAGCGTAAAAAAGGAATAAGAGTGATATCTTGAAAAAGAGGAGAAACACAGTTTGATCATGCATCAAGAGATGGGGTACGTGACATGTAAAGTAAACAAGGAGACAAACCGTACATACACTACATGTTATTTAGAATGAGCCAACAGCAAAGCTCGGTCCAGAGGGGATACTTGTTGTGAACTAGTCATCAACTGAAACTTGTTGGGACTTGGCCCCCTCCCTGGTGTAATGAAGGTCTCTGGAGGTTTCAGTGTGTTTGTGTAGGACTGGTGTACAAAGTCTAAAGGGAGGACTCATTAATCAGACAAGATACTGTTGTTCTGAAAGGGTAGTAGGTAGCGCACGTGTGCATGCTTCTCACCTCCTGTGCGGCCGAGTCCAACCTGCACGGCCGGGTGCAGGCTGCCCTCATTGTTGAGTAGGTGAGGCAGGTGGTGGTAGATATTTGGCACCTGGAGAGGTTTCCGATTCGCGAGCTCCTTCAGTAGTTTCTGCGTCTCATCTGGAAGCAGACAGAGAAATGAAGTGAAGAGGAGGAGGAGGAGTCCTCTCTCGGCTCTATGAAGTGATGACAGGGGTTACATTTACTGCTGACTTTTAAAACTCCACCGCTTTGCCATTAGTGATCTCAGTGAAACAGTGAGGCGCTAACCACACAAGACTATATATGCAGCAGCTCCACACTGACTTAAGAATATGAGTACCACTAGCTGGAGGAGCCTGTCTGTTCTTGTGGGTTTTACCATACTGCACAGTGTTGAGGTTAAAACTGTTTTCTCTCATGCAGGGATCTTGGTGTTTTCTAGCAGCCCACTGCGGCCAATAATAGGATTAAATTAATAATGAAGTCAAGATTTTTCATTCATATGCCTATGATGTATGAGAAAATTAAAATCAAAAACGCTTTGAGAGAGCAAAACTGTGGCTATAACTAAATTCTCAACAACACAAAACAGCCATAACTTTCAGTTTCAGACTTGTAGCACTGCCATTATGTCAATGAACTGAATATAAAAGCAGATTTCCGTCTGAAAATTGGCAGGCAATGTGCACCATAAGCTCAAAACAGAACCACAAACTAGACTTTTTTCATTTATATTCTATTATGTGCTGTACTGCGCAGTCAAATGTTCTTATGATTGCCACGACTCAGCCATTTCTACTTTATCACCCAACTAGTGGGTTAAAGGTCAGCAGGATAGATTCAACGACAGAAGTCTGTAGGAGTCCTGCGACTCAGAAAATACCCAGGAAAAAGTCTGGTTTCGTTTCTTTTTTATTAGAAATGACTTTGCTTTGTAGAGGGTACTTCCCCTTTGGTATCTTGTGGTATTTTGGTCAAACTCATAAAGAGAGGGACTTCTGCTTGACACTGTGTTACAATTAGAGATGCACCGATCAATTGGCCGCCAATTTAAAAAGCCGGTTTTATATCCAACCGGCCCCAACCGGTGACCGGCCGGTCACTGTCGTAATTTGCCGGTTTTCCCCGAGCAGAGCAAACTGACACGCAGCGTAGTACAGGATAAAGGCTTCGTAAATCTGATGAAACACCTGAGTCCACGGTAAAAATTACCAAGTAGAGTGTTTCATCAGATTTACGAAGCCTTTATCCTGTACTACGCTAAACGGCTGGTCCTCCAGTGCCACGAACTCCATTATTTTCCTAGTGGTGGCTTTGGACTTTTCAGTGCTGATGTCGACCATAGGAGCCACGGCGGAGGGTTGTTGTGGTCGCTGCGACTCTGCTGCATCCCTCCTCTTAGCGGCAGTGTATTCCTTATATTTGCTAAACAAGCCTGGGTGCTTCTTTTCCAAGTGGCGTATTAAGTTTGTTGTTCCAAATGTCTTCGGCGTTGATTGGTACAAACTACCAAGTAGGCGGTACTTTTCTGACACAGCGCTGCCAGAGTCGTTTGAGAGAGGTACTGGAGGGGTAGTCAATAAATTACATTGTACCAGGCAAATGCTGGGACGTTTTTGAATGTTGTTTGAATGTAAGTTAGTTATTGACCTGTAAACTGGACTGAATGTTATGGTCAGTGTTGAAAATAAATCTGCTCAGGAGGCACTGTTGAAACTCTCACTCTATTTCTTATTTGTGAGGTTTTATTCTTGAAAAGGGGGGTTATGATAGCAGATAGCCTACCATTAGTTGTGCTTTTAATTGCAGTTAAGCAAAATGTTGTCTGGGAGAGGGGTACTGAAATTAAAATTGGGAATGGGTACTCAAGCCAAACAAATATGGTGTCTATTATATGATTATAATTATTTCTTAGGTAGAAAATCGGTATCAGAAAAAACGGTTTTGGCAGGTCAGACCTCCTTTAAAACCGGAAATCGGTATCGGCCAAGAATATTGCAATCGGTGCATCTCTAGTTACAATGACTTAAGATTTGTTTGGCAATAACCAAAACAATCAGTGTTATTCTAGGGGCACTGTTTTTAATTTTAACCTTTAGACAAGGTGAGCCAGTGCGAAGAGGAAATCCACAAAAAGCGTTGAATCATAAAGCTCAAAAACTTCCGCCTGAAGTACTTCCATGTTGTCTAAACCAGAGTTCAAGCTCATTTGGAGTAAATGAGGTGTGTTTGTGCACAACGGTTACCTGAGAAGTTGGTGAGAGCATCTTTGCTGCTGTTTGTCTCGGCGATGGCGCGTCTGAACTGCTCGAGGATGTTGTTGAGCTCCGACGAGCGCTGCAGCGTTCTGTGCTCTGCCACACGGAGGCGTTCTTTCAAGGCATGGAACTCACGCTGGTATGCTATCAGCTTCTCTGTAAGACATTGAAAAGAGAGAGGGATGATGAATTATTGGCTGCCAGCATTCAATACAAAGAGTTACAGTAGTTAGAAATAAACTGATCCCAAAAAAAACAACAAAAAGTAAAAACCATAGGAAGTGCAGGGTTCAGCTACTACATAGACATCTTAGTCCGATCTTTAGCTTCGAATCTGTAAAAGATTTAAGACTGTATCATTAAAGACTATCATTGTTGTTTGGATTTTGTTCATTTTTACATAAACAATGTAATTTTATTTTGTTTTGACGTTTTGTTAATTCTGCATTTTGAGTAGGAGGACCTGAGCATCCACTGGTGTTGCTAACTAAGCAGTGAGCGATTCTCTCTTCTTCATATGGTTTCAAACAGTCACACCTGGGAGCGCCCTCTGTGAGACAGTCTTAATCTGACCTTTTTGAACAGCTTTACTGAAGCAATTTGAAGAGAGAGACACGGCATCTGCAGAGCACTTCAAGGCAAAATGCTAAATAAAAAGGAATCAAGCGATTTTTTTTTTTCTCCCAACAGGGTTTCCTCACATTTAACAGGGATTTACAGCACTTCAAACCTCTGAACTACTGCAGTGCCATGTGATGATATTACTGACAACGTACAGCTTTAAATTTACTGGCAATAATTCCTCCCTGCGCTTCAACTGTAATGTTGTGATTGAGGTTCTTGCAATCTGGATCCAGGGGGGTGGTTGTTTTGTGTTTGGGGTAACAATGGTGGTGAGCTCTTATCAGGAAACAGAAGCGAAGCTGTTGGTAAACAGCTCAAAAGAAGAAGCTATGAGTTCCGTGGAAAAGGGTGTAGCTGTTGGTGGGTTGAGAACAATGGTGTCTGATAAGACAACATAGTGAGGTCTGTGGCTTGTCCAACATGATCCAGTGATAAATGAGGCATTATCATCCAGAAAATGTGTCCAAGTAGATAAGTTTCCATTCTGTCTATTTTGAGCTAAAGAAGAATCCACTTCAAACCTTCAATTAAATGGAGCTGAGCTTGTTTTGGGACCGAATGCAAGTAAAGTAGAGACTAGTGAATAAGTGAACAATTTCAGACTCATCCGTGATGTCAGGACTAGCTGTTCAGACTTGATATGTTCATAGATTCATGAGGTTACCATGAGTTCACCCAACACTGCAGGTGTTTATTTTCATATGTGAGAATGTGTTCATGTTTGGTGGGGTTGTGGGTTTGGCCAGTCTCTGATCTTCTTCTGCGAGGAGATTTATTGTGCCCTTTCAGAGCGCCCTTCACTACAACAAAACCCTGACTCTCTTTATCTTCCCCTCCCCATCATTCTCTCTCCCTCTCTCTGTTTGACTGAACTATTGTCCATCCACTCTGCTGCCCCTGGCTCCTCTTGCGCACAGACCGAACGCTGTTCCTCCTGAATGTTGATCTCTAAGACACACAGACAGATGCTGTCACTTGGCCCGAAAAGCTCATGAAAAGGGTGGGCTTCAAACCACAACACGCTTTCATCTTCACATCAGTCCTTTGATTTGGAGGACTCTGGGCCTGCTGAGAAGAAACCGCACCTGTAGTCGGACTGTGCAAAGAAACAAAGGCAAAGAGAGACCCACAGAAACAATAACAAGACGTCGATTCCACCTCTATTGAGCTCAGTCTTCTCAGTGCAAACATGGATCAGGTGCTCGATCTGCAGGTTTTACCATGTTTTGAGTAATATCACTCTGTTATGGGTAAATGCCCTCCTCATTGCCAGGGCAGCATGCATGATGCACAGTATTTACAAAAGCTACTTGACATTTTTACTAAATGTCACTCATGATAAACTTTGATTACTCTCGAACAAAACTCATCTCTGACTAACACCACAAAAATCTGACTCCATCTACAAAGAGAAACATTTTGCCCCAACAGCAATCAGACGGAAATGCAGTGATGGACCTTCAGTGTGTTGCTTGAACCACTCTCCTGGCATACAGCCACTAGATGACTTAACTGGCACATAAACAGCATTAAGCAATTACACCTACCTTAGGTCTAAGGAGTAAATCTATACAATCACATCATTCTTCTCTGCTCTTGTGTAGTGGGGGAGGGTCTGAGCATCTATGCTCTGATACCTCTTCTTTTTTCCCTCATGCTAACATTGAATTTTTCTTATCATCACATGTTATTGTTTCATAACGCATGTTTGTTTTTCTACACTCCACTTTCTGGTCTTACGGGTTTACCTACCTCTTCTCATAAATGACCTCGCCCTTATGTGCCCTCATGAAACGATTTCATTTTCATCATCATTATAATTATCTTGATTTTTTTTCCTGTCAGAGAGGAGCAACAGCTCAGATAAACCAGATGCAGTCTTTAGATAAGAGTGCAGATACCTAAAGAAGTAGTAACCCTGGTTATGCAGGTTGTCTCTCACTGTTATACTAAAAACCTCTTTTTATAAACTAAGTTTGAGGTGTTTTTATTTGCTGTGACACTGTTCTTACTCTCCTGACCTCAATAATAGCACTTATGAATCTGAAGAGCTGACAGACAGTCTGCTTTGTTCCACAGATTTTCTAAACGACCACCTTCTGAACCTCATAGCTTAAAAAGAGAATGAGGGTGATCTGAATGCTCAGGAATACGTCGCAGAAATCCAACCCTGAACTCACCAGAGGGTTAAGAGTCTGATCAGTCAATGCGTTAGCTCATCAAAAGCCCTCTCAGTGATCTTGTCCTTGACCTGCCTCTCCTGTGCTGATGCATGCATGCTGACTGCAGGCTTGTGAGTGCTGATGAGGGACTTGCACAGTTAATGTTTGCATGGGTGAGAGAAAGTTGCTGCACATGCTATGCAGATGTCCCTGTTGTAGCAAAATTTCCCTTCCTGGTCATTTTTTTGTGAAAAACAAAACTGCTCCATTTAACAACCAACTACAGATAGATGTGTGCTTGTCTCCTCATAGTTAAACAAATCAAATGTCATCTTTCCTTTCAGGTCTATGCTATACATTCAGTACTTCAGAGTGCAGTAGTTACTACATGAAGCTTTTTGATTCCTCTGGGTTGTACAGATGTTTCAGCACCAGCTGTTCAGAGGACATTGTGTTTAAATCCGCCTGTTCACCTTGGTTAGAAGAAAATAACCTACAAATAGATGTATCTCAACATGTTGTTCTACTACCATGGAGTTGTTCCTCAGGGAAATTCCCGCTGCTGCGATAACGCATTAAACACAAAGCTTCTTGTTGGTGAAAAGAAGACCTTTTACAACAACAGTGTCTTGGTTTTATCCAGCATATTTCCACTTTTTAATGTCACGAATTCAAAAGTCTTGTTAAAGCTGTGTCCTCATGACTGTTTAGTACTGATGTAAACAAAATCCACTTTTGTAATCGGCACCATGTTTTCCAGAGATTCACTGTTTTTCAACAATTCTTGTCAAGCAAGAGCCATTTGCCTCCAGTGCCACAAATTTCAAACCCGATGTGGCAGCAGTCTAATGTTACTCACAGCAAGTCAGCAAAAACAAAGTATCTACCAAAATACTGAACCTTTCTTTTAACTGTAGGCGCTGCCTGCCAAAAGTCTGGACTTATGAACCACACAACTTGGCAAGAACTGAATAAATAGTCAAACAAAGCAAGTAGCTTTTGAAAAGGTGGTGCATCATGTCATGTAACCTCCCGGTCTCAGCGGATGGCATTAAAGACCAAACATTATTAAAGCTGGCAATGGGACAGAAGTGGCAAAAAAGCGGTAGCCTCCCCTCCTTAACAAGTGTCACAGTGTTTTATCAACACAGCTCAGATACTCATACACCACTGAGTTTATATCAGTTTCCAACCGTCCTTCCACTTTTTAATGCATCATATTGAAACTGGGAGTGAGGCACTTTGCCAGGAGCACCATTTAACAACAACAAAAAAACCCCAGCAGACTGTCTCTGTGTACTTACGGTAAGCTCTTCAGCATTTTAAAGCACTCCACCTCTTACTGCTATGAACTGTTTAACCAACAACCTCAACAAAAGTCACAGAGCCAAAGTAGGGATGGGAACCGAGAACCGGTTCTTGTTGAGAACATTGTCGTTGTTTACATTTTATCTTAATGATTCCTTTCTTCTGGGTGCCTTGAAAAACGGTCTTGTGAGATCCAGTCTACGCGAACGAGAACAGACACTTTGAGGAAAAAAACATGGCGGATGGTACGAAAAGTAGGCAGAAACAATCTAAAGTGTGGCTTCATGTTTCTAAGAAAGACAACAAAGGGTTCTGTATGGTTTTGAGTTTGTGTACCGTGGACTAACTGAGTTAGAAGCACATAAACAACACTCAACCCAACCCCCCAAAAAAATCAAAATTTTGCGGGCCACTCCGCCCTGTGTAGTAGTGTCTTCTTTTTGGGGATCCAAAATATGGTCACCCTAATTTGACTTAATACCGACTGAAATAAATGCTGTACAAACAGTTTGTTGTTTGATTATTTTTAGACTGTCAGTGAAGATGGAATACATCTTTTTCTGTTATCAGAGACTCAATCAAATTTGGAGTTTAAAACCTATAGTCTGCCTTTTTATTTTTAAATCAATGAAAGGCATTGATAAGGGAATCGTTAAAGAACTGAATCGATAAGCAGAACTGATAATGGCATTGATATTGATCAAATCTTATCAATTCCCATCCCTAAGCTTAACTTTTTTGAATTTCTGCAAAAAGATGCCATGTCCTGAGCTTTTTTTCCTACGGACTTAGTAGAACTAGGATGCACATGTATGCAAAACATTCCTAAATGCATTATGCATGTATGAGGACACTCAGCGGTGCACCTGCTCACCACATGGCTCTTCACTGCAGCTGTTGTGAGAAAACACAATGCATTTAACCAGACTGTAATCTATGAAGAATGGCAGATGGTGGAAAAATTAACTTGAAATTAGTGGGATAAATACAGGAATGGTGCTGTGGTCAGTATTCAAAGACTATCCAACATTAACACATGCAGATGATAAACAATCTAGGAACGAATCCTTTTGTCACTTGGGTAGATCATGAATGTTTTTTTTTAATTGGTGACCTCTTCTGGTAAAAAGTCTCTAGGTTTAAATTGTGCAACACTCATCTTCACAAAAGGCACACCAATACACATCAGGTACTCTTGCATATGCACAGAGTAGTAGTATTGATTTTTTGTGGTATTTCCCTGAAGAGGAGGCAAATCAATGGATGAGTAGGCGAGTGATACTCCCTGAATGTCCATGTGGTTTGCAAAAAAGAAAAATGCACACTTTTATCCCGTTTTGTCATTTCTCTTTGCAATACATCACAGCCCTTTTAAAGTAAAGTAAAAAGGGGTGCAGGGTCAAATACTCGCGCTGCATCAGACTTAGCTGACAGATAATTACCCCCCTCCCCTCCACCCCCCAATTGGCATCTCTCCCGCTCAGATTCCTAATTTGTCTTCTTCACCGTGGGTTTATTGTTTCTCTTGACCTCAACCAACTCTCCTCTCTCTCTCTCTCTCTCTCTCTCTCTCTCTCTCTCTCTCTCTCTCTCTCTCTCTCTCTCTCTCTCTCTCTCTCTCTCTCTCTCTCTCTCTCTCTCTCTCTCTCTCTCTCTCTCTCTCTCTCTCTCTCTCTCTCTCTCTCTCTCTCTCTCTTCTGTGCTGTAAGTCATGCTAAGCTGCTGCAGTCTGCTGTGTCACTTTGTGGTGGCCCGTGCTGTCTGACGGCACCGAGCTGAGAGCGAGGCACAGCTCTGCTTATTGCCACTTCTCCGGCTCCACTTGGCTCATGTAGGGCTTCTATCAGTTAGTCAGAGTTGCCACTCCTTCTCGACCCCTATCTGGACTCCACTTTCAGGGATGTCACCGATCAACTGCCCAGTTATATTCAGGAGGATGTGAAGAGAGTCCGGCAAAAAAATAAAAAAGTTATTTGAGAGCTGAAAGAATGTGTGATATGCAGATTAGCTGAAAAAAAAATCAGCCACTATTTTGATTAGAAACTGATGTTGTTGCCTTGGACTGTAGAAAACCATAATGAATAGATAGTCCACAAACGGATGTATAATGAAAACAGTAAATAGGATTGGAGCTCTTATTGTTTTCTGTCCAGAACAATTGAATGTTTTTAAATTAGTTAAATGACATTTTTGTTAGGCTTACTATTTTAAGAAAAATGGAGCCTGACAAAGTGAGGGCCCAGGCGGACACTGTACACATCCCATTAAGTCAAATTTCTCCACAAAGCACTTAAGGCTCTTAACCCCTCCATTTCAGTCGACTACAAAGTTCTTGATCTGAGCACCATGAGTAACAATGCTTGAAGGTCACCTCAACCCAATCCTTAAAGACAAACTAAAAGGTACACAAAAGGTCCTTGTATATACAGGAAAGCTTATGCTACAGATAGATCAACAGAGAACAGAGCTCCACGGTCACCATCTTGCATAAACTGTGTGACGTCAGGGGAATTCTGTCCAGATGCAGAGAAGGGACGAGCATGAATTAATGAATGAATAGCTGTGTGGGACACAGGAAGTGAGCAGAAGCACGAGGACGGGAACCATCATTGTTAAGACACTAACAGTCGAAGACGCCTGTTCCTGTTTGGACAGAATATGGGCTGTCTGGGATAAAGGGAGATGTGTGTGTGTGTGTGTGTGTGTGTGTGTTTGAGTGAGCACAGTACAAAATGCAGAAATAAGAACGTATCCCACAGTCTCAGTGCCATGTCAGCAGTTACATCCTTTTTCTCCAACATGCAACCCACCTCAGGCTTTTCTCATCCTCTCTCTTTTAATACTCGGCTTTTCTAACTCTCTTCCTCCTTCCAGGCCACTTAGGACTTGTCTGGCAGCCTGCCCTGCCTCGCAATGCACACCAACTTACTGTGGACACGCTCATAAACAGACACATAAACAGGAAAACATAATGTTCAGGCACTATTTTCTCCCTTTTCCAACTAATATACACGTATATCTGCCCTACAAGGCTTTTCATCTGCCTGCTCATTTACACCCTCCTCCTCTGCAATCACTGCTGCTATTTTTGGCCCATTGTGTTTGGAATGATGTGATGATGGAAGAAAACCATGGCTTCTAACTCAGAGGAAGGGGAACACATGGGCACAAGGCACACAGAGGAAGTGGCATTAGCAAAAAGGAAGTTGTCAGGGCTCGAACTGGTCAGAGAATTTGCTTAACCTGTAAGCAACGTCAAACTGTATCAAACTAGGTCTGGAAACCAAAGACACAACAAGGCTTAAAACTACACAAGCATGGGAATACAGTCCTCCGGGTACTAGCAGCATATGTTGCTGTATATAGTGAAATGTTTTGCATTAATGGAGACTTTCCCAATGAGTAAGTTATATGGGGATTACACATGTATCCCCATATAATCAGGGACTTAAAGTGCACTCTGATGTCAAGTTGGGTGGTCTGAAAGCCTGCATTTGTGCCTGCATTAACAAACTGTGCGTACGCAGTGGTTTCCACGACAGAGTCTGTTTGTAATACTGTGCCAATAAATGACCAGAGGAACACAGCCATCCAGAAATTAGTTGATTCCCTAGGTGTTTTTTAAGTATTAGCAAATTTGTTGGTGTTTTGTCCAAACTTTTTTGAACTGTCATGCAGGCATCAAATTTAAAGCTCCTGTCAGGAAGTTTTTGTTGCGGGGATTCTGGCACCCCCTGTTGACAAAGCAGCCATTGCTATTTCGTCCTCTACATGCTAAAGTAGTGTTTACTGACTCAAAAAAACTCATCCTGCAGACTTCTGAATGTCAAATGTGATTTTTTTGTGTGAATATTTAATGTGGGAAATTCAAAAACAGCTTTTCTTCCGCCCTAACATTTACCCCCTCTCACTGGTTGTAGGTGATAAAAATTTGAGTAAAACGAATGTTAATTTTGTCACGAATGTTTTTTGCTCTTGTTCATTATCGAAGGCATCAATATTAATTTTAGTCTATTGTACAAATTTCCAAAAACTCCTCACAAACACTTTTACATAAACAGAATTTCTGCCTGAATAATATCACCATAATAGTATTCTATTTCTACAATACTTTGATATATTATATTGTGGTCTTCAATAAATCCCTGAAGAAATTTGCCATATTTATCAAACTGAATATTTAAACATAAAAGGTTTGGATAATGATTACTTACATATGGAAACCCCCGACAAACTTGTTTTTATTGTCATTGTGAAATCAAGTTGCTAAGACACACACTTGGCTTAACTCACAGTGGTAAACGGTGACATCAGATCACTTTTGTTTCACAAGTTCTTTGTACTAATCCTGAACTAAAGGAGCCATCCCAGTACAGCGATTTACTGTCAAAACAAACTGAACTCTGAGACAGCCTTCCCTTCATGGCTCGTTCTTCCTGACATTTGAATAATATTTGTAACTGTTTGTGTAAATGCCTGCACTTGTGGTGACTGCTTGTGAGACGGTCTGATCCTGCCATAGTTTAAATATCACTGTTTCCTACAACTGTCTTTTTCCAGGAAATCTTGGGCTCAATGAGATTCGCAGAACAAGCGTAATCAAAGTATCCAATCCAATCCATTTTATTTATATAGCACGATTTAAGCAAACACAAGATTTCCAAAGTGCTGCACAGCCATAAAAATACAATAAATTACACAACTGAAGAACAATAGATAAGGTAGCAATAAAATGAGATAAGGCACAGTAAAATCAAATAAAAACAAATAGAACAAAACTCAATAAAATAAAATAAATCAAGTCAACGTACTACTGGGTGTTAAAAGTCAAGAAGATAAAACACAGTAAAATCAAATAAAAACTAACACAATAAATAAAATCAATAAAGTAATAAAATAATAAATTGCACCACTGTAGCAAACTATGTCTTAGGGCTTGATAACAGGTCCAGTCACTCCAAATCAGTTGCACACACCTATGGCACACCCTGGTTATGTTACACCTTGGATAGCAAGGGTTTATAATCTGGATGATTCAATCAGTTTATCTAGAGCAGAAACGCCCCAGCCAATGAGAGAAGTCTACTTTGAGACTGAGCAGCTCATGGTGTAGCCAAGCAACAGTATACATCAAAGGCCTTTAGATTTCTGTTGGCTAACGTTTTACTCTCCAGTTCAAATCGCCGCTCTCGCTCTCGCTCTCGCTAAAGAACAGAACTGAACACACTGTCTCTCTGACCCTTTTCTTACTCAGACTTGTTAAGCCTGCTGCTTTAGTTCCTCACTGCAGAGCATTACAACAGCAGGTTGTTGCACCACCAGTCTCCTTTGATTTTCGTCTGCTTCCCTGCAGGATCACATGGGATCATGTGAGGTGGTACTTTGCTGGCACACACAGTAATCTTAATAGTATCCTGCAGAGAGGAATGCACCATTATTTTAAAATCCTGTAGTGTGTGCATGTTTGAGGTTAGAGCGAAGAACAAACTGTAATAGAGAAGAGAGTATGTGAAGGTTCTTCCTGTGCAGCTGATGTAAAAACAACTGGAGTCTGAGTCTGGCTTTGCTAACTCTTACCGTGCCTGGAGGAGAGAGGAATCATTTATACTGACAAAATCTTTCTTAAAACAATTTCTAACAAACTCATCCGGTGCTGGTACTATTACTCTCGTCTAACAAGATTACATATGCATGTTTGCTGTCACCACCGGTGATCTTTATCATCAACCCTTGTAGACTCTGTGGCTTTTATCAGGTTTGTTTGAGGCCGGAGCTCAGCTACACATTCATCAGTTTTAATCTGCTCTAAAAAAACTTTTACGCTGTGCTGTCATTGACAAACACAGATACAAAGACTCATCTCTGCTTGGCAAGAGATACACTCACAGCATTTGTTCATTTCAAACAAGTATACCTGGAGTAAGTCAGGATAGCAAAAATATAACACCATCTCAATGAATCAACTTTTTCCAGCTTTATCCGAAACATTTCTATTTACAGTCTTCCTGCTTGTCAATAGTGTCGAGGCTTTTTGAGAACTAACCAACAAGATACTAGAGAGCAGTCCCTCACTAGGAGACAAGGCCGACTCTGACAGAGAGGTACACATTCTGGAGAGTCATTCAACATGGAGTGTTTGGACAGCTGACTGGCACAGCTCTCACTCACAGCAGTCGAGTGACCAGGAACAAGACAGGCTGTCGGAAGCAAAAGGTTAGGCGAAAAAACAAAAATAAAAATGTCGCCCTAGATCACCTCCCCACCCCAACAAGACCTCAAGCAAAACTGAAACATGGCTATGAGCTGAAACACTAATGTTCTCTGTGTACAACTGCTGGAGAAAGACTGAAAATATTCATTTTCAGAACGACTAAAATTCGCCTGTAGCCAAGTACACTCTGTAAACACCCACGCTGGGCAGCATCAAGCGGAGGAGCCATCTATAACTGCAGGGAGGAATGAAACAGGATACAAAAGAGGCTCATATGTAAGAAAAAAAAAATGAAAGAGAGGCTGTATTAAAGCATCTTCTGTTAGAGCCAGAAATGACACTCGGAGAAAGCAGGAGCACATGCAGTACAAGGAAAAGTACATGTTCAAAGCCTGTGATATGATTAGTTTAGGTAATCAGAGTTTTATGTATCCTGATATTCAAAAACAAAATTTTATATAAATACAAAAAAGGAAACCAGGCAGTATTGAATTCCTGCCTTCTTGTAGTAAAAGAAACCATTGGCTCAGTTTTTATTGCACACCTAACTGCACCTCTTTTATTCCCCCCCTTTCCCTGCGAGTAGCTAAGCATACAAGCTTAATGTTATATAGACATGATGCAACTTTTTAAGCTAAGAAAAAGAGTTACTCAGGGCAGTGGACGTCATGTAAACTAACAATGCATAGACTTTATATTTGAAATCAATATTGTATCATTCACTACAAAGCCAAACTTAATCTCTACTTCTAAAAGTTTGAGGTACAAACTTAAACGAAATGATCACCTTGTATCGATTAATATTGCTCAACACAGTACAAGGTAAAAATACACACTAAAAAAGGCGATATTTTAAAAAAGCAAGTAAAACCTTTCAACATTACATCATCTTTCCCATCAGTGCTCTGGAAAGAAATGCTGCAAATCTACATATCCAAGTAAGAAGCGCATTCTTCTGTTGTCAACACGGACATTGCGTAACCAAACTGGCAACATGTAAAGACGAAAAAAGAAACAGCTGAAGCCACCGGTCCAACAATAGACTGAAAAAGCTCACAATTCTATTACAAATTGTCAGTGTTTGAAGAGTTTCAAAATGAACATAAGATTTTTATTTTAGATTTGATTTGGAGATTGTCTCTACATGGCTCCAGTTGTTTGCCTTTAACCAAATGCCAGTTGTCAGTACTCTGAAACTTCCACAATATCACCTCATTCTGTTGTTGCGCAGAGCTTGAAGTACAGATAGGTGGTAAAATGGAAATGTGTGGTTTTAGTAACAGTTCATAAATGGCATGCAAAGATTTCCGAGGTTTCTTTTGGAGTCACAATCGAATCCTTTTAGTATGATCCCAGTACAGGTCCCTTTGTGATGAAGATCCAGAAAAGAAGCTCTAAAGCTGAGAGCTGTGATGCCGAGTTAGCTAAAATCTTTCTTCACAGCACCTTGTTAATAGTCGGGGAAACTTATTTGTTACTGATGGATTAAAGCAAATCCTCTTAGTATTGCCAACGCGGTGTCAGAAGTGTCAATGATCAGTGCCACATGATCATTTCCACAGTTGAATTTGACTTTTCACATATGGAGCCAGTTCCATGCAAATCAGCCTGGATGTCATTTTAACAGTAGCCGGGTGAGGCCGAGTAGAATAAAGAAAGGATTTGTTTTTGAGCTGCTTTACATTAGTTGACACTGATCCATTTAAATATGCTCCGATCAGTTCTGATGCCAATCCTAAATCGGCTCAGGAAAGCCCCTAGTTTTCTTCATCTGTTTGTGTTTGGTTCATTTGCATGAGACTTTTTTTTTATTGTTGTGATTGTTGAGATAAGCCCTGTCTGCTTCCATAGAGGCCTGCAAATTTGATTTGAAATGGCAGCTTTAGTGTTTCTTTGCTCATGGGCTGTTCTTCACGAGTAACATTTTTACAAGTTACATTTGGAAACTACTTATAAATAATAAAAAAGAAAATGGTTGGATCCTTCTTTTGCTTTAGTAACAGGGCTTTGGTGTTAAGAATGCTAGCTCTGTTTAACATTAAGGCCTAAAGGAATATTAGTTAAGATTTTATCCAAAATAAAACTAGGGAAAGGAACTACTTTTTCCAAACAACAGAAAACTCCTATCAAATGTTTTGATGTTAGTATCTTGTAATTACGATGTAAAATGATCCCTTTCCAAATGTCCTTGTTCTGACAACAGGCCAACTGGACTGTATCAACAGGTGCCCAAACAACAAAACACGGGGCATCAATTCTTGACTTTTACATGTCACAAGAGCACTTTCCTCATGCTGTGGTCTAGCCCCTGCCTGCCTATGCAGTGGCACTCACTTTCCACTTAGAGAAAAATATTGTATCAACCTGATAAGCTCCTCAGTAATCACGACATGAAGCTTTGCCTAGGAATTTATCTAAAGGCTGCAATTATTTACACTCTACTGATAACAGTCACTAAGACCCCTAACTCCACCCACATGGATTGAGTTAACCCTGGCAAGTATGTAAGCTCTTGGCCATTGCGTGCTACTCAAGCACAGCCACACTTGTGTAATATGCCCATGCCCAGCTGTTGGACAGGACATGTAAAAATGTGGTTAATGTACTGAAGACTAATTTTTGTACAGAGAATTGAAAGAGGGTATTGCATGGCAGAATTGTGAAGAAGTTGTGCTCTTAGGTGTTTTTAAACTAGCAGGTGTGTAAAAAGTGACTGTAACTGATTATGACATATTGGAAATGGACCTGTAAGGTGATGAAAAATGAGCTAAATTGGGGTCAGATACTGGATCTACCATGCTGTCAAACTGGTTGAAGCATTTGTAGAGTAGAAGATTACTTAAGACAATATCACACAAGAGAGAGAGATATCTCTGTACTGCATGTAAGCACAGCTGTGATTTTGTCAATGCACAGGGCTGCAGGCTGGGCACAGAAGATAATCACAGCTGTGCTGAGATTCAACACAATTGCTTTCATACAACAGCTCTACAAGTCACATATAGTAAACTGTGATAAGGAAGACAAGAACATTGTACTTATAGAATCATTGGTGTGGCTAGTGGCTACAACGATATAAATAGTTCTGCAGTCTGACTGAAACTTGATTGTGGCTGACAACCCCCAATGTTTTCCTGTCTTCATGAGTGAAAGGTACAACCACACATTTCAAGGTGTGACAGTTAATAATGCAACTCATGAAATCTATGTTGGACGCTTAAATGTATGGCTACTTAGTCAGGACTGTTTTAGAATAAAAACAGCTAAGACTAGAGATAGTTGTACGAAGAAATAGTCCCATGCCTCCCCTCAGGTAGGCGTTACAGCTCACTGTACACCAAAACTAGCCGAGACAAAGACAGTTTCTTCCCTGTTGGCTGTTGGTGTGATGAACGCTGAATGTTCACAGAGTCACAGAAAGACCACTGTATCTGTAAATTACTTTTATAATTGTTAAACAGTTTAGGCTATCTAAAAACATTCCTTTCATTAGGCATTTACCTCTGCACACTGTTATTTACTATCCAATTTAAACATAATGTATATTTACCTCATGTAAATAACCCACCTGTAATATAATGACATCTATATTTTTATCTCATACTCTTCAGTCCACTGCACTATTGCACTGTCTTAAATGTCTAGTTTGAGTACACACTTATAATTTTACTAAGTATGTACTTTTAATCATGTTTAATGTTTGTACTAAGAGAGCAAAGTAAACCAGAGTCAAATTCCTTGGATGTTAACACATATTCGGCCAATAAAGCTGATAATGAAATTGCTTTCCCTTGCACACTGAACATCATTATGTCAGACACGCTGTCTTTTGGGACCAATCTACTGGTTGGAAGCAGGATGGGTGTAAGTTGCACAGCAACACCTGCTGCCCCACCACACGCAGCTGGACCCATGCACGTCAGCTTGATGCCAGCAGCCAGTCTCATTAACCAGGCCTCATAACCATCGTTTCTTTCAAATAAACAACACTTTATATTTGTAGTAACCTTTATGACAAGAATGCTCGACCTACCTTTGCCATTCTGCCACGCTGTGTACCAGGACAGGCTGAGGAAAGATGTGAAGAAAATAATCGCAGTGGCCACAGTACCATTTCTGAGCCTCATCTCATTTCAGCGATGCCTCTCCTCGGCTGTGTGTCGGGGACCCCGGAGCTGCCGTTCCCTCCCTCCCTCCTTCTTCTCTCGCTGCCTTCAGGATGTCGATAGTGGCGGAGACGCCGACATATGGAAGCGTTAGACGGTAAAAACGCTCCGGTAAACAGGTCTGACAGTACGGACTCCTGCACTGTAGGGCGAGTGCTCGGACGTACCCTCAGTCTTGGTACGTCTTTTTCTTGTCGTTGTTCGGAGCACTGGCTCTTCCTGTACCGTCCTACGGCGCTCAGTCACGAGTCAACAACCTTCCGTGGCAGAGCAGCTTACATGTTGGGTTAAAAAAGACGAAGCTAGCTACCAATGCAAGCCATTGTAATTATTTGCAGCCAGACGTTAGCTACAAGTTACAAGTAGAAGGCATTTCCAGTGTGTGACGATTGGTCCTCTGGGATTGGCTGTTCGGTGTGTGATGGTGTCCGAGAAGGGAACGCCCCGCATCGCATTGAATCCGCTTCAAGTGGTTGTTACAGATTAATTTAAGAAACAGCTGACTTGGTAAAGTCCCGAGTTACCTGTAAAAGTGTAGCAACTGGGGAAGAGGGTGGACTACGTAGACTCGACGTCTTCTGCAACATAGGTGTTTTTCTGCTGTTCAGAGAGAAGTCACGTGTACCTTAACGTTCTTAACGGTCCCATCTAGACCAGTCAGATGTGTACTTAACGCTCCCTCAATGACGGGCACTGATACTTCACCGCGGTGAGAACCCGGAGATTCAGTTGGCAGAACAACCCGGGTTACTAAACCGCATTAGTAAACGTGATACTAGTGGGTGAATGATGCTTTCAAACTTTTCTTTTCTTTTTAAGACAATGTTTGAAGGAAGCGGAAGAAGAAGTGTGTTCTACTTAAGTATGCTGATCTGGTTCCTTTGAGTTGACACAGCGTTTAAAAAAAACGTCATTTAGCGCTATTAGTGGCTGTTTTCACTGCTTTAAAAACATATCAGATTAATATTTCTTTCTACTTTTTTTTTTTGCATAAATCTGTTAAGCAATTTCAGTCCTGATCAAAACTACAATATATTTTTTTTAAAAATCAGGACCCCAAATCATTAACCCTTTGAGTCCAAATTTAGAAGATAAAGTCACTGATTTTAGGAGGGGAAAAACACAAAATTACCTACTTTCAATATAACAAATGATCGATGAAAGGATTTTTTTACCTACTATCACAGTCTTGGATATGTCAAAGATGAAGAACATAATTGGATTTGATGCATATTTAGTTTTTTGTGGCAACAGATTGTCAAAAAAACTTCCTTTAGCGGTATTAGTGGCTGTTTTCAGTTGTAAAAATATCAGATAAATATATTTGTATTTTATTTTTTTGCATTAATCTTTTAATCAGTCTCAATCTTGATCAAAACTAGAAATATTTTTTAAAAATGGAAAGTTTAACCCTTTAAATGCCAATTTAAAAAAAGAAAGTCACTGATTTTGGGAAAAATACACACAAAATTAGCTATTTTAGTTTTTGTGCAGCAACAGATTTTCAAAAAAACTTCCTTTAGCTGTATTAGTGGCTGTTTTTGCCCCATTGACTCCCCTTATAACCACATGTCTTGAATGCAGAAAAAAGATTTATGCAAAAAACAAATAACAATAAAAAAATATTTATATTTAAATTTGCCGAGGATGTACTATTGACTTTCTAAAAATTATGAAATCAATTTTTTAAATTATATGCAAAAATAAGGTTTGTCAGCAAATATTATGCCATTTGCTGCAATACAGTGAAAGTTATGGTCAAATGAAGAGGAAAAGGTGACCCTTAGTGGACGTTTGTCACCAATATCTGCATAAGAGTTAATGTGGAAGCAAACTATGGACATGCACATGTCTACAGTTTCAAAAGTCGTGGTTTAGTAAGCAAGTCTTCCGGTTACACATTTCAAAATAAAGCCAAAAAATCGAAACGAAGCAACTACACGCATGATGTGACACAAGACTTGAGTCTGTTTATGTCTGAAAACTTGAAATCACTATTTTCTTTTATTGCTGATATGGCTGTGCAATTCACTGAGCCCAAACCACGATTCAAATAAGCGTTATACAAACTTAGACACTCGAAGTATAACAGAAAGTGATGTTCTATGAAGGCGACAATATCCAGATGCTTCAAACAGTAGTTCACTTGTGTATTCCTGAGCATCAGTGATCCTTTACTCTAAAAGCTGTGAGTGCGCCATCTAGTGGACCAGCCTTTCAACTGCACTCATAGATGTCATTTCTGTCTGTGTCAGTTGGTAGGCACTCAATTATAGACACACATCACAGGCACATTTTTGAGAACAAGTCCTGGCTTGTTTAGATGTCAGCTTTTGAGACAGATTATGATTCAAATGGAGAGAGAACACTTTTGTTAAACAAGTGTTTCAGTTCACTTCTTGCTCTGTGTTCAACTCAGCAGGTGTTACCTTTAACTATAGATGTGGAAAGAACTTACCTTTTTAATTTTTCTTTATTAAAAAAGAGCATTGGCCAGTTATTTGATAAAATTTTGGCTTAGCGCTTGGGTTGACACTGTTTTGTTCACCTCTGTGATTTCTACAAGGCACTACATTAAAATATATTTAAATATATCAGACATAATTTTTCTTTAAAGAGAAGCATGGCAAATGTGCGCGCCCACATTCATTTATTTTTTAAACAGCACACATTTTTAAAATCAACCCCTGCCCCAAACTTGTGATCAATGTTTAAAAAGGATATAATACACAAGACAAAACATTTCATATGGCAGCTGTGATTATCACATTACCACCTGATTTACGAGGAATACATTCAAACATCAAATTTATGAATCTGATCGATTCTGAGCGACAAGCCAAGTTTAGAAGCAAAAGACGGCAAAAGACAGAAAAGAACAGTAAGGATGTTCATCCATACTTCAACTGCAATGCTGCAATGCAGCGTTAAAAAGATATTTTCACATTTGTTGCTTTGAGACTCCTTGTCCCTTACCAGATTGGCATTTCAGGTGCAGACAGTTGGATTTACCACAATGCAGCATTAGAGGATAAGCTAAACTGGGTCTGATCAGCCAAAACAAGTTTTTCAGTGTCATGAAGCTTTCTTGTCTAATCTGGCTAGATCACCATGGTAACTTACTCTTTTCTCATAGCCTGAGTTAACAGAGTAAATTAATAACCTGTCATCTCCAAATGAAGCTTCAGGTTTAGAGAAGCCATCTTACTTATAAATGCCTGGGAATGTTGAACTTGCTTTGTAGTATAGGCCCCTGGCTAACATGATGCAGTGTAAGAGATATCTCAAAAAGGAGTCGCTTTAAAGTAGTCCTCCAGTGGAATGAGTGACACGCCTCCCACCCAGTCCTGTAGCCACACCTGGATCAACTCCAGCTTCATGAAAAACCACTTGTGTCCCACTGGCCACTTGGCCATCACAGGATGTCTGCAAAAGAGAGGAACACAAAAAATGTGTACAAATAGTGCTGTTTGCTAAATTTCAAGGTTGAAGGTAGCCATTATGTATCTCTACACCCCAGCAGAGTCCACAAGCTGAGTTACCGTGAGAACATTGCCTCCTTGGCAAATGCTAGCTCCTCAGGGGCCACCTCCACCATCTTGCCTGTAAGTGTAAGTCGAGCACATCGTGGATCTTCTGGATCATACGCCATTTGTCTGAAAACACAGAGGACCATTTTCCATTCACGAACACAAACAGCACAGGTGTTGTAGTTCTTGTGCGCCTGTAGGTTATTTGTAGTAAATTAAGTCAAGGTCAGATCACTGACCATGCAGAGCAGCCCACAGCCCTGGGCCACAGAGCTCCAGTCATATTATAACAAAGCAATGCAAATGCACATTGTTTACTGGTGTGAATAAGTAGAGGATTCTGCTTTTTTACCTCATTAGGGCCAGGGCTAAATTACATCTGTGTTTAAGGAAGGTTAGTCCTCCCTTAATTAGTGCGGTACATGAAATAACAGGGGCTTACCTGCAAAATTCTCCCTCCGCCTCTGTGAATGTTATGGAGGCATAAGGGTTATCTTTCAGGTCAATCACTGTGTTGTCCATTGGAGTCACATAAAAATAGATAACTCCTGTGCTGTTGTCCACTGGTCCATCACTGATTGAGAAGATGTTTCCAAAAGGTAGACCTTTAATCTGTGCATGAGATAAAATAAAACAAAAAGATTAAAATTGTACTTAAACTTAAAAAAAAAAAACTCCAATAGTCAATAAAAATAAACAACTGCAACTTTGACTCTGTTGCTGCTTATTTTAAGTGCCTTGGATACATTTAAAACCCCAATTGAAATTTCCCTTCACATACAGTAAATTGATAAACATTTAAATTTAGAAGGATGTTTTGACTTAAATAAAAAACCTTTGATAAGTAAACAAGCGCAGACCAAACACAGACCTCAAAAGTTCGAGGTAAAAGTTCACTTTGAGGCAAGTGGTTACACAAGATCTTGAGGGATTTCACAACCAAGTACATAAATGTACTTTTAATTTGCTTTTCCTTTTAGAATACACCTTCAATATCTTTTCCCCTACTTTAAATAATGGGCTTTAGTGTAAATTCATTAATCCAAACATGATCCTTTGCATTTTTAACTCATGGAAAAGTTTGAAGGGGGTCCATACAAGTGCAAGGTCATGCATTTACGGATAGTATGAGAACATTTAGCTCGTTAATTCTTCTTTTAAAACAGACATGAACACATCCTCTGTTTGTTTATAATGGTTTCACCTTCTCTTGAGTTGAAATGGTGGCTAGATGTCCCCAGTCACTGGTGTGGGCTATGTATCTGGCAGTCCTAGCGGTCTCTTGGTGCGGTGGAGGACCCCCGCTAGTCGACTTCTTCCCTTTCTCCAGCCGATATGAAAACAGCCGTGAGGAAAGCTGCGCCACATTTCCGTCTTCCTGCTTGTCTAGCTCCACGGGGCTCTCCACGCTGTCTCCCAGAACGTTTGAGGACGGGTAACCCCGCTTCCACAGCCCCGCTCCGTCCACCAACAAAGCCGGGGCGACCTCCTCCGACAGGTCCTCGTCCTCCACCACATCGTTAGAAGAGACGACCCAGGACACGGAGCTCCTCAGGGTGTAGCTCAGGCACATACACAGCACACTGGCGGTGACAGCCAGGGAAAAAACGGGGGCCTTCATGTCATTGAGTCCAGGTAATGGCTGCCCAGCTCCTCCAGTTTCTTGTTTACAACCTCACGTGTTTGAAGCCCCCATCACACATGTGCTGCGCCGCACTGGTCCGGATATTTAAGGGGATGTCTGTCAGGATATTCACACCCAATGTACCCAAGCCAAAAATATGTGTAGTTAACCGCTCAATGTCCTCGTGTAACTCAGTTTCACTGTAGTTGGGACATATGTTTAAAATGTTTTCGTATCACAAGTTATTGTAGGTTTAAGCCATAGAGCGAAAAGCAGCGACCCCTGTTGTCAAAGCAGAGGTATTGAAAAAAGAAATACAATATTTCTGACTTATATTTAAAGCATAGGGGAGAGTGGGGTAAGATGAGCCATTTTTCATATTTCGGATCACTACATCAAGGCAATCATAGTTTTGTCTGTAACTAGTGTATCTGCATATATTTCAAGATGTTGTTCATCCCTGCAAACCAACAGAGTAAGTGTAAACATACCTGTCTCGATAAAATAGCATGCCAAAAAAAGTGGTCGCCTACGGTCAACTTACCCCTTTTATGGGGTAAGTAAGGTGAGGGGTAAGTTGTATGGGGTAAGGTGAGGGCCCTCTCTCAACTTTTCTCTCCCTAAATAACAGTCACTTCTTTACATTCATGTGTAATATTTGGTCACATGGTCGATTTCTTTTACCATTTCTAAGCAACAGGGGGTGGGTCAACTTACCCCACTCTCCCCTTTAGCATATTTAAACCTTTAAAAATGTATAACATTGGGTTTCTGCACTGCAATACAACTCTCAAGTAAAGGAACAGATCAAAATTAATTTAATCTTTTAAATCTCCAAAATTGTAGGCCTCAGTAATCTATCTACAAATCACCATACTACCAAAGTTCTTATACAGTGGACTTATGTATTTCACATTTTAAGTCCTGACCAACAACTCATGATGAGCTGATATATTGCTGGGTTTACAAGTTTCTGATTTAAATGCTGCAAGATGGTTGGAGAAAATTGTGAAGTCATTGACTCTGATTCATCGCTCTGATCTTTCACTGGAAATGTTCAATATTATTTTTATTCTATTCCAATTTCACATTCTACTTAATATCTGTGTTATAGAATAAACATTGATTGTGAGCTTTTTTTGGCTGTGTGCGCAAAGAATAAGGTATAAATTACTTACATGTTTTAAGTATGCTCTGGTCTCAAGGTTAAAACTTGGCTGTTACACAAGCATACATTTAAAAGCCCAGACAGTCATCCAGATTGCAAAGTATTTGCTATTATATCTGATAAGTTAATGTAAATACTGGGGCAACAACCAGAACATTTTGTCCATTCGACCATTTCCTTTGGCCTTGATCCACCCCCTCCACTGAATGCTCTGTAGATATATGACAGTATTTTCCCATATCCACTGTCCCTGTCAGAACTCTGTCAGAAAGTTGCTCCAGGACACAAAAGAAGACACAGAAAGTTCGTCTGCTCTTGTTTCACCATAAATTATAGAGAAATCTTACATAAAGGAACTTCACAAATGACACAAAAGGACTTACTTTAGAAATTTTATTATTTAACATCATTCATGGCAGCATTGGCATGCTGAATCACATAAAACTTAAGTCATAAGTACTGTTTATGGCATTTATGTTAAAAGTGACTATAATCAACTTTTCAATATATACTTTCTCTCTGTTTGTCTCTAAATATTACATTAACACATTAGAATTAAATAAAGTTCAGTATGCAAACTCATGGTCCTACACTGAGTTGAATCATCACCTCTCTGTCAGTCTCACCTAAAATTTCGACATAAGATTTAGTCTGCAGGGGTGTGTTTGCAGATTTTCTGCTCCCCCTCTCAGTCCATGGACTTATCACTCCAGGCCATGGACTTTCTCTTTGCCAGTTCCATCCAGGATGGCTGGCCACTGTCAGACATGGACTGTATCGGTGATGGCACTGTAGGCGACAGCGAGCGTGCTGGAGATGACACTACATTTTTCTTGGGCCATTTGTCATCATGTGGTCGATCTGGGATTTTAGTTGGACTCGACTCTGGAAGCACAAAAAAGAGATGTGTCATTTGCTGCACATGTTGAACCTGACCACAAAAAAAGATGTAATCTAATGCATGAATAACAAACCTGCAGGCCTGACCCATGGTCTCCCCTCTGGTTTAGTGTCTCTGATGAGCTGTGAGGCTTTGGCTGGAGCCGGGGTTTCACCTGATGTCTGTGCCTCTGTTTGAGCTTTCCTTAATTCAACCTGAAGGAAAATCTGAGTTAGATCATCTTCTTAAGAAAATTGGTCAGTTTATAAACAACAGGAGTTAAATATTAATCTGGTTATCAAATTAAATTGTTACTCAATCCAATGATAAGACAAAAAACAACGATTCAGTGGTCACACTAAAGCCAGCTGTAGCTTTTCTACATAAAATAAATCTTCTTTGGTTTCCAATAAGTGTTACACAACACATGAATGAGCCACAAAGTTGTGTTAAATGATATTTTTCCTAACTAAGGTGCACACAGTGGCAGAATTAGGTGTATTATTAATTTCTGCTTAAGTCCTAATTGCTTAAACTTGACGATATATCAGTGACACTATTTAAGGCTGCTGTGAGCAACTTTCAGCTTGTAACTTCTGTTTTACTCCTGCGGACAAAGATGTCCATCTTATCACCCTTTCGGCTTGTCCCATACATGCCAAGACAGATTTTTCAATCAAAATCTTTAACAGATTTCAATATCAATTTGAATCTGAACAAATATAGATGGTAACTCCTCAAAGGGGCTTTCAAACTGTATGAGTCTTCAGGAAAACTGTAAATGCCCTGAGTCTGGATGACAAGGCTGTTAATCGTACCAAAAATAAACCAATTAAATCCATTGTTTTTTGCTTTTCCATTGGATTTGTTGATAAGCATTGACTTAAAAGGGATTTCAAGCCAACCTTTGTAATCAGGACAGTTACAGAACAAAAGCACCACAAACCCCCTTGGTTGCAGGTGGAGATATCCGCTCCGTCCGTTTCTCCAAAAAAGCAGCCCTCTGACTCACTGACACGGGTGCAGGCTCTTTTTCCTGCACAGTGGTTTCTTTTTTTTCTTCTGGTGCAGAATCTGGAGCAGGAGATGCGGCTGATGGAGCAGCGGGAACTGAAGATGGAGCTGGAGTTGTGGATTTGAACTGGTTGGTGGACTGAAGAGCTCGATTGCTCCAGGGAGGTTGCTGCTGCTGCTGCTGGCCCGAAGAAAGATAAGACTGTGCAAGAGACTGAGTGGTACCCCCTTTTGCAAATGGAGAAATTAGGGTTTTTGTAGCAGATTGTGAGGGAGGCTGGGTTGGCTGGGATGGGGTCTGAATTTTCGTAGCAGATTGTACAGGGGGCTGGATTGGCTGTGATGGGATCGAGATTTTTGTAGCAGAATGTAAAGATGGCTGGACTGGCTGGGATGGGGTTTGGGTTTTTATAGCAGAATGTAGAGGAGGCTGGATTGGTTGAGATGGGGTCTGGGTTTTTGTAGCAGAGTGCAACGGCGACTGGGCTGTTGTCTTCAGGGTTTGATGAGGTGCAGATGGAGTCGTATTAAGAGGAGGCTGAAACTGACTGGTTTGTTTTAGTGGGAACGGTTCTCTGAGGGGCTGCGATTTCACCGGGGATGTCATCGAAGTCTTCTGTTGCACTGCCACTGATGAGGGTTTGACTATCTGTACTTGGCCTTTGCTTTGCACTGTATCTGCTTTGACTGCATCAGCTGGTGGCTGTTTTGGAGCCTCTAGTGGTGCCATATTTTGTTGCATTTTTAACGTCTGTGCATGTACTTGCACCACACTCTGAGTCGGTGCTTGACTCACTGGCGGCACTTGCGCCTGGGGTCGTGGTGCAGTGCCTGAGAAATCCCTGGGGAATCTAGTGAAAAGCTGCTGGAAGCTTTTGGTCTTCTCCATTGCCAGGCTCATCCAGGACACATCAGATGAGGAAGAATGGGGGCTTGGCGGGGGCTCTTGAGGTGCTGCAGGGATACTTTCAGTGTCAATCAGGTTGAAAGAAGATGTTTCCACTTTGGCGACTGTTTGGACTTCTGTTGGCATGATGCGTGGACTATCAGCTGATGGAGGAGTTTTTTTGACTGGAGAGGAGATACCAGGTAGGGTTTGATCTGAGGGATGACACGGAGTAGTTAGAAAGTACTGTTATCATGGAAGGATAAAAAGTACAAATGTTCTAGTGATCAGTAGAAGAGGACTTAATCACTGTGTGAAAACTAATCTGTACATCTGGGTGGAGTTTAACCCTTAAAGTGCCAGAGGAAAGCCCATTAAAGCACGATAAACATGATGAAAATGTAAAAGACTCCTTTACTGTACAGGGAGCTTTCCAACATCACATTTCTCAGGGACTTACCCGCCTGTCGGAGGTCTCCAGAATTGAGTGGTGCACTCGGGATGGTATTCTGTGATCTGGACTTGTTGCTGGTGTTATTGCTCATCTCCTCCACTTTTGTCTTGTCACCCTGCTCTTCGCTCACCGCTGTGTTCTGACTAGAAGTGGATTCAGACCTCAATCTCGTGGACTGAGACGTGGACCTCAGTTTGATACCAAATGACAGCTTTCCGTCCTCCTGCTGGGCCTCTTGTTTTTCCTCTTCGTCTTTCACCCCCTCCTGTGCAGCTGCAGTGTCTGTGGTTTCACCTGTAGATGGTGCCACCGGTTCCACCCTTTTGAGACTCTCCCTCTTGTCAATCAGAAAATCAGAGCCTGTCTGCTGGGTTGCCCCCTGTCTGAGTCTCCCAGCAGCAGAGGTCGCTCCTCTCAACTGTAACTCTCGAAGCTCCTCTTTCTCCTTTGTGCTTAAAATAGGTTTCTTTTCATATCTGTGCCTGCCTTCAGCCTTTTCAAGCACTCCTTCGAAACTATCTGATCGAGGTCTTTCTCCATCAATGTTTTTGGTGGTGGTGACAGAGAAATGGAAAGACCCAGTTCCTTGAGAGGATCTCTTTATCACGAGTGTGCCCTCTGCCTCATATTGAACCTGTTGAGGGGAGGTGGACCTGAATGTTTCCTCTGAGCAAGCAATAGAGGAGCGCTGGTCGCCCGAGCTAGAACTATTAAGAGTATTTCTCTTGTCACGGGACATTAATGATATCTCAAAACTCTCATCTATTTTGTCTTTCATTTCAGATGGTAAAATGCATGATTGTGGCCGTTGACCGGACACTACCTCTCCTATTCTGTGACCCTTAACTCGAAGAATCTGGGAGGGGACAGGGGGCACTGTCTCATGAGGAATTTGGTCTGGTTGGGAGGAGATTGCCCTCTTTGATTTGTTTTCTGCCTCTGATGTGATTGGTACCACTTCAGGGAGTTTTGAAGAAAGAATTTGAACAGTACTAGGAGCGACAGTCTCTCCCACTTGGGTTTCCAATGCCACTTTCTCTTGAGGATTGGGCTGCTGCTCTTTGTCACTGTCAGAATCAGGGTGATCGATGTTGTTTAATGACTGGAAAAAGAGAAAAAGAGAAGGAGTTGTATCTTTGACTTGGATTTTAAAAATACAAAGTGAGAACAAGTTCTTCCACTCACATCAGAGTCGCCAATTTTCTTCTTTGAGCCTGCACGCTGGTTTCGGGGCTTGACTGACATCCGGTGGCGTGCGGCAGAGGTGTCAAGTCGTGGGGTCAGCTGGGCTGGAGAGCTGAAGTCTGACGGGGACTCATCAACAGAAGTAGTGGAAGGAGCTGGTAAAGTTTGGTATTTGGTGGGCGATGGTTTGGGGATGGGTGAGATCAGATGGGAAGATTGTGGAGAAGTATTCTGAAAGACAGAAACAAAAAAAGGGTGAGTAACTCTAATTGGCCGCTATGATTAGCAGCACATGTGTTCCTAAGTTGAAAAAGTAAGGAGCATACATAGAGAATAGTGTTTGTCTTATTGGTCGACATAAGTGCTATTATTTGAAGTCAATTTTAGGTCAATTGGTCACGTGACATGGAAGCTATTGAAGGTAAACAGCCTTTTTGAGAACATCAACCAGTAATTTATTGATGGTCCCTTATTCAACACCCGACATTGACAGTGAGGATGCCGAGTAGATTTAACCGCGCTGTTCTTGCTATTCCAGATTACGGAGAGTGAGAACCGCAGTGAATGTCCGTCAAATATCCAATCTAAAACTAACTTCACCGCGGTATTTACATGAAAAAACATTTGTTGCCTCAGCTGATTTTCTTATGTGCACATGTGTCCCTGAATACATTCAACAATTCGCACAAAGTCTATTTTTAGTCACAAATGTGAGTAAAATGGTTGCACTGTCGAGCCCTGGTTTTAATTGTACCTGTGGTGACAGGCGCACTGGACAGACATGCAGGTCATCGCATTGTTATCTCTTATAAGTAAGAGTTGAGCAAAACTGAAAAATCTGAATAAATACGGTCCCTTACGTATCACCAAGCAAAGGTAACACAATGGCTAAAAGGAGAAAATGTCACATGCTAAACTGACATCATCCTGGTTGTGGCTTTGTCATAGACTGTAGAGAACTTATTAGACACAGTCTCAGTGACGTTTCACATTTGTTTCTCAAGTGTCACCATGTTGGAAACTGTGACTGTAAGTTTTCAGCCTCATCGCAAACAGCAACCATCAAATTTAAGATTCTAATTGACATTAAACTCTGACTTCTTTTGTAACCAACGAAAACAACATACTACCCATAATATATGTCCAAAGTTTGTATTAAAAAATCCTCAAAAGGCACCAACAACACAAACCAGCTGAAAGTTTGGGACTAATCAGGGACTGCAATAGCTGTGTCCATGTGCTGGAGTCAGCTAGCAGCTTCTGTCTGTCAATCCAAATGAGACTGAAACGTCTCAAACTTGAGCTCTAAAATATTAAAAGCAGAAGAGATGGAATAAATAGACTCCATATGTTTAATCGGTCCTATTGGCGACTGACTTGCTCATGAAATCAGCCTCAGGTGGCCTCTGATGCTACTGCAGTTTTGGCACTTCTGTAGTGGCTTCACACAAACCTCCTTTTACAGCCATTAGAAACAATCACTGCAGGGGTGGTCCTATTACTAACCCATCTATGCATGAGTTTGCACTGTATGTCAAGCCTTAGTGACTTTACACAGCAACGAGCATCACTGTTACTCAAGCTGGCATGTTTATTCATAGCGTGAACGCGGACTCTCTGATTTGAGTCATCCAACTTACTCAGTACTGCTACTGTAAATATCCAAAAGTGCATTTTAATCTGTGTCTCTATAAACCCAGCAGATGTAGCGTTTACTATTTTGTATGTTTTGTAATGTTTGCTCAAAACTGCAATCCCAAAGGTTTAGGGATTACAATGGCTTTAAAAAAAAAAAGAAGAAACTATTTGTTTGTGACCCATTTTTTAAGATTACTGCCCTAAGCAGGACTAAATGAGCTTTGTTAGAGCTGAGTCCTGCAGACAGACTAGAGACCTCAGGAAATATTTGGAGAAAGACTAACTCATTGTTTGTTTTAGGCTTGTTTTCTACAGGAAAAATATAAGACATCAGCAGCGTTTTCTTCCAATATTTACAGCAAACTAAACCTATTCTGGACTCTTATCTCAGATCATAACCCTATTAGAGACGGTGTTATGTCCACACTCCAGCAGTTACCTGTCCTTGCAGGGAAAGTAGTAAACTAAATACAGACTTCTGAATATGATATAATAATAAAACACAAAGAAACACATTAAACAAGTAAGAGTGACTAAGTGCAATTGTATTTTGCAGGAGCTTGCTGGTGGCTAAGCAGCATTAGTATTTTTATAATGATTGCATTAGTCTATCTCCTTTTGGTCCTTTTTTGGTTGGCAAGATGCTGAAAGTTTGAGTATAAAAGAAACCAGATGTTCAACCTTTTTTTTCTTCATTTTTGTCAGATAATTATAAGTCCTAATTTTTTATGACAAAAATACAACATGGCAGGGATTTCTGTACATAGACATGCCCAGATTGGATTTTTAAGACACATTTAAAGAGTATTAGAGATAAACATTGTAAGCTCACCTGAATATCTTCCAACTTAGTTCAGTGGAAAATGGTAATTATTTCTAATCACAGTTTTTTTCTGAGAAGTTGCTCCATGTTAATCTAAAAGCTCTGGCCAAATGAATTATCTTGCTTGTTGCAGTTTTTTCTACCCAGCCTCCAGTTTTCACACGCAGGTGTTTGGCTGAAGGACAATTTGGCACATTTTTTTCTATAAACTATATGAAGGCGCATAAATAACTCAAAATAACGGTATCTAGTTAACAGAATTTCTTCTTTGCAACATCAAGTCGCATGCATTGTGAATACATTTTTGTAGTATATTGACCTACTTTTTCTAACTGGCTTTAGTTAGCATATATCCCCCTCGGGGGAGCCTGGTTGTAGTTCAACTTCTTCCAGCTTGAAAAGTTGCTTTTAAAGTTCAAAGTAGCTCTCCCAACACTGAGTACTGTTTCGTCTGCACTGTTCTCCTCAGAGCTGGAGGATAGGACTTGGAGTTGCTTGAAGTTGAATAAAGCTAAATCAAAATGCAAGATGAGTAAAGCCCAGCGTCCAATAAGACAGTGATTGGGAAAATCACACATGCATCCTTTAAATCATGGAAACATACCCTGAAAATAATCCAATTTGTGGGAGAATTTTCAAAGTTTCACTGACTGGTGGTGTCACTTACTGAGATCTCAGCCGGGCTACCAGAAAGATTGTCCTCGTCTGAGCGGCCGTCAGGATCTTCTGGTCGTCTTGGCAAAACCAGAGGTGGTGGACCCAGATGCATTTTCTGCTGTTGGAGTTTCACCTTTAAAACACAAATATAGATGTTTTTTTCTCTTTTCCCGCCTTAATACATCGCCCAAAGGTCCATGAAAATGCTCTAGATGTAAGGCCATACCTGCAGGGCTTTAATCCTGCCTTGAACATTCTCCTGGGATGAAACCCTGGCTGGTTCACCTTCATTCAGGTCCTGATCATCTATAAAGATGCTGTCGTGGGACAAAGCCCGTGATGGCATCATTCCCTGGGGACATCTGTTGGCACAGCAGAGGATAATCAGAGGAGGAGTGATTAAATAGGATGGAAATCTGAACAGAAATCAAGATGTAGAGCAAACATTTGGATTATTTATCCTCAAGTGGACACTTACGACAAATCTTCCTCAGATCCGAGTCCCTTTCCTGATGTGATGTCACTCTCCGACTGGCTGAGTTTGGGGTTTTTCTTTACGCTCCCTCTTTTACTTCTCCCAAAGATGCGAGTTTTCAGAGACTTAAGCTTGGACTTTTTACGTCCTAACATAGATTGAGATGGAGGCGGATTCAGGTCAGAGTGGCTCAAACACACACATGCGTAGAACTCGCACAGCACTCATTTAAAGCCTTTATGTTCGCTCATTATCTATATCAAACACCTGCTACCTGCTGCAGATTAGGATCTACAATTGACAATAAATGCTCTATGCTCACGTGTATCAAAGCTGTGCTGACTGAGCTCTTCATTTTGTAATGTGTAACATTTCCATTATAGAAAAATTAGCTTCTTTCTTCTACCTGCAGTGTATTAAACTACATGCCAAATAGTTTTACCTGTAACGTCTTCTGTGCTCCCTTCTGCATCTCCAGAGACAGACGCCATCAGTCTGATTCCTGACAGAAGCACAGAGAAGACAGAGAGAGATGTGTAAAGAAAGGCGCCAAGCAGTTCAGACAACAAGGACCTCGAGGAAGCAGACTTTTGAGGCTGTTGTCCTTAGCTGGAGGGCTTCAAACGGGGTGTAAATACAAAGAAGTCGCGTGTTCTCTGGCAGACACTCATGTACACTTAATGCACTGGGTGAGCACCTGAAGATGTTACAGTGGACCTACGGTTCAAAGGTTTATTGGCATAACTCAGAACAGTACGAGCTATGCTGTAGGTGGGGCTTACTGAGAAAACACACATGAACAATATATAATCTAGAAGCTTTTAAAGAAGCATATTTAGCATCAGGAATAGAGGAAAAAACAGGAAATGTGTCGTCAAGAAAACTGCTTTTGTTGGAGTTGGCAGAATATGACGATGTCTCAGAGCAGCACAGCCAGGGTAAAGCATTTTATTCTGCTAACAAAGCAAAATCTTGCCTCAGACAGCTTAACTTGTGCAACACTTGATTGACAAACACAAGAATAGGCTGCTTGTTTCTTTTGTTTTACAGACTTTGTTGGTTTTTGCCTGCCCTGGAGCTAATTTTCACTTGGAGATACTTTTTTATTTTTCCATGAATCACTGTGTAGCCTAGGAACGGGTGTCAACACATGATCCTGTAAAGCATGTGCGCCTGATAAGACAAGATGTGTCAGGTTATGGATAAACATTGCAAAGTCCACAGAGACTCTCGTATCAGCTGGCTTTCAGCAGGCGAGCACACCTTTACAGGAGAGATAGAAGCATACAAAATGTGTAATGGATGTGCTCATGCAACATGTGAGCCTCCTCCCTTCACACATACACATTTCAGCTAACTTAAATCACACACCAAGCCATACCTCTGAGTTTTGTCATGCATGGTAAAGCCATAGCCGCAGGAGAAAGGACGGATAATCTGGTGGATTATTAACATTGCAGAGAGATCCTTGCAAGATTTCACAGCAGCATAATCCACAACAACAGCTTAATCACAAACTTCCCATCACACACACTGCAGGATTAAATTCACCTGACATTCACTGTGAAAAGTGAACGTGAAAACCTGCTGAAACGCACACATTCACACACTAGAGTGCAGAAGAAAGTCAACTTACCCAAGCTCTGATTCTCAGCCCCTCTGCTTTCCTTCGTCCTTCTCCTCTCTTTGTCCTCCTCTGTCCTGTCCCGGCTGTCTCACCGTCTTAATGTTTCAACCTCAGGCGTGCGTCTTCCACATTGGCAGATGGAGGGAGATGCAGAGGGACAAGAGCGAGGTGAGGTGGAAGGAGACAGAAAAAAAAAAAAACAAGAAAGAGAGAGGGAGAGAAGGAGAGAGAGAAGGACACTCCACAACAGGGTAAGCAAATGCACAAAGAGAAAAGAGGACAGAAGAGAATGAGAGGGAGAGAGAGAGGGAGAGAGAGAGAGAGAGAGAGAGAGATACTCTATTACATTAGTGGCACACTGTGGCCCTCTGCGCTAAGCTCCTTATAAAACGCTAACCTGATTTTAGGCCCAGAAATGAGAGTAGAGGGAGAAAAAATAAAGCTCCACTTGGAAAGAGGACAGGAATTACTCAGGCTCATAGGACTGTTTAGACATTACACCAGGTTGCTTACCCCCCTGGTCGACCAGTGAGAGGACTCTATGTATGTGTGTGAATGTGAGTCTTGAGAAGTTAAAAATTAAGTCAGGTGAAAAAAAAAAACACTAACCAGGAATTAGCCAGCGCCCACATGGTGAGATCAAGAGTTCAGGTCCACCAGATACTGGAGTTAAAATGATCTTTTGTAGTTTTTTTTATGCTGTTGATAAAGTCAAGATTCATATGCAGAAGCAGAATCAGGGTTTATCTCCAAGAAGGTTAAAATTTGTCTCAGTGGTGTGGCTGCATTATGACATACTTGACCTTAGTCTGGCAGAAAGGTCTTCAAATAGCCTCAGCTTAAAGGCACAGTGTGAAGAAATGAAAACGTTGAGCAGTGTCTGGTGCTCAGATTCAAGACTCGGACGCTCCCCTGCTCACCCCTCCCTTGATACAAAGTAAGAATAATCCCTTTTTGTCAAGTTTTCAACACGAATTTGGACTCTTCTTCTACCAGCTGCTGTATTAGGTATGGTCACTCACTAAATACAGAAACATGTACGCTGCTAGCACGGTTATAATAGTTTTTGATTTTTCACAAGTTTTCGAGTTAAATTTGGTTTTGGTTCGTTTATGTAATGCTTAATTTTAATTCAGCTTTTATTACTTTTAGTTTTTGTAACCCCCAATACAAAATAAAATAAAAATTAAAACACAATGTCAAAAACATCATCTGTCACCTGTCAGAACAGGACTTATGTTGAGATTAACAGACACAAGAATAAATGCTATTTATTGGTGTGTGGGCTCATCCACTTCTATGCCACCCCTGCAGTGCTGGGGTTTGGCCACCCCAGTCAAAAAGGTCTGGGCATGTCCCTGTTTGTTAGCATGTACCTTGCCCCTAGTATGTTACTTTAGCACCAGACAGAACCATGCTTATCAGAGGGCTCTGCTGATGGAGAGAGAGGTTTACAGTGAAAGACAGGGACTCAACGCACAGGTTAAAGTTAAACAACTTTCCAGTGATGTGTGTGTAGAGAGCTGCAATCTCTCAATTTAAGCCAGTTGGCAACACCTATTGGCAATTCCTCTCCCTCTAAACTGCCGATATAAACAAATAAAAGGTTCATTCATTCTGTGCTGCAGGAGAAACATGGTGGTGCAAGTTGGCAGCCTCCATGGCAAGGGGACATGCTCCTGTGTGCATTAACAAGGATCATTTTAGGTTAATAAGTGATTAAACGGTAGTTTAAACATATTTTTGAATATTACTTTTCAATTCTATCAAGTCTGTTTTGCTTTTACTACATACTGCATCTTTAAAGAAGTTCTTATCATAAGGTGTTGCATGTTTTTTCTCAATGTATCCCCCCCTAAACTGTGCAATAAAGTCTGGAAATTATCTTAAAAAATCTTTAAACTCTATCTGCAATGCTAGTAAAAGGGAAACATGTCCTCCAAACACATGTGGCTCCTGGTGAAAGTGATCCCTGTGTTTGCAGCAGTAAATCCAGCTTTTTGCACATCCACACATCCAGGTTGGTATATCCACAGATGGGAGCTCTGACAATCTAGGCCACTGGGCTACGATCAGCGAGAGGGAGGGCTCGCTGGAAGAGAGGAAAGCAAAGGAAAGTACAGGAAAGTGTGTGTGTGTGTGTGTGTGTGTGTGTGTGTGCGCGCGCGCGCGTATGTCTGGGTGTGCGGCGTCTCTGATGGGGCTCCTCATCACACAAATCCTCATCTCCTCCACCAGGATATAAACCCAGCCGCTGACATCTGGATTACAGGGACCAACTGCATGCTGCATGTTAGTGGAGCACCATGACATAAGAGTCTGGGATGTGATTTTGTTTAATTCCCCCATTCATGGATTTATTGTCCTTAATCTACACAAAAGGGACAATATGTGTGTGAGATTATCTCATTTTTAATGTGATTACTACTGATTTGTTGTTAACTCTTGCAAATACTTAAATATAATGCATCCTTTCTTTTTTAGCTGCAGTTTTGCTCTTCCAGTAAAGCAGTGACAGCTGTCTTTCTCACAGCTCAGGTCGACTCTGGTTCATGTGTTTTTCTGATGGATTATATTTTCTTGCTTTCAGAGCCCAGATGAGGACTGTGCATATCGAGATTAAGGCCGATAGATAAGCTGCTCACGGCTGCACTAAGCAGGGAAGCCATTCATTATAAACAAACAGTCTCCCATGAAAATTTAATGAGGAGGACATTTATCCCATAATTCTACGCCTGAGGTGAAGAGATTTTGGTCATTAAGTTTTACCTGTGTTTGAGACCCTGACACGTCACTACTGCTGCAACAGTCCTAATACTGTGAAGAGCAAAGGTTACAGTTTACATATATTATGTATAAACATATCTGTATTATTAGGATAATGATACAGATATGACTTCTTTCAATAGTTCGTATTTGAGTTTTAAGTACATGGAGTTGTGCTTCACTTAAATGCCAGAAATCCATTTCTCATGCAATATGTTAATAAATCCATTCAAAACTTAAGACTGCTATGACCCAGTTTGAAATCTAAAAATATCCTCGTCTACCCAAACCTCTTATCACACATCTCAGATCGAAGACCACAACCAAATACCCAACATTATTTAAGTATTTTGAACAGAAAATTTTAGTGTTAAAGTTTACTGCAAAACAGTTTTAAAAAATAAATGGCCCATCAACTTTCACTATTTATCTAGCCAAACAATAAGCGTGAACAATTAATATGAAATTATTTGTTGTCCCTCCACTAGAAGAATCAAACCCAAACTATTCCAGAGTAGTTTCCCTCTCTGTAAACAGAAGCAGCAAATCGGTTTGGTAAAGTGATGAAGCCTAAAAACAATACTTCAGTTTGTCACTAAAGCTGCATCTATTTAACATGCTTTTGGCACGCACATTTCAAGCAATATGATTATGAAACATGAATTCAGAAGTTGCAAAACCAAGTAATAAAGTTAGATATATGGCACAGAAATAATTTGTCCTTAAGCCAAATACATATGAGAAATCAGGAGGTGCAAAGGCAAAAGATCCAAAATTTTTTAACATCTTTGAGTCCAGGGCTGCCACAGAACTGTTGAAGAAGATGGTGGATGATTTTTAAAATTGTCTTTACAAAGCTGTTAAAATTTTGGTTCAAATTCACTCCAATCAAAATAATAAAACACAGAGACGTGTCATTATATCACAAAGCACTTTTAATTTATATATTAGAAAACTTTTCATTCATTATTCCACCAGATGGTGGTATAAGACTTAAAATTCGCTTTCTGTCATTATGGACCACCTTAAGAAAAAATAGTTACATAAAGGTCAACAAAAATATTAAAAAAAAAACTCATACATAAACAGATGTGAGTCTTTGCATGGATACGCAGAAAGTTTCAATTTCTCAACAAAATAAAAAAATCAGAATCATAGAGGTAAAATTGAAGACACACTGGTGTTGCATAAAGCTTTTTGTAAAGTACCGCTGCTACAGTTTTTTAAGTCTGTCTGTCTGTTCAGGCAAATCCAACAACACGGCAGATGTGACTGAGCACTCTAAGAGCAGGCTGGTAAGTTAAGTTACATTAGATGTTAAAATAAGTCATTTCAGTTTCATATCTCATAGTGTCTTTGTATGTTTGGTGTGAAAGATGTCAATGTTAGTCTCCTGACACTGTCGCAGGTCATAGTCACAATAACCGATAGAGAACCGCCCCTGAAAGGAAAGACAGACACTTCATCAAATAAAATCACAAATCATAATGTTGATTCAAGGTGAAAAAACTTTGATGCTGATGACTGCAATAAGACAAGAAAAAAAATGAGTAAAAAGACTCACTTTGGGCTTCTTGAAATAATCAAGCCCTCTTCCTATCTTTATGATCCACCCATTATCAAATCTGAAAAGACAAACTGATTTTTGATTACTGCCATAAAAGAGCTTTATTTACAGTGAGAGAGTATGTATATAATCTCTTTGGTCTGAACTGTACCTGATCTCCCTGTCGTGAATGGTGGAGGAATACTCCAGGTCCAGAGTCACACCCTGAGCACTCAGACTCTGTTTCAGCTCTGCCAGAGCACTGCTCTGCTGGCTGCTATCCGTCTGCAGGACAGAATGAGAGGTGGTAAAGAAACAGCGCAGTCTGAATGTGCAAGTAGTCCATGCATAGTGAGACCTTTTGACTTACCTCATCCTGTGAAGTGAGTAGATGGATCTTTTTTATCTTACAAGGCGCTTTAAGTAACATCTCACAGAACCGCAGGAAGTTATACAACTGAGAGCGAGAGATGCAGAAAGTGTTATCACTGTGTTTGATGTTTTTTTTTCACTTATTACACGATAAATAAATGTAAATATTAAATGTTGAAAAGAAACAGTCATCAGTAATTCTACCGCGCCATTTTTAGTCACAGTTATAAGTAATAAGATTCATTTTTGCCACACAATAAAATGCCAGATTTTAATTCGGATGAGCAGAAATCTCATTAATCCAGTTTTTATCAATCAAAGAACAACCTGAGACAACAAACACGGATGAAAACAAAGATCTTACTTGGTGTATGTGCCTTATGTATGGGTCCTGTACCCAGACCTCTGTGAGTACACTGCTGATGTAAGGCTTGAAAAGAGACTCGTAGCTGTAACCTGTGGCGTCCTCGGCTATTTTTATCTGTTCATGGTACTTCCCGTCTAACAGGAGAGAAAACACAGAAGAAGTCAGCACATTTAAAAAGGCACCAGCGGGCTTTGACCCAGGGATCTTTAAGTTTAAAACATGTCTTACATTATCAGAGACACTATATTACATCAGTACCTACGCATTAATACGAACACATGAAATAAACATACTTATGTAAGAACAACCTTCATAACATGGTCTTTCTCCTGATTCAGCTCTAATTTGTTAGCTGAGAAAACCACATAGCAGCGATTAAATATCTTAAACTAACAAGACTGCAAAGAACTAAACACAGGTGAAACTTTAACTATTGCTTATGAAACAATATTTACATTAACCACCTTCTTTCATCTGGTTCACGTGAACTTTGATCTGCTCGGCTCTGTCCATGTATCCCTTAATCTTATCCCTGTAGTGTCCTCTCTTCGAATCATCTTTCACAGCTAGAAAAGAAACAAAAATACGGTTTTGATCATTTCTAAATCAGAGTTCCTCTACTTTTCAAGTGCAGCAAGAAAATTTAGTATATTGTGGTAAAAGTCCCTTTTCTTCAGAATTTAAATCACAGTGGTTAACTTTCACATATTTTCTTGGACTGATGGAACAATGGACCAACTGCAGCAAATGACATGACACCCAAATCATCACAGACTGGGAAAATTTGACACCAGACTTCAATCACCTTGGACTTAGTGCCTCTCCACTTCTCCTCCAGATTCCAGGAACTTGATTTCCAAATGAAATGCAAATTTTACTTTTACCAGAAAAGAGGACTTTGGACCACTAAGCAACAGTCCAACAGACTTCCTCCTTGGACCAAGTAGGATGCTTTAGACGTGGGCCCTGACTCAGGAGCGTCATGATACTGTAAATATTACCATTGTAGCCTCTTTCCTGCTGATGTCTGTGTGTGATGGTCTTTGATTGACTGACACTGGCTTCAGTCCACTTCATGTGAAGGTCTTGTCCTTTTCTTGACAATACTCTAAAAGCTGTGGTCATCGTTGTGCATCTTTTACTTCCACACTTAGTGGGAAAGTCAACTAGATATTCCTTAATACAACACTCTGCTTCTGCTGGCCCTTATAAGCCGTGATTTTCTGTGGCTTATCCTCGATCTGGATGGTATCAATCATTGTACTCTGAACAACAAAAGTTGTTCTTGTTGTTTTATGTAGTTTTTAATCTGTGTACCATGATCATAAAAATTTAAAGTGTAAAAAACTTGAGGCGTTTGTAAGCCTGGAGTAAATCACATTTTCCCTTCCATTTATTAACTTGTGAAAAATAATGACCCTTCTATAATGGTCTAGTTTTTCAGCTGCACATGTATAGCTAAATAACATTGAAAAAAACAGCTTACCTTTCAGCACGTCCATGAGCAGCTGGATCCCTTCCTGGTAACAGACCAGAGACTCCTGGAAACGGCCGCTTTGGTCCAACTCCACCGCCCGCTTCAGCACGGAGACGGCGGAGGTCTCCATCCCTGACACATGGTTTTGGGTCATAGCTGTGCTTTTTTTCGTGATTAGAATAGCACTTTATTCTCTCACATTTCTTGTCAGGAGAACCACCCAGAGTAAAACCACCTAACAAACTCGTTAGCTTCAAAGGGTGCGCCACCAAAATAATTCCCGGGGAAACACAAGGGTGACGTTACATCCCTTCATGGGACTATTTGCGAAAAAATCTGAGCAATTAAGAAAACTGTATAATTTATTCTCATTTTACATGTTAATCGTTTATTAGGAAGAATAAAAATTAGAAATAATGTTAGGAACCTTGGTTATGAAATGTGTGTCATCCCGGCCCAGTTTGTCCGTTACCCATAAACACTTCCGGTAGAGATCACCATGGAGGGGAGGAAACTGCCATAACTAAAACGTGATAGTGTATTTTTTGCTATTCATTCGTGTAGGTTCAACTTAATGCTGTAAAGCTATGTTCTGAATTTTGATTCATTCGCATTTCTTTACTCTGCGTTAAGTTCTGTTTTAGCCCGCTCTTGATCGGCTGTTCTCAGACTGTAACCTTGGAAGGTAACCCGCTGAAAAATCAGCGATGACAGGGGTCTGTCGAGGATTGGGCTTTTTCCCCTTCAAGGTAAGAATACTCCATCAAACAAAATCAACTCCTCGGTGTCATTGCAGTCAAGGCATCTTAGAAGCTGTTTAAAGCGCCTGTGTTGAGTTTTAAAGGGATATTCCGGCGTAAAATTTGTTTAGGGTCAAACACACCAAAACACCGAGTTAGACACCCCGCAGCTCAAGGAAGGGCATTTATGATCATCACTTTATCATTTCCTTAAAGTAATAATCATCCTATTTATCATCTTGCTCTGCAGACGTGGTAGTTCTTCTGCCTTAGTGTCTCGGTCTGATTGCATTTCCATAAAGAAATGATCATAAATGTTCTTCCTTGAGCTGCGTCACCCCGCAGCAGTCTATAATGGACTGGCCTGATGTCTCCCTACAAACCAGCGGCTGCTGGAAGAGAGTATGTGAGTTGTGTTTAGTCTCTTTGCTAAAGAAATTAGGCAAAGTTAAAAAGATGTTTGGTGGCTAGTACTATGGCTGGGACCCTATATGTACTGTTGATGAAGTTAGGTGCTGGAGGAGGTACAGTTTTGACCACACAGGGCATCAAAAACAGGCAAACCAAGTTCACCACAAAAGTTGATGTTATTAAGTCTCTTTAGACAGAGTCTGTTTCAGAACTGCTTAAAACCTTACAGGAGCTTTAAAGCTGCAGCCCTCTCACAGTCACAGATTTCAGACAAAAGGAGTCAGGGATGTGTATAACATGGGCAGCAAACCTCTAATACTAACATTAAAAGCAGAGGTTTTTATTGCAAAGTGATCAACATTAACTTAATACTTTTCTGACTCATGTAAACCAAAGCCCCTGTGAATTATTGTCTATATACTCTCCTTTTTTCATGCTTGTGATATTTATATTTTCATATTCTTTCATTTACTTCAGTCTGATGGCTGTAAATTGTTTGTTGTCGCATGTAATGTGTCCATATCTCACAGGACAGAGCTGCTTTCAAGTCAATGGTTTATCTTTGCTCTTAAATCTGACCCACAATTCTCTTTATGTGATTCCAGGCCCTTGCTGAAGCTACAATTTTGTCACCTTCTACGTGGTTTGTGTCTGCACGCAGCAAAATCACAAAGGCAAGAGTCTCAAAAGAGGTGAGAACCGAGGCAGAGCTTAATTTAAGTGCAGAATGAGAAGAGTTAAGAGCATATCCATGCTCATGTTGATGCTCCTATGTCTTAATTTACAAAGCTGCAAAAACTTATGTTTTCTGCTCTATTATCAACATTCAAAGACTATTATTCTCCACAGTTTTTTGAAGAACGATCAAAAGACCATGAGAAATACGGTGGAGATCCAGATCAGCCTCATAAACTGCATATCGTGACACGAGTAAAAAGTGTGAAACGAAGACCGTACTGGGAGAAAGACTTAGTGAAAAACCTGGGGCTAGAAAGGGTGAGGCAATATATCTTCCATCCATTTCATGTTTTGTGTCTTTCAGAGTTGCCATCAGTTCAGGATTTTCCCTTTTTTTGCACTTGCTGAACTCTCTCTCTCTTTGTCACATATTTAGCCACACGTACCTGTGATTCATAAAAACACAACCTCAGTCAACCACCTGCTGAAATTTATCAAACATCTTGTAAAGTAAGTCATAAAGTCTTGGTTTAAACTCTTTTTCTGATCATAGAACAGATGTTTTAAGAAACTGTTTGTAATTTCCCATTTCTCCATCCTCTTTTCTACCAAGGATCCAGCCGCTTAAGACCCCGTATGGACTCCCTGCTGAAGAGGACATGGGAGAAACCTACATCAACTGCAAAGGAGAGCTAATAGTTTGTCGTCTCCTCAAGCCTGTTGACCCAAAAGCAATCGAATCCTAGCCCTACTCTGTTAGTTCACAGTTAGACTGATCATAAATGTCATGGGAAACCCTTTGCTTTAAAGCTCTCTGTTCTGATATTCACTCTGTTCCAGATTTTCTGCGAGAAGTTATCAAAAAAGTTGGTGTTTGCAGTTTGTACCAACTTCTCAGTCACGTTAAAGGTGTATGTGGACGATTATGATCTATTTGCCATGGCGATTCACTCACATGTGATGGTTTCTGTATTCATCATGACTTGTATAAATTAAACACTCTTTTGAAATAGATTGCTGTCTTTTTTTACCTATTTGCAGAGATCTTTTTCTGTGAAGTAGGACCATCAAGTTGGATTTGATAGAACTGGTCGCAGTTTGAGTTTTCTCCTCACTCAGAATCCATTCGTGTTACTTTCTACGCTTTGTAGGATCAGATCTGCAAGATGTTGTCATGCTGTAATTTTATTATACATACCCGTACCTATCAGCTGTATCTGCTCATAGTTTGGAGTACCAGGAGAACCAGAACTTATTTCAGATAACATGGGCAACTGATAAACTTAATTATCTGTGGACCAATCAGAGGATCCGTGAGGAATTTAAAAAACAAAATTTTCCTACGATGAAGACTTAGAAGTAGTCACGTTTTGTCATTTTTAGGATCCTGGCTTTAGTGAGCGTGTACATGCTGTTTTGTAAGATAAAAAGCTTCAGTTTTTTAGTCACATCTCAGGAAAGAATAGTCATGATCCCTCAGCTAGAATAACTCATGAAACAGCAGCTATGTCTGTGTCTTGGGAGGATGCTGCTTTTACTCTAAATCCAGTACAATTAGAGAACATTAACCTCATCAGCCATGAGGCCTAAATTCAGAACAGGTGCCTGACTGCCCCAGAGAGAAACACCCCACAGGAGTTCACTCTGTTCACAGTTAAGCAGTTCTTATGATGGAGGAATCTTTAGGAGAAGCCCTGATGCGTAAAGTACAAGCTCCCTCATACAGTTATGGCATTAAAGTTGTTGCATTAGTTAGTGTTATTGCCTAATTTTCTTACAATTAAACTTCCATTCTTGCAAGGTTAAAGAAAATAAAACTGCACAATGTTTTCTTCCATTCTCTCCAAATTTTCTTTAAAATTAAACTAAAAGCTGTTATTTCTACATAAACCAGATAGTTGTGTTGCAAGCATTTAAAAGTGAATTTTGGGCACAGTCAATGTGCACATAACTTTAGGATCATTTAAATCAAAGAGAGGGAGCAGATGTTCATGGAGATTCTTTAGGCCTGTTTTGTGATGTGCATATGTACAGATTTCAAGACCCAAATATTTACAGTTTTATTGGCAACTTGAGTTCATGACAGAAGTTCAAGGATTGAAAACATTCAAGGATCAAAAACAATGAGGTGACAAAGTAGCAGGTTTGTCGACACCTTCTGTGTCCTCTACATAGACTGTATATACAATGGACAACTTTGTTCTGCCTTCCACCTGTATACAGATTTGAAGCCAAAATGCTCTTGGTGATTCTGCATTTTTTCTCCATTTCCTGAAACCAACACTGTGCAGTGGTGTTGTACGCATTCAGCGGGAGAGTCGCTGTGATGACGCTCAGCTCAAACAGCTGTTCTCGTAGTGGCTTCACCCAGCGGGGAGGCAGACGCTGTCCATTTTATATACAGTCTATGGTCCTCTACAAAATGTAGTTAGATGTTACCTTGTTTGAGAAATGCAAGTTGTTTTTTAATGTATTCAAATAGGAAACATGGGAGACGATTTATTAAATAAGTGTGAAACAAAAATTCAAAAAGCTTTCATAAAGTAATTTGAAGACATGTTAAATTACATTTGTAAAAAGTAGGTAAGTCACTGAGAGAAAAGGATGAAAAAAAATCAAAGCGGGCTGTCTGCTGGATTTATTTTTAAGGTGAGGTAGCCCTGAGAGAGAAAACCAGACCACTGGTGGTGCTTCTCAGTCGTCTCCAGAGTCTGAGTCTGAGTCATAGGCTCTCCCTCTGATGGTTTTCTTCTCCACCTTTGTGAACTTTGTTCCTGACCTCTGGTTCACTGTTGGAGGCTCCATCAGGTTACCGCTAAAACAGAGAAATTCAATCAGAAGTTGTTAGCACATGACTTGGATTGAGTAGATGTAATGCTTGAAGGAGACGGTCTGTTTTAAGTCTCACCTGTAGTTGATGACACTTGCACAGCCAAGTCTCCATTCGAGCACCTCTGTGGGAAACTCGTCTGTGTTTCCAAGGTCAGTGAAGCCCACCACATAGTCCTTGGTTTTCCCGTCTATAAGCAGGGCCAGGGTGGGAATAACTTTGATCCTCAGCCTCTCTGTCAGGAACGGGGCCTTATCCACGTTCAGTTTGATGAACTTTGTCTCAACATGCTTTTTTGCCAAGATGGCCAAGTGCTTATCAAGGATCTTACATCTGTGGGAGAGAAGAATGAGAACAGGGTGTTAAATTTAACAACCTAACAACAATTCACCCAAGCAGAGAATCTTTTAGACCAAAGATATGAATATGTAAAAGACATCTAGTGCAAAATTTGACCATGTTGATGACATGAAAAAGGCGTTAAAGACTACATGCTTTATTGTTAGTATGTAAGGACGTCCTGATCACATTTTGGATCCACAGAGGGTGGGTAACAATGCGCAACTTTGTTATCCTGGAAAATATAAATGTTGCATTGCATATCTGTAGATACTGGATATTAAAAACTTCATATTAAAGAATCGGTTTGAGATCAGGGGCCAAAAAAGCTCTTTAGGGCATCCCCACAGGTGCTAAAAAAGCAGAAGCAGAGAAACAGAGTGTGTTTTTATGTTTTCTCATTAAAAGTATGACAGGTTTATTCTCTGTTTACTCTTCTACTTGATGAGTAATAGTTGAAAATTCCTGAATTGCTTCTGCTCTGACCTGAAGGTTGAACTTCTGTAGAAGTGGCAGACGACATTCTTGCTCTCCTTGACCTCGCCGAAGAAGTCCTTCTCACTCGGGATTTCTCTGAACTCCCCGTGGCCTTTAGACAACCACTCCTAAAAAACACAAAGCAGAGCAATAAATCACAAAGAAGATGAAAACGTATGAAATCAAGCATAGACTGTCGGCCGCTATGAGATGAGCAAAGCAGCAAACCATACCCCCCTTTAAAAAAGAAAAATCTCTAGACTGTAGAGAAAAACTCTTGACTTAAAATTCTATTTTTACCAGCTACCAGCAGTAGTCTTTGAAAGAATTTTGAATATGCTCCAATAATTTCAATCACAAAACAAATCTCCATCACACTTTGTTGTATCTTTGGTTTCTGACTAAGGCTCGATGTAAATTGATCACCAAGTATCTTCAATATGCAAGAAGTCTCTTGACTTTGTAATAAGTTTAGTATAAAAATGAAAAGGAGGTTTTATTATTTTAGAGAAAAATCACCTCCAGCAAAATCCAATATATTTGATCTCTTCTGTCTCTACAAAACTGAGATTCACAGGTGTCCAAGCAGAGGCATGAATATATTCATTTTTTTTCCAGTGGGTGCCCATTTTGTGTTACAGTTATAGGTGCTGTAATAGCTTCAGAAGTTGATTTATTGAATAGTCAAGATTATGCAAACTTCTTGCACGGTGCAATAATACATGCACAATTCAGTACAAAATATCAAACAATGGAAGAAAACAACACTCAACATACCTGCTTCTGTTTCTGAGCTTTTTTGAGCGCCTCTAACCGCCTTTCCTTCAGTCTTTCCAAATCATCTTCATCCATTTCATTCAGTTTGCTCAGCTGTGCATCCACCGACTCCTCCACCAGCTTGGCAGACTGCTCCAAAACCTTCGCGATGATGTCCATGGGTTGGTTTGCCATGGTTGATCCTTTCTGATTCTGGGAGGTAAACAACAGACAGTCAATGTTAGAACAATGAGCTGCAAATGATAGAGCTAGATTGATAAACACAATGACAGAAACAAATTTAATCTGTAAACTCCAAACTTCACAACTGGTATTCTTTTCATAGATTAATCGATTTGCTGATATTGCATGCATAACTGTTAATCATTCGCTAGCTTCAGCTTCTTGAATGTGTTTTGTTATAGCTTGTCAGTCAGGTATGATTAGTCTTGAAAGCTTTTAATCATCAGAATCAGAATATTTTATTTGGGAAATTCAGTCGTTACACCTGCTCTTGAAAATACAAAAGTTAATTAGAGAATAAAGAACAGAGTATAAAGTGTATGCAAAACTAGTTTGCTTTGTATACAGGCATTGATCTGCAGGATATTACACGGTATAATAGTACAATACTTTTACAGTATAACAGAGTATTGCACAGTGTAGTTTTATAAACGATGTATTGTTGGTATTGCACTGTTAGATTATTGAAGTTTTGACTGGTTTACAAACTGATTTAAGAGAAAATTAATGTTCAGACTTGAATTTAAGCCTTCAACCATTTAGATTAGCACTTCAGACTGCATCTAATATTGTTGAATAAATGAAAATTAGTCAGTAGATTCAAGTGTGAAAATCACTGTTTGTTTTTGAATGTAGAGGATCTGCATTCAGGGCTTTGCTTTTCACACTACAATTTTGACTTTGGGTAAAATGTTAGTCTTTACTTTTACATAATCTTTTTTTCTGGTTTGATTGAAGATACGGAATCAAATCAAGCCGGTTGTTTACGTATCCAGAGCACATCTCAAATGTAGGTCAAAGAAAAACTATCAAGTAGGGCTAAGCGATATGAGTAAAGGTTTATCACAATACATTTTTTTCATATCAGTCAATATCGATCTATACAACACAATATAAAAAAATCACTTGTCAATCATAGATGTTCCCTGTTACCCTTAAATGAAATTTAACAGTGCCAATTGGTTACATGTCTTTTGCAATACAATAAAACTACTGCATTTGTGAGGTCTTTTGAGTCTCTCTGACGTATTGTCGTAAGGTGTTGCGGTAGGGAAAGCGGACTGAATGGTCCCGGAGCAACTCTCCTTTTCATTGGCTATCCGTATAGTCTACCAAAACATGGCAAAACGCTGGCTATTGAAAAGCATATTGACCATGTTTCATATCGATATCGAGGGAAATTAATTTTCGATATATATCGTTGTCGTTTTATCGTCCAGCCCTACAAAGGTTTGAGGTGCAGTAGTCACTGCAGTAAATCATTGACGAGTAAAATACAAAGAAAACCTGCACAGGAGTCAATAAGTGGAAAAATTCACTACGATGATATCTGTGTTAGGACAAAGCCATAGTAACATCAGGGCACGCCTTATTTTAGCCTAGTCAGGACATATAAACCCATATCATTTTGGTATTTGTTCGACGGTTTACCATTCACTTAAATCGTGGCTTATTGATACAAACCAGCTAATACATTTATTATTAATCTATCAAGCAACTTCGTTTTTCTTCCAGAAGCTTTAAAATATCTAGAAAATCAGCTGCGGTTGTTAGCCCGCTAGGCTAGTTAGCGTTAGCCCTGAGAGTAAATGATGACTAGTCTGAACAGATAAAAGCGCTTTATTTGGGTAAGAGGCCAAAGTCCGTGTATACTGCGCAAATCATGTGAACTTTAATATTTAAGCTAAACAATCCAAAGGATAAAATAATTGAATACCTGATGTAGGCGTGAGAAAGCTGTACGCAGACTCTTCAGAGACCGTAGTGCGGGAGATGCAATCCGAAGCTGCGGCGGATATGACGTCAAATCGGCTGCTGTACGTCAAACTACGCAAATTATAAATTCATAATTATATATATATATATTTTTTTTCTTTGTTAAAAAAAAAGCTTCTTGCATAATCCCTTTACAAAAAAAGGTTAAAGAGTAATTATTAAGTTATAGCAGAGAAAAACCACAATTTTCTCTTCTCGGGCCGATATCTTATGACTTACGAGGTTTAACCACAGTTAATTTTACATATAAAATATAAATTACACATGTATTTTCCCCTTTTGAACATTGAAGGAGATCAAATGGGCATAAAATAACATTGTTGATGTGCATGGTTGGATAAATACGATACCTGCTCTAAACTGTTCTAGCTTTACAGGATATGTTACCTTCAGAGTGTGAGATCAGGGATGCAGATAAGGCTGGAAACCTTACAGGATAAAACATCCTTACCTTTTCAGTTAAAAATATACCACAAGGACAGAGCCGGCCCAAGGCATAAGCGAACTAAGCGCCTGCTTAGGGCCCTGCAGCCAGGGCCCTAAGCATGTATGAATGATGCTTTCTGTATAATCAAATATATATTATTGTAAAAATAAAATAAAATAAAGTATAAACATTTTTGTGCTGCTGCTGATGTAGGCCTATGATTCTTACTGCCGATATGTCAAAGCTCTGCTACTGTTATGTGCCTTCTGCTGTGCAATGTGCACTGAGCATTCAAAGCACAGGTAGTTGTGGGGCAAAACAATGTCGTACATATCCTACAGGAGCAGAGAAAAGAAAGAGAGAGAAGAGAAAAAATGCCAAGATAAAGGTATGTTTGCATGTCATGGAATGTTAATCAAAGAGATTTGTGAGCGTGTGTGAATGATCAACAATCAATATTACTAGCAGAAATAGAGGGCCCCAAAATCAAATTTTGCTCAGTGCACATTGCACAGCAGAGGCTTGGGCCGGCTCTGCACAAGAATATCAATAGCTATTTTGAAGTAATACCCAGATCCTGGAATAGACCCAGACAGTGCTGGAGTGATTATCCCATCCAGCATGGAAACACCCCAGAACCTGCCAGGATGAGCCGGAAAGCATTAAAGAAAATGGAAATTGAAATGAATTCAGAGCCAACAATTAATCTTGATTGAATACCCCTTTACTGAGCATATTTTAAACTTTTTTTAAAACATGACAAAGGCAAAGTCGTTAATACAGAGTTTACAATTTATTACCAAGTTTTAGAAAACTTACAAACAAGTTCACAGCTTCAGGTCTTCAGGCACAAGCCAGTTTAGAGAAGTCAAGACTGGCCAATTTCAATGTCTGGCCGTTTCCTTCTGGACAGATGACAGGTGAAGAGAAGCAAACGCCTTGAAAGTGAGCGGAGACTTACACATTCTGAGTTACATTCGTTTCCATGGGTTGATTGATTTGGTTTTGCATATAGGGGATACTGTTATAAACACATTTTTAAACCACACACTTCACATGATGTCATGGTGAGATTATAAACCAGCCAGCCAACCAACCACATCAGCTGAGTCCTTCTCATCACCGATCATAGAGTCAACTTCATCGATACAATACCGCAGCCACAAATGTCCTCAATGTGTGAAGTAAGCATGAACGTAGGACAGGTTTCAGAGTTTAAAAAAAATCAGATCAACACTTCCTGTACAGATCCAGCATTATTTGAAGATTCAAATTTGTGAAACGGGTTAATAAAACACGCTAGAAAACCAAACTTTACCCCAGATACAAAGGCAGTATGAAACGTTACATGATCTTGAAGGGACATCTCGCTTGTTAGAGGAAAAAAACGAAATGCATAGGCTACTTGTTGATTGCCTGTCAACATCCTCATGACTCTGAGTGCTACTGAGAATCAACAGTTAACCTCACATGAAGTGCTTTGGCCAGATTGAGATGCCCATGTTGTCACACTTAGAAACAGTGAAAGAGTGAGAGGATTTACAATTTTATAGACGATTACTAAGAGTTCACTACATGTAAACAATACAAGAGGAAAACCCTCCACATACATCTTTTTCTTTAAAACTTTGACCATGTTTCTTTAAAAAACATTATTTACACACTTTAATAACAGTTTGGCACTTTTTTGCAAAGAGAGAAGAAAAAAAAACACACTACTGTCTACAGCAGACTGTCTTCTGTTTGCTTTTTGGTGACACAGTAGTTGTCAGTTCTTCACAGATCAGTACAAGTGGCATGGAGCACCAAAGAAAATACTGATAGCAGGGTATTTTGAGTCGACAATTTCTGGCATCATCCTGCATCTTCACATCAGAGCATGATGATTGTGTTAAACACACCCCGTTTACTGCTTGAATGAATAAAAAGCTGAAAATGCACCCTTGTGAGAGTTTTTAAAACCTAGGGGACAAACAAGGGAGGGAAAAGTGCTTAATGAAGTGGGAAAAACTACCGTGGTAATGAGTCAGGAACTGGTCTTGGATCTCAATAATCAGTCGCTGCCTGCCAAAACCTTTCAAGAACAATCACAATCTATATATCCAAAAATGAGTCTTACAGTTTTGGGAGAGAACTTCACCTGAAAATTTGTGATTTTGCAAAAGATGCTACAATTTTTACTTTTCTGAGGCTTTTTTTTTCTTTATGAGGATATTTTCTGCCTTTCAGTCCGTGAACCTCATCCTATAAAAAGCAAATACAAAACAACTCACTGCACTTAGAAAAACTGAATACTGTCATGGCTCTTGTAAGACTTTCTCATACTTGTGGCAAGTCATCAGTCTGTTTGACCACCAGGCAGATTTGCAGAGGAGTTTGAAATGAATGGATGAAAATAGGGAGACTCATCATCAGGATGACATGCTTTGAAACAGATGACCTTGAAGAAGTAGCTCAACAAAGACGGTAAGATGGTAGCGCACGGCGAGAACAGTACTCCTCCATCTTCATGTTATCTTCAGGGTGCTTCCATACGCCTGCTGCACGACCACCTGTACGTTATCCAGTATGAAGTCAAAAGCCATACTCCAAACAGACTCTACAGACTGCTGCATGATCCTGCAGAGGACAGATCAGAGGTCAAGAAAGGACAAAATAATGAAAAGAGAAATAAAGGAGGACGGTGGACTTCTATGCAGTACTGACCTTTTCATATATTTTATTATCAGATCCAGCCTCTCCAGATCTTTATCCTCTATTAGATCAGTGCAGTACTTCACCACCTGCAGGATGTCCTCCTCCATGGGTTCTAACAAAAGAAAGGTGTGATTAAATACACTTGTAGCAGAAACAGCAGCAACTTTTCCCAACCAAATTTAACCCTGTGTTTGGCAAATATAGCCAGAAATATCCTTTGATATATGAGGATAAGTTGTTCCTTTTTTTCCAAAAAAAAAAAAAAAAAAAAAAAAGAGCTAAAAATGCATCATCAGCCATTTTTACAGAATTCTCTTGTTAGACCAGCTTCTACAAGATTCTGTACTTAAACTGCTGTTATAGCAGAGCTCTTTAACTGTGTACCTGTGATGGTGGTGACCCACTCCCGCAGGAGGGTTTTTATATCAGCGAGCTCACAGGCTCCTGCCAACGCTGGAGCGGGGCGAGGGACGAATTTAGAAAGAGACTCAGGGTTGTCAGTTTTGGAGGTTGAAGAAGAGGGACAGTTCTCAGTCTGGGAAGAGAAAAACGAAATTTTGTTCAGCCATGAATCACCAACGCTCAGATACTGCCCTCTCTAAATAAACACTATGCATAAAAGCATGACACTATTTGCTCACCTTGGCGATGGTCGCTGTCTCCCATGGTTTTACAGGAAGTGGTAAGGTCTTGGCCGGACTGTTGGTCATGAGACGCTTCTTCTGAGGGGACGGACCCTTTTTAGCCGGGCTCACTGCATTTTTCCTCTTGTAGCGCCGCTTAACACGGCCAATACTGATCCCTACTCCTGACTGTTTGAGCTGTAACAATGGATTCTTCTGCTCCACAGCTGAGAAGCCAACAGAGAAAATTTACGTTAAGAAAACATAAACATGAAAATTAATATTTAATAGCATTGAAACTTTCCTGAAACCTTAACTCTGGAGGAACTTACATATTTTTGCCTGTGGCTGGACGTTTGTAACATGGTTGTAGGCTGACTTCAGCTCCTCCTGAAGCTCTTTGGGAAGAGCAGCAAAAACATCTGGATCGACCTGCAGATAAAGGGGAAGAAACAATGTGCTCTGTTTCATGAAATATGAAAAAAGCTTGTACCATGCTGATGAAGGTGCGCCTTTAAGACAACATATTCATTTTTCAGAGGCATGTATAATAAATCACACTTTACACAATCATCAGTCATCTGAAAAGCTGCAGACTGTGTTTCAACTGCAGGATTCCTAAATTTAATGGCAGCTTGGACTTCTAACAGACTGGTGTGGTATTTACAAAAGGCAAAACTGACAAACAAGGAGCTTTTTAATCGACAAAAAAGAAAGACGGGATGATCAGACATGCAACAGATGTACCGTACACAGGATAGACCGGCTGATCAAAGCAGCAGCATCATCAGAAGTGATTGTAATCGTGTATTAAGAATGCAATCCAGGAGGTTAACTAGCAATTTAAAACTGCTCAAGTGTAGATTAAGAAACGAAGTCTGAAAATCTGAAAAGCCTCCATCCTTACCTGTGAGAAATTCGGTAGCTCTAGAACAATCCCTGGACCGTCTGGCTGGTTTGGGATCTGTAGGACCAACGTGCCAACAGGAGGAGAGTACAGTGCAGAAACAGAGGCAGGAGGACGAGGAGGGGAGGCAGGACGAGATTTGAGGGGAGGCAGGTGTGGAGGAGGAGGAGGAGGAGGAGGACTGGGAGACTGACGGTTACTCTGCTTTCTGTCGCGGTTGGTCCAAGACTGCTCCACTTGTTCCCTCAGTTCTTTCGGCAAAGCCTCCAACACGGAGCGATCCACCTGAGATGACAGGAAATGACACAAGATGAGGAAAGCACAAAATTGTTAACTCTGTCGTGGTTATTTTGCACACCCCCAAAAACCTAGAAAGAAAAAAAATCTCCCATTTCTTTTCATCAGATTCTCCAAATCAGTGGGATGTTTGAGCTTTTCCTGCATCAGTCACATCACTCTTTCGATCCTCACCTGTGAAGGGGATGGGACTTCGATGCTGAAGTTGAGTCGTGTTCGAGGATGCTTAGGAGTTTCTCTGCGCACCTGCTGGTCCCTGCTCGTCCCCGGCACTGGCTCAGCAGGGAGCAGAAATGAGTCGAGTGATGGTGCCGTGGCTGAGGGAGTCTTTTCATGATGTTTGTTGTTGTCTGCAGCATCTGTAACGACCATTTTTAGTGTGACAACAAAAACGACAACAAAGAGATGATCACAAAGAACACAAAGACAGAACACGAACCTCTGTTGCTGGTTCTCGCAGTCGATCCCTGGCCGACCAGCATGTCTTTGATTGATCGGGTCCGAGAGCTGGCAGAGTCCTGGGTGACAGAGTTTCCCTCGAGGAGCTGAACCATGATGCCGATTCCTCTTAGATCCTCAACCTGCAGCTTCATGCCATGAAACAGTTTGATGACTGCGGCAGCGATCAGCTCGCCACTGTCTGTGGACTGAGCCAGCATCACAGTCCTGACGAAAAAAACAAACAAAACAAAAGACAAGAAAATGAGTAAGGAAAGAGGGTGTTATCTGACACACAAAACAAACAGAAAGGATCAATGTCTGTGTCTTACTTGGCGAGGTTGTCACATATGCCATGACCACCATATTTAGCCGGTTCCAGTGGAGCCCCGACCTTGCGAACCATGACTTTGAGGGTGACTCTGCGACCCTTCACCCCAGCTTCTTGTAGGCGTTTTTGCACCTCCATGGATAGGTTAGAGAGGAAACACTCAGCCTCGTCAACCTGGTCACAGAATAAAGCAGACATGAGATTTAGAGAGAGATGTAAAGTACAAAGAAGAAGGAGGCAGCATGGGAGACAGAGAAGTGAGCCCACCTTTGTAAAGCGGATGTTGTAGTTCATCTCAGCTGAGACAGACTTCCTTTCCTTCTCATAGCGGACTGGCCGATCGTCCAGCCCTCTGCTGAAACGAAACAGGGTCTGTCCAGTCCGGGGCCCAAATTTCTTTTGCAGCTGAGACAGAGACACCTGCTGGAGGTCCCCACAAGACCTCACACCCATAGCAGCCAGTTTTCTGCCCATGACTGGCCCTACACCTACAAAAGAAAACAACGATGAATCAAATATCTACCACAAAAGAAACATGTAGACTGGAGGCTCAAACCAGCAGGTGGAGCTATATCTACCTGGTAAGCTGGTCACTGGCAGATCTCTGATAAAATCATCCACATCTTCACCCTTTAAGAAGTACTGGCCTTCAGGCTTTGCTTTTCGGGTGGCCAGCCGAGCTAACAGGATGTTAGACCCTGAACAAATAAACAAAAGAGCAGATGGTTGTAGTCGGCGAAATGTGACCACAGTCTTTTTTCTGTCATTGAATGATACGAACAGTAACTCACCCATGCCCACCGAGGCACTGCATCCTGTTTTCTCCTTTATGTCAGCTCGGATCACTTTGGCCAGGTCCTCTGCAGCGATGTCAAGCTCGGCCAGCAGCGCAGAAGCGTCGACTAACAATTCATCGCAGCTCAGAGCCTCGATATCATGAGTGTAACTTAAAAGAAACGAAACAAGAAAGCGAGGTGTTATTCATTTTGCATGTGAAGAACAGAAAAATAATCGACAAAATTTACAGGAAGTTGATCTCACCCAGCCAGAGTTTCATACATAGTGAAGGCCACCTCTTTATAGGCCTCAAAATCATACGGGACAGACACCAGCGAAGGACACAGCTGCTTTGCTTTTCCGAAAAACATCCCATTTCTCACACCTGCCTGCCTGTAAAAGATTTCAAATCTATAGGCATTGCTCCTTGAACAAGATACAGGGATTGCTCTGACTTATACGTTTTCTTTAAAATCTTACCTTGCTTCATAGCTGCAGGATGCAATCTCTGCCATTGAGAGAGTGGAAGCATCCTGGTCCACTCCGTTAGTATGAGAGTCTGGACTATCCTGAGAAGGAGTTCTGAAAAGATCCCCATCTTCACTTTCTGAAAGGAGACATCACATCCAGCATGTTCGATAAAAAGTTAAGCATGAACAGGATTAGACATGCTACGACTACTGAACAAGATCTGTGAGCGCCACAATGTGCTGGCTCAGAGGTCAAAATCTGGGGTATGAAAATCTCACCAGGCTGAGGATGAGTTTGTTTTTTCTGGTAATACTGCATCTCCAGCTGAGGGTTGGCCCCAGATCTCGGGGGTACTCTGACCTGTCCACGGTTACTGGTCACAGCTACAGGCTTCCCTGGGGAAAAGAAAAAAAAAAAACTAACCATCAACCAGGAGCTCTGACAGTTTGAAGACTATCCAGCAGACAGCTAAATGTTTCACCTGCAGAGAATAAATTTAACAGCCTTACCTTTGAGCTCAGGTCTGTGCCGAATCCCCACAGACACAAAGAAACAGTCCATGTCCACATGGAAAATACAAGACTTGGGATTTGTGGATGCTGACGTACCTGACCACAAAAACAAACACAAAGCAGATTGTTAGAGTCAAGTTCTCCTAAAATTACAAACAGACTTTTCAAAAGCACTAAATAGTGACATATGCATCCTCAATTCAACATAAAGAGGTTGTATGTGTACTACAGTGGCTGAAACAAAATACTCTTTTTAGTTAATAATGAAAGATATGATGATTAACAACCTCAGCTCCATAAGATTTGGGACTTTTGAATAAAAACAGGTTTACCAATCACTCAAAGCTTACAATTAATCAATACAGGACAAAGACAATAAATCAAATAAAACCGAATAATTTAAAAAAATGTTATGACTTATTGATTAACACTGTAAATGCTCTTTTTTCCATCAAACAGGGACCACAAAACACAGAGAAATTTATGCAATGCTTAAAAAAAAACACCTGCTATTTCCAAAAGGTTAACAACATGACCAGTTTCAAAAAGGGCACTCAAGAAAGGCGAAGTCTCTCAGACATGTTGGTGTGGAGAGGTTCCCAGCTCAGAGAGACTGGGCGAGGAAACAGTTCAGCAATCCCAGAATAATGTTCCTGAGCATAAAACTGCAAATCTTAAATATTTCATCATCTGCAGCACATAATATCATTAAACGATTCAAAGAATCAGAGGACATCTCTGAACAAAAGAGAGAAGGCTGATAACTGATACTAGATGGCTGTGATCTTCAGGTCATTGGGAGGCACTGTATCAAGAAACCAGACTGACTCTGAAGTGGAAATCACCGCATGGGTTCAAAATCACACCAAAAAGCAGTTATCTGAAGATGGACTGAAGCAAAGAAGAAATGTCTGAGTGATCTGATGAATCAAAATTTGACCTTCACTTCGGAAATATGGATGATGCCACATCCTCCCCCTTGACCACCCAACTTCCCATCAGAGCCCACATCATGGCCAGTTTATATCCTCCAAACTCTTACTGCATCGGGGTTGTAGAGGAGACAATAATAATGTGATCCCCCTTTTCCTACCTTGACTGTCGGTCATGCGCTGGGCCAAAGATTTCCTCAGTCTGTCTTTCCCAGGAAATGAGGCGCCCCCTGCTGTTTTCCGTTTGCTGTGCAGCTCATTGACGTACTCGGAGAAGCCTGACCTCCATGTGGAGATCTGGTGTAAACGTGAGTGAGAGTAGTACTCAGAGATCAAACCGCCTGTCTGTGCCAGCAGCTGCGCTGAGGACTTGGACGACGGCGTCTTTTCAGAGGGAGGATCTGGTTTGGCGGTGGTGTTGGTAGTGTTCAGTGAGGTGGAGTGTGATGAAAAGGCATTATGGTAGCTTCCATTCAGTCGAGGTGGAGCATGTAGAAAAGATGTGGATGAGTGGGGTGTCTCCTCAGAGTTTGAGTCAACTTGATAGGGTGACTGGGGCTGTTTTGGGAGTTGGTGAGTGTTGACTGCTCCCTGATTGGTGGGAGTTGAAGGTTTATGTCTCTGCTTATTGTCTCCCGGTGAGAGGGATTGCTCCAGAAGTTCAGGAGAATAATCGGATAGCTTTGGAGGACTGTGGGGGAACTCATAGGGGTCAGGTTTGGTCTGATACGGTCCTGGAGGAGTCTTGGCTCTGCATTCAGGCTGTTCCATGTCGACAGAGGTTGGATCTGTAACAGGGGACAGATCCTCTGGCTTTAAGGCACTGTTATGAAGGTGAGCGTGTCCGTTGGTCAGGGGTGTTTCTTTTACCACCCGCTGGAGAGGATCTTCTTTGCCACACTCTTGCATTTCGTTCAGTTTTGAATGGCTCATCCGGTCCACTGAGGTTTGCAATGATCCATTTCTGAAAGTCAAAGAAAAGAATAAGAGACATCGTCTTTGATAATAATTGATTTTCAACCTTCTCTAAAGGATCAATAAAGTTATATCTAATCTAAACAAGACAGTATTTAACCATGCACAAAACTTGCTCTACAAAACAACTGACTCGCTCCTTTGATGAGCTCCCCTTACTCACATTTTGACTCCCTCTTGTTTGCAGCTGCTGAGGGCACTGTTGCATGTAGAGTTAATCTGAGGTTGTGGTTGGCCGGCTCTCTGGTGCTGGAGATTAGGATGAGGTGCTTGTAGAGAAGTCTGAAGGGGTCTCCGTGGGGGCGTGGAGGGAACCGTGAAGGTGTATAAAGAGCTTTTGTGCTTGGGGTCTGCACTGAGGTGAGTGGGTGCTAAGTGACTTGGTTTAGGGTTGAAGGAGCGAGTTGTGGAGCTTTGCGGGACGGGCTGAGGTTGGATGTTGCCTTGGTGAAGTCGTATGTTGCCAGAGTTGGAGATGGAGTTACTTTGGCAGCTGGATGATTGCTCATTGTTGATGGCTGAGTGCTGAATGCTGCGCTGTGCCGGCTGGAGCTTTTGATGGCTCAGCTGACGACTGGGTCCAGGGATCTCTGAGTTCTGGCGCAGGGTCACGCTGGGGAAAAGGAGGCCTTTCTGTTTGGCGTACAGCTGATACTGCAGGTAGGGCAGGAGGCACCCAGCCTTGATACTGTTTGAACACAAAAAACAATGACAACACTGTGAATTTCAACGTATACAGAAACTTGGAAAATCAACCCTCACTCCACAGACCTGTCAGTGATCCACTCCGGCCTGATGATCTTCTCCCCCTTCAGCTCCTTGATTTTGCTGTTTGGCAGGTTAGTGGCGATGATGTGGGTGGTCTTGGAGCGAGAGTAGTAGACGTGGAACTGGCCACCGTGCAGCATCATCAGTCTACGCAGCTCATCTGCACTTGGATCTGATGACCACCAGGTCAGAGAACAGAACACAAGTTGGATCAGAAACCCCTTTTGGTTTCATTCATGCCATTAATCATCTTGCTGTAATGTTCTGAGCAGCCAAGCCTGACAGTTATAAATTTAGCACCAACTCTGGAGAACATCAATATTACTCCTGTTGTAATTCACTCTGCTGAGGACATACTACATTTATGCAACAGAATCTATGTAACTTAGCATCAGATTACCTGTGTAACCATTGACATAGATTGCCACGCCACTGAAAATATCCGTGCATGAGCCATCCTTCTGCTTTTCTCTGGGGGCGTCGATTCTAAACTGCTCCTCCAGCTTAGAAACTTTGGCTGCCATGTAGCCGCCCTGTAGACAAGAAGAGCAGTGACAGGCAAAAATAAATAAATAAACATTAGCAATGATTTTCTCGTGCATACTGCAAGTTATGTTTGCATCTTATCTTAAAGTGTTAAGCCAAAAGTCTGATGGTTGGCCACTTTACATAAAATCATGCATGCATGCACACAGTCCTCATAAATTAAAGGGGTTGTGAGAATTTTTTTAGGCAATTGACAATGACAAAAAAAAGGTTCAATGAGGCAGTTACACATCTAACACTATGCGAATATATTCAGAAGGCAGTTACTTTGACAACAGCTGTAATAAAAGAGTATAAAATATTGTTGTGCATGTTGCTGTGCACTGTAATACACATCTAGCAGACTTAATATGAGCTTTAACGTCTCAGTGCTGCTGCAATAATTCCTGCCATGGCTTGTTGGTCATGTCAAGATGAGTACTTACCCTTTCAGCCCAACCATTGTCCCCACTGGCATTGGCTCTCTTCTTCATCCACCCATCTCGACTCATACTGAGTTACCTGAGCACACAAGGGAAGATATTCATCAAAACTGAGCCATGAAGGGTTAGAATGAACCAGACTTCACACACTTTAGTTTTTCTTTTTTGCATATATCCCAAAACCATACTCCATGGTAGGGCTGGGCGATAAAACAACGACATGTATATAAAAATTAATATCCCTCAATGTCAATATAAAACACGGTCAATATCCTTTCCAATAGTCTGCATTCCGCTATGTTTTGGTAGACTATACGAATAGCCAATGAAAAGGAGAGTTGCTCCAGGTCCATTTCGCGCTGAACCAATCAAGTGCTGAATTACAACCAAGTAGCAAATAACTGCGTAGTAGCGGGCTGCAACTACACGCAACCATAGCACTTTAACACGTGAAGCTGACAGCACTGTCTGGTGAGGACAAAAGACAATGAGCGCTACCCCCATCAAAAATGCAGATGAAGGCTCGACCGAAGATAACATTATCGACACTGGCACGAAAACGTCAGTGGTGTGGAAGTATTTTGTTTTTTTGAGATCGGACATGTATCAGATTAATGTGCACTGCAAATTATGTCAGGAACATGTTCTCACAAAGTCGGGAATACCTAAAATCTTTTTCACCACCTGAAGCAGTGCCACACGGCAGAGCACGCGTAATGCAAAAGGCAAGGAGCCCATGGCGCCTGTGCAGCCGAAAGAGCCGACCATTCAGTCCACTTTTTTGAGCGCAACGCCTCATGACAAAACGCCTAAGTGACATAAAGACCTCACAGATGCAATAGCTTATTGAATTGCAAAAAGCATGCTACCAATAAGCACTGTTAAGTTTCATGTTTTGTATTGTGATACATATCGTTATCGACTGATATATAAAAAAATATATTGTGATAAACCTTTTCCCATATCGCCCAGCCCTACTCCTTGAACAATCAAATGCAGTTGAATCAAAGAAAAGGTTCACTGACTCATTTATTGAGCATGTTTTTAGATCTGACAACTTCAGTGACATTTTGATGGTAGTTTTCAAAGCTTGCTCAAATGCAAAACCAAAGGACACGGACTAGTACTGACACACAAGCTGCTGTGTTGTGATTTCATAAGTGTGTTTTAATAACAGCCTAGTTTTAATGTTGGTACAGTTATTTCCGCCCAGAGCAGCAGCCTCGTGTCCAGGGGCATGTCCAGGCAGGACCTCCGCTGCTGACAGGTAGGTTACAACAGAGCCCCATGTGGCACCCCAACATTTCTCATGGAAGCAGCTAACATTAGCAAAGCGACTCTAATTGATGAATGGCCGGTTAATCATGCATGTCGCTGCGCCATCACACCACAGTAACATCGTGTCACTTCGAGCAAGAAAAAATACAATTTTTAGTGATTTTGCTGCCACTCGCCAACAGTGCCCTGAAAATTAGCTGCTAAACAATGGACACGCCACACGCCAATGTAACTTAAGCAGTGTGATAATCCCGACTGTAAACAAGTAAAGCCTCCAATGAATGCCCGTCAAAGAAGTCACTTGCTTTTTACCTTTTCTCCTGTCAGACTGTTTTTAGCCTCACACTTCTCTCTGCAGATTCAGCCCAACACAAACGTTGTGTCTGCTCTGATTACGAGGAGGAACAAAAACCAGAGCGAACTCAAAATCCCACACACACACAGACACACACACAGTCAGCTCGACTCCTCAGCCTCGACTTTGTTCGTCATAGAAATCCTTTGGGTTAAACTGAGGTCCTCTTATTTTGTCATGTTGCCACGCCATGTCTCCTGGTCGTTTTTGCCTACCCTCCCAGTCCTTTTGCTCTCCATTTCTACCGCCTGATCGCTTTGCTTTCCCTTTCCTCACAGAGTCAAGTTACCAAGGACGATTACTGTATTTCCGGAGTACCATTTCAAAATAAAACACTCGACTGCAAATGGTCCATTTGTTATAACTGAAAAATAGTCATATAAAAAAATTGGTGAAGCAAAATATATTTTTTTATTTATTTATTTATTTTAAACAGGGAATGAAGTCAACGATAAATTACGTTCAGACTTTTACCTTTCTGTCCTTACTCATCGCTTTGACTACTAGCTTACTCAAAAGGATTCATATTAGGGGTGGGCAAAAAAATCGATTCTCATTAGTATCGCGATTTTTTGTTAAACAATTTTTAAATCGATTTTTGTGTCCAAAAAATTGATTTTTTAAATTTATTTAAGAATCAAGGTCCTTTCACACAGGGACCATTTTTGTCGTGCGATTATTTCGGACGTCAATATTTTATTCGAACTCATATCCTGTCAATACAAGCGTTCACATCAGCGACGTATTCATGTCCTGCGATATTGTGGCATTTATTTTTTCAGATCACGGTCGATTTTTCTAAAGTTTTGCACACTGTGGGTCCACTTCTGACCAATCATTTTGTGTGTTGTTGCGATGTCAGATTCACCGGTATATCCAACATGGCCGACCCGCTGATGTTTACGTGTCTGACACAAACATTGCAAAGATAACGACCTGAAGGACAACTTGTGGAGAGTCACAGCGTCGGATTTCTCATATGACGATGTTTTGTGTGCTTTAACAGTTTGCTAAATGTTTTTGTTTTAACTTTCATCTGTGCTAAGTAACTTTAGCTCGTAACCTAACCTGTTCATATATACAACATACCACATGTATTTTCACTGTCTCAATTGCGTTGCTGTCACAGCACCATTAGGTCTTGGTTGTTACCTTACATTTATGGATTATAGTTTAATGTGCTTATCTGGTACTGGCCCCGACTCAGTACATGCTATCATGACAGACAGCCTTCTCAACACTAGAGTCTAATCAGAACTGAAAAACAGTCAGTCTGCTGTTGTGTCAGTCTTCTCAAATCCCCCTGGCACGCGTCTTTTTTCCCCCTGGAAAGTCGCATCGGGCTTGATGTGTATAGTCAGGCGTGTCAAAATTTGCCTCCGAATATTTCATAATTTCGTGCTCTATATTTGCATCGGCTCCAGTGTGTAAGCACCTTTAATCTTAAAAACTGATTTACATGTGTTGTGTATTTTGGGGGGGAAATATGGTTCCTGGAAAAGTCAGTAGACAGTTATAATCATTCAACTGTTTCACTGGTGTTAAAAATGCAGACTAAATATTGAAAAAAATTGACAATATCATAGAATCGCAATTTAAATCTAATTGGCATCTAAAAAAATCATAGAAAAATTGAATCAGGAGAAAAGCATATTATCCCAGCCCTAATTCGTATGATACAAAAATGAGAGAAAACATTAAAATCTCCTGGGCATAAAGAAACATCTAATGAAAGATGTTTGTCTATATCCATAGGTACTTTTCAAGCCATTAACATAAAGGAGAAGACGCTTTGCGATCTGGTCAGTCTAAACAATATTAGATTATGACAGTTTGTTTTTGGGTCATATCTCAACTGGTGGGTCCCAACCCAAAAGTGGGTTGCAGACACGTTCTGGATGGGTCCCAAACAGCTGGTCAAAAAAGTAAATATTTAATGTGATGTTTTTTAGATATTTGATATGTTCTGTACATGCAACTTCAGTAGTAGTCATCTTAATGTTGTCCCCTTCATGTGCTCTGAAATGCACTTTACTCAATAACACAAGTGGATTTATGTTAAAGATTAGAGTCTTTAAAGGTTTTTTTATATATAAAAAAAATTTAATTTGCTTGGTTTGAATTCTATAAAAGTGGGTCACGACTTAAGGACCATGGGAAAATGTGGGTCCCAGAGTGAGACCAGTTGAGAACCACTTTTTTAATCAGGACTCTAAAACATTTACCTTGTATGCTTATCCATAAACGAATAGCTCCCTCCTTTTGCTCAACATATCGTTTAATCATGGCAGTCACTTTTTAATATATATTATTTTATTTTCATAGCCAAACACGCATGAGTTCCGATCTCCATGTAGTTTCTCTCGGGTACCTTCACCAAGCATATTCCCGGCTTCTTGTTTTTAGCTCCAAGTTGTGCTGTGGTGCTGCCACTATGCGGTCAACTGAGTGCATGTCACCTCAGATGACTGTATGGGAGCTCTTGAAGGCGCTGTATAGTTTTAGCCACCCACTCTTACCCTCATTAAAATCCTTAATTGAACTCGACATACAAAGTTGACTGTAGCTTTGGGAAAGGGGGCGTAAAGATGACCGTTGGTTGAGACTCTCCAATGTTTTTTTTTCCCTCCAAAATTGTATATTGGGCCATTTTTATCATTGTGTGTGTATTGTATACTGCCCCCCATTGTAGACAGTCGATCAGAACCAGTCCGTCTGGATCTTTCTTAGTAGTCGGTACTGTCTGGATGCAGGGACCGTCTGTCTGTCCTCAGACGGCCCAGCTCTCTGGTACTAACGGCTGTGACGCAGAGGCACGTGCAGGTTGAACCGAGTCGGCAGCGTAACGGCAGGCAGAGGTCCGCTCGTGCAGACAATAATCCCGCACTGTACCGACAAAATAACACAAATTTCACAGTTAATTTCCATTGTCACGCATAATAATTAGGGTGAATTATCAAACTGTGAAATTGGATGGAAAGGAAGCAACAAGATAAAACCTTTCAGAGTTGTAACTCAATCACGAATGTGTATGTCAAAGCCTCGTGTTGTGATTTGCACAATAGACACGTGATGTTTGCTACATTTTCAATTAAGAAAGAAAGAATATCGAAAAATTCTCAGTATGTGGACAGTAGAACAAAGTAGGTCAGAGAAAGTATAACCTGTATTGTCTGGCACTGGATTAATTGGCGACAGAGTCAGTTTTACAGAGTAGTCCAGAAAGAGAATACCATCGACCCGAGGCTCGACGAGTCCCGAGGAGTCCCCTTATTGGTTGTTCGCTGTTGCTATGGTACCAGACATCAGATGCTGAAGTTTCATACAGCGGCTTCTGTGTTGGTGCAGCAGGAAGTAGTGTCAACGGCGGAGCGTCAGAGAGAGGGAGATGAATGTAAAGGGAGGAGGAGGAAGATTTATGCAGAAGTGGGCTAAATAATGAGTCTGACTCACGCTGTCTCTCATCATGTCTGTGTCTGTGCGTTTATGTGCGTCAACCATTGCAAGACAGACATAAAATGAGAGTAATAACCTACAAGTTGAAGCAAAAATGCAGCATTTTCATTGCTGGTGTCAAACATAACACATCTTGAGCAGTTAATGTTTACAGAGAGTTAGTACACACGTTTAAAACCGTCCATTTTGTCAACATTTGTATAATATTTTTGAGAATATATATCACTTCCTCCATCTTGATTTTAAAAGCTGTGAATTTTGATGCTGCAGACACCAAAAGGACCCCACCATTACTGTTAAAATAAATAATAAGGATCTGCTGCCATCTGGTGGATCTATGGGAGGACAGGAGAGATTGGAAGTTGTTGCCCTGATGTGAACCCATTGCAAAATACTCATGACCTAAAATGACATTCATGGTGTAAATGCGGGTTCATGCATTTTGTAAATGTAGCCTACCTGTATTGAATGAATGCTGTTGTTAAAGAGTGGATTGCAGGTAGGCTGTTTTTAAAAAAGGAACCTGTCCAGGTGTAGTTTGTGAATTTAATTTAAAAAAGGTGATAGCATACGATCTAATCATTCTGGAAAAAAGAAGGTTATTATATGCAAAGAGGACAGTGAGAGAACTTTCTCTGTATTAATAATCTGGTTTCATGAAGGCCGGGTACTTCAGAAAAAAACCTGATCATGCACTTTGGAAAAGGAAAATCATTCCTAAAATCCATCCATTTTCTATCGCTAGAAGCCTATCCCAGCATCTTCAGGCAAGGGCAGGGGACCAGTTCATCGCAGGGATGACATGTAGAGATGAACAACCATCCACACTCACATTCACACCTACTTTTAACCTAACACCACTCCTGCATGTTTTTGGGATGTGGGAGGAAACTGCAATACCCGGAGTAAATACACGCAGGAGAACATGCAAACTCCACACAGGAATGCCCTGACCCGGATTTGAACCCAGGACCTTCTTGCTGAGAGGCGACAGCACCAACCACTACACCACTGTGCCACCCATTCCCAAAATGTAATCTGGAAATAATGACATCTTCACCTTCATTATTTACACTCAAAACTGGTGGAAAAAGTCATTTTGCACAAAAGGGGTCCAGAATATTTGCAACTAGATTCAATAACATTTCAGTCATCTCTTGTTCATTTTTATTCTTTTTTTAAAAACAGATGATCCATCAAATATTGCACAGTAAAAACACATACAAATAGAAAATATAAAATATTTAGAAAAATGAAGTCAGTAAGTCATACTCTTTTGAAAACAATGCAGACAGATGTCCAATATGGAACAAGTTAGACGATCTTTTCGGCATACTCTCTCTTGGCCCCGAGAGAAACAGTCTGCTTGATGATGATTAATTCCCAAGTATGAAAGTTGCTTTGCTCATGAAATTGCACAAACAAAGGTGTATGAGTTCATTCTTAATCACAATGAGACATTTGGCAAAGGACTTGAAACCCACAGCACACACAAATTACTCCCATGATGAGGAAGAAGGTGCAAGTAGTTCATCTGTGAAAGGTAAAATGGGATCCTTCAGAAGGCTTCGCACACAGTAAGGCCTGGATGGTGAGCACCCAAACATCCTATTAAGATTGCACCAGGCTTCATTTCATCGATTGTGTTTCACGCAGACAGCCCTGTAAGTTTCAGGACTGGTCTGACAGCTGCACAGAGATCCAGTTTTATCTTTTCCAAATAAGGCCTGTCGATTCAGCGGGCAGGCCAAAAATGAAATCTCCTCCATGTCAGTTAAGTTTGGCACTAATGCGTATCCACTGAAGAGCCTGTCTGGTGTATTGGACTGCATGAGCAATGCTGCTGTGAAGAGTCAAAGGCCCAGACAACGTATTCAAGTAGTTGAAGAATTCTGCAAAGACAAAATAGACAGACCTCCATTAGTGCTTTTATAGATTCATCTGAAATATGCAGATTATTTTCAAGTCTCTCTAAATGAACGCTTTTACCCTATCTCGCTCTTACATACCTTTATTCTCCTTTGCAAGGTTGTCTGCCACCTCCCAGTACTCATAACTGTACAAGACACTGTTGGTAATGTTCAGATGATTTGCTGCCATCTGGTGGATACGTTGGGGAATGCTTATGTGAGAGGGGAAGTTGTTGCCCCCATGTGAAACCTGTCTGAGTTGTTTTGTGTTTGGTGACAGTGAAGAAGGGGGACCTGCTGTGCCTCTGTGAGTTGCAAAGAGTGACAAAAAAAGGCAAAGGTTCAGCAGTTGAAGCGAGAGCAAACAAAAACAATCACCCTGTAATAAAGTTATTATCCACCTACTTCCTAGTGTCATTCCAGCCTGGAGGTGTTGAAGGCACTTTGGGAGAGCTCTGTAATGACACCATAAATGACACTGAAAGCCACATAACCCTAAATATTTACTTTTGTAGCAAAATCACATAACAATGAAAACTTCCTGGGAATGACACAGGAGATTTTATTTAGATGTACCTTGAAGTAGTCCAGCAGGACTTTGGAGTATTTCAGTGCATGATCCTTCTTCAGTCGAAACATTTGCCAGTAAAGGAGGGCAAGGCATCGGAAACTGTGGACACAAACAAATGTCAGAGAGAGAGAGTCAGACAGACCACAAGTCATGCTCAAAATTCAGGTCCTTCAACCCGATGACAGATGTGGTATAAACAGCGGAGATGAGATACGCACCACAGAACCGCCAGTTGTTTGTCTTCCTGTCTCGCCCCTGGGCCAGAGTGGCTCTTCAGCCTCATTGCATACCTGAAGACACATGTCTGTTAACAGCTGATCTGCAGTTCAGGTTTGTGTGTACCTTTTTCTCTTAATGTGTTTGTCCACATTAGCATAATTTTTGTCGTGTCTTTGCATGAATGACAGACTCACCTAATAAGCTCCACAGTCTCTGAGTACATGGTATAAGGAGACTTTGCCTCTAGTGGGCCTTCCTCCATGGCTTTCCCACATTCCATGAAAGACAGAGCAGCATCAATGTAATTCACAGCCTTCCCAAGCTTGTCCACCTGGAAAAGAAGAAATGTAAAGTAGAAATAGTCATTCCAAAAATTCTTAATGATTAAGCAACTAAAACAAGCCAAAAATAGCCAAGAGGGACTTACGCTCTGTACCCTAGAAATGAATCTATGAACTGTTCAATCTAGCGTAGCACAGGAGGAAACAGCTGTTTCTGTCTTCTAATACCTGTGCAGCTGCAGTCTGTTCTTCTTCAAAAAGATAAATCCACTTCTCTAGACATTTTCAGATTAGGTTGTGTAGCATGGGGAAAATATTATCTTTGGAATCCAATATTTGTGAAAAGTGATGAGGTGTAAAAGTTAACCTCACAGATACAACCACTTTCAGATGACATCTAAATAAATTAAAGTTTGAGATGTTTAAATGCTATGAGACAATAACACAGATTACTTTCATGGTTGCTTAGAGTACAAAGGGGGCTGGTCCCATTTCATTTTTGTTTTTTCTCATAAGGGACAGTTTTGTTGATGGCAGTGGCTTTGAGTAGTTATGGAGCACTTTGAACGTGTATTTGTTTTTATGCTAGGATAGGCTAACCAAGTTCTGGACCAATCTTTTCGTCTGACTCTGTGGCAGGAAATGTGTTATTTTTCTATTTAACCAAGTAATAACAGATTTTACAGGTCAAGACTTGTAAATGGCATAATTTCTCAAAACAATTCAAACTAAATCAAAGACTCACCATTGCATCTGCCCGGTGCTTCATCCTTTTAGCTTCATGTAAGTAGTACTCAGCATGGTGTGGGCTAAAGAGAGAGATGTAGACAAGTTAGTCAAAACACCAAGGTTGCATTGTGGGTATCTTGGCTGTTGGCGTTATGGGCCATACAATGCCGATACAGTCAGTGGATTTGGGAGGCACTCACGTTTCTTTGTTTGGCAAGGACCCTCTGTGTCCCCCAGGGCCCCAGGACTCAGATGGTGGCTGTGGCTGTCTTGACACTTTTTGTATACCCACCTCCATCTTGGGCTGTGTGAATAAGTTGACAAGAGGTGGAATAAACCCAAAGGCTGCAAGCAGCTGAGTGAGAATGATCTAAACAGACATAGTTGTAATTGAGCATAGTGTTAGTTCAGGCAGGCCACAAATTCAAGCTCAGCCCACAGTACATCCGCCCAGCTCAGCCAGTTACCTTTAATGCATCTAATTAGACATTTTGTTTAAGATGCTTTGGCCTGCCTTCTTCTGCAAACCCCCTTTACAACCCACCTCCACCCCAGCTCCTCCCTGTTTCATCGTCAGGTTTCACTGGTGTCATATCCAATATGTTGTCACTGACTGCTCTGTTCCCTGGTCCTCGCTGCTGCTCTCCCTGCCTTAGGCTTGGGAAGTCAGGAGGCTCTCACAGCAGAGCAATACCACCGAATATAACTTCTGGATGCACATGATGAATTATCTATGACAAAAGTAGTCCTGACTGATTCACCTCTATAGCAGAATCTCTATTCTTGTCTCTGTTCTTGGAGATGTGATGCTGGTCTGATGTCTTTCGTTTAGGGGTAGGCATGGCTGACTCGGGGCTGTCGGAGAGTGGTGACAGGGGAGTCAGTGGCCTCTTGCTATCCAAGTATTCCTCCAAGTACCTGTAAGTACACACACCCACAGAGTGTAACACTGACACAGACACATGTGAAGTCTGATGTGAACAAATTTGCATGCTTGGTGTTTTCTTACCCATTGTGTGTCATCTCAGTTACAAAGTTGTGTTCAGTTGTGTGAGCTGAAGACCCAGAATGGACTGGAGGATCATTCCCATAAGGAATACTCCTTTTGTTATCTCTGTGTGGCACACCATTCTCCAGCTGGTAATACATAAACAAACAAATGCATGTTTTGAAAAACAACCCCATACTGATTCTTTCTGCCTTATAATTCAGGATAAAGCATGCAAATATAAACAGTATAGATGCTGTCTACCTTGCGTTTCCTTTTGCCATCTTTCGCTCCAGTCTCAGGGACAAACAAGTGTTTCATAGCCTCTCTTTGTTTGTCCTTGGTTGATAAAGCAGTAGAGGAAGTAGAGGATTTTTTAACAGGGGTACTGGTTGTGCTGTCTGGGACCCTTTTAAGGAGACAAAGATCTATCTGTACCACCAGATTTCTGAGCCCTCGCTGGGAAGATGCTGTAGCCTTATCACCTCGCCCAAATGGGACCAGGGTGTAGAGTTTTTGCTTCCCCTCACTTGGGTTCCCTGATGTGGGTTCTCTGGAGTGCACCACCTTTGGCCTGTTGTTGTCCGGCCTACCTGGACCTTGTTTCTCCCTCTTAGAGGGTCTCTTGTGAGAGGTAGAGTCAGCTGGGACTTTGGTGACAGGAGCCTGATATTCAGATTCTGAGTCTGAACCTGAAGAAGAGGAGGTAGAGGATGAGGAGGATGACCTACGAGGAGTTGGGGAACATGAAGGAGGAGTTGATGGTTCTTGCTGTAACACTCTTCCTTCCTGACTTCTCCCTCCCTTTTTGGTTCTTCCCTGGGTGTGTGAGTCGTTTCGAAGACGTTGATGCCCAGTGTTGTTGGGTTGTCTCTGTTTGGCCTGGGCTGTTTGCCATTCGCGCCTGTTCTGCTGCTCCCTTCGCCCTCGGTTGTCCTCTCGTGCTGTCTCCCCTCTCCTTCTCTGCTTCTCTGTCACTGCCTCCGCCTCCTCTTCCTCCTCCTCTTGACCCTCCTCCTCCTCCTCTTCGTCTGCTGAACTCTGGATCCAGGGACGTCTCAGTAGCTGCTCCTCCGCCAGCCTCCTGTCTTCCTTTCTCTCCTGCTTCCCTTGTTGCTTTTCCTGATGTTTGTCTTTTTTTCTGTCTTTTCTCCCCTCTGTTTGGGTTGGGTGATGTCCTCTGTGACCTACCTCCTGTTCTTTGGCCTGGGGTTTCTTCTGTGGACTTTTGGTATCGTTCACAGAATTTTGAACAGTCCCCCCAAAAGACTTGATCCAAATATCAAGGTTAGGGTTTGATCTAGAGTTTACCCCAGTATTAGAATTTGTAGGAGCACCTTTAGAGGTAGTTTGGGAATGGGAATTGTGATTAGCATTGGTGGCCCGACTTGTGGGAACTATGTGCTTTTCTCTTGTGGGGCTATGTTGTGTGTGAGGCTGAATTAAAGGCCTGGCCTTATGGTTTGAATTGTGGTTGGATCTACTTCTTTGGTGATGCTCAAAATGTGATGTATGTCTTTCCTTGGGGACCTCTGAGTTCTGTCTACAACTTGGATTTGAGTTAGGCTTGGGTCTAGATTTGTGGTTGGAGTTTAAAACAGCAGAATCCTTGGGTTTGCTTTGGTTCTGGACTTGGTCAGGCCGAGTCTTGGCTGTGTGCTGGTGAGGTTGCTGATGTTGGGTACTGTTTGAAGGCTTGGTCTTGTTGTTGGTGTTTGGCAATGGGGCAATGCAAGACCTCTTTACTGTTCTTTGTGGATCACTTTCTACACTTTGCTTTGTTTGAATCCGAGTCTGAGCTTCAGGGTAGTGACGAACCCTGGAAGGAGGAGGCAAACTTGGGCTTGGGCTCCGCGGGGGGCCTCGATGTATAGGGCTAGGGCTACGGCTGACTCTTGGGCTCCCACTTGGACTGGGGTAAACACTTGTACCAAGGGTTTGGATTGGGCTGGGGCTGGGGCAGGTGCTGGGGAATGGGCTGGGGCTAGGGCAGTAACTATAGCCAGGACTAGGCAGGGGGCTATTGGGGTCGCTGAAATTGAACTGTGGGCTTGGAATAGGACTTTGGCTTGGGCTATATTCCTGATTGCTGTCCCACGACCTGGCGGGAGACGGGGCTCTCTGGGTGCAGGGGGAGGGAAGACGTCCTGGAATGCTCTGGGTGAGCTCCTGTTCACTGCTGGCAGATTTTTTGTGAGACTTCGTTAGCCATTTATCCAGCTGCCACTGGGCAGAAGAGGGGTGATCAGCCTTACAAGATACAGAAAAAGAAACAAACAAATGTCTTATAATCCAGGCAGAATCTTAACATGTGGTAGAAATTGACATGAGGCATCTTCGATGAAGTCATAAATTTTAGAAAACAATTCAAGACTTTATTGTAGGTTAAAAGTGACGGCAAGAAGATGTTTAAAGAGAATGACAGCAACAAAAAAGTGATTAATTCAAAGTTGAACGAGCTTCAGTTTCTCTAGATACACATCATAGGAGAGTAAAGTAGTAGTAGAAGAGTACTCAAGCAAATTAATACAGACAGTAAGTTAATGCACTTACTTAAATTCCACAGTAGACACGTGTGTTTTATTTACTAATTAAGGCATAACCACGCTGATGCCAAGAATGCAGGATCACATTAAACCAAGGACTTATTTTTGTGTATCCTCACATACCCCAGCAGTCTCACCTTACAACAGCCATCAGAAATCCATGAATACTAATCTAAGTGGCATGTGGAAAACTTGGGTTATGACACAAGAGTGAAAAAGTTCCAACTGACACTGTAACCTCCTTTCAATAGCCTACTTTCTACATCGTCCCACAGCCCGCATCTGTGCTTACAGTAGCTCAACCCCCATCCAATTATGCCAAATGACTCACATAATGTTTGCTTAACAACTGGCGTGGTAACCTCAAGAGCGAGAAAAACAAGAGAAAGCTCCTCAAATTATAAATGGAGGTAATACTCACAGCTTAAAAGCAAACTTCTTCCTCTTTCTGGCGTTGTCTTATTCTCTCTTTGCTGACCTGGAGCTAAATTAAACCTCTACTTACTCCTCAAGTCAAACAGTGGCCCCCTCCCTCCCTCCCCACATCCCGCGCCCTGTTTCCAGTGAAGACACTGCATCTCTTGTACCGTCTCGGTTGCCCTCCCTCCTTCTTTTTCTGTCCCTCCCTCTTTCTCTGGCTACCTGGAACTCTGGATTTGCTGCTTCCATAACTCCAACCCCCATCTCTTCCTTGGGAGACATTTAAACAGTCCACGTAAATGAAAAACACATGGTGTGCACCCCCTCATAACACACACTCCACCCCCCACTCCCCCCATAGGGGCCCAATGTAGTGCATGTTTAGCAATGCAGTCCACTGAGTTGTACAGGGCCTACCATTCATAAAAGAGGAGCAGGTTTCTCTTTGATTCCCATCCTAGCACACGCTCAAACCAACCCCCACAATGCCCTACATACCCTAACACTCTCTGTCAATTCAGAGCTAAGTCCACCATTCAGCGGTTATTGAGGATAATCACACAGAAGTAGTCCACATTCCTTAGTTTCCACTTTCCACTTTTATTTTGAAGGACAAAGTTATTCTAGATGTAAATGTCAAGATGAGCTTGAAGCTTACAGACTTCTTCCACGTCCTGAGGGCTTTCCTTTTTAAGACTGGACCTGTTGACATGACACCCAGGCACTAATTCCCAAGACTACCTCTGCGTCCTCCACCCCTGTCATCCTCCTCCCCGACTCACGTGAGTTCCTCATTCCTCTGACCCCCTCCACATATACTTCCAACTGCCTTGAGGCCACCACTCCCTTAAGAGATTTCACCCAGAAGCAAACACACACAACCCAAAGAAAAAGGAAAGAATGACAGTGATAAAGAGGATAAAGAGAAGAGGATAAGGTCAGTAGTGGTCAGTACCTCCTTGTTGTTGCATGGCTGCTGCGTGTAAGCAGGAGACGCCGGGTCTGACTGAACTTCTGGACTCCGACTGGGGCTCCAGGAGTGAAGACTACTGCTGCTGGACTCAGCGCTGGAATCAGAGCCCGAAGAGTCGGAGCTGGAATGTCTCACCCGCCTGCCATGTGTGTGCGCTCGCTGTGCTGACAGGCTGTCAGTCAACACACACACAAACATGAGAGGGGTCAGCATACGTACACAACCGAGGGGAGCACACACAGACAGGCAGATGGATAATTCACAGCTTGACTCATGTTTACAGACAAACAGCTAAGCTCATATCCACAATATGTGCACATTGATGTTTTTAATCAAGTACCTTTGTCCTTCCCAGGAAGATGACTCATGAGTTGCCTTCAGGGACACAAAGCAGAGAAAGAAACATATCATTCACATCAGCAACCTTTTGCTTTACTGCATGTAACACTTCAGCTTCTTGATATTTTTCAAATGAGCTGCAAACATAGACAAAGTGTAAAGTTTGTGAATTCCAACTGTGAGTGGGTTCGCAGCATTAGCCATAACCAGACAAAGCAATCTCATCAGCATCATTGTTTTGGTTTAGTCTCTCTTTGCCCTTTCTCTGTCTGTCCTGTTACACACAGTCTTTTCAGTCATTTCATTTTAGTTCAAAGTGTGAGGGCAAAGTAGGTGTGTGATGGCACTATTGTGGGCTTGCAGTATGAGAAAGGCCAACGTGTCTATCTGCCTCTGACTTCATGAACATGTCAAACACAGCATTATCAGAAACTTTTTTCTGAAAATGCAAGAATTTCCTGCTAATTCATAATCTAATGATCTACCACAATATTATAAGATCCTCTACACACTCAAGAGTAATTTAATTTGAAACAATACATCTCTAGAGTTCACAATAATGCCTCATTAAGGACTTTTTTACTCTGCTCAGCCTCCTTGTAGCAGAATTTTGTAAATAAACATTACTCATAAGGTCATCTAATTGGGGTTATACTGAAAAATACAGAAATTTAATCCTTTCATTAATGCTACTTGAACTTGCATCATCAGGCATTATGCAAAGTGTCACCCTTACCCTATGAGAGTCTTCATCATCGCTGCTCAGCTTCAGGTCATCAGCAAGCATCCTGTAAACAAAGACACAGTCAGAATCACACACTGGGGTAATATTTAATCACAGTAAAGTTGCACCAAAGAGTTGTTTTTCTATTCCAACAACCAATAAGATCTGTTTCCCTCCAATCCAATCTGTTTTCACTTATTTTGCAGATATAAAGGCACTGTAAGGAGTTTTTAACTAGTTGAGAGATAGACTGAAACTGATAATGAAACTTTTTTGTGAGCAGATAATGGACAGCAAGCTGAAGAAACAACTTTTTTAACCTTGTGTTTACGACAAACACTTACAAGAGGTGATACATTTGACTGTAAAAGACTGCAACCAGTTCAATCTGTCAGTTCATCACAGCAGCTTTAAAACTAACAAAATACCTTGTAGAAATCAGGATTCTTTTTCTGTTAGTATAAGAGAGGAAACTTTATGTGAAAATATTATATATATATATATATATATATATATATATATATATATATATATATATATATATATATACACACACACACACATAATCTTTTTAATACTAACCTTACTATAAATAGATGATTTCATTAAAGGACTTTAAAACTTTTCACTGCCATTATCTAGGCTTTTAAAAATGTGACATTTCAAGATAAACAGACTGATGCAGTTATACATCTATTTTTTTTCTTGACAATTTTTCTTATCTTCTTTCTCCTGAGGGTTGAATTTTTTTCAATACTGAGCACTTGATCTGTCATATCATGTCTTATTTTGTTGATATGTAAATGTAAAAAGGAGACAGCTTACTCAATATAAAACTAAATCTTATAACTATAGAAACCGAACTTCACCTGATCTAAAAATACCCGAATTGAAAGCTAAGATATGTATGAAGTTAACGAAAACATGGTCTACTTGGACCCTTAAAAAAGGTCAAATTGTTACAAAATAATCACCCATTCATATTTTTATAAATTTTAGAAAATGAAAAACAGCTTCTTAATGTTTAAGAGATGTAAACCATCATTAAACAGCCATGTTATATAACAGGCTGTGTGATAATATTGAACAGCTGGCTTACGACACCGAACATGTGTTTCACAGTGAAAAGAGGAAATAAAGGGCTAACAAACAGCAGCACATCGTTCTTCACCAACAGCTTGAAAGAATGTCCCCTGACCTTTGACCTGACCTGTGTTATGTACCTCCCAAACTGTGTAAACTGACTTTATGGGTCTAATGCCCTGAACTTTCATTCTCTGTCTTTAATGCCTATCTTTGTTGTTGATGCTTATGATTAAAAAAATACTGAGGGGAAAAAATAAACTGTGCGTTGATATATCAAATCATCTGTGAGCGTGCCAAAGCAGCAGTTCAGGTTTGATGACCTTTAGTGTCTCATGTTTCCTCATGTTTCCTCATGTCCTACTTACGATTTGTGAGGTGCAACGTGAGGGTGACGGGTCATTCTCATCTGAACATCCCCCCTGCCTTACAAAGAAAGAGAGGAAATAAGGATCAAAAGAAGACAACGAACCGTACCATCGTAAAAAAGTTACTGTGAATCTGTGTAATATAACCAAAGTTATTAGCCAATAAACACATACCTGGCCTTTGTTGTGTAGTTGGTAGTTTTGCTTCCTTGGGAAAAGAGTGACAAACAAGTGAGGAATAGTTTTATTTAAAAAAAGAGATACTTTTGCAAAATTAGAACAAAAACTGAAAAAAGGATGGATAAAACAATCAATGCAGTTATGCCAAAAATAATGTGCTGATATGGCCTGTTATCTACATTACCCACAAGGCATCACTTCTTTTAATAAAGTTGATATGATATTGCTGAAATTCGCAAATATTATAGCCTTAAATAACCTTTTCTTTAAGCAAAAGTTCAGCAGGGATTTTGTCAACCTCACTACTTTCTAACCTCCTCCTGTTTTTTGACTCTTTCTAACTCCCCCTTTTAGTCCAACAGACGGAATAACCTTTATTCATCTTTATTTCACACATGCAGAAACACCCAAAGATGTTTTAGAAAACAACTGTGAAAAGATTAATTGACAGAGTACTCAATAATAAACACTGAAACACACACAACACTCATTATAGTGATTAGTGAACGCCCCTCTGGTCACATGCATGGAGACCCTAGAGCTTGAGGTGCAAATCCTCTGCTCAAAGTGGTGTATTTCAACAAAGCAACACAACAACAACCACACAGAGATGACAAACAATCAATATGAAGCAAAAATCCTACAAAGAAGCACAAAACCATTACAAATAGATGCACATTTTTATCAAGGAGACGCAATTTACTAAAGTCAGAAAAAAATTGAAGCAACACATAAAACACAAGAAAAAGTACAAGAGGAAAAAAACACAAGACAAAAACAACTAAAAAGAGAGGTAAAACAACTACAAGTAGAGACAAAACTACTACAAAGAGGGAAATAAATATAGAGATTAAGTACTGCTCCAAAAAGACACCAAACAAATACACAAAGTCAAAAAGAGTACTACAAAGACACAAACCAAACAAGAGATGAAGTACTGCTACAAAAAGACACTAAATGATTTCAGAGAGATTTAAAAAAAACACAAAGAAATAAAAAATAACACTGTTCAGAGAAACAGTCCATCTGCAAAGACACACATAATGACATAATGCCCTAAACCACACAAATGTGTGTCTCTTCAGATGGAGGAGATGTTTGCCAAGGGGCTCATTTTTTGATGAAACACCCCCGCCCTCTCCCTACAAACACACACACACATTTACATACCTTTGGGTTGTAGAGTATTCGCTGGGCCTGGTCACCCCCTAAGGCCTGCTGGGACTGCCAGGACTGAGTCATGTCCTGTGACACAGATGCCAGGGTCAAAGGTGAATTGTGAGACTTCACTGTGATTGATGGTCCACACACACAGAAAATGTTAGCTATCCTAAAACTGTCTTGTTATTCTTAAATTTAGGAGAAACGGGTTTTATTCCCACTCATATACAGTAATGCAGAGAGCACCGCTGACTCTGGATACTGTCAGTACCATTTCCCACCACCAGGGGGAATTAACTGGTCATGGATATGAGCTGGGCTCAGGTGGTGATTTCATTACAGCAATTTTGGTTTGTTATGAAAAATACTGATACAGTGTTAGAGCAGTCCTCTTAACAGTCTAGGGCCTCTATTGAGTTATTGCTGCCAAGGGTCACTCATCATTCAAAAACAAGTCAATTAAATCTAATCTCGTGACCGAACATGTGGGAAAATTCACATTTAGGAACATCTGCTTTTCTACTACTTTTCATTGTTTACACTTAGGCTTAATATTTCATCTTGTGATATTATCAGCTGAACTGTGATTGACAATGCCATTATTTTTCCTATTTAACAGACTAAAAATCTAAAAAATCATCCAGAAAATTTACACATTTATTCTAAGTGAAAAAATATATATCGTCAGCAGTCCCCAAAGTCGCTGCAAAGACTTCATGCAATGCAATATTTTGTTTACACAAGATGAGACACCTCGCCATCCTGCAAAGGTTCCTGGTGTCTGGAAGTGGCGCTCTTTTGTTTATGGGTGGTGCAAAACCAAGATGGCACATGTAGTGTCAGCATTTAGATTCCAAATATTTCTACACATTCTGGATAAATATGTTTACAAACCACTACCCAGTGCAGATTGAAAATGCTGTCAAAAATAGAAGTAACATAGTCTTGGTTGAGGTATGAATTTCTGCTTTGTTGGAAATAACCTCACAGATTTTAACTCAATCATGGTGAAATAAAAACTGCAGGTCACCAAAAGGGAATTTATTCCATTTTCGGGATATATATCCTTGAGGCTCACAGCTGCAGCACCATGCTGCTCACTGTCTCGCTGCTCATCATGAAGGAAGATGGAACAGTCTGTGATGATTACCCATGATTACACACTCAGATGAAAATCTCCTTCATTTTTTCTTATTTGTTCTGTCTGCACAGCATTTCAGAGGAAACCAGAAACATAGAAGACGCTCTGCACACACAGTACACTGTCTCATCTTGCTCTGATTAAAATCTCTGCTGATTAGATTTGCCTGCAGTCACACTCAGACTAACCAGGCCTCATGGATGCAGACAAAGTGTCCCGATTTTGTACCATCCATTCACCATGATCATGATCTGACTATTCAGCTACGTTGTTATGTGGGACTCAGTTTGTAACACATAGGGGTGTGCTGATTAAAGACTATGGTACAGCTCAGGGTTACAGCTCAGGGTTACTCAATGCTAAAAACACTGTGCAGTTAAAGATGGGTGTACACTGACATTACAGATGACATACTATAATACTATAATGTCTGTACACTTAACTTAAAGCTAAACACAGTGGCCTGTTAGCCTATCTAAGTAAGCTTAAAGTCACCATATCTGACTGTTAGGGACCGACCTGCAAACAGACGATAAATTAATCCTTGCAATCCTAAACATGTCTTATTTTGAGATTCAGTTTTGAAACAAATTCAAAAACATTTAATAAAACATGCAGAATAGTATAAGAATTTGAAACAAGCAGGTATTATTGTTCAGATGAGAAAAGGGTGGCTATTTCCCGATATGAAGCTTCAGTGCTAAACTAGCTTATCAACAAACATGAGAGAGGCATGAACCTCGACTTAACTCTGGGCAAGAAGGAAACATGAGTAAAGCTCAAAATATCAAAGATAATCTTTGACACTGAATGAGAATCTGCTCAGGCGAATGCTTCTTGTTTTATTTTGAAAACCCAGAGATGTTCATGAGTTGACACATTTTTATGAACCTGCCTGCTGGCTTGACAGCTTCTCTCTTCCTCCTCTCCTCTTCCCTTGACAGTAAGCCCAGGAGGGCAAGTGTTTCCTCTCTCTGCTCCTCCTCTCACTTCATTATCCTCCTCCTTCAGTCACCAAGGACACAGCATCAGACCTCTGTACCGCTTTCCTTCTCCAACAACAACAAGGTCTCCCAGGTGGGGCGTTATGTGTTGCTATCTTTCGCCCACCTTTCCCCACCCCGTGCTGTGTAACTCCACTCTTCCCTGCTCCTTTTACCTGCCCTCAATGACAGGACGCACAGTAGAGTTTCTCTCTACTGAGGGAAGACATCTGAGTCAATTACCAGCTTTTCTGCAGCTTTTACAATGATGCATTAACAGTGTTTATATATGAATATTCTCTCTTACTTTTAATCGTAGGGTGTTTTTGTGTGTGTTTTATTGCATTGTTTATGAGACAACAGTACACAATTGAGTGTTCTCCTGCCTTTCACTCAATCAATTTTGAGCACTTTGATTTTGGAAATTATGTCAAACAAAAAATTGTCAGAAGATGCCCCCGTAGATTCTGGGAAACTTTATCACATCTCAAAGAACAACTTTTTTACAGTCTAACCCCAAATTAATATCCTCCAAGGAGACAGAGCATGACTTTTAATGGTGAATGAATTGTGACACAACTCATTTGCCGAAATTGTGATTATACAGCTGGTATTTTGGTGGTTTTTAAGATAATTTTTTTTTTGCTTTTTGCCTTTATTTCATTATACAGCTTAAGAGGGTACGAAAATATGGGAATAAGGTGGAGGACGGCTGTACGGCAGCCTCTGATTTCTAAAAATTTTCACCAATGCAGCCATGCAAAAAAAAAAAAAAAAAAAAACTGCAGTTCTGGCTACAAAAACTGGCTACAAAAGCTCGGAGGGCTCTAATATTAAATTTCCCCACTGGGATAAGTAAAGTTCTTTTTAACTTATCATAAAACCAATGTTAAACTCATATAGGACCTATAGGCTACATGACCCTTTTCAGCTCATCACTACTATGTAATTTCTTGGTTGACCTGTTACAAACCAAAACAAACATGTTAGCTAGTGGCTGATGGGGTATATCTCGAACGCTGAAACTCAGTTTTTACAGCTCCATACCATTTGTACGTATGATACGACAGCTTCATCTGTATTTACATCCCTTCTTCTTCTGTTGAGGCTTTGTTGACAACTTAGCTTCCTGGCAGCGCACTTATGCCCCTCAACTTCTAGACCAAACCCTGGCATGCCAGCTATGCAGCATGCGCGCAATGCTTAGACTAGTTTCAATCAGACTGAGCTGTATACACGAAAGAGAAAAGATATATCCCAAACTGGATTATCTCGGTGATGATAGTTAGACCATAGACTGTATATATTATGGACAACTTGGTTCCGCCTCCCGCCTGTATACGGATTTGAAGCTGAAAAACTCCCAGTATTTCCGCATTTTCTCCATTTCCTGAAACCAATATTGCGCAGTAGCATTGTACGCATTTGGCGGGAGAGTCGCCGAGAGTCGCTGTGATTACGCTCGGCTCAAACAGCGTATCCCCCGTGTGAGCTACACAATCTTCTAACGCCCATAGGCTGTATCAGGTGCCATTCATAGAAAACATGAACCCCCTAATAACTTTTAAAAATGGAGCTGTACAGAAAAAAGAGGACTTGAGTACAAACCAGTCTTACAGTAACTACATGTCAACATTGCAAAGGGGGGGGGGGGGGGGTATATTTTGTGTAATAAATTTCTAAAGTTTGTCCACAGCTCCATAAGCTTTGCTGGAGGAGGCGGGATTTATGACCTATACTGAAGCCCGTCAACAGAGGGTGCTGTTCTTAGGGTGGCTTCACCCAGCAAGGAGGCGGATGGCGTCCATTCTATTACAGTCTATGGTTTACACCAACACCATAAATCGTTTTTTAACATACTGCCTTTTTTGTTGTATCGGGTTATGCATAAATTTGCATAATTAGGGCTGTGGCAGGTTGACAGACAGGTATTCATGTTGCAGCTGTTATGCAAGAGGCTGAAGACCCACCTGGGCTTCACATCGTTCCTGTGGTTTTTCCAAGTTTGATCATAAGTTTGGCTGATTCAGAATTCCCAGTGTGGCACTCACTATTGTTTGGCTTCCTTTTCAGGAGCCAACATATGACATTACCGAGACTACGTCCATGTTTTGTAGTCCATGAAGATGACAAGCACCAATTTCTGCCAGGACCAGGTTTTGAGCCTGCAGCTTGTTCAACAATGCCATAGACTGAGTACATAGGGGACTGGTCAGCTAAGCTGTGGGCCCATTGAGTTTCATTTAAAATACACATTATATCTAATTGCTGCCACCCATGGATCTCTTATTTGAAATTACAACAAAATTACAGTTTAATGAGGCCTAATAGTAGCGAGGGGTTGACACTTGTCATTTTCACAGTGTTATTTATACTATTCATCTATGTGAGTTATTTATATTATGTTAAACATTCTCAGAAATTGCCATATCTGATTTGATGTTTCCCTTTTACATTTGCCAGGACAAAAGGCACCAGCATAAAACCAACCATGGCTTTAATTATAAAGGCTTTTTCTTTTAATAGAACATTTCTCAAAATACCCAGTAAATTATCACAGCAAAACCCAACAAATTGTGAGGCATGAGTCTGAATATTTTTGATTTTGGAGGGAAGAAAACAAACATTTTAAATTGCACCATTCAAAAATATCTAAACACAGCAAAGGAAAAAAATAAAATCTTACCTCGAGAATATCTTTGGCACAGCTGTTGTGTTGACTTCTTGTTACCTGTGCAAACACAAGTAAAAAGGGAAAGTTACGGTAAATTGAGACTGATGCAAAACCAGGAAGAAGTTCAATATTAGTATCGATTATTAGTTTAGTAATAACTTACAGCGACAAACAGAGGTCTAGTTATCTAAGACGTATTCATATAGAAAAAGAGCTGTAGTTGCCGGTGCACAGAAATTGTATTTGAGCATCTAAGATCTGCAAAGACTGTGGGTTTAAACTATTACACACATACATGAATTAAAAACACAGTACAGAGACTGCTTCATTTCTTTCTTCACTAATTACTCAATATGTGACCCTTAACCTATCAGCCCCTATGACAAAGATAGATATGCAGTTATTGCTCATAAACACTGAAAGAATCACCTTCTTCATTCTGCTTCCCGCCTTTTCAGTCATTCAAATGAATGAAGCGCTTGACTGTAAATGTTACAGTATCACATGCACACACACAGAGTAACTGTGAGAGTTGTGGGTCGGTTGGGGCTCGATGATGACTCATATCTTTGATTTCACAGCTGCAGATGATCAGACGGATGCTGATTTTGTTGCAGGCAACTTTCTGTTTCCATCCATATTAGGCAACCCCCCCATCCCCCCCAGCCCTCCCCTTTCACATCTCAGCACACAATTCAAATTCAGCACTGTGCAATGAGAGCAGAGAACAGTGTTGCTCAAGCATCATGATAAAGAACAATTACTTTACTGTTTTCTTGACTTTCACATCCCTTTTTTTGTTGGTGTTGTAGGTGTGGGTGAGCCTGTTTCAGTCTGTTTCAGTATGACTGGAACTTCTGTGTGAAAAGATGAGCTGACTTTTTTTTTAAATGCGTCAACAAGAATTGCTCCTTACTTTATTCATCAATTCTATTGCAAAAATTTGCAAGTAAATGATGTTTTTCACTTTTGAATCAATCTGAATCCCTAAACTCCTCATTGGACTCCATCTGCTGAACACTTAATCTTTGTACTTAGTAACCAAATTTCAGTTTCCTTTACACACACTCTTTTACTCTCATTTTGGTGATTTACTTCTAGCTTTTATGCCCCTCTGTGTCTTTTCGGTGCCATCTGTGCAGCACCAGTATGCACAGTTGAAAAATGTGAGCAGAGTGCATGCTTGTGTACGTGTATGTGTGTGTGTGTGAGTCTGTGAAACTGACTCTTCTTGCTTGCATGACTCACTAAGGTCAGAGTCTGAGTGGCTGGACCCACAGCCTGCGGATGGAAAACAATGTGTGTGAGAACTGTCTGAATATCAAAGACACCAGGCGGTTATGAGGCCATGGGCACAAAATGAAAAACATAAACACAGACAGGCAGAATTTTACATCCCCGTGGCAATGAACAAGCCCAAATCAGGCCAGCTTTTCTTGGTTTTTACGCTTCACTGGCCCATTAGAGTGGATATTATCGTGTGCAATGTGTTTCACACATCCACAGCCTCCAGCACTTCTGGCTACAGCGCTGTTGCAATACCCAGATGAGTGAAATCCCCAAGGAACAAACAAACCACAACCCATCAAAACACCTGCATCAACTAGCATGGCAGCCATACACTACAAACCACCTGTTACATTCTTAAAGCATCTGCAATTACTGAAGTTATGCCAATTTCTGGGCATAACTTCAGTGAAGAGGCAGCACAAAATGCATGACACCACAGGGATTATTCCCTCATTTTAGTCCATTAATAGAGTAAAAGAAGAGTTATTCTTTACAAACGACTTGCAGATTTATGAATGTAGACTAAACATGCAATAGTTTTGTGTAAGAAAGATAAACTCACTGCAGCTAACACACACACACATATTATAAAAATCTAGACTATTTTTGTGAATAAGCTATTTTAAAGTCTCCACTCAATCTCTTACCTGAGAATAGGCGCATTTGAGTAGAAAACAGACAATGGAAAGTTTCCCTTTGCCACCGAGGACTGTAGGCATGGTTCCTGGATGGTCAGTGCTCTCCTCCGGTATCCATTCCAGAGAGGACTCGCGTTATTATGAGCGGCGGATGCTTCTCTGGTCTGACTCTCCGGCTTCTTACTCGTGGATCCGCCGATGAACAGCTGCCGGGAAGTCAGTTTGAGTGTGCGTGTGTTCGTGTGTGTGCATGTGTGTGTGTTTGTGTCACTGGGAGAGACGGAGGGCGATGTAGGCGGGCCAGCAACGTCAGAGATGACACATGCGGAGCTCACGCAGGGAGATCACGACTCAGACTGGCCCTGGGGATGATGTTGAACTCCGGAGCTGTGTGTCTTATTTTACAAAACTAAATCAGGATGACAAAGCAGCTAAGTAAGGACTCAGTGACGATTGAAGTACGAGGACTGACACTCCAAGCTGCACCGAGAAGTTATGAATTAAAGCACCCACTTCATTTGTTATGTTGTCCACTACACCAACAAAGCCAAGTTTCCATTTTAAAGATCCAACAGTGTTACAAACAATAACCTGTATGTCTATGATTAAAGCTCCTGTGAGGATTTTTGGATGGTAATGAAATTGACTGAAATTCATACTGAGGCCTTTTTATAATAAATAGAGGCAAATAAGACCAGCAGAAATCATTTTTAGCGCTCGAAACCTGTGTGAGGGGATAGGTGTCAGAGGAAATGTTGAAGCAAAAGTCCTGTTTTCACATTTTCAACATTAAATATTCGCAAAAATAACACATGTAATTGTCAAAAATCAACAGCAGAGAATGGCCCAAGACATAAGTGAACTAAGCGCCTGCTTAGGGCCCCGCAACCAATAGGGGGCCCCGAGGAGCAATAAAGAAAAAATAAAATTTCTTTTTTTTTTTGCATATATTAGCAATGCTTCCTATATGATCAAATATATATTATTGTTAAAATAAAATGAAGTAAAAACATTTTTGTGCTGCTGCTGCTGTAGGCCTATGTTTCTTACTGCTGATATGTCAAAGCTCTGCTACCGCTATGTGCCTTCTGCTGTGCAATGTCCACTGAGCATCCAAAGCACAGGTAGTTGTGGGGCAAAACAATGTCGCAAAAAAGGACATATCCTTCAGGAGCAGAGAAAAGACAGAGGAAGGAAAGAAAGAAAAAACGCCAAGATAAAGGTATGTTTGCATGTCATGGAATGTTAATCAAAGAGATTTGTGAAGGTGTGTGAGTGATCAACAATCAATATTATTGGCAGAAATAGAGGGCCCCAAAATCAAATTTTGCTTAGGGCCCCATTGAGGCTTGGGCTGGCTCTGTTCACAAAAATGACACATGTGACTGTCAAAAGTCAACAGGATGAGATTATTAGTCAGCAGATACTACTTAAAGGGATATTCTGGTGTAAAATTAATTTAGGGTCAAACACACATAACACTTAGTTAGACATCTCCTCAAGAGATGAATGTTGCTGACCGCTTGCTTCTCTAGTTACACCAACTTTAGTAATGACCACACAATAGCAACACTCAGCGGTCTGAGGGGCCATAAACAAACGTCAACCAAAACGCCACTCTATAGCCACAAATAATGCTCAGAACAGCACCTAACTTCATCAGCAGTACATATTGGGTCCCAGCCATAGCACCAACCATCAAACATCTTTTTAGCTTTGCCTAATTTCTGTAGCAAAGAGACTAAACACAACTCACCTACTCTCTTCCAGCAGCCGCTTTAACGCCTTGGAGATTAAGCTCATAAAGTAACAGCATGACTTTTCCTGCAGCCACCAGCTCATAAGCAGCTTGGATGAAACTTAAAAGGAAATTCTCAAACTTTATATGAAAATGGCCCAAAAATGTGATTTTAGCTGTCTATATGAAGTACCTAACTTCTTGTTGACATTTCACCACAAAGTCAGAGACTTCTTTTGAAGTATTGGGAAGTATATGTGTGTGTGAAAAATCACTGTTTTGCTTAGCCATTTTTTCTCGCTTATGTTCAAAACCCATAAAATATCATCATTTTGCCAGACCGTAGGCACATGGAAACTCCCTTGAGTTTTTGTGCATGTCAAGGCCTTCAAATTTGAGGCGACAATAATCAGAATATTCATCTGAGGAATTCTAATTAAGTCCTTGCAACTACTCAATGTTTGGGCCCTAATTAAATTATTTTCTCGGACAAGCAATAAAACAGACTGCTTTTTGGTTTTGTTCGTAAATACGTTTATCAAGGTCAATATCAAAGACATAACGACTGAAGACATTCATCAACATCTATGTCAGTAACCTAACATGACTACACGGTATCATGTTAAGCTACAAAAGGGTGAATGAGAGGACCTTGAGTTTTGTTTATTTGCTTGTTTGTTTTGTGTACTTGCTGTCAGCTCTCTGGAACAATATTCCTCAGTCTCTGTTTACTTTGTAGGTTTCTTTGTGTATCATTATTCTAAGAAAAGGTAAGTCTATGATTGAAGGCCACACATACCACAAAAACATGAACGTTATGGACAGTTTATTGAGCTAATGGCAACGTTAGGGTGGCCTTTGCTACATCCCGTCCCTGCACAGAAAATGTACTGTATGTCTTATCTTATCTCCTTCCGACGTCTTGGCCTTGTGTTCTTGTCTCCTCCATCTATTATTCTGCTTAATGTATTCTGGTCTGCAAAGTGACTCTGGGTTTTGCCTTGTGATAAAATATGAGCTGTCTCACCGAGCTGGGTGGCTTTGGGCAGAGAAAGGGGATAAAGTCAGACACGAGGAGCTTGATTTATTAGAGCATTGACCACATTGATTTGAGAGAACATAGCTTACACAATCTTCCTTATGACTAGTGATTATCATCTAAGGCAGAAACAAACCCTTCGATGACGGGACACAACATTTTTCACTGGTGTGAGGCTGGAGCTTGGCTCAAGATGCACTCACTGAGGCAATGCTGGCTCTCAATCTGAGTACCTAAGTCATAGAAAATCCAGAAGAATAACAAATATCTCCCAAAGACACCCCTGGGAAACTATATACAAATATATTTTTTTTACTGTTGCTGTGTTTAGGCAATCTGACATCTTTTTCTAACTAATGTCCCCAAATAATCAGCAACTCAAGAAATATCTGGAGCAATTTTAAGTCGTATCTAAAGTTAAACAACATGTAAGATAACTAATTAGTGCTTGACAATGACTGATGCTAGCATTCAGCCACCTCCTAGCTTGTGTTATTTTCTAAGTTGAGTGAAATTAAATAATTTAATTCCTTGCCGACAGTTCGTGGTTAGCTTCGTTTGCCTGGTTAATGTAATTGAAGTTAGCAAAAGTACCATTTTCTACTTTACATTAGGCTAATTATAAAAGCAAAGAGTAATCAAGATTGAATTTGTTGTTTACTTAGCAGTCAACTGCTACATTGGCATGTCATTAATGTTTTTACTTTTAAAATGGCCTTCTATATCTATAAATTAAAACCTGTGGTGCAGCAGTGTTGCATTATACCAGCATTTCAGCTTCCCATCTTTTATGTGTGATGAGCAAAATTACACTTGTTTTGGGGTCTACCATCATGTAGAAAAGGTTAAATGAGTGCTCTAAATAAAAAATGAAGTTGCTTAGTTAAAGCTACTGTAAGGACATTTTGCATCTCCTATCTATTTTTGGTGTTGTTGATCAAAAAAATCCACCCTGTTCCCTATTAACAATAACTGTAAATGCACACAGTCAAAGTTTTCTGTGTAAAATAAGAAAAGAAGCAGTTTTTTCAGCCCGCTGTCAATCACCTGCTCTTAAACCTGCCCCCTCACAGTGTTTTTAAGCATTAAAATTCCCTTGCTGATGGTCTTGTTTGCTTTTAACGGTCACAATAAGGCATCACTAACAGTTTCAATGTGTTTCTGTATGAGTTAAAAACTACTCATAGTACCTTTAATTTGTTGTCATTTTTTCAACTAGCTTGGTTGGTTTCAGAAATTTATTCCAACTAATTCAAGTGATCAGTCTGATGTGTTTGTGTGGGTGTGCACATGTTTTCATTTGTCCCTGTGTGTTTTATCACACTGCATGTTGTTTTGTTGGTGTGTTTATTTTTGGTGAATTCCGGCAGGAGCATGTTTATATAGTTACAAGCTCTGCAAAAAGTCCTTCCTATTTTTACCTTGTAGCTTGCTGATTTCGCCATCAAGTGACCCTCAAAGAGTGACATTCTTGCAAGAGCATTGCCATTTAGAAAGTAGTTCTATTTTGCAGTGTCAAAAATTCTGACCACCACAAGCATCATAAGAGTAGAAAAGTAATAATAATAATAATAATAATAATCATGCATCAGATTTTGTAAAGAAAATACTTTAAGGACAAAATGCAGCTTGGGATTTTTAAAAGTGAGGGTTTGCTGCTGTTATCGATATTACATAACAGTAGATGATGTATGCCAGAGTCTGGAGGTAAGCAACACAAAATAGGCTTTAAAACACCTGGATGCCAGGGTATTATAACAGACTTTTCTCATTATTTTCAAAAGTGTTGGTGAACAAATTTTAAATATATTAACTGGGAAAATATTGTAGTCCTTAACAAAGGTAATCTTGAGATATGGTATCCTGTTCAGATCTATCTAATGAATGGGCTGTGAAATGCACATAGCTGCTGGTCCATCTGCAACTGAGACTCTAATTCTCACCCTGAATTATTCGTTGTCTTACATATAGAAAGAAAGATCAAGAAACAACCATATTTTTGGGAGTGTGAATGTATGTATGAAGTGGAAATGGAGGAAAAGAATAGCCTGGAGGCACACACTAGCACCCTTGGTTACAGACCCATGGTGACAGGACCTCAAAGGCGCAACAGCATCCCTCGACACTGCATGTTTAGAACACGGCCAGCCTCCAGAGTCAAGCCCGCCTGACAACACTTTCACACAGTGTGGCTCTCTCTTTCCTTTCTCTCTCTCACTCTCTTTCTGTCCTTACACCAGCCAGACAAGAAATAAAGAGTCTTGGAGGTGTTAGGAAACAACCGGTGTCTCTGAAATATGTCAAATTACCAGCAGCTTGTAGCGATGTTTATAAGGATCCTGTGGGTATTTCAGGATTCCTGCAGGTAGATGAGAAGAAAAGTAAACAATACAGTACCACCTTCCAGTGAGGCACCCAATAATCAATATTTAACTACTCTCTTGCTGCAATGACTGCATAAAATTGTAAGGAACTACTTTTGGGTTGCCAGGTTGGGAAAAATCTCTCTTTGTCAGAAGTTAATCCTTACATTAACCAGTAATGAATAAATGGATTAATTAATGAATTCATCACTCACCATCTTAATAATGTATGTTGTTTGTCAACTTTCTAGTACGTTCAAAAGAAAGTGACTGTAACATTTTGAATTATGACTATTATGGGGGGGCGCCAATATTTTTGTCACAGATCCTGTCTACTTTGCATTGATTTTGATGTTGGACACAGCGATTAAAAATCTTGTTGAAGTCAGACCTGGCCAAAGTTGTAGCTATACAAAAACACAGACAAACTGAAAACATCATATCAAAAAATATGAGGAAAAAAAACTAAAAACGTTTAAAGAATGTATTTAACTATACAGTCGTCTTTTATGAATAACAAGCACATGCCTGTGGAAAAGGAGTTTTATAGTTTGTTTTGTCTTATTTTGCAGTAATATCATTCAGAAGTACTCACAAGTCTCCTCTATTGTGAACACTAAAGAGTTTTAAAAGCCAAATGGAGAGAATTTCAAGAGGTCAACAGTCACAACCTGGCAACCCAAATATGGATTTATATTCTTTAAATCTACAGAAACTAAACACAAACCTGTGATTTTGTAGGAAATGTCTCCCTACACATTAACCTCACAGTCTTGATGTAAACTGCAAATAGCACAGCTGCTTTTATGTTGAACATCCCCTTTAAAAAAATTGCATTTGAAATGTGGCACATTGTACATATCTGAGTTTGGCTCATACTGCAGCATCTTATCAAGAATTTATGAGCGACCCTTGATGTTAAGGTGACAGAGCCTTAAGGTGGGTGGTGACTGACTTTGCAGTTTGATAGTTTGTGTATATTGTATATCTAAAGGCTTAGCACAGAGCTCCCCCTTGTGGCCAAATCACAAAGTGAGTCTCAGATCTACTTCTCCAGTTTCCCTGCATGAACATGACAAGAATCATAAATATTTGATCCTATTCTTAGCTTGCCTCAGGTCAAACACAATGACAGAGGATTATGAATTCTTGTTTAACACCTCAGCTGCTGGTACTCGAAAGAAATCAACACAAACAGACCATTAATTCCTCAAAAGAGGGAGAGTGTCAATGACGATGCAATGTGGGATGTACTTACATGACATTATTCTTCAATAAGGTTTCATTATAATTAAAATTGCCTTTATTTTACAGTATTTAATGTTTAATCGTCAGTGAAAAAACATGAAAATTTACTTTATTAGCTGTTACAAAAAAAGGTAGTAGACCACACAGAGGAGGCTGAAACAAAAATCACTGCTGCAACTAACAATAATTTTCACGGATAATTAATCTGGTGTTTGTTTTTCTGATTGGGCACAAAGACACAGTAAAAGCTACTCAGATCATCTAAAACTTTAAAGCCAGGAATCAAGTATTGGTATTTTAGCTTCCGTTGAGAAAGTGGCCTAGTCACCAGAGCAGAAGCTGGATCATCGACCACTGCAGACAGGGTCCGCTCTGCATGAAATTGATCATTTTAAAAATCCCCAAACCCAAACATGTTCATCTGTGTGAGTGCTCATTTTCATTTTCAGTGCTCTACTTTGCTGTTTGAAAGATCCTAATTTTTGCAGGCAAAATAACATGCAGGTGTGCTTTCCATGTGGCCTGGCTGTGGTGCAAAAATGAAAGGACTCTCTGACAAATAAAAAGGCTTAAAGTTTTCTTAATGGTTGGTAAACTTACATCAACATTAGTGTTTGGAGTAGAATTTCTTCAGATTAACCAAATTACATGATTGACCCCATCTGCAGAGGTTGATAAGGTGATAGCTCAGTTTTGGTTCCATCTTTTATTGCCTGGTTTGTCAACAAAAGAGTTGAGTGGATGTGAAGGGTGATACAGTCAACATTGACAAGAACCTCATATAACCCCACTGAAACAAAAAAAAACTACCCCTTCAAAATAATCGCTTTTGAAGGATTGAGAAGCAGAGATATAACCCTAAAATTTATCACATTCATCAAATCCCCCTGACTTCAGAGGCGGGGCCATAAGTGGGCTCGGCCACCCCTGAAATCTGATTGGCCACCCCAGTGGACACTGAAGCCCATGGTTGGTTTTGGGGTAGCTATTGTGTTAAATTATCTGTTTGGGTTGTATTTACCAGGCTGTAGTTAACTTCTTTCCATTTTAGTTAAAAAAAATTGTATTCTTGGCACATACAATTGTGACTTTTTTCAGCAGATTTACCTCTACCTTGTAAGATTATACATTTTGAAATAAAAAATCATATAGGCTACAAGAATAAGATGGTCCTGGATGAGATGATACCAGAAACTGAAGAAGATATGATTTGTGGAAATAGGTCCTTCAGTTTGGGGTCAGTCCTTAATGTTTACCTGGCCACCCCTACAAGAGTCAGAGCTCAGGGTTTGGCTTCCAAGTCGAAAAAGTCTGACTGACTCCAGAAAGCCCTTATTTATTATATGTGAATATTAACAAAATTAGACCTGTTAAATGTCCCCATGTTTAACTTTAGTGTATTTTTTTTCCCAGCCGGTGCTTTATATCTGACCTGCCTGCTCATCTGCTCTGAATAGAGGCCTGCTCAAACCACCGCAGCTTACAGCAGATAACAACAGATAGCCTGTGGCGTGGCTATAATAAACGGATAAAAAGAGCAGGATATGCAAAGCCACACAGAGGAAGCCTATTCATGTCACGCTGAAGTGCCCTGTAACAACTGCTCGGACAGGCTTGTCCCTCTTGTGTGATGTCACCCAATGGATGAGTGGCTGGCGGCTGCGATGCGCATGTATGCAGTCCAGTGCCTGAACGCATCACAGCGAACCGCACTTGACAGCTTGCCAGCTTGGAGGGGGGGGAGAAAACACACCATTCAGGGGAGGAAACCAGACCTGCTGAATATCCACCAGCAGCCAGACGTCATCCGCATCCCGTAGACATCTCATCGACATCTCCCACATCATTTTTTGGATTAATTATGTTTCTATTTTAACGCACAGATGACAGCGTAACCGGGCGGTAAGCTGTTCACAAACCCAAAACACAGGCGCTTTGTTGAAAAGGATCTGTTGTGACTGGACATGAATTCGGCGGAACAGACGGTTACGTGGTTGATTACGCTAGGGGTGCTGGAATCGCCGAAGAAGACCATCTCGGATCCTGAAGCTTTTCTGCAGACCTCCCTGAAAGATGGGGTGGTCTTGTGCAGGCTGCTGGAGCGGCTCAGCCCGGGCTCCACGGAGAAAGTAAGGGCAATACACCCCCTCCTCACTCCCCACCACCACCGCTACTAACACCACCACCACCACCACTCTCCTCTGCATAACCGCCCGCCTGCCCGCCTCATCGGCGCGTCTGTGTGCGGCACAGATCCGCGGAACCGACGCTGTTGGTTTGTTGTCTGGCTTCTCTTTCTGCCCACTGGTCCATGAGGCGATTTCTTTTGTAGGTCACGACAGCTCGGGTTATTGTCTGCGAAAACAGCCCTATATGGCTGCACATACGTGTGTCAGCGTGCGTAAAAACATAGAGCAAGGGCTTGTTTCCACTGCGTATTGATCTGATTTTAATAAGAAATGAACACGGAGAAAAAGATAAACGATTAAACAATTTATCATTTGATCCACCAGTGGTTTGCACCTCACATGAAGGCCTCGTTTAGTGTGCTTGTAATGCAGGTCTTAACACCCAACAGATGTGCGTTATCGCTTGAAGCCCCTGTTTTAAATTCCCTTGTAATCCATGGCGATGCAGCGTAAATGTCAATGGCTTTTAATGTACACAATGTGATTATCCAGGGATACACAACCCACACCAATAAGAGTGGGCCGCCATTGACTGCAAAGGCGCACAGATAGAGATGGACCCCTCTACCCATTTAAAGAAACAGCGCAGTGTTTGTGTCTGTCAACATATAGCGTCAGCCCGAGTAGACAGCTACCTGAGGGAGGCAATGTTTTCCTGAAAAGACGCTCTCCCTCTGACTGCTGCACATCCACACAAGCGTGAGAAGATTTGACTGTTAAATGGCAAACAGGTTCCTCCATTTTCCACCTCACACTCACAATGGGGGTGTCGTTAAATGTCTGTCTGACATAACGAATCTGGTTTCAGCATTCTGCACTCATGGGAGGATGTAGGGATGTAGGTTCACAGAAAGCCCCTCTGTTAAGCTGTTTTTGGGGCTTGGGAATGGGGAAACCAATGTGAAATTGCTGCCTCATCCTGGTGGGAGAATCCACATCGGTGTGGCATTATAATCTAAAGTCTGTTAAATCTGCTGCTATCTCATTTTAGGAGGATTTAATATGTTTTATTGCCATATAACTGCTAAGAGGATTGCCCAGGACTTGGGAAACAGTCATAGGTTAAGTGTCTCTGCCCTTTCTCAAATGATATTTTACAATACCAGGACATATAGTTCAATTTTTATGATAGATTAATCCCAAAAGCATGGCATAGCAAGAGTGCAGCATTATTATAAAACTGTATAAAGCTGAATCTTTTGAGGGCTAGTCAGAAATGGCAGGTGACCAGTCTAGTTGAACCCCTAAAGTCTTAAATTACAGTGAAGATAATGAGGATTCCATTCAAATTGTATAATTAATAATACCGACCAAAAAGTACTGAGCTATTTTCTTAATAGGGCAGCAAAGAATAGTCAAAAGGATACCTATATGATATCTTTATGTAACGAGTGAGGGTCTCTCTGCCTGTTATTGTTTGGCCCTGGTGTGGCCCTTACCTGGTTCTGTTTGGCCCACTCTCCATTCATTGCTCTTAAGCAGTGCTGTATGTGGGTGAATGAGGTTGTTGATGCAGGTCACACCCCAATCAGGCATCAGTTTCTCTCAGCAAAGATCAAATAGTCTATAATAGTTTTTCACCACGCTACATTTTGGGAGAGAGACAGAGTCTGTGATCTAGGACAGCATGTTTTTGATTCAGTTCAAACAAAGAGATTTTATACTCTGACGAAGCATTATACTGATGACAGCTGACAATATTGATATTCAAGGCTTGGTTGCACCAACAAGGATTGATTTAATCTGAGATTAGTTGTAATAAAAGTTCAGTGAATCTTAAAAATGAGTAAATCCAGATTTGGTTTTCAGCTGTGCTCTGTTCCCAATCCCTCTTTTGTAGGGATGCACTCTTGTATTGCTCTCACATGGGCAGAGGCCGATATCAGCACTATTGATAGAAAACTATCAGCAAACTAATGTCTGTATCCAATGTTTACTTGCTAACTGCTGATCCTGGAGGAGAGTTTTTTGTTGTTGTTGGGCTACAGGCCAAACTTTGGTGTGACTTAAGAGAGCAACAGGTGCTTCGTACTCACTTGTTAATTATGTCCAGTAATACTATGAAAGGAGGCGCTACCAATACCCATTTAAAAACACCAAATCTGATCCAAAAAGTGAGAGAATTACTGAGAGGTAATGAAATAACAGTTTGGCCCTGGTTTTCACAATCTACCATAAAGTAATCTAAGGTTCTACTTAAAGTAAGAAATAGTCAAATCTTCTTCAGTGTTAAGCTACTTTTCTATGTTTGATTTTAAATGATGTAAAGATAGATCATAACTTCACTGGATTTAAATATTATCTTTGTAGGTACAACTCAGTAGTACAGCCATTTAGCCGTTTAGTTATTTCCAAGCTAACATTGCTTTTAGCTAGCAGACAATACTCAAAATTAATACTCAAGTTATGATAATATTAGTATGATACTGTGTGATACTGTGTGATACTACCTTATCCTTATCGATTGATATCAGTACATGATAATCAGCTGGTGCCAAAGATATGAAAACAATGTTTCTATTGCATTGTTTGTTGACCGGCAATCCTTTTTCAATTATTTTTTTAATCATGAAAGACTCTGATCAGGACAACCAGAACAGAGCCAAATAAGGGTCACATTTGGAGCCAGAAACTGGTCCTGCGACAAAACAGTTACTGAGAAAACCTGGGATTTTAGAGACCATCTATTGTGCATGTTTATAATCACAATATAGACTGGCAAAAATGTGAAAATCCAGCATAGGTGGCTGTTATACAAGTTTATATGTTAGTAGACAGAATAGAAATAGTGTTAGTAGTGGTATTTTAAAGTGTCATATATAGGTGACTATAGTGACTATAGGTGCTTATAGGTATTGCTTTAAAGGTTTTGGAAGGCCTTGGACAGACATCTTTGTAACACCTCAAAGAATTAGGTTCAGCAGATTCATATGTTGCCCATCTGTTCAGTTACCATTTAAAGTAAAAAATTATACCCTCTAATATTATTACATTTTTAAGTTCAAGTTAACATATTTAATGGAGATAACCCTTGTAGGTTTAGGGTGGGCTCCAAAGTTCACCTCACCTGGCCACCCCTACAGAAGTTTGACCACTCCTGTCCAAAGCCACTGCAGTTGTCAGTGCATAGGGTGTACCTATCTTGAATAGATGCATTGCAGTATAACACCCATGCATCAAATACATTTATCAGTTGGGTTAAAATGGCCCAGAGAGTTTTAAAAATTGACAAATGATCAATTATGGCCACTGTCGGTGTTCACAACTTCACTTCTAGTCTACCTTATTCATTTGTACTCATATCGACAAGGCTAGAGTGTTTCTTTTCTGCGCATTTTTCTTCTCCTCTTTGCTGAAGTAGGTTGTAAGAAGCGCTGGCCAAAATCTGAAAGTCCAGCTTGGGTGACTGTTATTCAGGTTTACACATTGGTCGACAAAATAGAAATAGTGCTAGTAGTGGTATTTTTAAGTGTCATATATATTGCTTATAGGTAGACTATAGGTGGTTATAGGTATTGCTTTAAAGGTTTATATGTATATGTATTTATTGGTACTTTACATGGAGGATTCATATGTTACCAATCTGTTCAGTTACCAATTAAAGTAAAAAATTAAACTCCCTAATATTACACAATTTTAAGATGAAGTTAATCTGATTAATGAAGATAACCCTTGTAGGTTTAGAATAGGCTCCAAAGTTCACCTCACCTGGACACCCAAGTCACTGCCCCAGTTTGGCCACTGCTGTCCAAAGCCACTGCAGTTGTCAGTGCATGAGGTGTACCTATCCATGCATCAAATCCATCCATCAGTTGGGTTAAAATGGTCCAGAGAATTTAAAGTATTGACGAATGATCAAGTATGGCCACTGACGGTGTTTATATCTTCACTTTTAGTCCACCTAACTCATATTACCTCATATCGACAAGGCTAGAATGTTTCCTTTCTGCGTATTTTTCTCCCCCTCTTTGCTGAAGTAGGTTATAAGAACCAGTGCACCCATAGGCTACAACGACATCTGCGGGGATCCTTGTTTGTCGACGTCATTTCCCTCGACCCAACACCACAGCCTCCTCCACTTCCCCGCTGCGGGATCTGCGTTCAGCCTCCCGGAGTGTCAGGCCCACTGCAAACAGTGTCTCTTCAAAATGAAGACGATACACTTTTAGGACTATTTTAGTCACGTGAATTCTTTAAATGTGAAGGATTGAACCTGTGGAATGAGCTGGAAGTTCACCTTTAACCAGCGTTTCCGTCTTTCCAGATTTACCCAGAACCGAAGAACGACGGCGAGTGTCTGAGCAACATAAAGGAGTTTCTCAAGGGCTGCACATCGTTTCGCGTCGAGGTAAGTGCGTTTTCAGATTTGTGTTTGTCCCGTGGTCATACCACACCCTTCTACACACAACAACACCTTGTTTTGTACGAACAGCTTGCGTATTTAAGTGGAGACACTGTTACAATAAACAATGGCAGGGGACGGACGGACGGACGGAGCCCCTGACAGAGGGAGGAGGAGTGAACTCCAAGCCGAGAACAATCACCCATCGCCCGGTTGAAAGAAACTGCCTACTCCGACTGAACTGTAGCGATGCTAAAGCTATATTTTGACAGACTCGAGTGTATCTAAATGAAACTATTGGAGATAAGTCAACACAGTTCCCACTAAGGTTTCGAATCGCGTGGACAATGCTCCCCTTAATTAATGCAAAGCTTTGTCCCCCTGCTCACGCGTGGCTTTATTGTCACTACCACTCCACACGAGTCCGTGAATCAACACTTAAGTATAAAAAAAAAAAAACCTGTCGACTAGTGCAACTATTAATAAACCAGGACTAAAGTTGTGTGAGAAAGTCTCGTTCTAACATGGTAATTCTTTTATTATGATGAGGCGTAAAGTCTAAACATGTCCCACGATTAGTCTCACCCTTGCAGGCCAGTATGGATATGTGAGTATGTTGCAGAGCAATATCTTTAATATTCCTAACCAGCAAATAGAAGACAGTGCACTGTGTAGGGCTGTTTGTTGGCCAGTGCATAGAGGGGTCATTGAACCAGCTTAGTTTGACAATACAACACAGTGTTCCCCAGTCTTCCTCTCCCTTCAGAGTCTGCAGCCACTGAGCGAGAGGTGGAGATGGGGTGAGATAGAGCGCTGTCATATGAAGTGTGTGAAGCGTGCCTTTTAGTGGTGCAGACAGCTTAAATGCACAATGCACTATTGCTATTTCATTAGGAAAGGTCAGTGTTTGTTTGGACTGAAAACAGGGATGTGTTGTGGCATCTGTGAGCAATGGACAGCAGTTTTTATTGCTAACAAATATTCAAATTCCCCATGATAAACACTCCGACTGTTTTAGTTCCTTGCATGCAAATCCAATGTGACTTATATATATTTTTAATATGGGACTGGACAGAGCGGGATTACAGTGGTTTGGGACATGGCAGTCTTCCCACTCACCATCTGTAGAGCAAAGATGGATCGTCTCCAGAGCCAAGAGTACTGCTGGCTGTAGCCCCAGGTAGCCACGGCTGCAGATTAAAGCAGGGGACGCTCACATGAAGAGGACATACAGACAGAAGCTGTGCTTTTTTTTAAAGTCCTGACCGACCTCTTTTTTCCTAATACAGTTAAGCTGGATGTTTGGCCAAGCCTCAACATGCTAGCTCTGCTTGGTCTGCAAATTTAGTGAGGGTATTTCAGCAGGACTTGTAGATCTAATTTGGATAAGACAGACACTCAAGACCATATCTGACACTCAGGCAGCTGCTGTTACCGACCCTTAACCCCCTGATGCCTTTGACCACAGGAAGTGATCATTAGGGTTCCCATGACCTCACTGGCCCCCCTGGAATAGTAACCTTACCCTGTAAGGTCCACCCTGAGAATAATCACAGATCCATCTGTCTACACTAATGGCACACTTTGGATCCATCAAAAATTCAAACAAGTATCGAGTTGCTTGCAGGGTAGACGTACAGTGATTTAAACACTCATGTGTTTGTTGTCCTGGCAACAGACACTTATTTTAATCATCCTTTCTTGTGTAGTATACTCATCAGCTGATTAAGGTATATTTTACTGAAGAGAAATGTGCATTCGAGATTTCAGAAAACAGAAAAAGGAAACTTATTGTTTGGTTATGTCCAAAAATTACAGTTAAAGCAAATGAAAGATTGTGAGTCATGTCCTTCGACTGGAATATCACAAAAACAACCGTTTTTTTCCCCCCAAACCTGAATTTGGATGGTTATGTAAATCAGGTATTTAAATCATCACTAAGAGGAGAAAATGCAGTTGTTTAATTTCTTTCAGAAGTGAGTTTTTCTTATTAAAAGGCTTTAAGGCCATTTGTGTCCAACTTCTTTGTAGTTTGCATTTGGCCAATGTTTGCAACCCACCGTCCTCAGAAGCACATACTGTATACAGCCTACTGCAGCTATCCTCAGTTTATCTACCCTGATAAATGTCCTAGGCTGATGAACCAAATTAAGATTTTGCGCTGGCTTAAAAAAAAAAACATTCTTCTTCTCTTCTTGTTTGTGTCCGGGGTTTTTAAGTCTTCAGAACCTGAAACACATGATCAGCTGGATTGAGATCCTGTGACTTAGTCTGCAACAAGAATATTCCTTTGTTTTGCTTTAGAGAAAGCTGCGTCTCTGCCATGTCTGCGTGTTAAGGGTAATTGTCCCACTAAATTGGAGGATGATTTGTGTAAAAAAGAATTTAAAAAGACATTCATTCTGAGAACACATTGCTGTGTATACTCGCAGGGCATCTCTGTTAGTTATCGCTCTGCCTGCGCTTGGACACAAGCTGCAGGATCTTCACTTGGGAACCATCCGTCACTGATGGTTCCCCCCATTAAATCCAGAATATGTCAGGATGGCGAGGGGGTGATGGTCAGAGCTGTCTCCATGCTGCTCCCTGCAGCATGATTAAGATGGTTAGATATTTTTGTTTTTTCTGTAGTTCTTGTCACCTCTGCGATTCTAGACTTAAAAATTTTCCCTTCAGTGTTTGTGGAGAAATCCTATACTACTCATGATCTTTACTACCATGAAGCCAAAGTCTCTGAGAGTGCTCATCTGAGAGGCTAACCAAGCCGACTTCAACACTGAGGCAAGGACAAAACATGATTGCACACAGCCCGAAAACACAATGAAAGTCAGCACAATCATCTCCTTTATTATGATATGGTATGATACAATTCAAAATGATAGGTTGTGATACGATCCGATATAATACAGCATACTTGATTGTCTCTTAAGCTTTATTTGTCCTGGACTTGTGTGCGTTTTCATTCAGTTGCCTTCATTGTAATACCAGTAAAGTAAAACAATAGTAATCCACATGTACACAAACAGCAACATTATGTACACATACCAACAATAAGTAGTGCACATTGCTGATGTTTCACATTCACACGTGTTATTCTGCACACATGCATGTATTCTAAGGTTCCCTAGATTCCATATTGTGTTGTATGCTGGGAGTCATGTGCATGAAGAACTTTCGGCCATGATTTTTAAAATGTTACCAAATCCAGTTGAATGTTGTTGTGTACATGAAGCTGTCTTTGTGATTCATCTTGCATGTAAACACTGATTTCTCCAATCATAACAAGTGTGGAGAAACTCACCATGGTGTTGTATCCTGATGAGTCACAGTGGGGTGTTGCACCATTGACTTGTTTTGCTTGGAGGGATCATTACCTGACTGTGATGCGTAAGCTCAGTGGACACGTTTTAGCTTGTCGTGTTAGTCATTATCTCCGCCAATGAATGTTTCATTTCCATCATTCATCATGTGTCACTGTGAGGATTTCAACCTTTTCTTTTTTTCTGAAGGAGAATCTGCTGAAAGTTTAATTCCTGATGGAGGCAGAACCTAAGATATCACAGTTATTTGGGGTTGAGTAAAAATACAGCAAGTGAGAGGAAGTTTTATTTAAAGTATAAGTATAGATGACAAGGATGAGGGTGCTTTCACATGAATGCTCCCGAGGGACAGCAAACCGTCCAGTATCCTCCACAAGCACTACCACACGCACACACACACTTTTTCATTACAATAACACACTTAGAAACACAGTTACTCACATATTCCCTCAGGACATATCTGCAATCAGAGCGGAAGATAAAAAGACTCATATCTCACAGTCACTCATCCTCAATATAACTGAAGCGAGAGTAACTAATCAGCGGGAGCCGTTACACAGGAAGCGAGGGGACAACTACAGTCGTCAACAGAGATACAATCACTGCCATTCATACTCATGTAGACGAGAGGGAGAGTCACTCTGATAGTAATACTCACACAGTTTTATGCGTTTTTACTGCAGTAGAAGTAAAGACTGACATCAACATTTTTCTGTCTGTCAGCAAGTCAAACTGAAAAAAAAAAACAGTCATCAATGCATAATCCTGATTATTTCAGACATCGCTGCCCTGTCTGTGACACTCACACCCTGTTTATGTTATGAAATGACATGATTTCCATTCAAGTTAGTATTAACAGTGTGTGGACTTTATCGCTTTTAAAAGTTCTATTAGCATGTCAGCTAATAGACCATGATAAGGTGATACAGGGGAATAGTACCTGACAGGATAACAAGGACAACAACAACATCATACAGAGAAAGTAAATGAATACAAATGTTTATAGAGTACGTCTGACCGATGACCAGGGTTTATGACAGACTAAAAAAACTGCACTCAAGTCCTGCTTCAGTGTAGCTTTGATAGACTACGACTCTGTGATCAATGATTCAGAAGTTACTGTAACTAAGCACGCAGGTATGGCTGACGGCAGACAAGGTTACGCCAGCTTTACGCAGGGCGTGGGCCGGCTGTGTGACGGCTGCATGAAGGCTCAGTTTTCATTCTGGCGTGTGTGTGAATGAATTAGGCCTCCACACCGTTCATGGAGGAGTGCGCCTCCCATCCATCTCACATAACCCTAGAAAGAAAAAGGCTCGCTGATTTTGCAGGATATCAAGGGAAAAAGAGAAAGAGCTATGTTTAGAGCTGTAATTTTGTCACAAACATGAATAATTTATTATGAAGGCACTTCCTGGATGTATTTCAAAGCAAAATCCTGATCTGCTCTCTTATTTTCACACAGTGCTTTTATTTTGAAGCTCAGGACGTTTATTTGGTGAAAGAAGTGAATTGCATTGGATAAAGAGTAGGAATGAATGGTGTTGTCGAGTATCAGAGCAATCATTAAACTACAAATAATAAGACGCATATCCATATTTTTATGATTGTGGATCTAATACTTTTTGAATGCTACTTATAGTCAGAGAAAATAGCATCCTGTGAGACACTGACTTTACATTTTTAGCCATTTTCTCCCTCACTTTTTGGCATTATTAATGATCAAATAGCTTATCATATAAATACTGTGAGAGATGAATCAATAATTAAGATAAAAGTTGGTCACATCAGATCTAGCAGTCTTTGGGTACTTTCTTTTCCTGACATAGAAAAAGGAAATTCTCCTTTTGTCACTGTTTCTTGAAAATGAAGCAGTTTCTCAGCTGTTGTATGAAGTGTCTATCTAAAGTTGCTGCAGATTTGTGTTTCTGCTGAGCCTGTGTGTTTCGCCCACGACTTCTATCAAAGATAGCGAGGGTAATCGATTGACTGCTCGCTGCTGGCAGTGTAGCTGAGTGATGACACAGTTCTGCTCCACAGGATTTAGTGATTAGCTCTAAAAGGGAAATGCACTTTCTGATGACTGTCTGTCTCTCTCTGTTTCAGCCGTTTGAGGCCAGTGACCTGCTGCTGGGACTGAACTTCTCCAAGGTGCTCAGCAGTCTGGTTGCTTTGAATAAAGTGACGGCAGGTTAGTAAAATATGTGTGCATTGTGTGTGTGTTTTATCATGCTCGTGGGTGTTTTCTGTGAAAGACAGGCTGGTAGTCATGAGTGTGTGGGCGCTAACAGCAGAAACCAGGTCAGTTGTATTTATATTTCACCCTTTCTGTGCAGATATCGGCGTGGGCAGTGATTCGGTGTGCGCCCGGCACTCTTCAGCCCATCGCATCAAGTCCTTTGAGTCTCTGTCCTCTCAGGCTTCGCTTGGCCGAACGTCAAAGCTGCTGCAGAACCAGTTTCGCAGTCTGGTAAGGTCAAGACTCTGTAACAGCGCAGTGTAACCCTGCTGATTGGGGTTACACAGAAGATGCATGCAAAGGTGTAGCACAATGTAAAGCCAAAGAAGTGATCATGAACTGTGAATGGTTTTTGTTGAGCTTTTAATGCAGTTTGTGAGGAACCTGCATCAGCTGGTGTCTAATGATACAAAGAAAAGAAACATTACACAGAAACATGTAAAGCCTTTGAAATATAACAAAAGCCCCATCGCAACAGTAGGCTTTGTGATAATATCATATATACAACTTTACCACCGGCGCTGTACGCATGTCCACTTGGGGCTTGACTTATAATGAAAGTTTACAGGAGACAACAATGCAGTGCCTCAAGCAGTACTGTCTTGCTATTAGAACCACTGACACATGAATAATAATAAAGTCAAATGAGATTCAGAGGCAAATAAGAGGTCACTAGTTTACAATCGGGAACAATGCAATCATCTGCATGACAGAGCAGGAGCTGTTCTGCACCAAGATGCTCCTCCAAAACAAAATCAATTTGGCCTCTCTTTAAGAGAGCTCTTCCTGCTGCTATCCTAACCACAGCCTGCAGGATCTAGTTGTGAGGCAGGCTTCAGTTCAGTAGCAGAGAGATTTTTCCCTCTTAGGTTGGTGCTCAGGCTTTTTTGTTTGGCTGGTGAAAAAGAGGAAAGGTTTGGAATGAAAAACAAACTAGTCAGCCCATTTAGAGAGAAAAAAGTGGACAGTGTTGCAAAAGTTGTCACAGTTTTCTGTGCTTTCTTATAATCAAGCATGTGTGCGTTTAAACAATTAATAGTGTGTTTTAAGTCTGTTGAACAAGTAATGAACATTTATGTTGTTATAAGCATGTTGTCATTTGCAAGGGCTCAAAAGCTTTATGGCTACCGTCTTAATGTTATAAATGCACTACTGCTAAAGAAGCACAGAGGACAGATGGCATCTCATGGTGGGATGTGCTTTGGCAGTATTTGATCTATAGAATAAAGATGCAGTCATGTGTAGACTGTTTCAGATTAAACTGGGATCCATTTGATCAAAGCCATGCATATCCAGTGTAACCATATGGACGCTAACCTCCAAGGAGGACCAAAAGCCGGTTGTGTTAGCTCTGCTAACATTAGCCACTCCAGACAAATCAATTCTACATCCCATAGAGATTTTTTTTTTATCTCAATAGGATGTTTAAAAAAAAAATCCAAAATGGTTCAGAATTGAAAGTTGTTTAGAAAATGATCATTTCTGTCCTATCATTGCTTATTGAAATTTAAAGACATAGCTGTTTTATTCAAAGCACATTGGTGTCAGAGCTGTGTTTTTGCTGGTTTAAAAAATATGGCCTCAGACATCCAGACCTGTGTAAACCTTTGTGCAGCTAAATTTCAATCTGGAAATCCTGGTTTGTGCTCACTTGATCGTTCACCTACAGACTCCTGAATCCCGAGTGTGGTTGGTCTATATAATTAGTACTCAGTTTTACCTCTTTTCGGAGTCGTTTCTTACCTGCAGTCTCATCTGTTAGTCTGAATTTAGATTTCACTAGGAGGTGAAGTGCTCCTGGACACACCTTGCAGTGATATATATTGCATAAATATAGCACAGGATTGGGGCAACAGTGGAAGTGTACCTTGAGGGTTTTATTGCTACAGATTGTGTCTACATCATGGATAGACAAGTTTGAGGAAATATGATGAGTAATACATGTTGCATAATATTTATTTACTCATTTTACAAATAGACAGACAGAGTTCTTAATGGTTAAGCTGCTGACACATGTATCTACCTGATAACTTTCAGACTCTTTGAGATAAAAACATCTTCAGCTAATTGATGCTCATTTTCCCTCTTTTCGACCTTCTCCTCTTCTCACCACAGGACATGTCAGAAAACAGCGGACAGCAGCTGCTGGTGAAGGCACGGTTTAACTTCCAGCAGACAAACGAGGATGAGCTCACCTTTGCAAAGGGTGACATCATCAGCGTGACTCGCCAGGAGGATGGCGGCTGGTGGGAGGGGTTGCTCAACGGAAAGGCCGGGTGGTTTCCTAGCAACTATGTTCGGGAGGTCAAAGGCTCTGGTAAGTAGCCCGACTACCCTTTTAAGAAACTCAATAGTGTTCTGAAAGCTTCATACGCTCCAAAAATTCTCATTACCCACTTAAAATGTCATTAAATCGCCCCTGCATGTGTTTGTGAAAGATTATAGAGCAGACTGTGCAGATAAAATGATATTTTGACAGATGCTGTAACATTTCTGTGCACGACTTCACAGTTTTCATTGTCATTTACATCCCATCTGGCTGTCGCGAACACAGACACACATCTGCTGCGTCTCGAGGCCCGCTGTTGTCTGTTGATTTCTCTATTTGTGAAATAGTTTGAGATGCAATTAAACGATCAGACTGTCTCAGGGCCGATGATGAAGAAATGAGAAAAATTCACAGACAAATAAATAGTGGATCTTTTTTAATGTTTGCTGAATTATGCAATTATTGTAATGCTTGTGTTTGGTTAAGGTCAGATTATTACAGTCCCTTAAATAATTGGCAGCATCTGAAGTCTGAAGAAGACAATCGGGAGCTACAAGTGTTTACTTAATCACACAATATAGAACACAAGCAAAGTAAATATAAGCAAAAACAAGGTAATATAAGTAAAATAAGATCATTGATGTAGGATCAGTTAGGGTTGAGATAAGATAAAGTGTTACAGTGAATCTATCTCAGACAGGTGGTTGTATATGGGATAAATAAAACCCAAAGATGTGAAGTAAAATAGAAAAGTTGGCAGCATGCTGACTGAAATGCTGATGATGCTGATTGTTATTAAGCCATTTTTATGGTTTCTTCATTAAAATGATTACGACTGTAAATCTTATGTAAACACAAAGTGCATGTTTTGTCTGTACTCACATGGACGGCGCACATTATTAGGATCACTTTTGTGTTTTAAAAGTGTAGTTAAACCAATGCCTTCAAGAAAATGGTTTAAGCGACTTATGAGGTTGCAAACGCCAAAGCAAAACTTCACTTTCATTTGTAATCCCTGCAGAAGCCTCAATTTGCAGCCTCATTATTGTGCACTCCCTCATAGATACTTTGTTATGACAATCTATGAAAATCTGCCATTACTTGTGACTTTGATAAAGCTAATATTTCATTTTTTTAAGGCTCATTACGTTTGGTGTTGATTAAAATTGTCTCATGTTCAGGAAAACCTGTGCTCATTAACTTTAATCTGCTGTTTTTGAAATTAGTGTCCCCAAAGTCTGGCACCCTGAAGAGCCCGCCTAAAGGTTTTGACACTACTGCAATCAGCAAGACGTACTATAACCTGGTAAGGATGCAGCTCCACTCAACACTTGAGCCCATTTTTTCTCTCGTCTTTGTCCTTGTTTCACCAACAACGGAAAAAAACCACAAGTTATCTGTTTTATTTTGTTTTATTAGTTGTTCTTTTTTATCCAGGCTTTACGTCAAGGTCTTGTCTCCCCTGCTTACTACTCAGTGTTCCCTCACCTAACATTTACTATTTGTAATTGATGACTCTGTCTCAGTGGTGTCTTAAATCACAGCTCTCTCTAAACAATTTAACGCCATAGGTTTGATTTTCTGTTGTCTGAGAGGCTTTGTGACAAATATTTCTACACCTTAGGGCAGGTGTTGTTTGTTTAACCATCATCACAGCTGCCTGCTTAGGAGATTGAATTGATTTCCATTAGCTCTCTCTCTCTCTCTGTTTCTCTCGCTCTCTCTCTCTCTCTCTCAATGCAGAGAAGATCTTGTAGATGGCTCCTTTAAATGAAAGAGGATAAACATGATTATTTAATGAAACATTTTTGTGAAGTCTTTTTTTCTGTTTCTGTTCATACTAATGACATGTGTAGCACTTTAAAATGTGACCTTACTAGCTAGTTTGTTCTCACTTAACAGTCTCGTATGTATACAGTGTATGAGACTTGGAAGAAGTGTCTATTTAGCACATTATATTTCATGTTTTTCTGGGTGTTTAAATTTGTATTTACAATCTTTTATGTGTACATAACCTGTAACAATACTTTACTGTCTTAATTTGGGATGTTTGAAGGGGAATAAGCTGCTCACTAAGATAAACATAGTCATAATAAAGGTCTTTCTCCCCTTCATTACAGGTGTTGCAGAACATCTTAGAAACAGAGACAGAATACTCCAAGGATCTCCAGAGCCTCCTGACAAACTACCTAAGGCCTCTGCAGAGTATTGACAAGTAAGACAGGATAAGATTAACTTCGTTGTCACACGAGTATGAGATTTTTCTTGTTCTATTGGAATGTTGGAATTACCCTCATAGTGAAATAGCCCAACATGGTACCATGCAAAGCATATATTTAAACCATCTTTAAATACAACCATATTTATGCACAAGGTAATGTTTTATTTCCTTTTTTAAGAAACGTTGTTTTGTAACACAAGCCTGGATTGAGACTGTTTAAACTTTCCTTTTGAGTATCAGTGAATATGTTGTTTTAATTTTTTATTAACCCGTCCCATCTTTCTCCATAGAGTGAGCGGCTCTGATGTAAGTCTGATTCTGGGAAACTTGGAAGAGATCTGCACCTTCCAGCAGATGCTCGTCCAATCGCTGGAGGAGTGCACCAAGTGAGTCCCTCCTTACACACGCAGACACACTGCAGCAACATCCTCAACAGTTTCATAACAATCAGGGGGCCATCTAGTGGTGGGTTGATTGTACTTCAGGGATGTTGAATAAAAATTTAAACATATGACGTGCTTAAAAATCTGATTTACTGCTACTACTGTTTTTGTCTGTGTACGAAAATGTGCATGTGCAGAGTTCTTATCACTGCATGTTTCTTTTCTTTTCTTTAGGCTTCCTGAAAGTCAGCAAAGAGTGGGGGGCTTCTTCCTCAACCTCATAACACAGATGAAGGCGCTTTATACAGGTTACTGCTCCAACCACCCCTCTGCAGTCAACGTGTTAACCCAACACGGGTATGTTCACACGCCTAAAAGTATTTAGTCTTATTTCTGCAACATTTAAACCTCATTTTGTATCAGCAAAACAACAGTTTGTTTGTCGAAAGGAAAACCAAACAAGTGCTCTTTACAGTTTAAGCGTGTTGGTCATCTTGGACACTAAGTGTGACTCTATGGTCACCTGTTTGCAATCACCTTTAGTGCAGTTCTTCTATTTTTTAGGGAGACAGTTTTAAAACAGCTGCAGGAGGGGAAACGAAAGAGAAATTCAACCATAACTACATGAGGATAGAGGTTTAAATTGTGGATGTGGTTGATTGTAAGTTAATGAGCTATACATGATGTCTTTGTCTGTCTCTTGTAGGGATGTACTGGGGGAGTTCATGGAGGGGAGGGGTGCAGTCAGTCCTGGGATCCTAACCCTGACCACAGGTCTCAGTAAACCCTTTATGAGACTCGATAAGTACCCCACCTTACTCAAAGAGCTGGAAAGACACATGGAGGTCTGTATCTAAATATCTCTTTCAAGTGTTTTTTCTTGCTTGTTTTTGTTTTATCACTCACTAAACAGTTTTATCTTTTCTTCCAGGAGAGTCACCCAGACCGGCCAGACATTCAGAAGTGCATGGTGTCTTTCAAGAGTCTGTCTGTAAGCTGATTTCACTTTACTCCATCACAGAAGTAACATGTAGACATACCGGATGTATCAAATAAAAGGGACCCATCACAGGAGTTTGAACTGTTTTTTCTGTCTGTTTGTGCCAGGCTCAATGTCAGGAGGTGCGGAAGCGTAAGGAGCTGGAGCTGCAGATTCTCACAGAGTCTATCCGGCTATGGGAGGGGGACGACATTAAAACCTTGGGCTCTGTGCTTTATATGAGTCAGGTCTTAGTCCAGAGTCCTGGATCAGAGGTAAGAGTCCCACCAACGTTCATCCATGTACATTTTATATTCTTTAAAAACACTGATATAAATTTACTATAGAAACACATCGCCGTGGACTTTTTATACATTATTGCCTTGCTTGAAGTTTGTAAGTTGTCTTGATTTGTGGTTACCAACATATTCATCTTGAAGGTTTTCATAAATATAGAAAAGTAAAAAAAAACTTTCATTGAACAGCTGAATTAACTTCATAGAGCGTTTCCTGATTTAAATTAAAGAGTGGTCAACAATGAAAAAAAAAGCTTTTACATTTTTTTTTATAAACTCTTGTCCTCTTAAAATGAATACTTGATGATCATGTAACTTTTACCTTAGACCTTCTTAAATTAAACAAATCTGTAAATCTGAATTTGCCCTTTCTCTGATGTTTTTATAAGGCTCTCTTATCCCTTCTCTATTTATCTCTCTTTTCTAAATCTTTGTCTCTTTCTTAGGAGAAGAGTGAGCGTTACCTCATGCTCTTCCCTCATGTCCTCCTTATGCTGTCTGCCAGCCCCAGGATGAGCGGCTTCATATTCCAGGTCAGAAATAAACCTTTCCTTTTGTTTATCCTAAAGAGGTTATCTTCCTGATTCTCTCTCCAGCGTTTGACCTGAGCCCTGAGCTTAACATGGTTGCTGAAAGGCATTTCCTCTGTTACATCTTAATTCTAATGTGATCATATCTCTGTGCAGGGAAAATTGCCTCTGGCCAGCATGACAGTGACCAAACTAGAAGACTGTGAAGCTCACAAAAACGCCTTTGAGCTCAACGGTGAGGCAGCATGAACTAAATGAGACGCTAATTAGAGTTGATTTACACATAATCCCTCCAACATCATTGTCTTTGTCTCTGCAGGTACAATGTTTGACCGTCTCACGGTGGTCTGCAACAACCAACAGGACCTGCAGGACTGGTCTGAACACCTGACCCGACAGATCAAGCACACTGCAGCCACGGCACCCAGCCACAAACCACTCACTGTTCCCTGCCACACAGTAAGGGGCCAATCATAACATGCCCACATCCATGATTTTCCTTCTATTCATTTGTGCCCAGTGTGGGGTCAACACTCTAATAAACATTTGTTTATTTCTTGCAGATCTTTATTGCGTGAATGTTAAACATTTGCCTTTAAAATCTGGCTAACATAATGGTCAGCAATCATCTCAAATCATGAAATAGCCATGTGTGAAGTGGCTTGACTCTCATGATGGGAATGTCTCTAATGCTCAATTACATTTAATCAACATTCAGCCTCATATTTTGATAAATAATCAACAATAACAACTGCTGGATACACTGTGAGCCACATGCATGTTGGTTTTGAGGAGCCTCAATCTGAAAAAGCTTTTGGTAACCTGCTCTTAAAGCTGATGGCCTAAAAAAAAGCAAGAAATGCCTTCATTAATTGGAATAAAAAACAGATTAGAGTAGCTGTTTGTAATCTACCACAGGTAATAGAAAGACCGCTTAAAATCCTCCTTTTATTAAATATGCTGTTCTGTTTCATTCTTCAGCTTCCATCTCATCCCCTCACCCCGTCCCGGCACGCTGAGGGGAGGGCCATGACGGTGGCGCCCACCTACCACACCCTGCCTCACCCGTCCTCACATGGCACCTCCCACAGCACCATGATGTGGGGCCCACTGGAACCACCAAACACCCCCAAACCCTGGAGCTTGAGTTGTTTACGACCTGCGCCTCCTCTGCGCCCCTCTGCAGCCCTCTGCTACAAGGAGGTGAGAGACTGTGTGGTCGTTAAATTAAGACATCTACATGTGTATTGTTTACTTTGTGATTGTAATATATTTGCTATTGTTGCCATCCTTTAGGATCTCAGTAAAAGTCCCAAGAGTGTTAAGAAGCTTCTCCCGAAGCGCAAGCCAGAAAGGAAACAGTCCGAGGAGGAATTTGCCTTGAGGAAGAGTATGTATAAATTCTTCTTTTTATTGTTGTTGTTGTTTTTGTTGGAAAGTTTTTCAAATTCTTATTTTTTTCTTGATTTTATTGAAACAATGTGGCATTTTGGTAAAAACTTTATTTGCTTACCAAGACCAAGTCATTTCTGCTTGCTGAGCTAAACTACACAGAGCTAATTATGGGCCGGTCCTAGCTTCTTAGTTAATAGAAAGCTTCAGCTCTGTTAGAAAATCCTCAGTTCAGTTTAAGGTCAGGGTGTTTCATTTGTTTCTCCTTTTGCTTATTTTAAACTTTATATTCATTTCTTATTGTCTCCCATATTTTGCAGAAGGTTGAGCACATATTGACATGATTGAAAGTGCTTTCTCATTTCACTCTCAGTAGAAAAGCCAATTGTCCTTGTCCTGTTGGATTTAAGTGCAACATTCGATACAGAAAACCACAAAACTGTGATTGAGAAGCTGCAGCACTTGGTTGGCATGTCAGGGTCACCTTTGAAATGGTTTTATTTGCCAATTTTATGTGTTGATTTGGAGGACATGTTTCCCTGTCACTCTGAGGTGAACCGTGGAGTACCTCAGGGGTCAGTTTTGGGACCACTTTTATTCTTTATCTAAATGCTGCTGCTTGGTCACATAAAACAGCGACACAATATTTCTTTTCATTGCTACACTGACGACACTCAACTGTATCTGCTCCATAGAACCAAACAACACCCAAAACCTCTGAAACCTGACAAACTGTGTTGCTGATATTAAAAACAAGATGATAGCAAATTTGTTAAAATTCATCCAGACAAAACTGAAATACACTCCAAAGTACACTCTCTATAGTAGGAGGGAGACTGTTGTCAGAGAGACAAAGTTACATGATTGTGTAAATTCAGACTTTCCTTCTGTTCGTTCTGCAGGTACGGCTGCTCTGGAAGAAGACGCCCAGATCCTGAAAGTTATTGAAGCGTACTGCACCAGCGCCAAAACCAGGCAGACTCTGAACTCCAGTAAGAAAACACTAGATTTAACTTTAACATGTGCACGTAAAGAGGTTCACATGGAAGCTTTTTCTATCTTTATTATGCTATACCTGTACTCTATTACTCAATGTCTGTCTTTAACACTGGTGCTCTGAACTGGTCTTTCTAACAGTTTCTTCTTCTCTGTCTATTTCTCCTCCACTCCTCTTTCTTTTCGCATCGCTGTGGTTTTTCCTTTTTTTTCCCATCATATTTTACTTTCACCATGCTTTGTTATAATTTTATCCACACGCTCTGAATCTCCCCATCACTTTCCTTGCTTTTTGATTTACCATTTGCTGCACACGCCACCTCTTCCCTTTGCACCGCCACATTTCCTCCATCTATATTCAAAAAAACTTCACCTGACCCTGACCAGCCTGGCAGGGCACTGACCTGATGCACAATCACGTGCTGGCAGATGTGGACCGGTCCTGTGTGGACCCGCCGGGCCGCCGTAGCAGCGTGTCCCGGCCTGAATTGTCCTCTGATCTTTCCGAGGACTCTGACTATGACTCCATCTGGACCACCCACAGTTACAGGATGGGCTCAGTGCCGCGCAAGAGCTGCATCTCTCACCAGAACTGAAGAACGTACAGTACTGCCACGCTGTACTGTAATGTAACGTACAGCGCGCTTACCTCTTTTACCTTCAATGTATTAAAAGAAACTAGACTTTTTTAATTTATCTATTTATTTTCTATTATAAATTTGTTCATTTTTTGTTAACTTATTTGTTTAATTTATTTTTAGACTGTTTGTTTTAAGATGTTTTTAAGCATCTCCCTGTTGCCTTGCCACTTTCCCTTTTATGTGCCTCCTCTATTTGTGTAGTTGTCATGCAGTAGGTGTTCAGTAATTATTCTTCTTTTATCTTGAATGTGACCACTCCCCTTGTTTGACCATAAAATGTGGCGGACTCTCTCAGCAGGGAGTGCAGGGATGTTTGAGTGGAAATACAGGGGAGGGAAAAACAGAGGGGAGGGAGAGGTGGGGACTGAGCTTTTCCTGTCTGATATTCAGATGTAATTCAGGAACGAGTGTATTCTATTGACCATGTACTACTTCTCTCCAGTATGTGTTTTGAGAGTATGTATGCTCAAACATAGCACAGATGCCATACACACACACGCACAGGTTCAGGCACATCAGGCCCTGTTGCCTGGTAACATCGCAGCATGCAAATGAAATATTCAAATTCTTTTCATTTAATATCATCGCTGTTTCACACTTTCAGCCTGGACTCGTGTTGCAAGTGCTTAGCAGGATTAAATTTGACCACATGACCAAAAGCTACTAAAGTTATTTACTTCATTTTAATTGCCGGTGAAACATAATTAATTATTTTGCTGTAGCAGCAGGAAGAGGAGATTATCACATATGCTTTACACTTACACCAAGCTTACTGCAGCTGGTTGACCAAGAATGAGGAATTTAAAGGGTCAGTTCATCCACATTTAATAAAAAAATACATGTACACAAATGCCTGCATAAGCCAAAGACCTCACTTTTAACATATTTAATTGAATTACTTTCTTTCTTACGGTGAAAAGCAGTTAAATTTACGAAAATTCTTCAAGTTATATTGTAATACTGTGGTTGCAGACAAGACAGTGTGGGATTTTTGGGGGTATTTTTAGTGAACTGGCCCTTTAATGCTTTAACTTTAATAACTTGCTGTATTTACAGGACATCTTTAAAGCCTGATCTACCATCCAGTAATGTTGCTGATAGCGGTTCAACAGGGTCACATTTACAAAATAAAAAGATTTAAAAAGATTTTTACTAGGCAAAGCATAACAGCCTGGTGCTACTAATCTCCAAAACGTCAGCATCACTCACTGTAGCTACAGTCCTTTTAATGGAAATCAAATACTTTTATTGTTATATATTTTTTTTAATTCAAGTTGAAGAAACTCCCTGAGCTTTTGTGAATGTCATCTTCAGTATGAGATTGATTCCACTCTCAAATTTGTCTGCTCAAAATGAAGCTTAAGCCTGGAGGAGGTTTGCCTAACTTTCCTTGCATGCATGCAGAATGTTAAACGGGTGCAACAGCGAGCTAAGGAGGAAACAAAGCAGCATCCAGAATCTTCTGTCTTAGCTTTAAATGTAGTAAAAGTCATGTGCACATGTGCCCATAGGTGTATCTTTAACATCCGCACTTCATCTTAGCTTGATGAAACCTTTTAGAACTCCTGCTTTCTACCAAAATGCACAGACATTAGAAATTAACACATCAAATTAAAGTAGGACGGCAAGTAATTTCTTTTGTTTCTTGTTTTCTCACAAAGCTAAGCTAAGCTAACCAACTGCTGGCTGACGCTTCATGTTTCTTGTGTAGAAATTAGGGTGCTATCATTTTTTTAGTAAACTCAAATTAAGAAAGCAAATAAGCATACATTTCAGAACATTGAGCTCTTTCTTTAACGTAATACCTTTACCAGATTGATAATTTGACAGAGTTAGCTTAACACAGATGACAAACATACTACAGCTGCGTTAGCCAGGTGTGGCTTGCGAGGTGTCCCATAACTTCTCTTGCATTAATAACTATTTTTATGAAGAAGTATTTTTCCAGTGTTGGTATTAAAAGTACAGGTTGGCAACCACTTAGAGTCTATCTCCTCTTACAGTACACAAATGTGAAAGAAGTATGGAATATATATTGGTCCATGTTACAGCTCGGTTTATTGTGTTTCTGTACGGTATTTATTATTCTGTAAACAGGTGGGTTTTTTTAATTTTATTTATTTTATTATGTATGTCAATGTTTACAAAATGATCCCTTGAAGATTTTTTTTATTATATCGGTTTGTATGAAAGTTTACACTCAAAAGTATAACATGAAGTGTTTGACTTATTTTGCACAATCATGTAACGGGCCAATGGGTGTGGGGGATAGAATCTGTTAAACTCTGTACTTTTTGTGTGTATGATATAGTCCTAAAGGTAGACTTGAGTATTTAGTGTTACCGTAAAGTAAATGCTCATTCGTAGTGTAAATTCTCACCCTCAGTGTTTTGCAAGCATTAGGGTAAAAAAAACAAAAACAAGAAACCGTAATATAACAGGAAACATTTCTATGTAAACTACTCATCCATCTTCAGATTACTGTCAGAATGGACTTGAAATATAAGAGCACATAGTCTCCCTTTCTGTAAATAATAGTTGTCATTGAGCAAGAAAATAAGAAAAAAAAACATTCTATGAATATTTGAGCTAAGAATATCACTGTCCTTATATCATGTGCTAAACTTTGTGACAGGTGTATTCTGTGGTCTTCAAGAGAAACTAAAACAAACTGTGGCACAGGCAGGGTAAAGAGACTTGACTGTCTTTGACCAACATTGTCGTCTGTGTGCTCTAATGCTGTATTCAGTTTACACATGTGACCACGTCTTATCTGCAAAACAGCGCCTTCTGTGTATTTGTCGGACACTGCCCAAGTGTTCAAGTCCCAAAAGCTGTATTATGAGTTTTGAATAAATCCGTCATTTGGTAGACGCTGGTATTCTGGTGATTTGTTGGGAAAAAAATTATCTGATTGTGTTTGGTGTGTGTTGCTATTTGAGGAAGATGGTGGAATTCTCATTAACTCAAAATTGACTGTAAATTGCAATTTGAATGGATTTGTGTTGACTTTTTTGCCTGATAATCTCCACAGCCTCTCTTGTTCTTCCACTTTCCTTGGGCGTGCATCTGATTTCTGGTCTGTGCATGACTAACACTTGGCCTCTAATAATCATTGTGCATGTTGGTTTCACTTTGATAACACATGTTCCACTGAAGCACTTCAGAAAAGTAACTTAAAGAAGATGACTCACCACTGACTCATCATAAATGCAAGGTGCAAGATATGAATCTACAAATTGTTTAGAACTCTTCTGTTTTGATGCAGGACCACGAAAGGATACGGGTTTACAAATGATCATCCCTGGAGAGAAGAAAGTCCTAAGGGAGGGTCCAAATCGCAACGGACAAAGTACAGTGGAGGAGAAGTAAGATGATACAATAATTTTTCACTTTTACTTTGTCTTATTTGGAATCTGTCTAAATATTTTAAGTTTAAAAAAAAAAGCTTTCAGTACACAAGACCACATTTTTCTTTCTGAGGGTTCGGAAATGCTGACTTAACTTAAAGTCATCCTGGACTCAAGCTAGAATAAAGAGCTGAGTTAGGCTCTAAGCCACATGACAATGTACACAACTGTTAGTCACCTCAGCTATACCCTTAATAATACGAGCTAATACATAACTACTTACCTTTTTTCTGCCATGAAGAAACATTTTATGAAGGGACCTGACTGGCTTTAGCTGTCAGCCCCAAGTGGACTTTCAAGGAACTGCAGTTTTGTGCACTAAAACCAAAATTGGTAATGGGAAGCAGCCAGTTCCTGTTCTTTGCATTGAATGTGCATTTAGATGCAGACTTCTTTGAAACCAGTCAGTTATGGGGATATTTCTCATTGGTGTATTTAAATGGTGAGTTGTTATGAAGTGTTGAGTCAGAACATTACAGCTTGTTCAAAGCTTTTGAAATTAAAAAATGTTGAAGATACCATCATGAAAGCAGTCAGTATTGATTGACCATGTGCTTTTGGATCTCTGAGCTCATCTGAGTTGTTCATTTGTGAAGTTTGTCCTATAATAGCTATTATAATTTACAAGTAGATTCAATTTGTGTTCTTATTTTTCCAATCCATACTCACTGATAAGCTATCATGTTCTGGTGAGTCTTATATCAGAAGAGAAGGACAATCTCCACAACTAATCTGCATTAAAAATAGTTTCAAAATTCAATAGATACAGTGAAGTTGATATGGTGTAGTCAGCACTTGACTCTGTTTTTAATGTGAAAATTTGATCTTCTCAATTGAAGGAGCCTGGTGGATGTGGTGTACGCCTTGAGGGATGAGGTTCAAGAGCTGAAACAGGTGAAAGAATATGAAATGTGTCTTACATTAAGTTTGTTGTGTTACAACAACTTAAATAACTCAATGGCTTTACCTCACAGGATAATAAGAAGATGAAGAGGTCGCTGGAGGAGGAGCAGAGAGCACGAAGGGATCTGGAGAAGGTTGTAAAGAGGGTTTTAAAGAGCATGAATGACCCAAGCTGGGATGAGACAAACCTTTGAGAAGCTTCGGCATCATATCTACCTGAATATTTAAAGAAAAGGATAAGGCATGTACGCTTGGGCTTGCTTGAAATGCACACAATGACACACTTAATTTAAAGCTGTATGTTTCGCTGAGAAGACAGTGAATCTGTCAGCTGGTACTTTTGTGTTTGTGATGGATGTGTGTGTTGGGATCGTTGCTGCCTGTCTGGTCTGGTGACTAAAAACACAAATCACTGTGGAGGTGCTGAACAGACTTGACCATCTATTCCATGGTTACATTCCTTGCAACACAACAAGGAGAGTACATGCTTAATAATATATATCCTACAGCGTGTCCATCAGTACGACAATAATCATTTGTATCTGTGGCTGCAAAACTATTCAAGAGAAGTCCTCTGTTTACAAGAATTTACATAGTCCATTGGTACATATATGGTACGTCACAGATGGCCTTGGACAAGTCTTAACTTGAACCATACCATTTCATAACCTCCCCTGTGTATTTAATTTTGTTTGAATTTCCTTTGGTCTCTTTCTCTTGCTAGGGCTTGGCCTGTTGTTTCCAGGCTGAGGCAAAGCTTAGGTCAGGAAACTCCTGATCAGTGTCTGTTTATTTTAGGTTATTTTTTTGCCTTTTTCATTTTATTAACTTGACTCTCTCTCTCTAGGCTTTCTAGAGAATTGTACAAATATTGAACTTGTACTGTATAATGTAAATACTGCTAAAAGATGAGCCTTTTGTCCTTGGGAGAAATAAAGGTGGTTTTTAAACAACGTTTTGAGTTACTGCTTAGTCTCCTGAAACTGTACAAAGGAACTTTTCAAGTGTTTTTGTCTTTCAGTTTCACATACACAAAAAACACAAAGCATCAAGGCTGGATAAACATTATATGAGGCAACTCCAGAGGGAGTCACTTGAGAGCACTGGCAGTGGAGAACACTTGACAAATGTCACCATTTAATTTAAAATCTAAAATGATGATACATGTTTTCAAGTGGGGTTTTACAATTAAAAAATAGACTCATTGTTTTACAATCCCAAGAATTGCAGCAATACATCTTTAAAGTGATGTATCAAACATGCCAGCTGTGTATTGTTGTGGAAATGAGTAAAACATTGTAAATACATAACTTTTATTTGGTTGCATGAACAAAAGAGATTTTAAGATTCCTTATTTTGATGGTCACAGCAATTTTTTTTTACATAATAAAGGGGTTAGCAACCCAACAGAGTAAACACGGAAATGACAGTTTGGTTCTGAAATGTTTGGGTATTTTTAATGTTTATGTATTATAACAAACGAACAAAAAAAAAAAAACAGCTTGTGGGCAATTGTTTCCTTTCCTTTTACAATTTGATCAAACTTGCGGCAGATCGGCACTAGTTTGGACCGTTTAGCTTTATTATATTACTCCGCGCGTGATACGTAATACGTCAGTTCAAACGTGCTTCGACGCAGAACGCGTAGATACAGAAAAAAAAAAGACGCAAGCGCGCAGCCGCAGACACTCCCTTCACAAAATTGGAGGGAACCGTTTCCGACCGCCATATTGCTAGTACCTTGTTCATTAAACTAACTTTAATAAACTCCGGTCCTTACTGTTTGAAACACAAACGCCCCTCCCTCGACCGTAGTAATGTTTCAACAAAAAGCTTCCCTCACACTACTATTGCTTGCTAGTTGCCCAAGATTTTGGAAATTAATCCTTGAATGGTCTTTGAAGACGTCGAAGATCCACACCACCTACATCCACCATCAACAGGAGGAAGTTGGGGAGAGCTGTGCCACGACCTCCAGGTAAGTTTTCCTCGTTTACACAAGAGTTGGCTCTGTCTCTGAGTGTTTTAGGAGTTTCTAAGCTTTCATTCATCAACAAAAATGTTTATAATGTTGGGGTTATTTATACAAGAATAGGGGGATTTGTCATTGCTCAACCAAACCATTTCATTAGGATAAGGACACTGGTTTCCAAATCAAAGTCTATCCTTGACTGTTGATAATGCAAAAAGTACGAGTCATATGTTGAAACTGAAACATTTGATGGTAATGAAAATATCCAATCTTTTCAATTTTATTTTAGCAACATAAAGTTTTGTTCTCAGTGAAGTGCCCTTTTTGTAGGTCCTAAGTGCAGTTTTAATACTGATATGGTGTTTTAAACCAAGCAATTCACTTGCACATAAATGCGTTGTAGTATTTTTCCATGATAAAGTGATTTTAGTAAACGCTATGGTTTCCAGGGAAAGTGTCTTACCCTTCAGCTTTTTTGTTCATTTTTGTTCATTTGAAGTCTGTCTTAGTAGGAGCATTTTGTGACCAACTCACCATGAACTAAAGCTGAAGCATGGAAATAACTCTTGGTAGTGGTGTTTTGGACAAAAACTCATACAAAAGTGCAGAGGAGAAGTTCATATGGCTTTTATACTGATCACATCTTGTTGTTGACTGAACAACAGCATAAGTGCGTGTGTGTCTGCGTCTGTTTGTGTGCATATGCCTCCTCTTTAGCGGCAACCAGCCTATTGAAATCTATTGTGTTTCCTGATAATTGTGACAAGCTTTGTTGGGGGAGATGATCCCATTCTGCTGCTGTTGCATGAATAAGCACAGATGTCAACCTTTTCACTGTGACTCTCACCTTGTCCACTCATTAGTAATGAAAACAGTTGCCTTTTGTTTCTTGTTGAATATTCTTTCATAGGAAACAAAAGCAGTGTTCTCATTCAGCCTGTGTGAGGCAGATCTTGGATGATAAAGCCAGGCCAGTACTGTCACGCTCTGACCTTGTTGGGATGACTCTTGCGCAGTTTTTGGCTTACCGACCGCTATTCATTCCCCAAAATAATAAACCCGAGAGTGAAAAGAGTCACAGCTTTGTGACTGGGAAGTTTACCTGGATCCCCTGGCTGATTCACTGCAGGTTGAGGCGCATAAATACACATTTCTGAGGCTCCATTTTCCCCTTACTTTACCAAGATCCTTCTTCATTGCGTCAAGTGTCTGTTAGGTGTGAAACTTGTGAATTGAAGAGGCAGACATGCTTTATCAGGGTCTGACCTGCCCTAGTCTTCTTCCCTCTGTCTGCCTTTTTCTTCTAACGGGGATGGAGTGACAGCCTGTCACTGTGGGCGCTCCACAATACGCCTCAGACCCCCCGACTATTGTGGTGCTCAGAAAAAGCATCAAGGTCTTCCTCTCTCTTACGTTCACTCTTTTCTCTTCTCTTTTCAAAGCGGAGAATCAATCAGCTGTACACACACACACATGCATACACACTTCTTTCCCTTTCCATCTGTCTATTCAGCAGCCAGTGATCATTTAGACTTGACATGTATTGTGAAAAACTGAGCTGCTCTGCCTCTTTCTTCTTCTCTTTCTTTCACTCCCTTTCTCTTTCAACTGTCTGTCATTAATGTCCAGGTCTTACAATATATACGAACAGAGGAGGGGAAGAAAGCGAAGAGTGAGGGATGAATTGATGGATGGGAGGATAAGCACTCAGTGTCCTTTCTTTAAAGATTTGTTATTGTACAGTACTGTCTCCCAGTCATTTTTGGTTGGTGTTTCAGTCTGAAAGCCCGTCCACGTGCTCTTTTGTATGGGAAAGCAATAAGGCCCCATTGAATGAAGCTGAATGGACCTGCCATCCTTAGGGGCTGAGGCCTGAGGACTCCTATTCTTTAGCCCCCAATCTAATTGGAGCTGAAATGAAATGGAGGTTTCTTATGAAAATAGGCTTTGTTTGGCCGCAAGGCTGGTAATTCATAAACAATAAGCAGGGCCCCATTGTGTAGATAATAATATATTCATGCTGCTGGAGATGGGGAGAAGGCAAAGCAAAGGCTGAGGATATATAAGGAGGATAGGCAGAGACAGGGATGGAGAGTGGAGGGAGAGGAGGAAGGGGAGGAGGAAGACTAATAGCAAATAGTGGGTCAGAGAAAATTGGTAATGGTCGGGTAGCAGCGGAGGACTTATTAGAGGAAGTGAAAGGACTAAAAGTGGGTAGGAGTGAGTGGGAGTTAGGTGAAAGTGACGGGAATAGGAGAGATAGACAAGATGAGAATGAGGCAAGAAGGGAAGGCGGGAGATTGGGAAATGCTTTTGAGTATTGAAGCCTACAGGTGACTGCCTTTGGCAGCAGAGGGGGGAGAAGGCAAGTGAGTGAGAGTATCTTCAAATAGAATAGGTTGCAGAGTGAAAACCTGCACAGATTTGAGAGTGGTGGAGCTGATGGAGTGGATTGGTCAAGTGCAAAGATGGAGCAGAGCAGAGCAGTCTCCCAGGCGAGTGGGAGGAAGAGGAGACCGGTGTGTCTGCAGAGGAATAAGACCAACAGAAAGCTTTTCACCGCCTGGAAACACAATGACTAGTGGGGAAAAAAAACAGGTGAGCTTTCATGACTTTTGCTTCGTCAGTCTATCTGGATTATCTCTCACTATAACCATCTTTAATCTCACAGGTCAGTGCTGCTTCTCGGAAATGATACTGAGCTGAGTCTGCACACTCTTTTGGAAGTGAGTTTCTCTGCTCGACACTCTCATACAGCAGGACTAAAAAAAATGCTGGACTTGAGTGCTCTGTGGAGTTATGGACTGACCAAAGAGGGACCTGCTTCTTGCACTAGCCCTGGGATGTTACAGTTCATGATCTAGGATTTTGGGCCATGTTTTTGGAGAGGGATTGGACTAGAGACTGGAGACACCTAATCCTTGGGATGCTTTGGGGAAAAACTTACTCCCTGCTGAATCATTGACTTTCTGTTTCTCTGTTTCTTCTCTGGACAGAGTTTTGTGTCAGTGGAGGGAGCGGATGTTGTTGACAAGGATGCAAAACTGAATTGTAAAACACCTCTGATTTCATGTCACTGCTTAAGAGAAAGAGGTCTTTACTAATGGTGAGTAATTTCAAATGGCACTGTTTGGATGGACTGAATTTGTGTGTTTGTGTCAGGGGTGTTTGTATGCTTCTGAATCGACAGGAAGTGATTAATCTGCATATGCAAACTCTGTTGTTGAACATATATCACACTACAAAATGTCAAGTGTAAGAAATGATGCATGCAGTTTAGTTGTGCTCAACCAAACATGCGAGTGAACTCGACCAGTGCTTCTTTTTAGCAGTGTTCAGGTCACTAAGTCAGGCACAGGACAAGACTTAGAACTGAAAAAGCAAGCTCTAAAAGTAAACATTAAAAACTGTTCAAACAACGCTTTATAAGTGTGTGTGCACATATGTTTGAAGCTCTCCTCTTCACTGTGAATCAGTCAGAAAGTATGGAAAAAATAGCATCATTTAAAGAATTTGTTTTCAGTCAGTTGTGTTGTTAAAGCAATGAAAGCATCACATCACATCCTGTAAAAAAAAAAGCACAACATGTCAGTTCATGTAACTTCTACTCGAGGATTAAAACGCTTGTGAATAATTCGCAGTGTTACCTGAGTGTCTTGGCCGAGAGGTGGTGGTATTTACTTAGATCCAAACATGTGTGATCCAAGACACCGGACACTGAGAGTTCTGAAGTTTGGCCACTAGATGTCAGTATTCAACAATGCATAAACCTTCATAGCTGTTCCTCTTCCTCTGAAACTATTACACTGGAAGCTAAATGTGTGTGCTGATTTTCTCCTATTTAATGCCTCGACTGAAACTCCTGCTGTTAAATTTTTCCACATAACGCTGAAAGTTTAAGCTAAACACTGAGATTTAATTCTACAGCAAGGTCATGCTTAAACTTGTACTCATGAGTTGATTTTTTTATGATAAAGCTTGTGTCTTAGGCCTCATATTGAGAGTTAAATATTTCTGATATCTTCTGAGAAATAAATGGAAAAAGAGGAAATGGCCCTCACGTTGTTGCCTTGGCTTGGAATTCTAGCGTGTCAAACTGAATACTGCTGTGTTAGCATGCCATAGCAACGGTTATTCATTGTTTCTCTTACCACGAGATGGCAATCACACATAATGTAAACCCTCTGATCTGTGTGTGTGTGTGATTTGTGTGTGTGTGTGAGAAAGAGAGAGGTATGAATGCATGCTTTTCATTTTAGTGGATGTCTTTATAAGTGTGTTGGACTTATTTGAGTGTGCCGTGTCCATACTCTCTGAATCTGTCTCGTTCGTAACGTGGTATTTAGTGTGTATATCTGTGTGAGTGGTGGTGGATGTTGATCCCTGCTGTAGGTCCATGTTTGTTTTGTTCATTTGCATGCAGCAAAGTGGTTGCTGGCGGTGCTGGTCACTACAAGTGGCTGGCATTTGAAGCCTGGTAATCAGGCTGCGGGCAAACTGGGTGGCAGCGCTCCGAATGGTTCGCTGGAGATTATCCCAAAATTATCCATGAATTATCCCCGAGAATTACGCCATTCCAGTCAGGCCTTGTCCATTGATGGGACCGGGAAGAGGGAGAGTGTTGGAAGAAGAAGAAGTGCGCGTGTGTGTGTGTTGTGTCCTTTTTCGGGGGTGGTTTGGATGGAGAAGTGTTGATGTCATGAAGCTTGTATTTCTGTGTGTGTGTGTGCGTGTGTGTGTGTGTGCTCTGTAATGACTCTGGCAGTGTTGTTACATTGGGGTAATGGAGCATGTTAATCCACATCAAACAGCTATAAGCAGCAGATTTTACCCATAAAAACCATTAGTTACATTAAGAGGAAGAACATGAAATTAACATACATCATCCACCTTTGACCCTCTGTATTAATCTTTTCATCACACAGTCAAAAGTCTATTCTTTAGCTGAAGGTTTTCTGTTGTAAACCAGAAAGATATTTACTTGATTCTTGTGTAGAAAAAGTTGAGTGTCTTGCTCGGGCACAAAACTGCCATCAAATCCCTGAAATCTTCAACAAACTGTGAATGTGATGTGTATTTCAACATTTTCATAAGAGGTCTTTATTCCCAGAGCTCCAGGTTTTCGTGCCATTTGGAGCATTGTATTAAAATCATTTCTGTGCGGCTGCTGTCACTGCACATTTGTGCTGCCATTAAGTCTGGGCAGATAGGAGGGACTAGTCGCTTGCTTGTGTGCTGTTGCTGAAGCCGCAGGAGATGAATAGTGCTGGTGAACCTCTCTGCGATAAGTGTTGGGTAAACGGGTCAGTGGATTGTCCTCCGAGGCTCAATCTGAGCTATTTTCCCTGACTGAGAACACAAATTATCCGCCGTATTCATCCCGTAAACAGACCACCAGCGGCGCGGGCTCCACATAGTTTGCTGTGGCTGTGTTTGTGTGCTTGGTCCCCCCGTTTCCCTGTGCTTTGGCTGAACACACGACCGTGTGTACATGTGAACCAAAATACTGGGATAACACTCGCCTCTCACCCACTCGACAACAGAGTCCAAATTCAGTGCTGGCTAACAGATTAAAGCAAAACTACTGAAGAAACAATTTCATGTAGAGCGGGTACAAGTGGCAGATCTCATACGCACACACACACACACACCAGTCAGGAAAAGGAAAAATGATGAGAGGCAAAAGGGGCGAAGGAAGGAGAGGCCAAGGTGGTTAAAGGTTAAGTACTTCTTTTTTGGACGCTGTACTTCCTGCAGAGCCTTGTTCCTTGACCTGCTGTTAGAGGAGGGGGGTAAAAAAATTTGGAGAGAGGGAAGGAGGGAGAAAAGGCTAAAGCTGCATGTGAGGTTGCAAGGTGAGAGGTGGAAGAGCTAAAATGGGAGGAGTATTTGCCTCTGGCTGATGGGGAACAATTGGACTCACGAGGAGGCGCGCGCACACACTCACAAACACACTCACAAACACACGGGATGCAGAAACAAAAATGGACATTCACACACACATGCATGCACTTAGAACTACAGTCCCAGCGGGCTATGAACTTCAGTGCAGTTGTTGCCATGGCAATACACTGAGTTGCTGACCCCCGACTCAATTTTTCCTGCCGCTTTGCTATTGAAAGAGATGATTGACAAGTGTCCAAATGTCAGCCGACCCAGCCGGCCACACAGATAGGAGTGGGTGGGGGCGGTGTAGGTGGGGTAGCCATTTTATGCTGTGTTCATTCACAGGGTGGGAAAGGTGTGTTTGTTTGTGTATCTGTGTTTGTGCGTGTGTGTATACATGTAATGCCAGTTAACACTAAAGACGTTCTTAAATACCAATCAAGGTAAATTGTATCCACCCCTGATGCTAAGAGTACATTCAACAAACAAATAACCACACTCACACACACACATTTACACACACACAGTCTTACATGCACACACACTGTAGCTGTTGTATTAACCTGCACAAAGAAAGCCTCCAAATAAAGCCCCTTTTGAATGTGAGACAGGGTCGTATATTTTGTTTCTCTTTTAAGCAGCACCGATAACCCGTTCAGTGAAAAGCTGCATTTGTTGGTGGCAGCTATTGAGTTTTAAGTGTTCAGCTCTCTTGCACTGTGTGTAGATTTATGTGCACGGCCCTGATGCACAGAATCTGCATGAAACAGCCTTTTTTTTTCTCTTATCCGTATGTCAGATATTATAAACAGTAGTTTACATGCAGTGACGACTCTTGCACAGTCAATTCCATGTAACCTCCGTGTTTTCTTTTTCTTTTTTTTGCTTATTTCTACATATTTCTCCCTGCCTGTACCTCTGGTTTTTGTGTGCTCTCTCTCCTCCTGTCTCGCTGTCTCATTGTCCACAGGCTTAAAGGGATCGGTCTTATCTTGATCACCCACAGCAACACATTAACCTCTCCTCTCTTATCTCTACACTGGTCATTAGTGCCAAAACCCTTAACGTCCTATTGACATGGGGCACCAAACTCTGCATCTGTCTCTGTGTGTGTGTTTTTGTGTATGTGTGTGGGTGTTTTGAGTTATCGTAGGTGACATGCGGTTGAGATCTGCTGAGTTGGTGATCTGAGCCGATAACATTATTAGCCTGTGTTGTGTGTGTGTGTGTGTTTTTGTGTGTGCATGCGCCAAATATAGCAGAAGAGAGGGGGTGAAAAAGCTGCCTATTTCTTGTAGATATATTTGAGATGAGGAGACATCATTGAGTTGTTGATAGTGGATATTTTTGAGCTTGTCTTCGCTCTATCTGTAATCTGTGCATTTTTGGAAGCTTTTAGCTTGTGAGTTTCTGATGTATTTTCAAGATAAATTGACTTTTTTTTTCACACTAAATCTGGAGTACTTTAAAAGAAAATCTGATTTACCCTCTCCTCCCACCTGCAGCAAAATGTAATCATTCAAAAGCCTGCCAGCAGATTTACTCTGAGGCCATTAAGAAAGTATTGAGGGCACATAAAAATGTACTTCCTGCCTCTAATGTAGCTGTATTGGTGTTGAATGGGTTCCTCTGTTTGCCACTGATGGCACGTTACACTTCAGCTCAGTCAAACAGCTGTCAACAGCAAGTGTATCTCAAATTAAATCAATTCTATGATATCATAGCTTGACACCCAGCAATCAAATCTCTTATAGATGTAATACCAGCACCTGATTTAAACACTTCTCGCACATTCAAAGGGCTTTGAGC